ATAGTCTTAAAAAAGGAGAATCTTAACCTATAGATTTAAAGATCTCTAAAACTAGAAGCTATTATTAAAAATTAAATAATAAGGTATATCTGCTTTGCTAATCTAATAGCTTAAGAGATTAGAAATCTTACTAAATCTATAAGAATACCTGCTTAACCTATTTTAAAAAGTTAATCTATTTAATCTAGAGAAGCTATTTAGTTTACCCTGCTGTTTAATTAATTTATTAAGATTATTTAATTTACTAAGGAGATAATTTAATCTATTAAAAAGATTATTTAACTTATTAAAAAAATAGCCCCGCCTATTAAATAAGACTAGTTAAATTTTCTTATTATGCTTAATAAATTAAAATACTTATTAGGTATTAAAGACTTACTAAATATAGCTTATCTATTTAATAACCTAATATAGTCTATTCTATAAGCCTTAGATTATAAAGCTAACTATTACCCTAAGATTATACTAGCTAACTACTAATAAAGAAGAAAATATTTATATTATAGAGACTATCTATATATTTCTAATTATAATAAGCTAAAAGCCTATTTATTATAAAAATATTATAATAAGTATATACCTAAATATCTTAAAAAATATAAGCTTTATAACTTAATCTTATAAAAGTATTATTAGCTAATATATATACTAATATATAAATTGCTAAACCTAGAATTACTATATCTACTACTATATTATACTCTTAAATAAAGGCTATTAAGAAGTCTTATATTAGCTCTTTATTCCTAAATATTTTTAGCAAGATATCTTAATAGATTTTATTATTAAACTTATATCTTATTAAGGTTATAATATTATATTAGTTACTATAAACTAACTTATAAAGATAAAATATTTTATTCCCTGCTAAGCTATCTGCAATATTAAAGGAGTAGTATAATTATATATCTGCTATATATAAAAGCTTTATAGGCTATTAAAGACTATAATATTTAATTAAGGCCTTTAATTTATTATTACTTTTTAAAAATACTTAATCTAATATTTAAATATTATAAACCTACTATTTATTATTTATTATCCTAAGACTAATAATTAAATTAAAAAAATAAATATTATCTTAAAATATTATCTATATGCCTATATTAGCTATTTATAAGATAATTAAGTTAATTAGCTATTTTTAGCTAAGTTTATATTAAACTCCTATTATTCTAAGATTATTAAAATATTATTTTTTTTATTAATTATAAGTTCTATTTATATATAAGATTTAAGCCTATTTAGCCTATAAACTAGCCTATTATTAAAGATATTAAACCTTTATTAAAAAGATATAAGATATTATAAATTATATCTATATCTAAATCTATACTGCCTAAGCCTATTATAAAGAGCAGACTAATTATTGCTAAATCTTAGCCTACTATTATTATATAAGATAATTTATTTAATTAAATATTTAAAATATCTATATTTAATATCCCTAAAAAAAACTTAATTAGAAGAATCTTAGCCTATTCTATATTATTAAGATTATTAGCCTATATATTTATTAGCTTAACCTACCTATCTTAATATATATCTATCTTATATTTAATATTAGCCTGCTTTACTCTATTATTAAAGACCCTATATCTAGATAAAAATAACTTTTATTATTATCTATTAAAGTTAATAGCCTTAAGAAATAAGTTATTAAAGATATTTTAGACTCTTAATAGAAATATTATAGGTATAAAGGTTTTTAACTATAATATATTATTAAATAATTAGATTATAATAACTTAACTAAAGAGTCTATATATTATTTATAATATATTTAAAAAATTATTATAAACTTTTATTACTACTATTTAAATAAGCTAAAGCTTAAGAATAGTTTTAATAAAGCTTAACTTTAAGAAGGGGAGTATTATTATAGTGCTAGTATAGGGGATTATATAAGAAATTATATAATTTTATAAAAATATCTTTAGCATATAGCTTAATTTAAATTTAAGCTTTTTAAGCTATATCTTATTTACTAAGCCTGCCTGTAATAGCCTGTTCTAGTCTAAATCAGCTAGATAAAGATCCTGTAGCTAATCCTAGTATTAACTACTTTATTCTATTTATTCTGACCTGCTCTCTAAGCCTATACCTTAATAGTTTATAATATAATATTAAAATTACCTAATAAGATCTAAAGCTCTAGTAAGACTCTAGGCTTATAATTTATAAAGATCTAAGATTATAAAAGTAAAAATTTTAAGAAAGTATATAAAAAGGAGATAATCTCTAGATTATTTAGAAAATTAATTAATACTAAAATCTACTAGCTATTTATATTTAATAACTCTATCTAAATGCCTTAGCTATTCTGAGTTAAACTAAATATCTAATTAAACTAATCTATAGTTCTTTTTTTATCTTTATTAATTCTATATAGATTAATATAGGTAGTATCCCGTTACAGCTGCTATCCGGTTTATATAGGTGACACAGCAGCGGAACTCAGCAGGTTTGCAGCTCGCCCCCTGTAGGAGCCGCGGGATCTGACAAAATATCGTTTAGCCATAGAATACTTCGCTTTACTGGGTAGTTAGTTAATCTGAAAATATATATTTTCACACATTTCATTACTGTAGTACTGTTATTTGCAGTGCTCTTGAAAACGACTTCCTTCAGGACAACTTCTACTTTCTATAAGAGTTATCACCTGAACCGGTATATTTATCTACGTTAGCTATCATAATCCTAACAGAGGAAGACTTTGACAGCTTTTCGCCTCGACCCGAAAAAAGACCTGGAAATCTCCTCCCCTCCAAAAAAGGTCCACAAGGACATTTGTAGATTATGAGAAGCTGCTGGTTACTTCGTGCATCAATATGCCTTCGAGACAATGAACGACTCCTGAGTGCTCACTAGGCCCGCATCCGGAAACGTCCTCGTCTTAAGTACCCAGGATATGGCCCGACACACAATAAACGTCCCATTCAGAAAGTCAAATGTGACAATTCAGAAACCTCATACGCACAAAATCAATTAGGGAAGCAAGATTCCCTATGTCTTGGTTGACAAGATTAGTACAGCATCGGCAAACCCCCACGGCGCGGGCGGTGAGATGGCAAAAACGGACTCAACGTCCCAAGATTCCAACCAAGGTCCAAGGCGAATGTAACAGAACTACCAGATGATTAGTTCTAAGAACGATCTGTTTTCGGGGACGTTCTGCAAGCGGATAGCCCATTGTTTCGATAGTCGAGTATCCCTCTGGACAACGGCATGTGGAGACGCCGCAGGGAAAAAACCATAATCTGTAAAGAATCCCCAGTCCACAGCATGGGCTTCTAGAATCTCATTTTGACTTTGCGTTCGTTCGTTAGTAGTAATAGCAACATGCTTCTTGGAACAAAGTGGAGAATGAGATGATGCTTTGACTGCCGTCCCTTGCATCGAGATCGTCTTGCAGAAACGGCCGCTTACGGCTCAAGGTTGCAGATGGTGGTTGCAACGGCGTCCAAGCTATCGAACTCACTGACTGACCATCCCATGCAAGCCGAACATGCGGCAGATTGGCAGCACGGACGCTCACGATCGCGTTGGCGATGCTAGATCCATCTGGAACAAGCCCGTTGTTGAAGGTTTTGGCGCGTGGCAGTCGTGCGTTGCGCCGTTGATAATAATCCCCGAGGCTCGGAGCTTCACCGATGCACGTAGTAGGCAGTCCTGCTCGTGATCTCGGTCTAGCGCGAAGGACGATTGATGATTCTTTGGGATTCCTTTTCTGATTCCGATAAGATAGGAGATCGAGTTGAGCCGGATCACCCGACGGGGAGAAGTGATATCTCCCAGTTCAAAGCGTTGCCAGGTTCCGGGTAATGGTACCTCGACACTTTTGTAAAGACGACAAAGCAACAGTAACGATTCTTTCTGCGAATGCAGACCAGCAGCTGGACGGGCCAAAATCACCTGCTGAGGGCAGGAGAAGGAGAGAACTTGCCTTCATAGGAACGTAGGCAGAGAACAACGATCAAACAGACAGAGACAACGAAGAAAAACCCAAACTGCAAGAAACCAACAAGACGAATCCAAAATCCACGGCAAAAATATCTCCAGTCCAAAAAGAAATCCATCCCACGACTCACAAGACGACCATACCAAAACCTATCTTATCCATCCTCGATCCCGACAGGCAGACAGACAGACAGCGAGCACGAGCAACCCCCGTCTCTCCCTTCCCAATAGGTACCCGACTCACAACCCAAAATCCATGAGTCCCTCGCAAAGCAATTCCCAATCCCAATCCTCAAAACATCCAAACAAAAGATCCAAAGTAAAATCAAAAAAAGTGAAGTTCCAAAAAATAAAAGTTCTTCCTTTCCTTCTTACCTCATCCACCCACATCCACCCCATCCAACCAACCACAACCCACCCATCCCATCCCCAATCCTATCCAACTCCGTTCGTCCGAAACCACCCACTTCGGAGACATGGAAACTATCCCACAACAACGCACCCCCCCAGATCCCCCGGATTTTCATTTTTTAAAATAAGAAGCAGAACCTGATCTGCCAGATCCGATCTGCTATCCGTTCGGGAAGTCTAAAAAAGCTCGCCCCTCATTTCTAGTTCAGCCCACTTTGTACCTGAAGATCCGGGGTGCAGCTTGATGTATACCCCACCTGTGGGTACAACTTTATTGTGAGATTTACTTTTGTATACTGTTCTTGGTGGTGAGGGTGATGGTGATGATAGTGGCTATTATGCTTGTGCTGATGATGTTGCTGGCGCTGGTTCTTGCATTTGGTGACCGTAGCGGGCTATACAAATACTGAGATAGGATAGGGAAATTATCATGGTGTTGTGGCACGTGAAATCGCGTGAAATGGACTCTCTGTTTTTCTTTCTGCTTCTCGGTCATGCCAGTTACTTCCTACGAAAACTTATACTGCAAAAGAATCTAGGAAGAAAATGTATATGATAAATCGTCTCATCAATTCTATTATTAAAAGCGGACTATATCGATCGACAGCGCGTTGAGGACGTTCAAGCAGCAGAGCGCCCATCGCTCTTCCGTATCTCGAGTATTCGTCCAGCGGAAACCGTCCATACCGTGCCATGCCGTACGAGCTTAATAACATCGATCATAAACAGAAAAAAGCACAGATATCTTTAAAAGCATGAACTTTATGCAGATCCGAATTCCTTAATAGTGGTTTGCTTGCCGCTGAGCGCCAGCGGCACGATGCCACTGACGTGCATGTCAGGGCCGTACACGTGCATGTTGAGTCCCAGCTCCTCGCCGACGGCCTTGATGTTCTTCAGACCCTCCTGGTAGTTGGGACCGGCACGACGGACCCAGATCTGAGTCTTGTGCTCGTTGAGGACGGGGGCGACCTCGCGCAGAGCGCGGATGACACCCTTGAAGGTCGACGCGACGTTGGTGAAGTTGGCAATACCACCACCGATGAAGAGGACCTTGCCGTCTGGGTGCATAGGCGCACGCAGCATCAGGTCAAGGACAGTGCGAGCGTAGTTGAAAGTCTGGGTCTCGGTGGGAGCACCAGAGTACTCTCCGTAGTTGGCCAGTTCGCTGACGAAACCAGCAGAGGCGATGGCGTCGGCGTACACGACGGACGCACCACCACCGGCGACCAGGGTCCAGATACGACCGCTAGCGTTGAGAACGGTGAGCTTGAGGGAGGCACCGGTCTTCGCGTCCATGTCGGCGATAAACTTCTCCTCCTTGCTCAGCTCTCGGCCGAAAGGCGCGGGGAACTCCATTGGGGGACCGGCGTCGATGGTCACCTTGCCCTCATTCTTGGTGATCGCCAGACCCAGGGCTGCCGGGCTACGAGCGATGGCCCACTTGGTGCCGCACTCGAACTCAGCAGTCTGGTCCAGCTTGGCAGCCAGGTCGAGGAAGTGGACTTCCGCGGAGGTGGCATCCTCGTTGGGGATGACGACCAGAGGGTTGATCTCCAGGTATGTGAACTGGCAGTCGACGTAGACGGCGTAGAGGCGGGAGATGAAGTCAACAAGCACGTTGTGGACGCCCTTGGGGACATTCTTCAACAGCGTCGCAGCGATCTGCTCGTTGGAGGGGTAGTTCTTCAGGTTGACGGGGATGAGCAGCTTCTCAGCCTTTGCATCGACATCACCCACGTCAATACCACCCTCGTGCGTGAAGAGGACCCAATCACCCTACTTTTGTTAGTCGCATGACTTACAATTGGATTTTCTTTCTTTTTTCTTTCTTTCTTTCTTTTTTTTTTCGGATGAGTCATCGGTTGCTTACCTCTCGCACTGAGTTGATGTTGATGTAGTATTCCGTCTCCTGTGGGTGCGGCACAAATGGCTCGACCAGGAACTGGCGGAGAGCTCCCTTGACGGTCTCAACCTGGACGTCCTTGCCCGCGCGCGCCTCAATCCACTCCCGGGCTTCCTCCCAGGTCTTGTTCAGGGCCAGCAAACCGCTCTTACCCCGTCGCTTGATCAATTGATCTGGCTTTGCGACGAACTTGGCGCCCTTGGTGAGCAGCCACGGGTAAGTGGCCTCAGCCTGGTCCAGCACTCCCTTGACATCCGCATCTTCAGGGAAGTAGATGGATGCGAGCTTTGGGGGCGGATTGTGAGTAGCTGCCTGTGGCAGAGGCGTGGGCTTGATGACGGGGGCTCTTGTGAGGTGGTAGTTGAGGATGGCCTTACCATCGGCCTCCAGAATTGACTTTGCAGACATTGTGGAGGAGCGGTCGTGTACAGGTGCAGGGGAAAAGAGCTATTGGGGGGGGAGGGAAAACAAGACAGATAGATAGATAGATCGATAGAGGGGGAAGGAGGAAGGTCAGAACGGAAGTAAATAACTGTCCTGACAGAGAACAATTGGATGGTATGCTGACCAGGAGAAAAGAAAAAAGAAAGCAGGAGAGCGCACGGTGAGATAAAGCGGACGAGACGGAGCTGACTTGGAGTTTGCAGTCCCAACGCGTGTAAAAAAAAAATAAGCTGAGCTCCTGCCAGTGCCAGGAAGCAGAAGAAGAAGGGGGGGGGCAGAAAGATGGTGGGATTGTCACTTGGCGATGCGGATGGTCTGTTGAGCCGGTGGGTCATGCGGGTGTGCCCACCGGGGGGTCTGTGACTGGCGCTAATTTAGGGCGTTCGTTGGTTTGGCGGGGATCTGCCGGGTCTGGTCTCTGCTGGAGTGAGAGATGGGAATGCGATGACTGTGCGCCGCGCCCGTACGGAGAGGGAATGACTCCCAGGTCAATCATAATAATAATAATCATCATAATCATAATATCAACAATTATAATAATAATAATAATAAATAGACACAGTCAATGGCAGTTGACATAGAGTATATTGCGATGGCACGCGGGGGGTTTTCTGCTCTTGTTGTTTTTCGCCTGGGGATGTCACCCCCACCGGAGCTTTTTCGCGCGGAAAGAACCAGCTCTCTCTGCCAAAATTAATCAATAATGAATTACATTATTACCAGACGGGCGCATCGGTGAGCAATTGCCAGGCCCACGAATGCTCCCATCCATTGGGGACAAGCTAAACCCGCAGCGGCTGACGGTGGCTCGTCCTGAACACGCCGCCTTGCAGCGGTGGTTCCCCCCAAAGCTCGAGACCGCATCACTTCCATTTGTTGAGTCTCTCGGCCGTTTTCTGGCTGCCTGTAAAACCCGCTCCCAGTCAATCCCTCCGTCGTCTCTTTCCTCGACTCTCCCCTTTCTTCCTCTTCCTCTTCCTCTTCATCAATCAATAAGTCCGCGTCGCGGTCCTTCATATTTTGTCCATCCTCTCCTCCATCACCCCTCCCTCCCCACGAGCTCTTCGTTGTCTTACTACCAAAGCTCAAGGGCATCTCATATAATCTCAGTAGCCGGATCGTACGGATAGATAGGTGAGACTCTCTTGTGAGAACCACTGTGGGAACACCAAGCTAACATCGAGTCCAATTCTACAGAGAGCGACTGCCTTCACCATGCCGTCTGTTGCTCCTTTGGCCAGCACCGCCAATGGCGTGCAATCCGCCAACGACAACATCACTCGTTTCGACCCCCCCAGCCGCGTGCGGTCGCCCCTCGAACACACTCTTTTCCACAACAAGACGAGATGCTTCGTATAGTATGTTCCACGTCCCACAGACTCCGCGCAGACTCAATGGCGCAGAACTGACCCAATCCAGTGGCATGCAACCCAGAGCCGTGCAGGGCATGCTTGACTTTGACTTCATCTGCAAGCGCAGCACCCCCTCCGTGGCCGGTATCATCTACACCTTTGGTGGTCAGTTCGTGAGCAAGATGTAAGAGCTACCAATGCGCGTGATTTTGCGACTTGATGGGAACTAAACCGTCAATAGGTACTGGGGCACCAGCGAGACCCTCCTGCCCGTCTACCAGGACGTTGGCAAGGCCATGGCCAAGCACCCGGATGTCGACACCGTCGTCAACTTCGCCTCGTCGCGATCCGTCTACAGCTCCACCATGGAGCTGATGGAGTACCCCCAGATCAAGAGCATTGCCATCATCGCAGAGGGTGTCCCCGAGAGAGTGAGTCTGACCCGTCGACGCCGTCACTGAGCTTCAATGGCTAACAATCGCCCAGCGCGCACGTGAGATCATGGTGACGGCCAAGGAGAAGGGTATTACGATCATCGGACCTGCGACGGTCGGTGGTATCAAGCCCGGTGCCTTCAAGATCGGCAACACTGGTGGTATGATGGACAACATCGTCGCCTCTAAGCTGTACCGCAAAGGTTCCGTCGGATACGTCTCTAAGTCCGGTGGTATGTCGAACGAGCTGAACAACATCATCTCACAGAACACGGATGGTGTCTATGAGGGTATTGCGATTGGTGGTGACCGTTACCCCGGTACTACTTTCATTGACCACCTGCTGCGCTACCAGGCAGACCCGGAGTGTAAGATCCTGGTGCTCCTCGGTGAAGTGGGTGGTGTTGAAGAATACCGTGTGATTGAGGCTGTCAAGAACGGCACCATCACCAAACCAGTCGTCGCCTGGGCCATTGGTACTTGTGCCAGTATGTTCAAGACGGAGGTTCAGTTCGGTCACGCTGGTGCTTCTGCCAACTCTGACCTCGAGACGGCTGTGAGCAAGAACAAGCACATGCGGGAGGCTGGCATCCACGTCCCGGACACTTTCGAGGACCTGCCTCAGCTCCTCGCTGAGGTGTACCAGAACCTCGTTAAGAACGGTACTATCGTGCCTCGCCCTGAGCCTCAGGTGCCTAAGATCCCCATGGACTACTCGTGGGCCCAGGAGCTGGGTCTCATCCGTAAGCCTGCTGCTTTCATCTCCACCATCTCCGATGACCGTGGCCAGGAGCTGCTGTACGCTGGTATGCCCATCTCCGATGTCTTCAAGGAGGACATTGGAATTGGTGGTGTCATGTCTCTGCTGTGGTTCCGCCGTCGTCTGCCAGCCTACGCCAGCAAGTTCCTGGAGATGGTTCTCATGCTCACTGCCGACCACGGTCCTGCCGTGTCTGGCGCTATGAACACCATCATCACCACTCGAGCTGGAAAGGATCTCATCAGCGCTCTCGTCTCGGGTCTGCTCACCATCGGCTCCCGATTCGGTGGTGCCCTGGACGGTGCCGCTGAAGAGTTCACCAAGGCTTTCGACAAGGGCCTCAGCCCCCGTGACTTTGTCGACACCATGCGCAAGGAGAACAAGCTGAGTAAGTTGACTCTGTGACAAACTGCGTATCTCCACAGCGGCTAACTCTGATCTAGTCCCCGGTATCGGCCACAAGGTCAAGTCCCGTAACAACCCTGACCTGCGTGTCGAGCTGGTCAAGGAGTTCGTCCTGAAGCACTTCCCCAGCCACAAGCTGCTCGACTATGCCATTGCTGTCGAGACGGTCACTACTTCGAAGAAGGACAACCTGATCCTCAACGTCGACGGTTGTGTGGCTGTCTGCTTCGTCGACCTGATGCGCAACTGCGGTGCTTTCTCCGCTGAGGAGGCTGAGGACTATCTCCGCATGGGTGTCCTGAACGGTCTGTTCGTCCTTGGACGCAGCATCGGTCTCATTGCCCACTACCTCGACCAGAAGAGACTCCGCACTGGTCTGTACAGACACCCGTGGGACGACATCACCTACCTGCTGCCCACCATCCAGAAGGGTGCCCCTGGTGCGGAGGGCCGTGTCGAAGTTAGCGTCTAATCGCACCTGCAGTCGGCTCAGGAAGTTGATTGTGGGGTTAACGATGTCCTCGGAGGTCCATCAGCCGGTAGAGCATATTTCGTCTCCTCGGTAACGTCGGAGTTACTATGGTCGGAACGTTTCTTTTTCTTTCTTCTGCTGTTATATTCCCTATTAAAATCTGTAGTCCAGATATGTCATGGCTGGGCTGATGGAACTGACGAATCTACGCATGTGCCGAGGGTGTGGATGAAACATAATAATCTGGTATTGGGACAGGATGGTTAGGTAGCCGCCTAGAAGTAGAACAATTTCTTTCATTTGAACAATGAGTACCTCTATTATTATTAAAGCTGAGGTAGACCTATCGATGTAATCGCCCCCGATGACAACAGAACTACCACGATAGCTCAACTACAGGCCCAACACAGTATATTTCTACATGATTGGAGAAACGAACACGTCAGTACTAAACTGAAGCACTCTGACAATTAATATGAATAGAATAGGATAGAATAAGTACTTAAGCCGTAAAGCGATGCTGACCTCAACTTGGAAGCGATATGATTGGTCGAGAGACTAACTACGGGCAACATTGTGAACATTGCGCAAAAAAGGAAAAGGGCTTGGCCTATCAAACGCCCTTCAACCTCAACCGAAGCCGTGTTATTGTATGTCTTGATTACCTTTTTCGATTTTATTCCTGATCTCACGGGAGATTTCTGCAGAATATCCTAACTTCCAGAGTGTCTATTAGACAACTAGCGATTGATCCGGGAGGAAAAGAGAAAGGGATCAATTTTTCCCTTCCTACAAGAACGGATACCTACTCTTTCTGCATCTTTACAGAAAGAAGTTAAACGTCGAGATCAAAATCCCTCTTTTTCTCTTCTCTAATATTCATATCCCCTATCTCAGTCAGTTCTTGAAAGTCCGAAGAAGAAGAAGAAGAAAACATGGTCCGCATCAAACATCGCTACCTCCTCATCGACATCCTCTACCCAACTCCTAGCTCTGATATCCCATCAGCAGCAAATGCCAAGGCCAGCAAAGGAGGTAATCCAGACATCCAAGCGCATTTGCGAATCCATGCTCCCACGCCAGATACGTTGAGTCCGGGCCTTTTGGCCAAGATGGTTCGCGAGGAGGTCTCGGAGATGTTTGGTGATTGGGGGGTCGGTAGGTTAGGTGGTGCGGGGGCGGGGGGTGTTAGTGGTATGTATTTTTTTCAATTTATATTTCGATTTATTTTTTGTGGCTTTTGATGGCATTTTTTGCTTTGGGGTTCTCTGGTGTTGGGTTTGGTGTTTGGTGGTGTGCTGTTTTGCGGGTATTGCGTTGACTGGTGGGTTAATTGTTAAGAATCATGATATGAAGAGAGGGATGGATATGATACCCTTTTTTTTTTCTGCATTTGATGGTTTTTTTTTTTATTTTTATTTTAGATATGGTTTCACTTTTATTATTTTTCATTTTTCATATTGCAATTGACGCAGATGTCATCGTTACAGTCTACTCTGTGTGCATTTTTCCTTTCCCTTTCCAATGCAAAAGTTGATTGATCGTCTACATCCCCTTTCATTACATACATTTTCTTTCTTTCTTTCTTTTTTGTTTTTTTATATCCTCTCAAACCAAACCCAACCCCCCAAAACTAACCACCCTGCACAACCAACTAGTAAAATACCTCTCCCCCGCCACATCAACCGCCATAATCCGCTGTCCACGCGCCTCCTTCCGTCTCGTCTGGGCCGCGCTAACTTACCTCTCCTCTATCCCGGCGTCGAATCGTCGTTCGGGACCCGGCTCCGGTGCGCGGTCGTGCGTGTTTCGCGTCGTGAGAGTTTCGGGGACGATGCGGAAGGCGGAAGAAGAGGCGATTAGGCGCGCGAGGAGGGAGGTTGTGAGGATGAGGAAGGGGGAGGAGGATAGTGTTTTTGATTTTGGGAGGGGGGATGTGGATGGGGGGAATGTGGTGGGGAGTGAGGATGAAGAAGATGAAGAGGAGGAGGAGGATTTGGGTATGGGTATGGAGGATGAGAGTGATTGATTATTGATTATGAGGAGGGGGTTGTGGGGTGTTCTTTTTTTTTGGTCTCTGTGTTTGTTGTTGGTGTTGGGAGTTTGTGATTGTTCCTATGTATACATTGGAGATACCCGAAGATTTACTACTGTACATATATTCAAAAATGATGTTGAAATTTCCGTTTCATTGATTTTTCCGTATAACTTTTATCCCACTATCTGGCAGTGGTCCGGTGAATTCATCAAGGTCGTCAAGGTCGTCGTCCCCAGCGGCGCCTCTAACTGCTGCTCCGCGGGCTTTTGCTTCCTCTTCCAGCTCTTTTCGTTCCTTCTCGTCCCACTCGTCCTTCGCATCGAGCCATCTCTCCTGCACGTCTCTGATGTCCATCGTGCCCAGACCCTCCCGGACGGCGACTTGCCACACGGTATCGTTTGCGCCTTCAGCGGACCCGAAGACATATCCGCTCGCGCGATCAATCACATGTAGCAGACTCATCATGCTCTTCTTGTCCTCCACCGCCAGTGTTTCGAACGCAACAAGCCCGAACTCCTGTACGAGATCGATGATGGCATTATTCAACGCCCCGAATTTGTCATGGGATAACCGCGATGTCTCCTCTTCCAAGTGAGGAATCAGATACGTCAGATCTTGGACTTCTGTATAGAAATCGAGGTTGAAAGGTAGAGGTGCGTAGTTGGAGAGGTTATCGATCTTGGTGAGGACGTTGAGATGCGGTAGGTCCATCTGCAGCATGGCTCGGAGAGATAGAATGAGGGCGGATATATACATCGACGGAAGCGTAAGGTTATATGAATCTATTAAGTGTATTACAACTAGCTATATCATCAAAAGTCAGTAAATATTCTTTCAACTCGGACTGTTTGGGGAAGGGTGGCGCATGCTAACTCTGTATCCCATTTTCTGGATCTGGAAGATGATATTTCGTAGCGATGAGTGATGTGTAAAGAGCTCCACCTGGCCGGGACAGTCGAAAAGGACGTAATCATCTATACAGTGCCGTTCCCATTAGCATCCATCGAGTAAATCCTATAACCTTTTTTTCTGGTATATAACTTACCTCCGAGCTCTTTTAACCCCTCCTTCAACCAGTCGACGTTCTCTTCGAGCTCCTCCAGCGCATAGAGGATCCCGCCGTTAGGACCAAGCGTATCTTCCGCCATGATCTCTTCCAGCGTCACAAGGTCCCGAACATCCAGCGCGCATGGATATGAAGTCTGGTCGTTGGCGGGGTCTAAATTTACAACGGAGCATTTCCGCCCGATTGCGGACATAAACTGGTGCATTCCATTGCAATATGTAGACTTCCCCGCACCCGGGGGCCCGATGACGATCTGTGCAAAAGGCATCGTAGGGTGTATACCACCGGCCGGCGGTGTAAATTGGATAAGTGGCTAGGGATGAGTTGAAACTCCGGACTTAGTAGAGATACGCTTCTGGAACGATGGAGGGGAGGAGGCGATGATGCAAAGCGGTGTGGACCGGCAGAAAATGGTCGCGCAGGGCAAGGCTGCGCCGAAGCTTCGCTGGGCGGTCGAACCAACAACAGTTGAGCAATAAGAAGGCCCAGACCAAGCTACAGCAGGTTGTTTTCTTTGCTGTTTGGCTGCTGGTGCATCGTGAATATGGCATCTAGTCAGTCGTCTCCGAAGAAGGTTAAGGAGAATTTCCCTGCTAACGTCAAGATAGATCAGTTTGTCGTGACCTCCCCGCCTACAGATGCGATATCCGCGCTGCAGTTCTCCCCCGAACCGGAGTCTACCAGAATCGCGGTGTCCTCGTGGGATAAGAATGTGTATCTGTACGAATTGCGCGACGAGAATGGGAATGTAGGAGAGGGGAAGCTTTTGCAGAAATTCGAGCATCGGGCGCCGGTCCTTGACGTGTGTTTCGGCGCGGACGAGAACGAGATCTATACTGCGGGGTTGGATTGGGATGTGAGGAGGTGAGTTGCTTGATAAATATGGGTAGCTGAATTATCTCTGGATGGTGCTGATGGCGACAGGATCAATGTCTCCACGTCAGAACAGACGGTCCTCAGCAGCCACGAAGCGGGCGTCAAGTCCGTCGTCTACAGCAAAGAGCACCACCTGCTAATATCAGCCTCCTGGGACTCGACGCTGCATGTCCACCGCACAAATGCCGATTCAGAACCAGCTACCATTCCTCTCCCCTCGAAGCCCTTCTCCCTCTCCCTCACACCTACGAAGCTTGTTGTCGCCATGGCCTCGCGAGCTCTGCACATCTACGATCTCAAATCGCTTGCTCTTCTTTCCGACGAGTCTGACCAGCAGCCTCCAAACAATGTGGAAATTGAACCGTGGCAGAGGAGAGAGAGCAGTCTTAAGTTTATGACACGTGCTGTGGCCTGCATGCCCAACGACGCGGGTTATGCTTCCTCCAGCATCGAGGGCCGAGTAGCTGTCGAGTGGTTCGACCCTTCGCCAGAATCGCAGGCGCGGAAATATGCATTCAAGTGCCATCGACAGGCGCAGGACGATGTTGATGTGGTATATCCAGTGAACGCGCTTGCCTTCCACCCCATCCACGGTACTTTCGCATCCGGCGGAGGAGACGGCGTTGTTGCATTGTGGGACGGTATCGCCAAGAGGAGAATTAGACAGTATCAGAAATACCCAGCCAGCATTGCTGCTTTGTCGTTCAGTTCGAACGGCAAGTACTTGGCTATTGCTGTCAGTCCCGGCTTTGAGGATGGAAAGGAGGACATGTCTGAAGGCGTTGTCAAGATCTTTGTCCGCGAACTCGGAGAGACGGAGGCCAAGGGCAAGGGCGCAAAATGAAAAAAATGGCAGCTTTATATAATAACTACTGTTCTATTCCTCGATCCATGTTGATTTAGTTGGCGAATTGGTGATAGGTCCTGCGTCTGTGATGAATGCCAGATGCAAAAAGAGCTTTATCATGTATGATAAGAAAGAAAGCAAAAAAACCATTCTCACTGGTCTAATAGGTATAACTCCATTTACTCGTGACACATGTTAGGCTCTCCATCTTAAGCGGCTGCTTTCCGCACCGTCACCGTCCCGTCTGGCATACCGAAGTAGGCCGCCACGGGCTTCTGGCCGCCAACACCACCCAAGGCCTGCGCTTGCGGACCAGTCATACCGCTGAAGAGGCCTACTTCCAGAACACCGGGAATCTCCTTGATCGTCTTCGCTAGTCTGTGGACTTCCCAGACGCCATTGACGCCGTTGCCGTTCTTACCAGCGGCGACGTCGGATGCTGTGAGCAGAGGCGGGAATGGCGCATCAATGATGAAAAAGTCCTGGTCCGTCTTCAGAGGGCCTTCCTTGGGGATACCGCGCAGGCGGATGACAGGCTTGATACTTCCAATCTTCTTCAGCTCCCTGAGCACTCTGTAGGCGGCAATCGGAGCGACCTCGATGGGGATGAACTTCCAATTGCTGAGAAGGCGGCTTTGCAGCTTTCGCGAGTCTATTCACCGAGTCAACATTGGTTTTCCTATTTGTAATTCACGGGTCTTGTCTAGATGATGCGCACCGGCGACGCAAATGAACTCCTTGGCCTGCAATGCCACGATCTTCTCCTGGAACAGACAAGCACCACCACCCTTGATGCAGTTTAGCTCCTCGTCCACCTCATCCGCGCCATCGAAGGCTACGTCCAGGACCGTTCCTTCTGGGAGACTGTCGAAGGTGATGGGGGTCAATCCAGCAGAGATAATGAGCTGCTTGGACTGGTAACCTGTGGGAACAAAGAACGTATTCGAGGTATCGAAGCCCAGTTCCTTGATGGCCTCGACGACATAAACGATCGTGGTACCACTGCCAATACCAACGTATTTCGCAACCTTGGGGTAGTGGTTCTGAACCGCAGTCCTAGCGGCGGCGCGCTTCGAAGCCTCGATGGCGTCAATAACGGTTGCAGACATGGTGGACTGATCTCTGACCAGATCACTGCGACGATAGTGACTGGGAGTAGAAAGGCAGATCGCCGGTCGAGGACGCGATATCGTAGCGGAAAACCGGAGAAACGCACGTCGACTGGCCCTGCAGAGATAAATGCAACGGGGAGAGATTAATAACTATCACTCCCAAACGCCTCTAGCTCGTTCCTTCGGTTAAAATCAGGCAGAGGGCAGCGCTCTGTGGGGAATTGACGGGAACCAGGGGATTGAGCATCAACTCACGAGGCGAGAAAGTTAGACGCTATATATGCCATGACGGGGCTTACGATCTATAAGTGTACTGTACAACCCCGCACAGGCGGTTCAGTCTTCCCAGACAAGGGTAGAGAGCAATTGGAAAGTTGCGCAGTCCTACACTGGTGCTCTCTCTTCCGTCGCGATAAATTTTGTTGGGTTCCTAATTACTTGACTTCTGGTGTCTTCAACTTCCTTTTGTCCTTTTCCTTTTTTTTTTTACTTGCGGGAGACTCCGTGGCGTCATAGGCCAACCCCTCCTGGTTCATCGGGCCGACTGCTGCTCCGACCACGCGTTGAAGCTCCTCTGAAGCATCAACTAAGACTAAGACTAAGCACCTCACCATCATTTCTCTATTGGCGGGACATCGTCCTTCGCAGGGGACGTGATTCGAGAGGGATAACGTCGACCAGTCTGGTCTTGGCCGGTAGTTATCCTCTTTGGATCTCTTGACTTTGTCTTCCAGTGCTATCTATCAACAAGCCCCTCTATGACGGACGCCTTCCCGGGCGCCCTCGTGGGGCCCTCTTCGAAGGAGAGGAAGTATGACAGACAGCTCCGTCTATGGGCTGCCAGTGGCCAGCAGGCGTTGGAAGAGTCTCGTGTGCTGCTGGTCAACTCGGATGGTCCCATTGATGGCATGGACACTCCTGTTTCTGGAGTAGTCGGCGTGGAAACACTCAAGAACCTCGTGCTGCCTGGCATCGGAGGTTTCACGGTCGTCGATCCTGCAACCGTAACGGAGACAGATCTAGGAGTGAACTTCTTCCTGGAGGAGGGCAGCTTGGACAAGTCCAGAGCGGAAGAGACGTGCCGGCTGTTGAAGGAGCTGAATCCTGACGTGGATGGAAGTTTCTACCAAGAGGTAAGTGAAAAGGTCATCTATATGTTATTATCTATGACAGGCTGACAGCCGGAAGCACATAGCAGAACTTCTTCAGCGTCCCGGCTTCCTGCAGGAATACAAGCTAGTCATCATATCGGGTCCCATCAAGCGTTCTTCCTTAGATGCTGTGTGCAATGAAGCTCGCTCCCTTGGCATTCCCGTCATCTACACACGCTCTGTTGGCTTCTATTCCACTTTCTCCGTTCAACTCCCTGCCGAATTTCCAATTGTTGAGACACACCCTGATCCCGAGTCAACGCAGGACCTTCGCCTGGTGAATCCATGGCCGGAGCTCGCCGCTGCTGGTGCTCGGGTGACCGACCTTGACAAGATGGATGACCACCAGCATGGTCACGTCCCTTACATTCTATTGTTGTTACATTACCTCGCGAAGTGGAAGGAGAGCCATGATGGCAAGGCCCCAGCGAATTACAAGGAGAAGACAGAGTTCAGGGAGATGGTTCGATCCGGTACCCGCACCAATAACCCAGAGGGCGGAGAGGAGAACTTTGATGAGGCGGTTGGTGCTGTGCTAAAGAGTATAAGTCCTTACGAACTGCGGAGCTCCATACGCGAGATCTTCGAGATGGACCAATGTGCAAAGCTCACGAAGGACTCGGATAACTTCTGGATCATTGCATCTGCGATCAGCGCGTTCTACAAGAAACACGGAGTCCTCCCCCTGCCCGGTTCCCTCCCAGACATGAAAGCTCAATCTGCGGACTATATCGCCCTTCAGAATATCTACAAGACTAAGGCCCGCAAAGACGTTGAGGAAGTCCTGGCGACTGTCCGTGCTACCGAGGCTAAGCTGGGCGAGCGAACGACCCCGGTCACGGAGAAAGAAGTAGAGATCTTTTGCAAGAATGCAGCACATATCAAGGTCATCCATGGCCGCAATATCCCACGGATTGGCAAGGAAGCCACCGAAACTATCAAGACGATCAAGAATAACCTAGCATTCCCTGAGACATTGGTGCCCATCTTCGTTGCCTTCCAGGCTCTGGATGAGATCGTTGACGAGATCCAAGACAACGGTAAAGCCACTGTCTCTCTGGATGATGATGCTGCGTGGGACGCTAAAATCGATCGCCTTCTGGGGATCATTGGCGTTGATGAATCGGAAACCGAAGACTTGCGTGAGCGTGTTGCGAAGGCTTCAGTAGAGCTCCGCCGCGCAGATGGGGGTGAATTGCATAACATCTCCGCTCTGACCGGTGGTCTTGTCGCCCAGGAGTCGCTCAAGGTTATCACCAGGCAGTATGTACCGCTGGATAACACCTGTATCTTTGACGGCGTGACAAGTCGCAGTGAGATGTTGCGGTTGTAACCATGACACCGTATTTACTTAGCATAGCTTATTGTAAGCTGTTACGACATGTAATCTGGCTACATCGTCCTCTAAATGGAGATGTCGCTTCTTAACGAATGGATGAATGAAATGAGATCTGAAGATGGACACTCCACATTCTAGCCACTCTCGATCAATGTGCTATCTGCTGCCTCGATAGTATAGCCTTCTTCCTCGCAGTACCGTAAAACACGATAACATGGCCCTCTCCGACCGGTAACACTTCCATAAAATTCAACTTTCGGATCTTCTCAGGCCATCTAGATGCTCATGAAACTCTTACTTGTTCCAGTGTTAGATACCTCATACTCCTGTACGATAGAGGGGGCTGAGTCAGCCGTATCAGGAAGCCCCGGGATTGATAGGAGAGAGGCTTGGCAGTCGTGACGGGGGCTTGATGGATTCACGCCTGTCTGAGCGTTGATCACCTTGTCTACTTCAACTATCGACAACCTCCGCGCCGGATCCGATTCCGTTGCTGCCTCTGGTTTCTGGCATATCGTGGCATGTACGGAATGCCACCTCTCAACGGCGTCCCGTCGTGACTGCTTCCCTACATCTCTCCAGCCCGCTGTTCATGGACGGAGCTCTCGAAGCTATATCGGCCAATCCTTGGGGCGAATATCTCTATCCCCTGTCAGTACCACCTCTCGCTCTAGCTACTGGGAAGGATAGAGACGCATTATGACCGCCGTCATGCCGGACATGCAAACGGCCGGGATAATGTCCAGTACCCCCGCTGTCGCGACTTCATCCGTCATCGCTCAGCTCAACGCCTCAGCAAATGCAACAGTTCCTTCCTCCTTCCTGTCGATTTCTCCTCGGGACTTACTGAAGCTCCCACTCCGTGCTATCTATCAGGCGGAGGTATTCACATTTGTGACGGTGCCAAGGGAGGTTGGCCGGTTCATCGGCCTGGATAACATGGCTGCGAACTTGTGGGATAGCCCAGTGCCGATGGGCGGGGAGAGGAATGCCATTCCACCGGCGGCTGCAGCAACTGCAGCGGCCGCGGTAGGAGACGCAGCTGAGGCGGGTGCCCGTGATGCTGGGCTGAACCTGACGGAACTGTTTCATGCGATGAGAAGGTTCAGTGGGTTCTTTAGTTATATGACAAGTCGATGGTCTTTGGCTTGCTTCACTGTGGTGTGTAAACCCGTCTGAATTACCGCCAGTATTTGAGAATGGGCGGACACCCTGGGTTGTTCAGATTGCTTACGATGTTAGGCTTTGGTTCTCAACCGAGTTACGATATATGCATCGACTAGGAGGCACCTCTCCTTGAGATGGGATAAGCGATTAGCGTTGCGGTTAATACCTATCCTTCTCTTCATAAGTCAGATCACGGTTCTTCTTCGAGCCATTCGCTGCCAGACTTCGCCGGACTACTCTGATCTCCGATATGGCAAGCCGGGGAAACGATTGGCATTGGACTATGCCGGAAATGGTGGCTTTCTCTATAATTTGAGCACGACACTGTTGTTCTGGGAAACAGATCAGCAGTCTTGCAGTGCAGTTAACATGGGACGACCTACGAGTGACTCGGATATTCCATATGGATCATTCGCCCTTCTGTGGCCGGTATTTCTACGCTTATGCTTGAGTCATTTCGTCGAAACGCTGTCTTGCGCATTGCAGGGCAGGACGGTCGTGACTGAAGCCGGGATGTCCATATTCGAGCACTCTCTTGCTTTTGCTGAAGCTGAAACTATGATAAGCCAGTCCATCGGGCTCGGCTTGTTTGGTCTACCGAAATCGAGTGCAAAAGATGAAACCCCTTTGACGCCTGACGGGTCTTCTTCTTCTGTGCATCTCCTGACGAGAGCCCAAGTTCTCGAGCGGATGAATGTGACGCCAGAACTACTTCTCATTGCGCTCATTTCCTGCTGCAACAGCATGACTTCTAATATTCTAGATATCTTTGGGAAACAGAGCCGTTATCGTCTCGTCAATACCACAATCTGGGGCCTCTGTTTTATGGGAGCCATGGTCTGGGGCTTCATGGATTCGACTTCGTTGGGCAGTGAAACTGGTGTTCTCAAATTCCCCACCGTCTGCATCGTTGGGTTCGTGCCTCATTTGCTGATTCTAATGGGTATTTTGATCTGTATCGGCATTTACGGACTAGCAGTGACAATCACCGCCTTCTGTCTACCCGCGGATCTTTCCCAGCCATCATCACTTCGTGAGAGATTTGCTCTCGCTCATGAGAATATGCAGGGAGGGAACCAGATTTGGAACGTTCGACTTAATAGACATGAAGATTTCTACACAACGCTTCTCAGAGTTGGATATGCCGCTTTGACCGCTGCCAGCGAAGCAGTATTCTTAAACGAAGGAAAGAGTGTGCTCGCACGACCCATGACATGGTTAGAAGAAGACAGGCTCGCCGAACTCGAGACCTCAAGGCGGAGACCGTCTCGTCTGGGTGTCAGAGCCGAGACTCGTGAGGTTCCTTTTGAATCTGCAGAAACCTTCGAGTTCAAACTTCCAGAAGCCCCGGCACAATGGGAAACTGGATATGGACGCGAAAAGAAAATAGAGAAGCAAGCAAACGGATCTCGGCCCGTACGCTCTCAATCGAGTCTGGGTGGAGTAGGTGCTTTTCAAGGTGTCACCAGAGGCTATCACGTACTGTCTTTCTTCAGAAGTATATTTTACCTTGTCGTGAGGTGGGTTACATATGGCTTTAGCAAGCTATTGGATCGTATAGGGATTAGTGCTCGCCCACAATGGCTCAAAAAACTGATCGGTACCCCCCGGAAAAGCACGCATCTACGACGTACAGATCAACAGGCCTCGCTTGATTTCTGGATCTTGACCGATGAGGGAGAACTGGAGTTGCCTGAGGACAACGAGTTTGACGTGGAAAAAGAGATGAGGAAGAGGGAAATCATGAGTAGGAACCAGTGGGACGACTCAGACGAAACAAGGCTCGAAAACAAGCTCTACAACTGGTGGAAAGCTGGTGGATCATGGGGAAACCAGGACCAGAGTCCTGATTATGCGCCTACGGACGATGATCTAGATGATACAACGAGTGTGATCTCCACAACTACCACAGACTCCGAATGGGAAGACTACGAGTCCGACGGTCGCCGTACGCCCACACAGAGGAACCCTTTCCCTAATACCTTCTCTCGCGAAGGAACCCCGGTAAAGGAGACTCTCCTGGACACCGCATCTCTTGCCCGGTTGCTTGACCCTAGAGATAGGGAAAGCAAAGAAGAGGCTCGAATCCTAGCAGCTCATCTAGCCGGAGGAGAACAAGGTGGCATAATGACCCGTAGTCGCTTCCAACGACAGCTGGAGCGAGAACGAACCCGTGTCCTTCTGTCGTCGCGATATCGCAGCGAACTAAGTGGCCAATCAGGCGGCGAGGGGAAGAAGCGACCAACTCCTGAAGAGGAGGTCGAGATCCTCGAGAACCTCATCCTATCCCGGCGGCAAAATACTTCCAATGCAGGTTCTGAGCAAGCTTCCTGGGAAAACGGCGCTTCCGGTCTTGGCCCTGATGGGCCACAATGTGTCATCTGTCAGACGAACCCAAGATCCATCATTACGTGGCCATGTCGATGCCTATGTGTCTGCGAGGAGTGTCGAGTCAGTCTTGCCATGAACAACTTTGGTAGCTGCGTCACATGTCGTCAGGAAGTCACTGGTTTTGTCCGACTATGGGTGCCTTGATTTCCGTACTTCGGACAGAAAATGAATCCCCCAGCATCCACATCCTACCGGTTATACTTCCATCAGGAGATAATCTCCCATCTTCATCCTTCATAGGCGTCTCCCATGTGTGCATTGTTTCATCATCAAAGCGATTGGCGGGACAAGTTGTTGTCCATAGGTATACGATACAGAGCAGTCAGACAGGTCCTGCTGCTACCTACTTGTGTTCTCTGTCACTTCAATTCTTGTGTTAAATAGGTCGTATCAAACTCTTGTATGGGTATATTTAGTTCCATTTCACCTTTTTGATGAACATATAAAACGCTCGACTTCTTCTTTAGTAGTAGCCTTTTAATGGTAAAAATGACCTTTTTATCAGATGCGGGGGCAATGTATTATTATTATATTGTGTTTCCCTTGAAACATCGCTTTTTGCGGCAGTAGGATATACACGCATAAGCGCCCAGAGTGAATTTAACTAAAATGATTTGCGTGAGCTGTGTATACAGTATTGCAACAAGGCCAGTACGAAATTATCTCTTCTCCAGGTGAGCACCAGAGACTTTGTAGTATATATGGACATTATCACTATTTAATACCGTTCGGCAGTATGCAGTCTGAGAATACTACATGATCGTGCTGTTATATAGCGTGGACCTCAGACTCGGAGTGGCCTGAGTAGGTTGGCCTGGCGCCCGCCCAGTGAATGTATGTGTCGACGACGATGGGAGGCGAGTTCTGTGCTGAGGTGTTGCAGGCGGTATATTCGCTACTTCAGTCAGCTCAGAATAATAGTATATCGTATACTTACAATTTCGGGGGCCCCCAGGGCGTATCTGTGGAGGAGGCATCATAGAGGATTCATCCCTTCTGTTAGCGCCCCTAGAGCTCCCGCTACCACTGCGCTGATATCGGTGTAGTTGCTCGACTCCCTCTTGATCTACGGGATACTGATTATGAGGTGGCCGGGATGGAGCTGTCTGAGGAATCTGTGACACCAGTCTACTATGGGAAGCCGTCGTGAGTGGTTCGTTTCGAGCCCCAGGAAGTGAATTTAATGTATTCGAGACCGTGTCAGAGGCAGCTGTCTGCATCTGCGATCTCATGGCCCGGCTCTTGAGTAGGTTGTAGAGATTCGTCATTTGAGCATGCTTTTTGCATTTCTCGCGATACATTTCCACGAGTTCTTGGTTCTTCTTATGCAGTTGCTGCTGGTTGAGTTCCATCTCTAGATCCATATCAGACACTGTAAGTGAGTGAGTGATCTTTATTCCATCTCGCATCACATACCAGAGGCGGTTTTGAAGGTTCGATATTTCCATATTTGCGTTGTGGATGATTTTATCCATTTCCGTGCTCAAACTCGCGTATTTCTCCGTCAGACCCTTCCCCAGATACTCTTGGTAGAAGCTTTATATATGATAATAATCAGCAGCGACCCATGAATTAAGCAGTGGATTGTTCGTTCCACGCACATTTCTTGCGTTGTCTGATACGTCCAAAACATTAAAGCACGTGCAGCACAATCCATTATTGTATTCGGATCCAAACCGCTGAGAACGCTCGTTTTGTAATCTTCAGTAGGATTCAAGACGGTCGAGACAGCATCGTCTGGATTGGAGAGGATCGCTTGACATGCAGGGCAACGTCGTTCTCTAGGGCCGGGTACGGAAAGGCCTAGACGATCTGCACATTGAAGACAGAAGATATGCCTGTAGATATTGTTATTGTCAGCTTTAGCTAATTGGATGGGTTTTGAGGGGAGAGGAGCAGACGAGCAGGTTGTGACCACGGCCCTTTCGTTCAACTGGGCACGACACTTGAGGGAGTTGCAACGAAGATAGAAATCTAGTGCCTGCGCCATGGAAAGTGTCTAGCCCAAGAGAGAAAATGAAGAAGAAAAGTGAGTCAGATATGAAATTCTCTCGCTGGGGAACGGTGTATTTTGGTCCAAGTGAAAACAGCCGCGGAGGGTGTACGGCCAGCTTCCTTCCTGAATGGGAAGTAGAACTGTCAACTTTTATGTACCGAGACGGAGAAGCAGAAAAGCACTATGCAATTTGCTGCACTATGCAATTGGTAGAGGGGTGAAAATATGAGTATGTGACAATATGTGGTGGAAGAAATCTGGGGACATTGAATATTAGTTTGTCCAAGCTACATTCGAGCAGTGGCCCTGCGACTGCCTAGAATCAGATATCATGATCGTATCAATGTTGCTTGCATCAATGTTGCTTGCAGATTAGTGCTGAAAATATCATTAAATTTTGTTGATCCACGATGGGAAATTTCTATGATGCAAGATCTTTCATTCAAAAAAGCCCCAACCCATGATGAACCTGAACGCCGAAAGCTTGTGATAGACTAGAAGAAAAACACATTTCCTTGAGCATCACGCTTGTTCGTGCTCATTTTTTCCTCGAATTCATGCCCTGGTTCATACTCCTGCCACAAACTTGCTGGGAAGATATGCTTGTTCTTCTCGTACCATCTTCTGTCAACTACTTTAGTCAACGTCGGATCGTGGTCCCCTCCTTCCAGTTGTTCATCGCCTGGGCGTGAAAGAGGGTTATCGTCATCTTTCTTCGGCGGAGGTTTATTCGAATAATCAAACAGCAGACCACCCGTTTTGGAAAAACTGGGTACCTTATTAGCGATAAAATAGTAAAACTCGTAATGCTGGGACGGAGTTAAGTCAGTACGTTGGGCTCATCTGATCCTGCGGGAGAAAGGTAACTGACATGCGGTACTATGACTTCTCCCTTGACCAGCATGAGGTCATCTACACCGACTCTGGCCCATTCTCTTCGGTTATCTTTGCGGCTCTTGAGTGAGCTAACCGTTCCCCCTACACCCAGTTCCGCGCCGACCTTCCGGCATCGATCAAGGAAGAGCCATACAGGGTCTCCCTTTTTCACCTTGACAGTACCTGCCGGGATATTCGTTCCATCATAGAATATGAACGGTATCAATATCTCCGTGTTCTTTATTTCCTCTTGCATCGCTAAGAATTCTTTGCGGAGTGCTTCACGGGCCTGGGCCTCTGCTTCAGCAGCAGCCTTCGTCAAGGCCTTGGGAGGTGGGGGAGCATTTGGATTCGGCGCAATTCGTCGAGACAGCGGTTTGTCCTCAGCTGGCGTTTGGGATGCGGACCGGGATCGATCTGTCTCGCGCGGAGTAGCAGCGGAATCATCCCCAGTCTGTTGCTCCGTTTCTTCGTCATCATCACCGAAGGAAAGTTTGCTCTTTGCAAGAGCCTTCTTTTTCTTCTTCTTTGGAGGCCCTTCGCTTCGCGATGTTGAAGCTCTGTATCTGCTGCATTAGCTCGAGATTGAGATGGACGTAGCGAAACCTTGACTCACCCGTCAGTCACATCACCCGTAGAGGGGGTAATACTTCGTGAGTTACCAGATGTAAATCGCCCGAGAGATTTGTCATGTGCTTCTCGTTCTTTCTGCTCCAATACTTCGGCACGGCGTTTGCGGAACTCAGAGAGGTCAACCAGACCAACGGTTTGGGACTTCAGAAGGTCCTCCGTAGACGCAGTCTGGTTTGTGAAGGACCTGGGGGTCGAGGTCCGACTCTGTGGCTCTGAGGGAGGAGGCATTGCGGTTGATGAAGGAGACTTCCTTCTGCAATTTTGTATAGCAGAAGGCACGCCAATACAATAACGCCTTCGAGATCAAGCTGGTGATGATCTTGACGTAGTTCTGGGGCTGCAAGGCGACAACTTTTTCTGCCTGAGGCAAAGAGCAACTGCTCGTTTGATGACTAAGCTAAGTTTTGCCTGAGGCCGCAAAATGCAAGAACGAGTATATCAATTAAAGGAATCATATTATCCATTCTTAGAATCAGATACTGGTATGCATGAATGGTCGATTCTTTATCTTTGGCTTCTTGTTCTTTAATCACCGAAAGCGGCCTTGTAGAAAATATCAGAAAGAAGCGAAATACAGGTGTTGGAACCAATTCATAATGGACCTAGATTGTCTGAATAACATCATTCCCCATGATTCATGAATCCGTAGTCCACGAGTCGATGTCTCTACTTCACTTTTTCACTTTTTGCGCTATCTCAGGATTCGCCAACATTTCTCGATTCCATCGTGGATCATCACTCTCCTTTACAGGTGCCCAACCGAGCTGGATCTACTATGCATCAGCCATTCCTCTCTACATATTCTCTGCGCTTCAAAATACCATACCTGCATCACCTTCTGATCCCAATCCTTCGTAAAGCTCTTGATCTTCCCGTTTTCCACTTCGAAAATCGCCGCAGCACTCCACTTTGCCTTCTTGGGCGGATCTGATTTCTCAATGCCTTTATATGGCTTCCCGCAATGCGAGCCTTCAGCGCTATAACGGAGTAAGACATGATTATTCTTGGCCCAAGCCTGATCATATCTGATTATATGCAAGTCGCTGACGGATTGCATCACATGGGCATGAGACTCGGCATAGTCCATTGGCGTCGAACATCCTGGGAAAGTGGAAGGGCTCCAGAACCAGCTATCAGGAGCGCAAAGATGTCGAACCGATTCTGCTCCTTTATTCTCCTTTGGCGAGTATGCGATGGACATGTAATCCTTGACTATAGTCATGTTGCGCTGTGCAGGGAGACATAATTTACGGCATTAGTCATTTCGCTGTAGATGTGGGGTCATCTGTCTTGTGTTGTTTTGATCAAGGAATAATGTGTATGAAGCCACGCACCTCTTCTTCAGGGGTCTGGTCCGTCGAGATGACGGTTGGGGGATAGTTCTTGGAAGACATTGTATTGATGGATAGATATTGGATAGATATTTGAATCAATGGCTTTCAATTTTTGTGGTCAAACTGATATTGCATAGAGGAAATGAAATGAAATATTCCTTCATTGTCCGTTTATGGGATAAAAACATCATTAAACATCTTCCTAGAATGTAATCATGACGATTATCCAATCGCATGAGCTTTACTGTGTTACCTTGCCATGATGACATCATTTAAGTGACTGCTTCTAAAGATCAGAGCATCAACGGACAAGAAACGTAGCTTACGAAGCACACGGTCACAATAATGCGGGCTTTCGTCGTGCATATGTTTTCAGAGTTGTGATTCACGCACGTCTTAACCAGAAGTCCTGGTCGATTAGTCTATGTACCATATGGTTTAGAGACTGGGCGGTATCTATCCATCATTTAGGATACACATCGTCTGAAGGCGAGTCTGCGTCAAACTGGTCAGTGCGACACCTTGAACAATAACCTTCTAAAGATGTAAGATTGACATGTTCCATACATATACTCCTCTATGATACCACTCTTGCTACACAAGACGAAGTGCTACAGACCGTTAATCAACAATATCTTGGCTTAAATCATACATATTTTCGGGAAGTTTCCTTTCAGTGGATATGGTTACGGGAATGACATACTTCCGGTCCAAACTTCAATGTATTGTCTCGAGAAAACGTGGTAAACAAAGAATGCCATTATGATGCTAGTCCAGGCCCGCAAATCGTACAGTATATTCTGATATATTCAATTTATCTCATGCACTTTGGACGGAGAGGCTTACTGCAATCCGGGCATAATGTATGCCAGATCCAGGCAGACCAAGTAGGAGGAATCTCCTTTCCCAATAATGTATACGAAAAACAGTTACTGTCAGCGACATCAACATCGCCACTGCTTGGTGCGGCCATCGATGAAATCCTGTCGCTTATGATGTCCTTCAAATTCAATGATCATATCCGATAATGATCTTCTCGGGCCAGAAGAGTATATGAGAGGTCAACGGCTGGTATAAACGACGTTATTATTGTGAAGATCTGGACCTGCTGCGCCAGGTTATCCTTCCACTCTTAAGTACAGAGTAGTTAGCGTATCTCAGCTATTGCGTTTACTGCGGCAGGAAACCCAAAGCGATGGCTAGGCGCTCATGGGCCTGCTAGAGTCGAACGGCATTGATCGTATTGCGCACATCCTCATAGGCCACTATTCCCCGCCCTCGGGCAAAACTGGGGCGTTTTGGCGAATTTGGGCCCCGAGAGGCGATACCGAGGGGTCGCATGTCCACTGCTGAAATACTGTACATACTTACTACATATCCTAACTGCACGTCAACAACAATGGACAAGCGACGTACACTCATTGTTATGTTGATGTACAGTACCTAGAATCATCGAGCACCACTTGCAGGCCAACAATAGTTATGCTGCGTATCCTTCTCGTCCCTTTATTCTCTGCAGGATCTATCGCACGTGGCTGAAGCATGGAGTTGCTTCACCAGGCTCTAGCATCGGCCTGGAGTCTCCACTTTCCGATATCGCGATATTTGCCGTTATCGCGCAATCTCACCAGGATGAGGAACGCCATTGGACAAAACTATCAGGACAATGTCTGCCGCAATCATCGTGGTCGTCTTGTATAAATCTGCGCGATCGCAGATGGCTCGATTAGAAGAGAGTAACCCTGCGTCGGATTAGGACTGCACGATGTCTGAACCCGCCTATTTGGAGAAGAAGGGGGAGCCCGGTCACGTCAATGCCCTCGATTTGGAGGATACAAGTTCAGTAGATGCTTTTACTGAACTGGTTGCTGAAGGTGAGTGTTCGATTTGTCTCAACATTTTGACTCTGCAGCAGGGCGCTGACACGCATCGTGTTATCTAGACCACCAGCATGAAATCAAGCTCCGGACTATGACATGGCAGAAGGCGGCATGGTTGCTCGCTGGAGACCAGGTCTGCCTGGCCATCATGGCTCAGTCATGGTCGCTCTCGTAAGTTCTGCCTTCGGAGAGATACGACATTTGCAGTACTAACAATCGCACCTGTGCAGCGTTTTGGGATGGGTCCCAGGAATTATCACCATGGTTGTTTCTGCTGCCTTCTTTTGGATTACCTCGATTACCATGCACAAGTTCATTATGAAGCATCCATACATTAAGGATATCTGTAAGTATATTGTCGTTCATATGCAGCCTCGACGCTGGCAATGTGCTCTTACCTGGAACTGGCGACTAACTATGCGGGACAAGGTGACTTCGGGTACTATGCATTTGGGAAGAGCAGACTTGCTTATGGATTCTCTTCGTTCATGCTGCTCGCGAACAACATTATCCTGATTGGATTTCATATCCTTACCGGTGCTAAGATCCTCAACACACTGTCAGACCATTCGCAGTGCACTGTTGTCTTCTCAGTCATTTGTACGTTAATGGGCATCGTGTTGTCCGCGCCAAGGACTTTACGCCATGTTTCGTTCATGTCAATGTTCTCAGGTGAGTAATAGAGATTCGTCTCCCGGGTTTATGTGGCGGTCTTTTACTGATTTTGTCCTGTTTCAACAGCTGCTTGCATGGGCATTGCGATCCTCCTTTTCCTTATCTTCGCCGGCATCGAAGACCATCCTCTAGTGGGAAACACCGGGAACTATCCTTCTGAAGGACCAGTCCGCACCTATGCCTTTCCTCTCCCAGGAACTACTTGGGTGGCATGTCTCAATGCTGTCTTGAACATTACTTTCCTCTGGGTTCCTCAGATCCTTTTTCCAACCTTCATCGCCGAGATGGAAAAGCCTCAAGACTTCCCCAAGTCTCTTGCAGTCCTTGCCGCCATTTCGATCGTCCTCTTTATTGTCCCACCCGCCATTGGATTCAGATACCTGGGCCAATACGCAACCGCCCCAGCCTTCGGCAGTCTCGGCGTCGTTGCCTACAAGAAAGCATCTTTCGCATTCGTCATTGTCCCGACACTCATCATAGGCTCCATCTACGCCAACGTTACCGCCAAATTCATCTATTATAAGATCATGCGACAGTCAAGACATGCGCACAGCAACACTGTCCTTGGCTGGAGTGTCTGGCTCTTGGTCATGGGCAGCATCTGGGGCATCGGTTTCATTTTCTCTGAGGTCGTACCTAGCATGGGTGATTTCCTCTCCCTTCTGGGTGCTGCTTTTGACTCGTTCTTTGGCTTCATTTTCTTTGCTATTGCATACTGGCAACTCTATAAGCGGGAACTATTTACTGGACTGGGGAGGTCTGTTATGACCTTGATTCACGTCCTAGTCTTGCTGAGCGGTTTGTTTCTGCTGGGTCCGGGACTTTATGCTGCTGTTGAGGCTATCATCTCCGATTATTCGGGCAGCACTACTCCGGCATTCACCTGTGCTAATATGGCCATCTAGACGGAAAAATGTCTTGGAGCTGCAAGGAAGGATAGTTGCTTGATGCAGGAGACTAGGTAGCTAAGAGGCTGAAGCGGGCCATTTATCTATCCTACTATATAACCAGCTAGACCTAATGCAATATTATACCAAGCCAAGCCTGGTCCTGTGTGCCCGCCATATGTACTTATGTCGGAGCCTGGCAGACCTCCTGTCGGATTTCTCTCACGCCTTTCTAGCTGTACCCACAGAGATAAATAGGCTTGCGCTCCGGAACTCATTAATACATAGCTCCTGGTACTTAAAAGCGGAATGGATTGGCATAATTTGGGACAACTGTACTCTTATTCTGCCCCCAACTACACTCGATCATTTGTGATCAACAAGGTTGGATCTCTTTCCCGATGATTTCTCGGCCCGATACGCATCCAGTGAAGAAGCCATGGCTTCGGCTCAGTTAATACTCCAGGGCCAATTAGTGAAAGCGTCCATTTCTTCCAACCCTCTGAGCCAGGTGTCACATTAATAGACTCTGCATCACTTGAAATGCTGAGAAGTCGACTCTGATACTGAGCACCATTAGAATTCTCTAGCAACTAGCTCGGCCTATTTATCTCTGTGGGTGGACGTCTGCCTGTAGGCAGGCTCCGACAGAATATGGACAATGATCGTACGCAAAGAAAATTCAATCCTAAATTTAAATTGAAATACCACGGGCCTAGCCCGTCAAATGAACATCGGTCAACTCTCATAGGATCGTGGCTGTGGATGCGTTTCATCCATCGCCTTCTGTTTGCCGGAAACGCTCGACAAGCCGTCGCTCAGATGAGGAGCAAACGTCTGGCTAAGGAGTGGATAGAAATGGCGTCAAAAATGGAGCATAAAATCCGCCGTCGTGCCTCGCACAGTGAGATTGAGCCTAACCCTCTCAACTTCATTAGCTCTGACTTGACTGGGGTAGCCTTCATTATTCACTTCACTTCGTCACTTTGCTTCGAATTTACCATACTTGAAGCCATCTTAATCCTTCTCTGGCTTGTCAAAACTCTTATTTTTATTCAAGCTGTGTCTACGTGCACACAATATTTTGCTAGAAGAAAGACAACTCATTTGAATGAGACACAATAGGTAAAAATGGCAGAGCCTGAGGTACCAGCTAGTCAGATAGCAAATGCAGAGAACTGCACTCCAGAGCAAATATTTTCTTTCTCAATGTTTTCTTCTCCTGACGACCTCTACGAGCATGCCCTAGCAATTCTCTCTACCGCCACGTCTGACCAAGAACTCGTTTACAAAGACGTTCCACCACTTTGGGCCCAGACTGTATTAGATCGGCTCGAGAGCAGGTTTAGAGGTTCTTTCAGGTAAGATCGTTTCCTATTATCTTTTTCTCCGAGGGTCTGCAAAAATTATTTTTTTATCTTCATCTTTATTTTTATTTTTACAGAAAAAACTACAACGTTGTAACATCGACTATCTGGATTCGAGCTATGCCTACCCCATTTCATGTCTGCCATCAAACGTAGACCATTACTCAGAAAGGCCGGTGGAATCGTGCTGGGCTTACAACCACTACCGAGGACGAATATTTAAACATTTCGATGGGTACAAGTAAGTTGAAATCTCATCGACCGTGTGATTGACTATATTAACAATGTCACTAGCTACTTTATTCATCGGCGGCCCATATTTAAGCTCTAGAAAGGAGCCAGATTTATTAGTTCGACCAGATAATCGGCCGTTGCCATCTCTTGTCATGGAGTCCGGATGGAGTGAATCTTTGTCCCGATTTTGGGATGATATGAATCTCTGGCTGATCGGTAGCCAGGGACATGTCAAAGCGACAATTATACTCAACTGGCAGCTAGTTGCTAATATAAACACAGTTCGAGGACATGTCGAGCTGTACACCTTAGACAGGAATAGAATGCCTCATTTACAACAAAATATCATCGTCTTCCCTGCTCCTCCTGCCCAGGCTGCAGCCCAACAACTTGTCCTGACGCGGGAGGAAATTTTCGGCGGCCATGTTTTCCAAGGCCAAGACCCCAACGACCAGTTTGTATTCTCGATTGACCTTCTGCGCGAGAAGGCTACTGATGCATTGAGACTGATGAATCTTGTTCCCGCGTGATGCCTTCGGGTATCTGGATTATCACTTGGAAGCAGACATTCTACTGAAAGCTTCTACTATTACTTCTTTTCCTGTCTCTTGTCGTCAGCACAATTGTTTAATGACGCGATGATACAGAATACGAAAGCAATCACAGGTATTATTTGCTAGGGGAACCGCTAACAGTTTTAGCAATGAATGCGTATTCCATCACTTCGGCCAGGAAATCCCAAAATATGAACACATGATCTCCAGCTAAATGGATATGATACACGCAAGCGCTGCAAAGCATAAACGTGCACTGCGTGGCCTGCCAATTGTGTGACGGGGGACCGCGGTCAACCGTGAGAGGGACCTCACCGGTCTGAGCTGATCCTCCTACGGAGTCACGGTCTACCACGGTCGACTACGATCTAACCGGCGACAAAGACGGTATCAACTTCGGACCTACAGATGACGAGACCCTGTCGCGATAATTCGACAATTACTACGAGATCTGGCAGGATGGCCATTCGAAATCCAGGACAGCCCCAGAGCATTGTACATACAAAGCAAGTGATGGGACGTTGAGGCGGCGGTTTCCTGCTAGAAGGGATTTGGAAATAGCGCCGTGATAGCGGTTATTTTCAGCGTCACATTCTATATGTAATTGATATATAGACTTTATTCTATTGTAGCTTTGCGAGGAGAATAAATTAGGTATACAGAACAGAAAGGTGATTTCTTGTGCCTGAAATAATACATGTAACCTTCACAAGAATAGTGCTCTTTTGGAGCGACTGACCGCCTACCCGAAACAATCGAATTCCTCATATCGAACCAATCATACGCAGAGCAGAGATCGTCCAGCCCGGGCAAGCTCAGAGCTTCCTGGGATGCAAGGTAAACAGCATTCGCGATTCTCTTCCTTTTTCCAGACCTGCCTCTTCAATTGAAGCGGCCAACGAGTCGAGAAAATGGAGGAAGATGACGATGATCTCTATGAGCCAGGCGACGCCGTTCCCGCTCAGACGCAAAATGGCACCACCCAACAGGCCTCGGACGCGCAGGACGGAGAGGAAGTCGAAGAGGTAGAGGTTGAGGTGGAGGATGATGATGTCCGTTCCCTACTATCATATATATACGGTATAGATGGCTGACAGCATGATAGGATGACTTCAACATCATAACTGAAGCTCCACCCGATGCACCGCCTCCAGAAGTGTGAGTATTCTCGACTCCTAGACATGCCTATCACGAGCTGACAAGAAACAGCGCACTCCCTCGCCATGCTAGTCTACGCAGTGAACCACCGCGCCCATCTTCGGTGGACTCTGTTGCAATTCCTAAAGCTCCGACACCATCCATCACACCAAAAGTCGAGACCCCTTCCCCCGCGATTTCGGCCGTCAAGCCTGCTGTGCCACAGAAACCGGGATCAGCCTATCCTCCCATTCATGCCTCGAATATCGATGTCCACGCGAACCCGATACACCCTGCTACAGGAAAGCCGATTACATCTACGGACATTGACGCAGACTTCCCCGGAGAAGATGACAAGCCGTGGAGACGGCCCGGGACAGACTTGACGGACTACTTCAACTACGGCTTTGACGAATTCACATGGGCTAGTTACTGCCTCAAGCAGCAGGAGCTGCGGAAAGAAGTTGGGGATCAACGGAAGCAGCTCGAGGACATGCAAGCTTTCCTCATGGGCGGCATCCCAGGACTGCCTGGGGCGCCTCCTGGAGCTCCAGGACCACAGCCAGGGCCTGCACCCCCAGGCATGCCAGGCCTCCCCGGGATGCCTGAAATGTCGCCCGATATGATGCAGGGAATGCTTGCCGGGATGATGTCTCAGGGCTTGGATCCGGCTTCTATGGATCCTATGTCGTTTATGCAGCATGCCCAAGCAATGATGGGTGGAAGCCAACCCGGTGCTGCTGGCGGCCAACCGGGTCCCGGTGGTTTTGGTGGTCAGTCTCAACCCCAAGGCTTTGGAGGTCAAGGAGGTGGCCAGCAGCAGATGGGTTACGGAGGCTACGACCAGCGAGGAGGCTTTGGTGGTGGCCGGGGAAGAGGTGGAGGTGGAAGAAGGTGGTAAGGAGAGACTCGATGATATGTATGTTATTATTTTTTCTGTGGTTACCTTCCGGTTGGAGGCATGTTCAGGTTGGGGAATGGATTACTTCGACGCTGGCGTTTAAAGCAAGGGAATCGGTCAGTCAGACCGTTCAAAAATGAAGGCATTCGACTTGGCTTTTCTTGAGTATTGAGCGATATTAAATCACGATATATTTAATCACGGAGTAGAATGGTAGTAGCTTATTGATTGTTCTTCCGGCGGGTGTAGAATCCGCAGCTGTAGATACCCACACTCGATCATTACGACTGTAGCTTTGGGCTTAATGGAGACACAGGGACAGAATCAAAAGCAACCACTGAGAGGAAAACTGTCCGCTTGATAAATACTATCTTTAACTAGAGTATAATAACTCGTTGATATGGTGTTTTGGAGATCCTTCAAGCCGCGCAGTACCCTCGGCATCTACATCCCGTGACCGGCAAGGCAGCTGTCGGCGTTGCTGAAGTCTTGGCATTCTGGAAATTTCTCGCGCTTCGGAAAAGCGACAAGTCTCGATCTTCTTCCCCCGGCTTGTTGTTCTTTTGCTGCGATTTACTTCTCTCAGATCCCACCTTCACCAACGCATCTTACTTTCTTCTCACCTATTCTTGTTCTTCTACCTACAGCTTCGCTGTTTTCTTAATTCACACCAGTCGCAATGGTATGTTTTCTTCCCCGGAATCATGCGGCGAGCTTTTGAGCTCCCAGTTCCGAGCTCTCCCAGCTGCTGTCAGAAAATTTGGCTGAGGCTGTCGCATCAACTCTGCCTGGGACTGAGTGCTAATACGAATTCTGCTTTCTTCTCCAGGCCCTCCGCAACATCAAGAACCTTGCTCCTCTCCTGGACCGTGTCCTCGTCCAGCGGATAAAGCCCGAGGCTAAGACTGCCTCTGGCATCATCTTGCCCGAGAGCAGCGTCAAGGAGATCAACGAGGCTAGCGTCCTCGCTGTTGGCCCCGGTGCTGTCGACAGGAATGGCAACAAGATCCCCGTGAGCGTTGCTCCTGGTGACAAGGTTCTCATCCCTCAGGTGAGTACCCTACTACGCGCTGGATGTTTTGCTCTAAACCAGTCACTGCGAATTTATAATTGCGGTGACTCAATTGGATATTCAGAGACGTATACTAACTGTTCTTTTTGCTATAGTTCGGTGGTAGCCCCGTTAAGGTCGGCGACGAGGAGTACCACCTCTTCCGGGACTCTGAGTATGTGACTTCCTATCATCCCATATCCTTTATTATCCATTCCGTGCACCACGACTAACAATTCCGCTTCTAGGATCCTTGCCAAGATCAGAGAGTAAATGAGTTACGTTTTTTTCTGCACACGCATCGCATTTTCTCTGTTCTCTACCGTATCGGCTGTCTCAATAGCCAATCGGTTCGAATGCATGTACCATACTATGTAATATCACGAGCGCCTCCGCCCTTCCCAGAAACCACGACTTAAAAAAACCCTATAACCCTCTGGAAGGTCTTTCGCGCGTCCAATCCCGCTTCGGGGTTCCGTGATCGCGATGACCTTTCCTCTCATATAATCTTATGTCCTCATGCATCTGTCATTCCATCGGAGCGTCGACGGGGTCCCCGATTTATGATTCGCCTTGGATGTATTATTCTTGAATGTGTGCTGTCGCCTTGGGCGTCTCGGCTGGTATAGAAATATCACAATCCAGGCATGAGAAATTCTCCTCTCTGCTTTCATCACACTTGTTCCGTACGATCTGCTATATCTATACTACCATTCGTACAAACCCTCTGTATTTGCCGGGCGTTGATCTGATCTTGATGAGCAGATCAGGATACATTGGAAAGCTCCAATAGATGACGTCCAACCACCGTCGCCATGCCGTAAAAAGAATTTACCCCGTAAATCGCCTCCAGCTTCTAATCCCATAGGACCTGAGCCCATCTGAGAAACCGTACTATAGACTACAACCCAGCACAGACCCGACCTCCTAATAGTTCCCGCCCGGATTCCGAACTACCGATACTTAGAATAGATAGTTGTTTCTCTGCTCAGGCTCCATCCCGGAACTGTTATTTAACTATTACTAGGTAATAATAATACCCTGCTGATCTCATCTCATCCTCTTCTCTTAGAGGAATTAGTTAGTTTCTTTCTTACTCAATATCGATTTCTGATCTGACAATGTACACTATGTGATTAGTTAAAGTGCTTAGATATTTGGATCTCCATAGGTCGTGAAGTGCTTGTCCGGACTCCGAACTCCTTATTCTAGTGGTAGATAGTGTAGGGCTTAAACTGCCTTAGTCTATGGCATGTGCTGTAGATCCCTGAGCGGTGATCTAGTAGGTTCTAGTTATAGTACTCCGTATGTAATTATTAATTAAAACATGTCTTAGCTCAGGTAATTACCACTAGATACGTAGTTAATTCAATTATTCGATTCCAGCTACCCACCTCTCGCACGAGGGGTGCCAGTGCTCGTGCTATTACAGGGACTAGGCCTTGTGGCTACTACTGGAGCTTATGAACGCTTTAGAGAGAGGAGATAGTTAACTACTAGTTAGTTTGCTGAGTTAGGTGAAGATCTTGGGTTTTATTTTGTTAGCTTTTCCCTTTTTTCTATTCTGGAATATACAATTCATTCTTGACGTTTCCACCCAAAAGTTAACACCAAACTGGTATAGTTATATATGAAAATGGAAAAATGTACAATGTTTTAGAAGTGAAACGTTCAGACGGATATTGATCTAGAATACTCTAGCTTAGCCAGAGTAGTCGATCACAACAGAAAGTCGAACAGGGCCACTGGCGATGTTGCCACCAATACCGCCCAAATCAGCATTAGCCTGAGTATAAGCGTTCGTGACCTGAGCAGCGCCGGGGGTGATGATGGAGCAGGCGGTGTCGGGAGCCTGGCAGATCTTCATGCCCTGGATGGTCTGGCCTGCAGCCTGGGCCTGGATGGCAGAGACATCGTAACCGGACCAGCCGTTGTTTCCACTGTTTCCGAAGTCGAATTCACCCCAGGTGGCGCTGTAGCCTCCGTTGCTGTCTGTGGGGATAGTGCCACCAGGGGCAGCAGCGAAGCCACCGTCGGTGTTCTCGTCGAAGGCAACGTACTTGGTCTCGCCGGGGCTCAGGGTGAGCTTCAGGGCTGAGTTGCCATACCAGCCGTTCAAGCCACCGTTGGGACCGATCTTGTTCCAGAACACAATGTCCCAGTCCTCGGTATTCTGACCGGTAATTTGGGCGACGTATTCGTATTGAGAGGCGTCGCTGGCAGACACCTCAATGATGTTGCTGCCCCAGGGGTTACCAACGTTGCCAACATAGTTGATACCGCTGCCGCTGGAGGCAGTCACGCCTCCGAAACCCTTGGTGGAGTAAGAACCGCTAGAGGGAGTGGACAGCCAGTCCGAAGAACCGGACGAAGAGGGAGATGAAGACGAAGACGAAGACGAAGCCGAGGACGAAGCAGAAGCTGTAGCTGTAGCTGTCGCCGTGGAGGAGGGCGAGTACTGGCGTCTCTCAAGCTCTCCGGCTTGGAGATGAGCATGGCGGCGGGCATGGCCGTGCAGACGGGCCATATTGCCCGTAACGAGGGCTGCAAGCAGCAGGATGTTCTTGATTTGCATCTTGGAGAAAGAATGTAGTTGGTTGTCTGAGTTTGGTAGTTCAAGGACAGCGCCGAAAGGCTGAAAGGAGTGACGGAAGAAATGAAAGGAAAAGAATGACCAGGAATCCCCAAGCAGAAAGGAGCGTCTGATGAGTATTGTTTGAATGAATAAAGGTAGGAAGAGAGAGTTGATAGATGGAGGGCTAAAGGACAGAAATGACCTTCCCTATATACCCGTTAAGCGAAGCTGCTGCAGCGCGCTGTTTGCCTCTGAATTCATTGTGTGCCGCCCCTTGAAATAACCCATGGTTTCTGTGATTATGGACCGTTCGTCCCTTGGCTCGCGCGCAGAGGGATCGAGACTAGTGGAACTGGAGATACGTCAACCAGGCGCTTCTGAGGCTGCCAGATTGGCGCGTTCCTGAGCGCTGGTCCGTGAGTCCGGCGGTTGACTTTGAGAGAAAGAAAATGCTTGCTTGATACCATTGGATCTAGAGGACGTGGAGAAAGTTACAATGCTCTTGTGATCTGGTTCTAGAACAGGAGAACGGATAATTGGCCGTTCACTGTTGCCATGCCTAGACGGACATCCATGGTTAGTTACTCCCGGATACATATCATTCGTGTACCATACTTCGGTACCTCCAGAGCCTTTGACAGGAACCGGTTCGGGAGGTCCAGTGTATTGGGAAATTGTAACTCTGTTGTTCATGGCATTAGCTGATTGAATGGCACAAACGAATGGTCTCTCCGGTCCAAGGGATTTCCTTTTGCCGCATACAGCCTCGAATCAGGCCTCGCATCGATTTATCTGCCACTTTCATCGTGTTTTTTTCTTAACGTTTGCTCGCCACACCTTGTCTATCAATCACATGACATGGTTCACAAGGAGGCATCCTTTTCCCTCGAGAGCAGAGAGAATCATCTAGATAGAATCTATAGCATGCGTATGTAGTCGTAGGCTGTCAACTTTTAGCGTGAGGTCTGGCCAGGTCGATCTCATAGCTGACGACTGCTTTTCATTTGACAAGCCACTGGACGTTAGAATCGAGCGCCCAGTGGGTCAGAAAATCGAAGATTGATTGAAGAACATGCTGAAAATTCAACAGGCCGGTCAGAACAAGTAGGGAAAGTTGTCCCGCAGCTTTCCGACAATCATCGCAGTGTTTTACACTCTGGCACACTCCCCTCTGTGGAAACAATAGGCTAGCAAAAAAATCTCATTCAATTCTCAATGCAAATTTTCTGTGCGCCAAAAGCTTGTATGTTGACAATAATGAGAAGGCGTTAAACTAGATCCCGTCCGGGTTCCTGGAAGTTGAAGGCCGTCGTGGGCGCCAAGACGCTACTTAAGCGAGGGCAGGAACAGGTAAAGGGCGAAGCAATCCATATTAATATTCCACTACTGGTTCGAAGTCTTAATGAATTACTATTATTCCTCGCATAAGTTATCCACAAACGGATGGTTGTTTCTCCCCGTTTCATTATTATTATTGCCCACGCGTCCACTCTCTGTGTATAGGACGCCATGTTGGTCATGAATCATGATGTGGACACTCCAATTATATCCCACGTCTCTATAGCTCACCTCAACTAATAATAGAAGCAAGTATGTAAGCAGTTATCCTAACCAACTACTGCAGTTAACTGACATGGAGGTTCATATCCATAAGTATACGACACTCCTCGTCAGATCCACGAATAAACTCGTTGCTGTATCTGCCTTGTCTGCTCTCGTTTCACTGGCATCATCTTATAATCTGCCATAATACCAGCTCCTCATATTAGATCATTTTGCATTTGGTTCTGGATTATCCCACAGAAAAGACAGACTGCCACCGTGACTAACTCTACGGCCAGTATCTATTTCCCTGGGTTTCTTCTTTATTTCATCTTTACTGGAGACTCTTCTCTCTATCCTCCCTACTCTAGAAATCTAACTGACGTTGATCTAAGATCTTTACGGAGTACTTCATAGGGCAGAGCCAAGCGACCGGACAGCTTTAGCCGCCGACGATCCAACGCCGATCCGATCCCACACAGAACGTCCACGGTCCAAGTCTCCAAGATCTCACAGACTTTCTGACAGTTCGTTTCAAGTCCGTAGATCTGTAGATCTGCAATTGATGCAATCTGCCAATGCAGGGTCCTTCCAATGACCGCCTTTGAAACATCTCTGCAGAACACCAAGCTTGGTCTTGCTTATCGCAGCACACAATGAACGCCTCGAGCGCGATCTGAAACGATACACAACTAACCTAACGACCAGGTGAACGAATCAGAGCTGCTATCGCACGCATTTAACTATGCCAAGGTCACTTGTCTGGAGGTTTGTTCTATGATCTGTGCGATTCCGGGATGGATCTCCAACCAACTGCCTTTTATCCCCCGTCATGGACCAGACGGGCGAGATCACGTTGCAACCGCCACTCAGTACTCCCGCGCAATCTAGGGGTCAACTCATGTGGGAAATGGAGATGCATAAGTGTCGTATTTAATCGGGGAGGTCGCCTTTTCCATCTTGATGGCTGGTCTTATCCTCTTCCCCGCGCGTGCTCTCGTTCTCTCCGCCATTATATTGCATCTATTGTCTTGCCTTGTGCTAGAAGCAGAGGCTTTTCGATTCCCTTTCCCTCTGCAGTCTGCTATATGTCACGAGATTGCTTCTTCTTCTCCCAGTGGTACTCTCCGTTCTTAGACCTCACTACATCCGACCGTTTCCAATCTATTACTTACTGTGAGATATCTAAATCAAGTCATTACTATTCCACAAAGCATCTCTACAGGACCCGTTCCTTTTTCCTTGCAGATCATGCACTACCAATCTACATATTAGAAATCATCTCGTCAAAATGCATTTCAATTCGGTAATTTCAGCAGTGCTAGCAGCCGCATCTATCATCCTACCGCTCGTGGGCGCCCACACCGTGATGACTACGATCTTCGTAGACGGCATCAACCAAGGCGATGGCGTCTGCATACGCATGAACAATGATGCCAAAACGGCCAATTTCTACATCAACCCCATCACCAGTCCTGATATTGCGTGCGGTATTCTATAAAATCACCCTTCATCACCTCCGACTTTCAACCGTATATTCCACACTTGACTAATTCGAGAATACCGCAGGTATCCAAGGCGAAATCGGCTGTTCTCGCGTCTGCCCTACCAAAGCCTCATCCACCCTGACCTTCTCATTCCGCGAAGAGCCATCGAATCCGAACTCCCCACCCCTAGACCCCAGCCACAAGGGCCCCGCAGCCGTATACATGAAGAAAGTCGCCTCCGCAACAGCCAGCAACAACGCCGCCGGCGATGGCTGGTTTAAGATCTGGGAGTCCGTATATGACGAAAGCGTACGAAAATGGGGCACGGAGAAAATGATCGATAACGATGGTCATATATCAGTTATTATTCCGTCGGATATCGAAGGTGGGTATTATCTGGTGCGGACGGAGCTTTTGGCTTTGCATGCGGCGAGTCAGGGAGATCCGCAGTTCTATGTTGGGTGTGCGCAATTGTTTGTTGTGTCGAATGGGACTGCTAGGCCTTCGACGGTGAGGATTGGAGAGGGGACTTATGATTTGAGTATGAAGGGTTTGACGTATAATATTTATGAGACGCCTTTGGCGCTGCCGTATCCGATGTATGGACCTGCGGTTTATGAGGCTGGAGATGATGAGGGTTCGGGGATGGATGCGTCTAGTCCTGGTGTCGTTTCGACTCCAACTGCTACTGCGCTCGCCTCGAGCGTCGTCGCAACTGGCGTTCCTGGGGACGAAAGGCGCGACGTCCTGGTCCAGACAGAAGGCCTCAAGCCTAAAAACTGTGTCTTCGTCAATGGTAACTGGTGCGGTTTGGAAGTCCCTGATTACAATGACCAGAATAGCTGTTGGGAGGTACGTCCTTGGGACACCACAACCCGGTTCCATTTCTATCTACTTGCCCCTTGGGTAAACTGACATCACCCAACCACAGGCCTCCGATAACTGCTGGCGCCAAAACGATGACTGCTGGAACAAAACCCAACCTACGGGCTTCAATAACTGTCAGATTTGGTCGGATCAGAAATGTAAAGTCATTCAGGGGCAATGCAAGGAGGATAACCCCACGGGTCCGCCGAATAAGGGGTTTGATTTCACGCCGAAATGGCCTTCGCTGAAGGGCTCGATGAAAGTATTTACGACGAGACGGCAATGGAGAATGGGGAAGTGGGTTGATTAGGCTATAAAAAAAAGACAAAAAAAAAGATGAATACATACAACAGCAGGGATTCGCTGGTGGTCACCCACCCAACTACTAACCTGCCGGCGTGTGGCTTAAGTACGGCTGAGCGGACGGGAAGCCCTGTTTTCCACACCCTATGGTCGTATGTGCTTGATTGGAACTGGACTATAATTATAAGCTCGAAACAAGTGGCTTGTTACTACTCCAGCAGGCAATAGCCAAAGGACACGATAGAACAAGCAGTCCCTCCTACACGAGTGTCTGGTGATGCGATGGTTATGATATAAATGGATGTATGATGTTACGATGATTACGGAAACCATGTGGTTCATGGTTCATGATTTGGAAAAGGGATTGGCTCTGTCCATGGTGCGTGTAAAGAGAAAGCCTTTTAGGTATGAATGATCTGGAATGAAGTTGTGAGCCTTGACTAGTTACTTCATGAATTCCATGTGGCAGACACCTGAACCAGGTCAAAAGTTAAGACACCATTCCTCAAGATGCCATTCTCTTTCGATTGCATGCTCAATCGCTTCGATTGCCCTCCTTCCAATTATCGTATCAAATAATTTCCTCCGTACATCAGGGTCCATTTCAATGAAAGTTGATAGCCCTCGAGACCTACAACGGTCTCCATTGACAGAACCAGGAAGGTCTGCACTTTCTGATGACTCCCGCCACTCTATAAAGTCTAGTACCGCTAACGCTGCAAAAGGATTCAAACCTGCTCGACGCAGGAATAGTTCCCAGGGCGTCTCTTCATGAATCGACTCGAAGCTCGGCTGGTATTTCGGTCGATTTATTGGAGTGGGTCCTATGTTTGTTTCGTTCAAATTCTTAAAAGAGTATGCGTGCTTGTTCGCGAGCGTGATTATCCATTCTAGGATAGCGTTCTGGACCGAAGGGACCACCAAGGGAATAATAGATGAGTAGTTTGACAGAGATGCGCAAAATGTCATCAAAGATTGCACTGAAAACAGGGTCTTTGGGTCCATTGTTAGTGTTGGTGATGTCGTGTTTAAACCCACAGTATTACTAGGGGCGTGACAGATAAGGACATATATATAGTCGTATCGGAGGGAGAGTCTTGCTATCCTTTCCCGAAGCGGAGAGTCGAAGGGCGGAAATCCATCAACGCTGGTGTGATGTTTGTGCCCAGGTAGATACAATTGAGTAGTCGCTTGTGGCGTCGTGAGGATGATACCTGTTGTTGGAGAGATGATGATATCTGCCTCCGGGAGAACCGTTGATGAATTTCTGTTAGGCGCATATGACTTCGAAGGCCCAGGGGCTTCGTAATCTCGGAACATTAAGGTTGGAGCAGGTGTAGAAGTTTCGAGAGACGTCACTATATGACGATGCGTCTTCAGTAGAGAAGTAGCTAACAAGAAAGTGAGGGAACGTGTAATTAGTGCTGTCGGTGGTGTATTAGGAAGAGTAATATTTAATTTGCCATGCGGCTTGTGGGATGTGCAATCTTCTTGAGGCTCTCTGGTCAGGTCAGAGCCAACCAGTGGGTTATTGGGCAAAGACGCAGCCGGAAAATAAGGACTCTGCTCTGTCTTTTGTCTCTTTGGGGTCACACCTCTGATTTTCATGAAACTGGAGAGAGATCCAAGGGCGGAAAACGCAGACAGAGATCCAACCACTTTAGGTCGGCCAGAATGGTCAGTTTTCTGTTCAGTACGTTTGCAAGGCTCCTGCGGCCCGACTTTCATAATTTTCTTTTTGCTCTTGGCTGGGATAGTACATTTCCTAAGAAATTTGCTGGGGCTTTCCTTGACATGGTCCTGGGCACAACTGATACGAGGAATTTTGTCAACGACTCCTCCCGCGATAAATTTTCTTGCAGTTATCGTTTCCATCGATGATAATTCTGTAACAGGATCCACGCAGTCATCAGTTGGGATATCATTATCCGTAATTATATTGTCAGATTGAAGACTGTCGCAGAATGATACACTCTCGCTGTCTGGCTCGGGCACACCTGGAAACACTGAACCCTCTGGCTCATGCAAGTTGGATTGGGCTATGTTTTCATTAACAAGTGATGTTGGTGGTGTATCAACATCTGCTGGGTCACTGGTTCCATTCATCTCTTGTTCAGGGAGAGGAGGAAAAGGATTCGATGAGGGAATCTTGCTCGCGCTATCTTCATCTAGAAACCGTTTCGTTGATGCTTCAAATGACTCAACCACATGAACCGAGAATCTGTCGAAATAATCATCTAACATCTCACCGGCCGTATTTGGTTCGCTTAGGGGATCGTCCAAGTGCGGATCCTGAATATAATGCTGCGCTGGAGGAGAAGAGTAGTCTGCTTCTTCATAGGTATGTTCCTCTGTCAGCGATGTGCGGGAAGAAAGCGGCCCAGAAGGGGTTTCTCGCATGCAGTTCGCATTGCCGTTCTCTCTGCCGTTGATATCAGTCAAGTGGTCATTGTATGCGTCAGGACTTTGTACAGCATGTTTCTGAATTTCTGTCGCCAGGACTTCGTTCTCTGGGTTCAATTCTTCAGTGGTGCCATGTTCTTCTATGTGCGACTCTTTGCCGGCATCCCCAATATTTGCTGTTGTCTTCGGACTCTGGAGTGATGGAACACTCGATACCAGTTGCGACGTTATGCATGGACCATAGTCAGTCCTCACAGGAATGATAATCGGCGATAGATCCCGCAAAGATCTTCCCTAACAACGAGAACCAAGTATGTTAACAAGTCTATATCCAAAGGCATGAAACATAAGCACATCCCACCTTGAATCCAAGTCCCTTTTCGACGGTTTCAATAATATACTCGTTATCAAGTCTCTTCACTCGTGTTGCCTTCTGCAGTAACTCCAAATCCTCTCTTGAACAATCCAGTCTTTCCGTAGAAACCTCCTTCCAGATCCTATCTGATAGATCAAAGTATTGTTTTGGAAAGACTAATCCTTCATCATGTTCGTCTTCCACCTCTTCACGGGGTAGCTGGAGTTGGACTGGGTCTAGAGCTATGCGTTCAGCTCGCACTGGTGAGGTACTCAAGTCGAAATTTCTCTTGACTAATGGAAGGTCTAGCTTCAGATTCCTAATACGGTGACGGTCTGGTAGGAAGGAGTTCCAATCAATGTCGATGGACTTTCTCGAGGCCGCTTGGATAACAGAAGAGAGGAATCGAGCCGCGTCCTTGGGGATCTCCAGTTTTTCGCTCCGGAGTTCTTGTTCTAAAGTGTAATGGAACTTCGAGAGGTCGATGATTGGAACGCCTGGTGGATCTGCGAGAGTATCATTGATGGATTCATGAGGCTGCGGGACCTGGTCAAGAGGATTGATGGATTGATGGTCGATGGCGATACCATGGAAACGAGCGTAATCCAGAAGAGCTGGCCCTCGGTAGTCGGCCATTTTAAGAGACTTCAATTGAGCAAATCATGGGCTTTAGAGCTGCATTAGTACGAACGATTGCGAGGAGAGATGCAGATGGAGGGAATAAAGTCCTCACGTGCTCTGCTGTGACATCGAGTTGACTATCGTTGGGGAACATCGTTATCTACGTTTTGAAACTTGAACAGAGTAAATCGGACTAAGCCATACTAAGCCATACTTATTAAATGGACTTAATGCTTTTCTAAACACCCAGCCTCACTGTATTTACTGTAGGCAAAGCGTACGACTCAGATCTCGTTATTCCTGACATCATGAAGATATATGGCCCAATATCGCTCTCAAATGAATATTTCAACTGAATTCATATTGAGAAAAATTACGTCGATAATGTGAACTTATGAAAGCGCTAAATCGTGACCTCATACCCAAACTCCAAGAGGGCCAGCCTCTTAATAACCTCACAATCTTACATTAGTCATTATAGTTGGACTGCCGTGCTCCGTTCTTGTCCACTGGGGGTATGTTGTACAGCGCAGCGAACTCCTCTTCCTGTGACTTCCCCTCAGGGTCGAGGTACGGCCGCTCAGCCTGAACAGCCACACGCACCGCATGACGACGGTGAGGAGCGAATCCGTAGGAAGCGGTATGAATCTGGATATGTCAGAAAAGCTCGAATCGGTATATAGATGTGCCAAACTTACAGTTGAGCGGTTGTCCCAGAATGCTACATCGTTCTTACCCCACTGGAAGCGCACGTGGATCTCCTGGGTAGTCGCTATGACTTCAGTGAGGTATCTGATGATAGCATCGCTCTCAGTCTTCGGGACACCAACGATCTTAGTTACGAAACCAGGGTTGAAGAAGAGTGCATTCCATCCGGTGACTGGATGGGTACGGATAAGAGGGTGTTCGGTCGTGACTGGATCACGACGAACCGTCCGGCCAAGAGCGCGTGTGTCGTTTGCCTGCATGTCTGCCGAGTGTAGGGCAGTCAGACCCTTCAGGTAAGTCTGCATGTGAGAAGAAAGAGCATCATAAGCGGCGTATTGAGAAGCCCAGAGAGTATCACCGCCACCTCCTCGGGGAGGTCCCGTAAGAAGCTTCAGTGAAGTATAAGAAGGAGGCTGGACCTCATATGTAACCTATGATGGATTAGCACACATGTACTGCTGATAATACATGTAAACATAAACATACATCCGTGTGCCACAAGAAGCTGGGCGTAAACAATGCGCGCTGATCGACAGAGTTGTCGCCAGTATAGACGACGTGAACATCTTCGAGCCCTTTTTTGCGAGGAACAGCAGTAGTAGCATGCTACATAAAGGATCAGTAATCTGGTAACAGTTAAAGAAAAAATAGGTCCAAGATACCTTGTGCAAACTCCCAAAGTAACGACCAAGTTCACGCTGTGCGTCAATGTCCAAGTCATCTTGGCCACGGAAAAAGACCACACCACGGTGTGAGATCAGCCGGGCCAAATCATTCTTCTGGGCGTCTGTCAATCTCGCAAGATTCACCCCGTGGACCTCAGTTCCCAGCTTGGGAGTATAGTCGAAGATATCAGTTGCGGAACTGAGAAGGTTGCTGAAACTGGGGTCTCCCAAAAGACCCTTGTCTGTGTAGGGAATTTCACCCAAAGGCTCCCAGTGGAGGTCAGGAAAGGAAGGGAGAAGGTCTTCATGGGCATAGTTATCATGCTTCTCGACTGGCGTGCGTCCCGGTGTGTACTGTAGCTTATTTCCATTCACACCTGCTTTCTTCGTGATAATGGGGTGGTCGACTCCAGAAGAGGCAACGACGGGTTCCTCGAGCGACGGCGCCATTGTGATCTTAAGCAATACTCAATTGCTGCAGTAGTACCTGTGCCTGACAGATATTGATGCCAATGGTAACAATAGGGTTTTTGTTATTGCACAAGAAACACAGATACCGACGGTGCCAACGCTTCTTATATCGCGACTACAAAGATTGATAGCCCCCGAAAGTACTGTACAATGCCAGGAGAACCGAGAAGCGGTGACTCAGCTGACGCGCCATTATGGATTCTAAACATCATGGAGATGGCGCAATCGCTGGAGGATATCACAAAATCAAAAAAAGCAAAGAGAACGTGCGCCTCTTACAAGACTTGATAGAAACTGGACGGATCCTGCGGGATGAGTCCCCCACATAGTACTGAACCAACGATAAAATAATACCCATCTGTCGAGATTCCAGTTGTGGCAAGTCAAGTCAGAGGCCAGTTTTGAGACGTTGGTGTAGCATCACGCCATCTTGCTAAGTCAGACAGTCGAAGAGCGCAATAGGGGCTGACGTGGCACAGAAAAGCGATACTTTAATAGAATGCTTGACCGCTTCTGTCCCAGCGTCATGGACTCGGACACCGACATCCAGGGGCAGAAGATGGATTGTTGATCAAGAGCGTGCGGCTCGTTCCAGGTCTCAGACTGCTGACGTTGATCTCGGGCGGTCGTCGGGGGCCAAGATCTTAAGATTGGCGGACGCGGGTAGATAGTTAGATGTCGCGCTCATGCAAGCCCGATCCGGGGTTGCAGCCGCTGATAACGCAACTTCGCCTGATTATTGCGTATCAACCGTCGCCCCTCGCCCTACAGCCTCATGGCCACGGGGGCCAGTTTTTCCGTTATCATTCGACTGACTAGCAGCTACTATGTTCTTTTGACCTTATGGAAACGTAGGTTAAATTGCAACAGACTGCTCAAAGATCGATGGACGGAGCATCAATGTGAGAATCATTCCATCTAACTCCAGACTGCCATCCCGAAGTGCTTAGCGAGACCGTGCCAGACAAACCATACTGTAATACCACCGCATAAAACGTCATTAATACTGTACACGAAGGGGAATCTCATCCTTGTAGCCCATCACTCATTGTTATTAATAGCACACGCCTAGCCGAGTCGTCCTCCAAGAGCTGGCGGCCCCAGAACTAATTCCTGGACTTCTTCTTTAGCACTACCCAACCTACTTGCAACGCCAAAGATACCAGCCTCCACATCTCCAAGGACTGCAGCAAGATCGTTGAGAGCGGTCTTGGATCCAGCACCTCCTGCAGCTCCTTCACGGCTGCGCGACGACACGAACTCGTTGATCTGTCGCTGAAGCGTGAGCTCCACGCCGTAAAGGTGGTCTTCGATCTCCTTGATATTGCGTTTGTAGGTGTCGAGGACGGAGCTCATTTCGTCGGACCGCTGAGAGAAGTAATCGACAAGATTGACTGGCACACCGTTCACGGATTCCGCAGTGGAAGGATCGGCTTCCACATCATCCGGCAGGGCGAGTGTACTCTTACGGTTTCTAAGCGTGGTTCGCAGCGACTGTCGTTCTGACAACTGCTGATCTGGGGCAGACCACCAACCCGAACCGGTGGCGGGCTGATATTGCATGGGGAGCTTAAGAGTATCAATCGCACGGAATGCCACTTGGGCCTCAGCAGCATCGCGGGAAACCAGCTTGCGAACATGGTCAATGTCGCTGGCATCATTTTCTAGAGCATGCTGCATCGTGTCAAGCTTTCCCTGCACGAATTCAACATCATTTGGAATTGTCGACCCTTGGTTGGCAATGGTTGGAAGAAGATCTGAAACCTCATTGCACATATGGATCTGGTTAAGAATAAACGTGTCAATGGTTTCGATCTGTTTCTTCAGCTCGTCCGCACAGCTTTCGAACTTCGTAGTCGGTAGCAGATTGCTGACGTCGACCTTCACGCCCGGAACGACGGTGCCAGTGGCGGGAGTCTGTTGTTGAGGTTGTTGCTGCATCCCAGTATTCTGACCCCCAAACAGAGACAATGTAGGCTTTTGCTGTTGTTGCTGCTGAGTAGTGCTCTGGTTGCCGCCACTGTTATCGAGCAGGTTCTGTTAGTTTGGCCAATCCAAGCATAATGAGGCTTGACAATCACTTACAAAAGTCCCCCTCCAGTTGTCGTGCTTCCAAGGCCTCCAAAAAGCGGCTTCGACTGAGTCTGTGTCGTAGATGTATTGCCCGTATTGCCGAATAAGCCGCCTCCCGTAGTACCGCTTTGAGTGGTGCTGGTATTGGTGCCCAGGCCGGAGAACAAACCTCCAGGCTTCGCTTGCGCTGTAGATGAGAGGGAACCTCCAAAAAGACCGCCTCCAGCACTCGTTGTCGCCGTGCCACTTTGTTGTTGTGCACCACTTGTATTGCCCGAGCCAAGGCCAGAGAACATATTCTGTCCGCTCTGGGGTTGCGATGTCGTTGCACTTCCCAAGTTGCCAAACAATCCGCCGCTAGGCTTTTGCTGAGTAGCTGAATTGCCTCCCAAGTTGCCGAATAGACCACCGCCGGTAGTACTGGTATTCGCGGGCGTAGTCGCAGATGTCGTCTGAGTATTGGCACCACCACTATCCGAGTTGAATATCTGCATTAGCTTCTTCATGTCCCGCTCCATTTCATCTTCTTCCTTCTCCGCTTTCCTCTTCTGGGCCTGATCCCTCCATTTTGAAAGAAGTGATTTCCCCATGACTGCTGTTGGGCATCCCGACCCAGAGTCGTGAAAAGCAATGCAATTTTGCAGAGCGAGAATCGATTGGAAATGGCATCATGACGAGAACGATCGAGGAACACGAGAGGAAAACCAAAGGAAAGGAGCTCAATGGGTCTGGCTGGCGCAGGGTCAAAGTGAATGAATGGGGTTACTTACAATAGTGAGTTGGCCGACCCGGTGTTGATGGTCAATCCTCCAGCCGCTGGAGCAGACGTCTTTGCTGAAAACATGGTGTGACTGATGGCTGCGCAACACAAAAAATAGAGACAAAGACAGCGCTGGCTCGTGAATGCTGGGATCCGCCCCTTGCGTCGAGAATCAAACGGACTCGCACGCTGAACTGAGTGATGCTGCGTATCGGAAAACAAAAGCTGGGAGCTACGCGGAGTCTAGTGTCGTCGGGGAAAGATTTGCCGCTCCGATCTCCAAGTACTTACAGTGCGCCAAGAGCGGAGATCTTATCACCGCGAGCAACCGCAACATCTACACGGGCTTTCGGTTGTTAAGGGTTCTTCACTTCGCTGTGTTCGCTCAAGATCTAATGCAAAAGGGTCTCAGAGACAGCGTAGAGTGCTCCAAAGATCAAGAATTTGGTCTACATTTGAGCTAGCATTTGGTCAGCTGTAGTCTGTTCTTGCTTTTTAAGAGGCTCATGGATCTATGAAGAACGCTGTACTAGATCCTCATTTCAAAGGAGGACGGAATATGCTTCGTGTTATCCTGTACTCCATAGAGCCTACGCAAGCCAGGATACCCGATAATATTCTTTAAACACATGTATGCGCAAAGCTTGTCTGCTACTACATACAAAGAAGCTTTGTTGAACTCAGGGTGGTGGAATAGCGTGCTGCATTGCGAACTGGGCCAGCCACTATGAGTGACGATGGTGGCTTTTCGTGGAAGCCAACCTGTATAGCTTCTACATCACAGTCTTCCGAGACGCTACAGAATGCCTCTGGTCTAAGCACAGAGACGGTCACAGGATCTGAAAAGATACCTGGTGGTTATCGACAATCTGCGAACTACTTCAAAAGCGCAGACTGGTAAGTTCGATTCTCATTCTGAAATGCTGATAAGAAGACTACTCTGACTAGAGCTCTCATATAGGTCCCCTGATGGCACGACGATTATAACGAACTCTGCAGATAACCATGCCCGGACTTACATCCTGTCAGTATTCCTTTCTGCCTTGTGACCATGCAGTGGACTGACTGGTGCCAGACCCCCTGATCTCCTAGAGGAAAGAGAGACACCACATGAATTGTCAGCATATTCCACATTGCCATCAGCTGAACCGATATACGCGACAGCGATCTATCCCTATTACTCCCTACAAGATCCGTCGACGACTCTCTTCCTTTCATCAGTCCGTGACCATCCGATCCGATTAACATCGGCCCTGGCACCCACTACAGTGGCAACGTATTCCTTGATCAACCCTACAACAGAAGCCTTCATCACTCCGCATTCGATTCTCTATCCACCTACTCTTGGTGGAACCCACTTCCTTACAGGCTCCGATAGTCTGATATGTCTCTTCGATGTTTCTCGTCCTGGTACTGATGGTCCGGTCTCCATGATGCCAACGATTCCAAGTAAGAGAAAGCAGATTGTTGGGGGCGGTATTGGTATGAAAGGAATTGTCTCTGCATTAGCCATCAATCCTAGTGGTGATGGCATCCTGGCTGCGGGGACTTTCACGAGACAGCTTGCACTCTACAGCTCGAATGGGAGTGGTGAGCTAATCGGTACTTTCAGTGTCGCGAGAACCGAAGCAGACCGCCACATAAAGGGGAAGGGGATCACGCAGCTTCTGTGGAGTCCATGTGGTAGGTATCTTTACGTTGTTGAGCGGAAAAGCCACGGTATTCTCATGTACGACATACGGGTTACGGGCCAACTTCTTGGATGGCTGCAGGGACGCAAAGCGTTCACTAATCAGCGCTTAAAGGTGGATGTTGTGGCTGCCGGTCCCGAGGGTTCTCACGAGATATGGGCAGGAGGCACCGATGGCTTCATGAGGACATGGCGAAATCCATCTGATACTATCGGAGCTAAGGATCCTGATTGGGAATGGAAGGTCCACGAAGGCACGTCCATTTCACCGCAAGCTTCTACGGAAATCGGTACTGATGATAAATCCTAGATTCGGTCAGCACTACTATCCTACACCCTTCCGGAAGTATCGTGGCAACCTGCTCTGGGCAAAAGCCTGATGCAGACTATCGCTCAGTTGATAGGGAAAGCGACGGCTCTTCCCTCACGGTTGGGGATAACAGTTTGAGGATATGGGCCTTATGAGAACCATAGACATTATACTTGTTTGAAGAGGGTATAGAAGTGTCATTGTTCCTTATCGCCGGCATGGCTGGAGAGACATGAAAGGCAGGGAGACACGGTATCCCACCCCTGATGCTTTAAGGAAGGCATATCTTCGTATTCCATGCACATGCTCCGCCGCTACAGATAACCTTCTCCGCCAACGTCTCAACAGGACAATCGATTCTTGGTTAGCCTGCACCGGTCTTCACACCAGAGACTATAGGCCGGGATGTTGCATCCATCTCCATATCCATCATTCGACTTTCGGGAACTTCTCCAGTCGCGTGCCACTGGTATCGCTCGTAAGCTGAACGCCACTACCTCAGAGTCAGCTCCTGAACAGGTTGTGTGAGGATATTCAAACAACAGGCTATACTATGCTACTCACCCGCTCCCACCATGCCATACTTCATCATGAGGTTGAGCCAAGACTGGGATCATCTGGCGCTTCTGGACCGTAAGGGCCTTGTTTCCGTTCCCAAGGGGCCATGGCAGCGAAAGATGCTGGCCAGGAGGTAGCTTTACTTCGATATGATGTGGACATTTGGAAACCGTCTTGTTTCCCGTGGGATCCTTGAGGACTTTCTGGTGTACAGAGATAGGATTCGCCCAAGTCGTGCATGTTATCATGGACAGAAGAAAGGGAGCGAGGCATAGAAGTTGGCAATGCATCTTCGTAGGATTGACAAGCTCTGATCACCGAGAGCTGCGATTGCAACGTTCCGCGGTAGCGAATAGAGAGGAATAACGATAGTTCTTCGCAGAAGAGACTGTGATACGATGGCTTTATCGATTAACGAGCGTACGTGACGGATCTTGCACGTAGGATTAATGAATATCTCTCAATGCAAGCTGGACACGAGAGGCAAATGAGTAGAATCTTTCTGTGTTCAGTTGCCTCCAAGGTCGTTCTCCTGGTATCACGGGTCCGGGAAGGAACACCACGATCTCACGACTCTGCTGGGGACTAATATGGAAGGTGCGTGGCTACATGCTGCTAGCCGGGACAGTCTCCAGTGTACAGAGATACGACGATAGAGAATTGACTAAATTAACGTGTTTCTGCTCTCCACTGTAATGTGCCAGAGGGGAGCAGTAACGTCGATCATCGAGTATTCAGAAGCTATGTCAGCATCAAAAGATCAGTAGACCCTGCAACCCTCTGCATATCCTCTGCAGGGATCTAACTAATTGGAGCAGTCGCACGTGCATTTATTCTCCGTGGCATTTTGGCTACATCTCCACAATCAGGATAGAATCGACAATACGCCTGGACCCTGTACGAAAGACGCATAGAACAATAGTATTATCTACCGCTAGCTAAAGGGTCATTTATATATTTCTTCATCTAGTTTATCATCTCCTTTGATAGGAACAGCAGCGAGACGTTCCCAAGCCTCCGCTTAGAAATTGTGCTAGGAACCAAAGTGGTTAAATGTTCAGACCGTCGATTTCACCCTGCCAAGCTAGCCAAATAATATACAGGATAAATTCTAATATTCTCCAACAAGAAGCGGACTTGTCATTGCAAAATCTGATAACTCTACTCTGTACAGAGGTAGCACGTATGTACATCCTTCTCACCCGTCAAAGGCTGCTATTCGGAATCATTACGACTTTCCACATCTCGCAGGGAAAAAAAAAAAAAAAAAACGAACAGCCCCGTAGGATAGGAAGAGAGTTGATCTCGCCAAAGACTCAGTAATCAAAGAACTCATCTCCTGGACACACTGGCTTTAGATCCTTGGCGTACATAGCGTACAAATACCTAGTATATGACCCAACCAATCATCTGCTTTCAAGACCGACGACATGTCTCGAAGGCCTCTACAGAGATAGCATAGGTTACCAGGCCAGCAGTGTCATTCTGAATACTGGCGCTGTACTCTTCTTCTTGTTTTAGGGTCTATGAACTACTTACGTTCTCGAATCACAGATGAATAATGTACACTAGAGCTACGCTGCACCGTTGTCACTCGTACCAAGTCGTGAAAGCAATAACCTCAAGGTAATGAGAATTGAACAAGATTGAACATTGATTTAAATTGCGTTTATTCTTCTGAGGGCATTACATATCTTTTGAAGACATCTAATAACCTCTTCGTCCACCACGTATCTCCTTTCCTTACCTCGTGTTTCCGTATCTCTCTCAATATAGAAGGATATTGCATTCGCAGTTGTCTTCCAGTCATGCCCGTCTGAAAAAGCCTTACACCAAGTATGCGAGGGGTTATCAAATGACTCTGTTCTCCTGACGTCTAAATAAGGCCACTGGTGTCATGCAGCACTGTCCTCGTGGAACAGGGATGTCGAATACGCCACGAGGAAGCACTGACGGGATCTCCCGGTTGCTATGCCGAAATTAGTCAGGTACAGCTATTGATGTTTACTGTCAATAGTCATCCATAATGAAGAGCTATCTAAGAAGTGAAAACAGAGGGAAGGGAAATCTCCACGATGGAAAAGATACAGTGTCCGGAAAAACACGCTGCCACTACCATCCTGAGGACAGTGAATTGAGCTAAGTCCTATTGTATCAATCACCTATTCATATCACCGAGACTGATTATGAATACAAACAATACTCTTTCACTATAGACAGGAATAATATATGTCAGGCAACGCTTCTAGTACTAGTCTGCGAACCAAGCTGCAGGCGTGATCCGCTGCGAAATGTACCGGTCTACTCGGTGGCCTCCCAGAAATAACATAGGACGACGTTCACTGTAGGCTGCAAAGAGAAGACATCCCTATTCACCGCGACTCCCCTCATTGACAGTCTTCAATTGAATGCGATTGAGCAAGAAGATACTCCAGCTGTCTTGTCATCCCTCGACATCTTCTTTCCACGATTTGTGAATACTGCACAGACTTGGTATCCGTTACCAGTTTCCTCTCTTTTATTCTGGCTCATTCCTCTGTTCGAGCTCACAGTCAGCGTCACAGCAGTATGGAGTCCGATCATACTGACATTGAAACCTTTATTAGAGAGCACACCGTCTTACCTGGAGGCCACTACAATACAGATATCATTGACATAAACGCCGATTTGTGAGTGTGCTACGTAGATATTATTTATTAAGTCCCGGTCTAACTCGCGCAATAGAGACTGGTCTGATCTGATGAACGATCTTGATCAAGAGCACACGATTGATCAGACAGGCATGGAGCCAAAGGAGGCTCTTAACAACAACACAGCCGGATCTACGACGGCTGAGGCTGATGCAATGGTCAAGGAAGAGCATGAAGACAACGCTCAGCATTCGCCTCGACAATCTCATAGCAGTGAAGTCGAGGACGACATGGGGTATGACCAACATGCCCATGAACCTGCAGGGGGCAACTTCAAATCCAGTCCCACATACACTCATGCGGATGTTGATTCGAGCCCCCTCCTATTCAGTGCCGGAATCGACAATATGCTGCACGGTGGGATGAACAACCAGATGAACCTCGACTACTATCCTCTCCAACTTTCCCAGAGCAACGTCATGCGTGACTTGAACGCTAGAAAGGCCGCGCGATCCCGCGCAGCTACAGTGTCGACGACACGAGACTTCCTCGAGAGACACAGCGCGTCCAGGAACCCTCATCCAAATCCTCTTCCAACCCTTGAGAGTTTGCGGTACAAATACGGCGAAAGGGCTCCACCACCAAGTGAAGCGCTCCCTGATGATGTACCCTTTATCGATGACCTCTTGAATCCGCATCTCAGTGGGGTTGATATGGAAACGATCTTCTCTTCCGCAGAGGAAGCCAGCTCCTATTACTCCCAGGAGTTCCACCTTCCCCCAGACGACAGTGTCCCCACCACGATCGAGCAAAAGAAGGCAATCGTCAAAGCACTTTGTACAGCGATCATGAGCGTCGAGAAGGCGGAAGACAACCCCGGTATGATCAGACCATTCGCGGAATGCAAGTACTCTCCCAGAAGGGTTGAGCTCGCGTGCTGGCACTTGTTGGTAAGAGGCCCCGCTACATGATAGCCAGAGGAGGTCATTAACAGATTATCAGGAGGCATGCATAACACGACATGTATCAGGACCTTTGTTGGCGGCGTACGATGTTAAGTACAAACAGTCGAGCGATATCCCTACCTTCGCGGAGAGAATGGACAGGATATTTAAGTGCCTCGTGGTATGAAATGCTCACTTAGGACATACCGCGCATACATGTGGAAGCTAACTCCCATACGAAAGACCCAGAAGACGATCTGCAAGCACCTTCTTGACCCATTTTATTTGTACACCTTTGTCGATGATCCAATCGGTGCTCACAAGGTAAACGAAGCCTGCTGTGCAAGCATAGAAATAGCATGAAGCTAACAATGGAGCAGAGGGTCATTGCAAACAAGACCCTCAATAGACGCAAAGGAGAGGTTATGAATGCTGGAAAACAAGTCCTTGGCCATGGTCGAGTTAATCCTGCTGCCGGGACTATCACACCTGGAAGCCGCGATCCAGAAGATCCCTTCACTGCTGGCTCGCCGTTCAGTACTCCGCAACACGGTATGAGCACGACTGCAACGATGAGCCCCGACAGTGTCAACCGCAGAGGTATCGCTTCGATGATGTTGAGTAGCCCAGCCTCTTCATCTCCAGGCTCAGAGAAATATAACCTGCCAGGACTTCAGCGAGGTGTGATCACGGGTACTTCTTCATTCAATGCAACTCCAAACTTGGCTCATATTAATCGCTCCTTGCATTCGAGCCCGATAATGAGGAGCATGCACACGGTCAGCCCGGGGCTGACCAGTTTGTCTCACAATAACTCTGGACAAGCTAGTAGAAGACAAAGCTTTCGAGAGTCGGAGGCTAGTCAGCTAAGGGCACAAGTTGCTGCGCAGTTCCAGGCTGCTCATCTGGCTGGCATCGATCCTGCGCTTCGGCCTCAAGCTAGACGGATGACAGCTCCTACTTCTCACCCACGCACAGATGCCGAAAATACTCTAGAAGCAACAGGGAGCAGAAGAGTCAAGGGAAATACTGGTGCATCCGCGGGTCGTCGCAAGCGCAAAGACTCCGATTCAGACTCGGAGTACCTTCCTTCGCCGGCGAAGAAGGCCCAGCGTTGAAGAATTCCGCTCCTTTTCCAACTTCTACGGATCTTTTCTTTTTCTTTTTTTTTCCCTTTCTCCTTTTGCTTTACTTTTTTCTTCTGGGGTTTGGTGGTATTTCTTTCTATTATTCTTCATGCCTTGGACTCTTCCTGACAATACCCCAAGCAAACTGACTGCACGGTCCTAGTTTGGTTTTCTTTTCATGATATCATTTCTCGGGCTTTCCTTCCAGCACTGTACAAGTAGATCAATCAAATCAATATGACCTTTTAACTCCTTGAGGAAGCAGCCTCACCAAGGTTCTCCCTATTGCTTGTCAGGGATTGTAATGCCGTATCTCTCGTAAGGAAAATTCTCTAGGGTGAGAAGAAGCTCTCCCCACCCATCGCCTTCCTCGCCAGGCCGTCCAGCGCCTTTCATCCTCGGTGCCTGCAATTGCTCGGCCTCCTTTTCTGAATCCGATTTTTCCTCTTCCTTATGTGCACCCGTCAAACCGGCCAGGACCTCCTCTTCGCGCCCTTTGTATTCTTGTAATAGCCCAGGATGCGGGCACCAGACCACTCTCATACCAGCTCGCCGACCAGCCTCGACGCCAGGAACGGCATCCTCAAAAACCAGACATTCCTCGGGTTTGACGTCCTCTTCCCCTTTCTTCCTCAGTTCCTGATTGATTGTCTCCAAGGCCAGCAGGTAGATATCAGGTAGGGGCTTCCCTCTACCCTTGCCAATACGCGGATCATCTCCCAGGACGCGTCTCGAGTCCGGAAAGACTGAGAACAAATCCGTCAGGTGATCTGTCTTCAGCTTGAAGTTCTTACTATGCGAAGAAGTTGCCAAGGCGATATATACGGGCTTATCCGTGTTCTCTGTCGAGGATAGGTTCTGCAGAAGCTCTGGAATGCCAGGGAGGGGTTTGGAGCTTGGGAAGTGCTTGGCTTGTAGGGCGGACTGCTTTTGTGCGTATTCTTCAGGAGAGATGGGAAGTTGGGCCCAGTCGTGGAATATCCGGCTGGCCTATTACTTGGAGTGGAAAGTGGTCAATGGATGTTTGCCTTGTAGAGAGTCTGGATCTAGAATGAAGTTGGGCATGTGCGGCTATAGAATATATCGTACCTCTGGCGCCGGCCGGCCTTGCAATTGAGCCTTGATCGGCCATGGGAGAGTTGGCCGTCCGTATTGTTGCAAAAGCTCGTTCGTGATGGCAGTATACTTGTCTTCCGAGTCGATAAGCAGGCCATCCATGTCGAACAGGCACGCCCGCACGCGGGGGAAGCTGCGGGGCAATCAATCAGCATGGCAGGGGAATCGGGATGATGACCGGAGATCTTACTTTTCCTTCTTAGTCGCCATTCTGAGGAATGTGGCCTGCTGGGAGTCTTGCTTAGAACTGTTAGAGTGACGAATGTCGAGGAGGAAGAACAAAACAGACTCTCTTCAGTTGCAGTATGACTGGCTTTAGATGATTGTATTTCTGCAGGGACAGGTGGGCGGGCGGGGAACCCAAAAGCGGGATGCCGAACGGAGCGAGTCGCCGACTCCGCGCTTTTTGGCCGCCAGCTCACTCGAGATCTGCTGGTCGTTTAATGAGCTTTCTATCTCGCAGCACTTAAAAGATGGCGAAAGACGAAGCTGCGCCCGAGCAAAGCAAGAGCCAGAAGAATAGCCATGGGGCTGACAGTGACAGTGAAAACGAAGACGAGTTCCACGACGCACGGTTTCCTCCCGAGGAAGAAGCTGTCAGTTACGCCGTTTCTACTCCAAGTTGCATAGGACCTATATACTAACTTGAGTTGCTTGCAGAGATTGCTGCAGGAATCGCATGATGTGAAAGCTGAAGCTAACAAGCTCTTCGCGTCTGCTTGCTATGACCAAGCTATCTCAGCCTACGACCGTGCCCTTGCCTCTTGTCCGAACTATCTTGACTATGAAATCTCCGTTTTGCGAAGCAACATTGCGGCGTGCCATCTGAAGCTAGAAGACTGGAAATCAGCAGTTGATGCCGCTACGGCCAGCATTGAAGCTCTCGAGAGATATCTTCCGTCATCGAAACCAGGCACTGACAACGCAAAGAATGGTGGGGAGAACAAGCAGGAAGAACAAGCGGATGCGGGCGCCGTTGTGGAGCTCTCAGGAGAAGATGACGAAGCACAGAAACAACTCGAGACTTTGAAGCGGAATGATGAACAGAAAGAAAACGTGCGACGGATACGGGCGAAGGCTCTTATGCGACGCGCAAGAGCGAGGACTGAGCTGGACGGTTGGGCAAATCTACAAGGAGCGGAGGAGGATTATAAGGAACTTATCCGCATGGAGAATCTACCGCCGCAGGATAAGAAAATCGTCCAGAGGGCCCTCAGGGAACTTCCAAATAGAATAAACAAGGCCCGAGAAAAGGAGATTGGGGAGATGATGGGGAAGCTGAAGGAGGTATGTTCTTCATCCAGTTCTGTCTATCTGGACTTTTGCTGACTGGGTTTTATAGCTTGGTAACGGAATCCTAAAGCCCTTCGGTCTTTCCACTGATAACTTTAACTTTGTCAAAGACGAAAAGACGGGCGGCTATAGCATGAACTTCCAGTCTTGATGACGGGTTCAAGCGTGGAACCGTCACAGGGCTCATGAATATTCTTCTCAAATACCCTTACCGACTATTATTAGAACGAAAATCAATTTGTGATCTATCAATCCCGACAACGCCCTGCAAGGAGGACGACATTCATATTATCCATATTATTCCTCGCATATAGGATACAGATGCGTACTTGGCCAGATGATCTATTTACGCATACAATACACATGGGAGCATGTAGGCTAGCTTTTATATTCATGAATAAAATTAAATATATCTCTGAAATATTGCCTGTGTACCTGTACCAAGATGATGTTCAGGAACCGTGGCCCAAGTCAGATGAAGGCGCGCTTCTGTACAGGTAGTACTGGACCATTTGGAAATCCCCCTTTCAACCTACGTAGTCTACAGGTGCCCCTGAGTATGCAGGCGAGTGATTAGCTTGCTGCAAGCAGAGTACGAGGTTTCATGGTATCCCCAAGATGCTTTTGCCTAGATTATCTATCTACTTACAAAATGGATATGCAAGGATGTAGACCAGTATTTCCTATTTATTGGGTCCTATGTCTCCACGAATGTCCTGTTCACTTGACCAACCATAGATCCCACGAACCGTAAGCCAAGTGACCCGAAAGGATCATGGCAGGTTCCGCTGTAGAGGATACTTGGTACACTTGCACGCTTTCCACAGTATTCATTCTCTATCGTCATCCTCATCCTTGTCCGAATCCTCCTCGGATCTTGCGCCGTCGTAGCCATGCAACCGTTCGAACAATTCTACCTCCATTCGTTGTGCGGGAAGAGGGCCTCGGAGGATCTCGCCTACCATGTCTGAGCCTGGTGGGAAATCGAACTCCCACATGGGCTCACCAGCACCGCGCATATTGCACAGCACTGCTTGCTCAAAATGCCATCGTAGAAAGAGATCAACGACCCTTTGGGGGTGATTCTGCTGCCGGCAACACACATGCATGACTCTATTGTGGAACTCCCATGTGCTTGGCCGAAATGCGTGAACTCTGTAACCAGCGTTCGGATTCACGGCGATTTCATAACTATCCCAAAGTGCATGGATGTCTTGACGCAGCAGGATACCGTTTTGAGGGGAATTTACGTCCTCGGAAATGTCATAGGTGAGCTTGTTTGCAAATCCGTGGACAGTGAACAACTCAGATAGGGACCGAGGGTATATATGCGCCGCTTGAAATCCAGTCCAACTATCATATGGCGCGTCTAGAGCCCGGTTATGGGTAATTACGCACCGTCGGTCACGGTGTCTCACTTGGTCCCTGAATCTCTCCGTGCTGGCCGTACTTTCCAATGACATAGTTCTTGGGAAGTAACGTTCATTGCTGACGCTGACTTCCTGTCCCTCGATACTTGGATGTACGACGTACCGACCATGACGAAGGACTTGTGAGGTTGGAGATATGGGGGTGGTAGACCCCCATTCACAGACATGAAATGCGTTCGGTGGTACAAAGAGCACTCGAAGCATATCCAGAAACTGTGCTCTTGTCAAGTTCCTTGCAGCACATAGTCCAGCTTGAATGGTGCCCGGTTCCGATGCTAACTCGATGAAAACATTTCTAGCAGGGGAACGGTCGCTCATCCTGGGAGAGCGGCAGGGTGAAGGCTTGGAGAGACAATATCCTAAGACAACGTAAAGTCAATCTTCTCCCCATTCGAAGTGACGAAGGGACTCCGCACAATACCTTTGTCTGTCCAAGCCTGTTAACCTCATTGGGCACTTCTCCATCCAAACTTTGAGATTGTGTAAGGTTAAAGTGGAGACGATAAAGTGAGATAAATATAAGTCCTCAATAATCTAAAACCTGAGGTCAGTAGATATTATGAGATCATATGTGAGTCTGAAAGGATAGTAATATCGAAGTATAGCAGACGCAATGAATACTATATACGCTTAACCATGTTTGATAGCCGTACCTTGGTTTACAGGTAAGATCCCGTGATAGTGGTAAATCATCTTTCTATCTCTGGCAGCCTAGCAACGACTATTTGATAGTTCAGCCACGCTAGGCGTCGTTGGCACAAAGAAATTTCTTCTTCGAACTTGAGTGCTTCGATATTGTCGATCGATACTATATTCCTATGGGCAATGCACGCAAGCCCACGATAATAATATAAATAGGAGCAATAAAGGTCCAAGTGATAACGAACTGTCTATAGTTTCAAGGCGGCTAATACATACTCTTAGCAGGCTAAAGCTGCATGATGCTTAGATTCAGTGGTAAGCGGAGGCTATTTATCGCTATTGATGGAGTTTGTTGCAGAGATGGTGTGGGAGAACTTCGTCAGACTGATTAGCTGGATAGGCAGTCTCCTTCATTAATAGAAAACTTCCCTGAACATTCGGGTGTGAATAACAGGGTGAGAGCGGAGGAATCCATTTTCTCCACTCGGTTTATTCCTTCTTGATAGACTCCGAGGATATGGTGAATTGCCGAGGCGAATAGTTACAGAAATAGGATCGGATTCTGTAGGTATTTGTGAGCTCTCTGTGAATTTAAACGTTTGACTCATGCACGACCCAGTTTTTATCATACTCTACATCCCAGTGAATATCATGACACTTGCTAAGGTAACGCATACTGCTGCAGAAGAAACTAGTTTCAACCGTTTAATCATCCTCCGTTGGGGGATTCACGGGGTACTTAGTAAGTAGAAGGAACTTTAATCATCCAGAGAGATGCTCTGGAAGCCGAAACGGAAAACATGTTGTCTCTCTTTAGGTCCTTGGTAAGTTTATTAGGGAAATTTTCCTCATAATTGTAACATTTAGATACTCAGCACCTTTGTGGGGTGTCCTCTTGTACAGGTGCGAGACTGCGAGCTTTCATCCATCTCTCCCAGAACCCCACCACGGGAAACCCCCGCCAGGGGACCCGTCGTGAATACTGCTAGCAGAATCTGGATAACTAATAATGTGGGAGCTGACATGAGATGTTCCACTAATAAAGTCAAGCTGTTGAGGTAGAAATAGCATCTTAACAGTCCTGTGCCCGAGGTTTTACTGACACAGGTCATCCGCTACGTACTGAAGACATCTCACGTTTGACTACCCAATCCATCACTCACAACATGGCGACCCTCAGGACTACGTCGCTAGGTGAGATCCGCGGCAAAACTGCTGATGGAGTGACTCAATACCTGGGTGTCAAATATGCCTCCTTAAGAAATAGGTTGGCAGATGCGGAATTAGTAGAGACTCGCGAAGGAGATGTCCTCGACGCGACAAAGGACGGGTAAGAGCATAACTAGCCCAGATCATGATGCATGACTGACCATTGCTGATCATTTACAGGCCAACGGTTCCCTCTTTTCATTTTGGTTGCGATCTCGAGCAGAGCGCCATACAGCACACTCTCCCAAAGAAGGAACTTCCTCAGTCAGATCTGGATGGTCTCAATCTGAACATCGCAGTTCCTGAAGGCACAACGTCAGCTTCAAAGCTCCCCGTATTTCTATTCATCCATGGTGGTGGCTTTGCTATTGGAGCCAATTCATGGCCCCAGTTTGACTGGGCCCGACTTGTCAAGCTCTCTGCGGAGAAGGGCTTTCCTATCGTGGCCGTTTCAATGAAGTAAGACTCGAGCAAAAATGATATCCTCGACGCTTGAAATTGCTGACTGGAGTAGTTACCGTCTAGGACCGTTTGGCTTCCTGACCTCTGAAGAGCTCCGTAAGGCTGGCTACAAGGCAAATAACGGTATTAGGGACCAGAGGGTCGCTATGCAATGGGTACAGAAACATATCTCTGATTTTGGAGGTGATCCTAACAATGTTACTCTCGCGGGAATGAGCGCAGGTGGAGGTAAGGCATTATCTATCTCGGTTGTTAGGTGGTACCAGATGGCTAATATTTTTCAGCTTCCGTCACTATCCATCTTCTCTCAGACCAGCCACTCTTTAAACGTGCCATCGCAATGAGCGGCACCTATCTCCTTCTGCCGCCTGTTGAATATAATGCCCAAGAGGAGAACTATAAGGCTGCAATTGCTGCTCTCGGATTAGAGGACAAGACAGTAGAAGAGCGAATTAAGGTGCTACTCGAGACACCAGCACAGGAAGTGATTACGAAATTGCCTCCTTCTATCGCCCTTACTCCTGCAGTTGATGGAGACCTTATTCCCTCGGGAATCAGTTTCTCTCAAACGGAGGACAGAAATTCCAAGGTCCTCAGAGCCAAGGAATGGTGTAAAGACCTGCTGATTGGCGATGCCCAGATCGACGTGAGTATTAACCCAGATCATATGATTGATTTTGCTGCTAATAGATCGTTTCTCTAAAGGCAAGCATTACGGCATTCCTCCGCAGTGACCGCAAGACTGATGCGGCGAAGAAATTCGTATCAGCTATACGCAGCGTCCTTTCCACCTATCCACAGGAGGCAGAAGAGATACTTCAGCAATACGGCGTAAAAGAGGACATGTCCGATGATGAAGCCTTTGTCGGGGTTATCAATTTTTCCAACGACATCTCCTTCTTTGCTCCTGTATTGACATTCGTTAAGGGATGGGAGGGAAACGCCTACGTGTATTATTTCAACGAAGGCAACCCGTGGGAGGGGCCATGGAAGGGGAGAGCTTCCCATATTGTCGACCTTGCGTATTTCTTTCAGAACTACAGGGAATTCCTCACTCCAGCGCAACAAGCCGTGGCTACGGCATTGGCAGAGGACTTTTTCAAGTTCTGTCATGGTGTGGCGCCATGGCCAGCTGTAAAGGGCGGCAACCTTGGGGGTGGCTTTGCAGCCCGCGTCTATGGTCCCAGTGACGAGAAGCCCGCTACTTCTGTTGTGACGCAGCCCTACGGCGGAGAAACCATGCGTAGAAGTATTCTGCTTGATTATGCCGATAAGATTCCATTGGACCTCTTCGTGAAGGTCTGGGATAGGTATTTCGCAGAGTAAATAGTCATATTCGCGAGAGAAATACAATCAAACTGCCGCGCGCTCTCGGCATCCGTGTTTGGAGATCGGGCTCTTCAATGTTATACTGTTGCTCCTGGGCTCCATGGCCGATGTCTAATGTAAGTAATTGCACATTCCAGGATGCTGTTTTATTCGAGATTGATAGGCCTACAGTTCAGGTAGGCCGTTGTTGGTGGTGCTGATAAGGAAAGTCGGCTTTATCCAAAAGCTATTCGGAAACCGGACGTGCTTCATGCATGAACTTAAATATGCCACGAACTCTTCTTAGACAGTAATTGGCGCAGTGAGCTGAAAATACTTCCTCATGGCTATAATCATGACCGTTGGATTTGCAATCTAGACAAGAATATCCAGTGGCAACTCCCATGTTGATGACCGACAGAAGTTGTGCCCGATGCTTATACCCGGTAACCTGCCTCTATGATGGTGCGTTATCACAACTCTGAGACTGAATCTCACTGATAGTGTGCTTAGAGACCTTCTTTAACTTGTGACACAAGCAGATGTAATGATTTTATAACCAGAAACGTCTGACAGTTGGATACTACTGCATCATGGGATATCGGTAAGCCATGCACTGCCGTGATCGCCGCGGAGGTAGCTTTATCTCTATCACGGACACTCTACTGATAAGCGCATCAAAGAACGTGGTACCTAATTCGCTAACACCTCCGAAGACCATTTAAGGTCTCTCACTAAGCTTGATTCTGCGCCGTTATCTAAGCTTTAGAGAGCAATCAACGCTTCAACTTCCCCATTGAGAGCCGTCTAAGTCCCATCCTGTTGGTTTAGGTTATCCTCACGGTGATAAGACCAAGCAGCGGATAGGAAGGCCTATCTCCTTACAAATGATAACTCCATATGGTCGTCGGCATCAAAGATTTATCAAGGTAGTGAAATATCGCCCGATAGAGTATGGATATTCTGATGTTATGGATGCAGTTCCGCGTAGATAATACGGGGCTTAAAGATACCACTACCTGTAGTTACTGTGCCGGCAACATCATTACATCTTCGCCAGGAGGAGTCTGCTTCTGCAGGAAACATTCTAGGCATATTGGCGAATAATTCTTTCGTTCATTGCTAGGCTCTGTCGCATGACAGTCACCTTGTTCTAGCTATACGTCCCCCGATCAGTATCGCAGGTTGCTATCTGTTGCGATCATCGACTGAGAATGACGGACGGCTTCCAGGTCAGCCCGATCTTCGGGCAAGGCGTTGGATATGGCATGGTAATTGGACTGGGGGCTGCTTTCGCTGTTGGAATGTCGTTTGTTTCTTGGGCCCTGAGTCGATATTTGGACGAGGTTCAAGATTCAGAAATGTTCATGACCGCCAAACACTCTGTTAAGACAGGTCTGACTGCCTCTGCCGTTGTCTCTTCGTGGACAATCGCTGCGACGCTCTTGACATCAACCACTGGTATGTTCTGCTGTTGGTAACTTGAAGTCTCAAGGTACTGATTGTTGAACAGAGGGTTATTCTTACGGCATATCTGGGCCTTTTTGGGTAAGATTGTATTCTCCGGGCTGTCGAAGACGCACCAACTAAACGATCATGATAGTACGCTGCAGGGGCAACTGTGCAAATCCTCCTTTTCTCTGTGGCCGCCATCGAGCTTAAGCGGAGAGCACCGAATGCGCAGACATTTCTTCAGGTGCGCGCTTAAATGATCCTCTTCCATCGCAAGACCTCTGCAGCTGACTGTAACCAGGTCGCAAAAGTGCGATATGGAGCTCCAACGCACATACTGTTCTGTTGCTATTCTCAGTTCTATCAGATTATCACTGCGGTCAACCTCTTAGTTGGAGGTTCTGCCGTCTTTTCGAGTTTGACGGGAGTGAATCGTGAATCGCGACGCACTCTGCTTCTTATTCCCCATTGGAGTCGTAATATATACTCTCATGGGTGGCATAAAAGCGACTTTCATCACGGACTGGGTATTTCTGTCCACCCAAGGCTGATTTGGAGTGTTTTGCTGACCATTCCTTAGGTACACACCGTTGTTATCTACGTTATCATGCTTATGTCTATCTTCGTCGTCTACACCACCTCTGATATTATCGGTTCTACAGACCGGATGTGGGACTTGCTCCAAGAAGCCGGAAGACTACATCCAGTCCCTGGTAATGCTGAAGGAACATATTTGACAATGCGCAGCGAGAGTCAGTACCGTCATTACACCTTTTTTATCGAAAGTATCGTGTGGACTCACTCTTGCTAGGTGGTGGTTATATTGGCCTTATCTTCGTTGGGACAGGCTTCGCAGCAGCCGTAGACTCGCAGCTTTTCCAAAAGGCAATCGCGTCAGACCCGAAGAGTACCTCAATGGGCTACATCCTGGGTGGAACCTCCTGGTTCACGATACCATTCGTCCTGGCGACCACTTATGGTCTGGCCGCTGCTGCTACCGAGCATCTGCCTGTCTTTCCAACTTTCCCGAATCGCATGACAGAGTACGAAGTTTCGTCCGGTATGGCGATGCCATACGCAGCTATTGCCAGTTAGTTCTACTAGTTATCCAAGCGGCCGAGTCTTTGCGTGCTGACCCTATGTACAGTAATGGGAAAAGGCGGTGCTGCAGCAATTCTTTTGATGGTTTTTATGGCCGTGACCTCTGCCATGTGAGTACTTCATGTGTAGTAGCTTAGGGGTTTTGCTAACGTATTCTCCTTTAGGTCCTCTGAGACCGTCGCGACAACTGCACTTCTGACGTATAACGTATACAAAGCATACATCAACCCGAAAGCAACAGGGAGACAGATGATGAACTTTTCTAACTGGATCGTCCCCCTCTTCGCTGTTGTATCATCCGCCATTGCTGTTGGCATGAATCATGCCGGCTTCTCTGTCGGCTTCCTCATCACTGCTATTGGAATCGTGGTGGACTCAGCCATTGTCCCGATGGCATGTACTATCATGTGGAAGAAGCAGTCGACCGCAGCAGTTATGCTAGCCCCTATTATATCTTCCATAGCAGGTATCATTGCGTGGCTGCTGACTGCACTGCATGAGTACGGAACGATCAACATCACCACACTCCAGGGGAATCTTCCGCTCGTCGCCGGCAACATGATGTCCCTTACAGGACCCATTCTCCTCACCCCAGTGATTACTTATATCAGGCCCGAAAATTTCGACTGGGAGATATACAAGCAGATCAAGCCACCCCAGGACGAGCAAGAGACGCAAACCTCTTTGGCAGCACAAGAGCGAACACCTAGCGAGATGGAATCCACGAACGACGCTGATACGATAGGCCATGCACACGATGAAAAGGGCCTGCTGCGATCTCGAAATATAGCAATTGGAGTCAGTATCTTCTTGACTCTTTCGTATCTGATCCTGTGGCCCATCCCCATGTACGGAACCAGCTACGTCTTCTCTAAAGGCTTCTTCAAGGGCTGGATCGTCGTTGTCTTTCTATGGGCCTTCTTTGCCGCGACTACCATCACCGTTCTGCCGATCTGGGAGGGTCGAGGCGCGATCAAGAAGTTATTTGCCTTTGTCTTCCATGGTCAGAAGACCGTCCAGGAAGTGGCTCCCATCACAGTTGGTATTGAAGTCACCGACAAAGAAGCCAGAGAATCGACAATGGAGAAGCAGGGAGAGATATTACAATCTCGAGAAGAGAAGTTTATCGGTTGATATATATATATTCCCGCAGTTTAGAATAGTTTATATATCGAAGTAATATGATACTCTTCGACGCGTTTGTCATTCTAGCAATCGAAATTAAGTAGGCCGCATGACTCACTAATGGTACGAATTATCCAAGTATCCAGTCGTGGTATAGCTATACAAGTAAGTACCTAGTACATTGACTTTTTCATCTCGCAACTTACCATAGATCGCAAAGCATGCGACGGTTGTACGTCATCTCAAAGACTTTGGTTGAACCGTTGAAGATAGATAGGGCAAAATTATATTGTCACTGTCATAGTCTTGGCTGCCTAATCGACGAAGAAAAAAAAAGAAAAAAAGAAAGGGCCTCGGCCCTGAACTTGACCATAGATGGAAAGCCAATTGAGGCACTTACGGCTTGGCTTCTCGTCTCAGTTAGCATGGACCGAAATACACGGGCGGAACCCGAGGATCCCCCACCGATCTTTGTTCAAAGGTGGGCACAAAAAAGCATCTTGGCACATTGACGTGAATACTACCTCGATAGATAGAAGTCATCTGTACCAATTTTTTATGATTTGATGAAATGAGTCAACGCCTCTCGATATATCTGCTGGAAATGAGATGTTGACATAATATATAATTATTGCTATTCAGTCAATCATATGGTGGTGATATTAGTTGATTAACCACTGCCTAGATGTGCGAACTGTGACTTCATTGGGTCCATTAGATATGAAATCTGCTCTAGCGCAGTGTCTCTCTGTGCCGCGGACAGGGAACGAAGCATCAAAACCGCCGCGATTTCTGAAATGGAGATCTTCTAAAACTTTCATCATCACCGTGGTGACCTTTGCGGTGTTTACGGTATGTTGGGAGCTCTGCTGCATGTTCGGGTTGAGTGAGATTGAACTGATATAAAATAGGACGTCTTTCTTTATGGTGTTGTCAGTTCAGCTTTCTTACGAGTTTGAGGTAGTGTACTATAAGCACTAATTCCCTGCAGATCATTCCTGTCACCCCTACTGCTTTAGAACAGAGAGTGGGCTTGCCACCAAACGAACGTGAGTCTCTTCATACGTGTATTCTGATGAAGCAAGTCTAATTCTCAATGCAGGCCAAAGATGGACATCTATCCTACTAGCTCTTTACGGAGCTGCTCTCTTGGCTGCCTCCCGTAAGTGTTTTTAAACCGTAATCCCATGTAGAGTCGATACTGACAACATGCAGCCATCTTTGGATATCTTGCCGATAAGATGAGATCGAAACAAGTACCTCTGATCGGAGGTCTCATCGCTTTAGGTGCCTCCACAGCCCTGCTATGCGTTGGGACCAACATGGGTCTCTGGATCGCTGGGCGGATCTTCCAGGGTATTTCTGCGGCCATGGTATGGACCGTTGGACTGGCCCTCGCAGCAGATACCGTTGGTGTCAACGGTATTGGTGAAGCAATGGGATTCATGGGCATGGCTTTCAGCGCCGGTACCATGGTTGGTCCTCTTATAGGCGGTATCGTCTATCAGAATGCTGGATATTATGCCGTGTTCGCTGTGGCTTTTGCTTTGATTGGAGTCGACATTCTTCTTCGACTCATCATGATTGAGAAGAAAGACGCTCAAAAGTGGCTTGATGTGCCGGAATTGCCCCTATCTACCACAGAGGAGACTGTCCAGCACACTCAGACAGGCGAAGAGATATGCACAGAAGCTCCAGCGGCCGTGTCAATACCAGAAAACACTACTGATACAGCCAACGATGAGCCTACGACACCACCCCCGAAAAAGGGGACTCGTTTGCCACCAGCACTAACACTTCTTGCAGAGAGAAGGATGATGGTGGTCCTATTTGGATATCTCGTGGTGTCCATACTCATGACCTCGTTTGACAGTGTCCTGCCACTTTTCGTCCAAGCAACTTTTGGCTGGGAGCAGACCGGTCAAGGTCTCATCTTCGTACCTCTTCTTCTGCCTCACTTTTTCGATCCTGTCTTTGGTCGAATCATTGACCGCTATCCCACATCTGGGAGGTATTTTGCTGCCGCAGCACTCTTCTTCTCAGTGCCTGTTTACGTTCTATTGCGTCTCGTTGACCACAATTCAACAAGACAGAAAGTATTACTCTGCGCACTTCTGGTCCTTGTTGGTGCAGGCTTTGCAGGTAGTCTGTGTCCTCTTTTCGCTGAAGTATCTTACGTTATCGATGCCAAAGAGCGCAACTCCCCTGATAGTTTTAACGGGAGCAGTGCGATCTCTCAGGGTTATGGCCTATTCAATGGCGCCTTTGCTGCAGGCAGCTTGATCGGTCCCGTCTGGGCTGGTCTCATCCGGAATGATTATGGATGGGGGACCATGGCATGGACACTAGGTCTGCTCGCAGGCGTGGCAGCTATAATACTATTCTTCCTCCTGGGTGGATGGATTGGAAATAGGAAAAAGGGCCAAGAAGAGGGCGTGACAGCCCATGCCTGATTTACGATGGAAGGTGACGCTGACTTTCTATGAGTCGTCTCGTCGCTTCCTAGGACTCTGGAGTCTCAGTTCCCTTCTCATGTCATTCTTAATAGCTTTTTGTGGGCTGGAAAAAACGGTACATATGGGTATGTCGTATATAGTTTTTGTATGACATTATATGGATGATAGATAGATACTCTCTACTTTGACACTGATTCGAGACATTTCATGAACGAGCTCCGTTGGCTCCCTTCGGATTTCCACAAAATAGTTTTCCTAAGGTGTGTTTGACTACATGAAGACTGCATAGAAGCGATAGATCATACATCGAAACACCGGAAGATAGAGTCCAACGTGATACAGTGAGCTCTCGAAAGATGTCCCTTTAAGGTTATTAGATACCATATCCACTCTAGCAGGTAACTACTTCCCGTTTGAGATAGTCATTACATGGTATCTGAGCACGTTTCACAATTCTTCTGAAACAAAGCATTGTCCAGGAACCACAGTTACTTGATACTGTTTAATTAAATATATGTTTGACATGTTCATCAGTAAGTACCCCTCTGCCCCGCAAAGTTGATTGATTTCCCCAACCGGCACATACAAATACAGAACATCACAGCAACAACAATTCCCAGCAATAGAAATAACCTATACATCTTCAATAATTTAAAGCAGACTACCCCGTAAAGCAGCACGACTACTCTTATCCGAATCTACAACCGAACCCATCGGACAAAAGGTCGCTGGCCCCACGAAGCCCCACATTACTTAGCATCGGGGAGGAGAACGTTGGAGAAGAAACGAACATCTCGAAAACAGCGGGGCTCAACAGCCGAGAGAGGAACAAGCTAATCAACTTAGGAGGTGGAAATGATGCTAGTAGTAGTAGTAATAGTTAGTAGTTGAATTAGAAGAAAAGAAATTACGAAAATGATTCTCCCATTATCGTTGCTGTCGCTGTCGCTGTTGCTGTCCTTCAGTTCGCGGGAATAGGTTATCTGGTTTCTTGACGACCTGAAGGTGAAATAAGAGAGAGAAAAAATGGCAACAGTACCACTCAAGCACGATAAACTCAATGCGACTTTCCTCGGGAAAGTTGTAGAGAGTCACGGGGAGAAAATCAATGTTTTTCGTGGAATCAAGTATGCTTCCATACCGGGACGATTTGAGCTTTCGAAACCTGTCGATGATTGGGAGGGAAAAGAGGTCGATGCGACGAAATACGGGTATGTATGCGATTCTTACTTATGTGATGGCTATTAATGCTCTGAATTCTTTTCTGGTTTTGTTTTGAATGGAATGGTGTTGGATCCTAATTGTTATCTTTTCTTGTTATGATGCAGCCCGCGTTGTCCCCAGGTGGATATCGATGTGCGACATCTACTCCGTCTACCAGAAGACTTTAAGATTGAAGACGAACCAGAGGATGAATTTGAGTGTTTGAATTTGGAAATTGCCTGTCCTGCGAACATATCTTCGTCGAAGCCTTTGCCGGTTCTATTGTGGATTTATGGTGAGTTTCGTATGATTTAACTTCTGCGAAGATCGATCTGTGAGACGAAAGCTAATATCATTTTCTAAAGGCGGTTCACAGATCGTGACTTATTGTTCCGGCGCATCTAAGATTTGTGGTAAGTGTTGCTCTCTGTTGCGCGAATCTTTATATAGACGCTGATTGATATTCTTGTAGATACTACTCGAATAGTAGCCGATTCCATCAAAGCTGGAAAACCAATCATTGTTGTTTCCATCAACTATCGTCTCAACATCTTCAAATTCGGAGACGGCAAGGAGAAGAACCTCGATGTTAAGGACCAAAGGCTTGGAATCGAGTGGGTGAAGAAGTACATTGCAGGATTCGGTGGTGATCCCGTAAGAATATGACGACCATCATATAGGACGGCGGGTATTTCCGATATTGACAATGACAATAGGACAATATCACTCTAGCCGGAGAGAGTGCCGGCGCCATCTACGTCCATGTACACACAATTACAGGACCGCCTGTAAAGAGAGCAGTTTTGGCTTCTGGGTCTCTGTATCTTTCGTCTCCATTGCCGGTGGAGAGAGGAGACGCTCTCATTAAGAACCTGGAGGCAAAGACGCAGGAATTTGAAGGCAAGACACTTCGTGAGGCTTCTGTTCCCGCGCTGCTGAAGGCTCTTACTGCCTGCAACGTCAATACAATGTGGCTTCAAGAAGAAGCGGAGCTGGAGAACTGGGAGTCCCGACCGGAGCAAGTGGATGAGCTTATGATTGGCGATGTTGAATATGAGGTCAGTTCCGTTGTGATTTCTTAGCAAAATTCATTAAAGCTGACATTGTTTCTAGTCTGTTATCTGGCGAAATGGGGTCGAGCTTCTCGACGGTCAGACTATCACAGCCGCCTTTGAGCAGAACCCAGAATGGGGCACCAAGCTCCGAAAGCTTTACCACGTCGTTCCGGACAGACCAACGGCTTGCAAACTGGGCGCATTGGACCTCGTGAATGATGCCCGATACACCCTTCCGGTAGAGCTCATTTCGGAGAAAGTCCAAGCCGCAAAGAAGTCTGTCTACAGATATGTAATCGACCAACCTAACCCTTTCCAGCCGTCCAGCAGAGCGCACCATGCAGTGGACCTGCTCTTTCTCTTTGGGGGCGTGGACCTCTCGCACAACCCATCTGCAGAGGCTGTCGGCCAAGAACTACGAAACCGCTGGATACAATTCATCAACGGCGAAGCACCATGGCCAACTGAGCGTAGGTTTGCATTTGGGCCATTGGGAGAATGCAAGGAGATCGACGAAGAGCAGTTTGCGGCGCGGCGAAGAGTCCCACAGGTAAAGGCTCTGAAGGAGGCTGGTACAGGCGTCTATCTCCCTATCGTATTTGCGTTGACCGCAGGAAGGATAAGCTTGTTGAATTAGAGAACGTGATAATGGTTATACAGAACAAATTTTATACTTGCACTGTGCACTGTACCCCAGTTTGGCGAACTAGATCTATTCAGAATCCGAATATACAATGCCCAGGATTAATCTTCCATTGCCCATGTTGAACCCCCAGAGACCTTGTGCCGCCTTATTCGGTAGATCCTGTGGCGTCCCCGGTTTGCGACGGCCATCACTGTAGATAGTATAGTCTGTATATTTGCGCATTGATAAATCGAATTCCTGGTGTACAGTGCCTGTTGGGTCTGACATTTCCGTAGGTCCGCCAGCCAATGTATGGAGGTCTGTATCGCGTCGATCGCGTGGATCTTTGCCGTGAAACTAAACACCATAAGCACGGAACTGGGCATACGGAATTTACCATCACATACAGTAATCTCAAGAATTCCGTATAGTCCCGATTTTATCACCAAACGGGATATTATCTCGTTCTCCCAAAGTTGTACTTCACCACTGCGTTCCCCAAATACATAACCGACGGAACGCTTGATTCCTGAATTGTAGATGAATTCCAAGCCTGTGATGTATTTAACCCCACAATTGGAGTTTCGATATGCTGTAATGGAGACAACTCGATCGGGCTTGCCCTCAAGGCTCATGTCTTCCCAAAGAGCCCTCTCTGCAGCCATCCATGGAAACCTGGAAGAATAACTGGACGGGTGCCAAAGGACGATGCGCTCCGAACCTGTGACTGGTAATAAGAGGACTCGAGGATGGTCCCATTTGGCATTGAATGCCCAGGCAAAAAAGGCCTAGATGTAAAGGAAGATTAGCTAACGTCGGTGGATGGCAAGTGGATTGACGTACGAGTCGTTCCAGCCTATTTTCTCTGAATCGTAACTCAATATACTCCCCGACTGGAAGTAATTCTGCACTCTGGACGATCTTGAGCCTTTTCTGTGAGGTTAAAATAGACAGTCGGTCTATCCGGCCGCGGGGAAAGTTCTCGTCGAAAGAAACATCGAGTTTAGACATGCATATAGATACCTCGACAATCCTTTCATCTGGGTCGAGGTCAACGGCATCTACCTCTGAAATCCACTGCCCAATAATCTGCGAAGGTTGTTGGTCGAAGTAATCTAACCATAACCCGGATATCTCCCTCGGTTTTCGGGGGCGAGATACAGATCCACAAGAAAAGCGTATGCGCCTAACAGCATCGAGTGGCGCATAGGTATAAGCCTTACATCCCGAAGCTATTCCCCCGATTAGGGATGAACCCACTGAGGAGCACAAGTCGGGAGCAGATAAAGCATGATCACCTTTGATATGGTGATTAGGGTATATCGATCCAATATAGCTTGACATAATGTCACACTGTAAGCCCAAGGTTTGAAAAACTTGATTGCCAACCTGTAGAATGAAATGTGAGCAGGTGACATTGATATTACTTGAGGTGAAGATGTGTCACGAACCCCGAGTATCGATGTAAACCCAGTGATTATTTGGCCATGAGGGGCCTTTAGAGTCTCCTTTCTGTATGTAACGTCGTTATACGAGCTTTCTTCGAAGGGCGCAAGAAATTGCTCCGGAATTGACTCCCCAGGACGTTCTAAATGGAGAGCATCTGGCATGAAGGTAGTATTCCTTCCAAAATTTGTCTTGACCTAAAGACACGATATCAGTTCTCCGTTAGTCTCAAAAAAAGAAAAGAAAAAAAGAGCTTAACAGACCTGGAGAGACCAGAGGCCTATAGAACTTGAGGCTTGTTCATAGGTTATTTCCGATATTCTTTCGCCTTCAGCTGCATTAATGACGAATGAGACCTCAATTCGGCCTTGTCTCCCGTACAGAATGGAGGAATTCCCATCATAATCAAATGTGAAACCGACAAAAGCAGCCGTTTCATCTTTCATATGTGCAGCCATCCGGGTTATCTTCCCCAGACTTTCTCCCGCGGGACCCCCAAAGTCGATATTTAAATTGGGGTTGTAGGATTGATAAGGGAGATTGCTGGGCTTTGGGATAAGAGATGTTGCGCGTGGATAATCTGGTGTCCAGATAGGCTGCACTTCGAATTCTTCAAAGCTGGGTCTCTCTGAGACTTTACAGGCGTGGTCAATATTATTACTTTGTTCAGCATCCACCAGCGCGAGGCTAATCAGCTTGAAGGCCTAAAAGAAAAGTTAAATGGGCGCCAATCTATTCGGGGAATTACTTACATCGAAGCTGCCAGCGAGCTTAAAAGAGCTGGTCTCGCATCGGAGGCATAACGTTCCAAATGCAATATCAGGTTCGCCTTTCCCGATATTTCCTACCCACGTTGACATGTGTCTGTGGGAGCGTGCATCCAAAATAATTCTAACACCAACAATACCGTCGTCACATGTCGCCAGTTCAAAGCCGGCAAACCTTTCCTCTGGTGAGATCAGCAAGAGACCCTCTGAACTTGACGTAATATAGCCAAGGGAACATTCGGATGCGACATCTGGCTTAGTGAACAGCCGGATGCCTGAAACAAATATCCGCGCATTGAATTCGACCGTAGAAATACCAACTGCAGATATAGACTGTGCTTTTATCGAAGTATGAAGGCTCCTGATGAAGATCTCTCGAGATCCGACACGTAATAATTCGCTGTCTCCGGCCAGTAATTCAGTAACGATGATTTTAGGCGGTGATAGTTTCTCAAGAGACCCGTTTTGTAGCCCGCCGAGAGAGAAATCAGACCAAGATGTTGCAATACCATGTAAACGGATGCCCTGTAAGTGCAAACTTAGAAAAGAGGCGTTCCTGCTGATTATTTGCCATATCCTTTTCCGATTCTCCAAGCGTGGAAAAAACTGTGGAGTTCGTAATGCATGCTTGATTCCGAAGTAAAGACTGCGCCAATCGTAATGATTACCTAAGTGAGTAGGCAGGGCAAAGCCCATCTCAAAGTCAGGTGAAAATCGACTTCTCCAGAAGAACTGCGATAGAGCATCGACACTAGATCTCATGGAAACCGATCTAGACGCTAATCGCAGATTCTGAATGTCGTTAGGTGGCATCCATGTCAGTATAAGATGGATGATCTCCATAGGAAGTTTTGCGAAAACATCAAGAGAGGAGACCTCTTCAGAAGCAATAGCCTTGTTATGATGTTTCGGTGGCACATGGACAGGACCTAAATAATGGATGATATCATCTATACCGGCAAATCTGGAAGGATCAAGTGCATAATAGATATATCCTCTGCTAACCATCTCTCGCAAAGGATCATCACGCCTATCACAATCCTGAAAGTTCGTTGCGCCTCCGAAGTCATGCCCAGATCGAATAAAGTTCGTTTCATTCCAAGTTGTGCAATACAAGATGTAGAATAATAAAGTGGCGAGTTGACCCGTATCGGCAAGGGAACAAGATGTTCTTTCGCGCAAGATCTCCCAACATGCTGCGTGGAATGTAAAGGACCAGACGAAATGATCAGGGTCGTAGAAATATCCGTATGATTCCAACAATACCCCTGGAGTTCGGTAGGAATGATCCGGATCCTGCGGTGCGACAATAAACTGCGATGCGTCAAGATATCCGACACCAGTGAGATAGACAGTATGGTTTGACTCCATACGCCGTACTAGAGGACACCGACGTGAGCATTGGATAATACATGAAAACGGCAATATGCACGAACCAGCTCTGATCTCTCGATGCCATTGCCATTTCAAATCCTTAGTCGGTGGGCCACGTCCCGGAATGTAGACGCCACATATCGTGCAGAAGGTGAGCATCTGAAGCTTCTCTCCAGCGGTCTGGCGAGAATGGCCCGCTTCGTCATCTGAGCCTCCTGCTCTAAACGACAGATTGAAATATCCTGAACCTCTTAATAGGAAAGCTTGAATTCGGCAATCCAGCTGCGTGTCGGGAGAAGCTAGTTAGGTATTTTTGTTGGACGTCCCCCTGGCCACTAGTGGCCACGTGATCCATGTCAGGATATATGCCGACCCCTAGTTAACTCGTAATTATTATTAAAAAGCAAGCCAGCTTCACCGCTTCCTTCGATAACTAATAATACCTCTGACTAGATGACTACCTAAGCTAGTTAGCCGGGTGAGCGGAGATCTTCGACAACATCTAGAAACTGGAGAGATAGAAAAGCTTAGATTCCTAGGTAGGTACCAAATTAGGAGGGAAAGCTCGAAGCTCTATCTACCTAACTATCTGCTGTGCGCCGATATAACCTAATAACGGAACAAGGCAGGCGATTGCCTACTAGGTCCCAGGGACCCAAAAGAACATTTGACTATGGCGGCACCTCCTGCGATGACTTTGGTGACTACCAACCTCGGCTTGTTCAGTGCGCTTTCCGCTATCAAGCCTGACTCGACTGAGGTCCCGGTCTCCATTCTGTGGACGAACATTTGCCTTACCTTCTTTCCTATGGATAGTTTCAAAATCAGCAAAAAGGAAACCGTTTCAGTCGTTTTCCAAGTCCGGTTGCGACATCCGCAAGTCGTCCATCCCAATAGCTCCTCCGACCTTGAAGAAAGACAAATCTTCATTGTCGAATGCAAGCGGCCTAGTAAAGATACTCCTGCGGAGTGGGAAGCTACAGCTGGTCAATTGAGCCATTACTGTGAACAGAACCTGGACGGTTCGACAAAGATATTTGGGGCTACTGCTATCGGTACCAAAGTCAAATTTTGGAGCTACAATAAACCCCACCTCACGGAACTACACGGCGGAGTGTACGATCTCTCGGATCAATCAGGACGTGACAATGCCGAGCAGTCCTTACTGTATATCCGGGACAATGGTTGGGCTTGGACTGCGTCCGGATAGCCATGGGCCGTTCAGTATGAAATGCCTGGCATTTACAACACGATGCGGAGGAACACGACCAGATCTTGGTGAGCTGGCGAGCTAGATGGCGACAGTAGCGGCAGTGCGTGGAAATTTGATTTCTTGGTAGCAGGATAGGGGCTTGGGGTAACTCTCAGTGTCATATATTCGGAAAGTCCTGGAGACTCGTGCATATACTTCTTGGTAGCGAGGCAAATCAGATAGTTGTTGCAACCGGTTCACGTCAACACAAATCGATCGCCTTGTCTGGTAATCGGCCTCTATTTTGGTCCCCGCGCTACGGGTCTAAGCCTAAAAATAGCAATCAACGCGCGATCATTAAGACTGAAACTTGTACATTCGCATATATAACAGGCTAACTTATGCATAAACTATCATGTCCAAGAGAATATCACAGACTGGAAACTATATGGGATATCAATTATCGCACAATGGGAATCAGTGGACGCCATTTCCAACCCCGTTGGAGTGGATGGACAGACCCTTGGCCTTCTTAGCCAGGATCTCCTCTACCTCTTTAGCGTGGCTCGAGAAGTTGTCGACCAAGTTATCCCACATCTTGGGCTCGTGTTCGTGCTTCTTGTCGCTGTTCCAGGCGTAATCGGTGATCGTGAACGGGCGGCTAGACTCGAACATAAAGGCAATCGAGCCCTGGGAGATCTGCATAATTGGCGGTGCCTGCTCGGAGGCAGCTTTGAATTCTTCATACGCGACACCGTGGGGGACCACTATGAAGAACTGTTAGTCGAGTTCACATTGAGCCAGGGTAAGAGGGAAAACGTACTGCCACATTCGAAAGACACACTTCCAGGCTTGAACTCATCCGAACGACCGGCATAATCTCCATAGAGAAGACCCATAAGTTCCGAAGCGACGTTCCGATGATAGTAAGGGGGACGGTATGTGTCTAACACGGGTCAGTTATTGAATGTTCTAAGAGAACTCGTCCACACTCACGTGAAGCAACATCCCATCTGGGAGAGAAAATAAGGAGATCAGCCAGGGGAGCCGTGGGATCGCGGGACTTTGCGGTCAGGATGCAGAAGATCGACGGATCGATGTGATCGACTGAGATAGAACCAACGTTGACGAATTTGGTCATATCGTACTTGTACGGAACCTATGGATTGTGAGCCTTGAAGAATCCAGAGGGAATTGGATAATAACATACATAGTTTCCGTGCCAGGCGACAACGTCGAACGGGCTGTGATTTTGAGTGCTCTTGAAGAACTTGCCTCCCAACTTGTAGACAATCTCCCATGGCTCTTTGATGATTTCGTACTTCGCAACAGGAGTCAGGAAGTCGCGTGAATTGGCCAGGCCATTGGCGCCCAGCGGTCCCAGTTCGGGAAGCTCAAAGTTAGCTCCCCAGATCTCCAGGATATAGCCCCGGGATGGGCCATCAGGTAGTTCGACTCGGAATCTGAGGCCGCGCTGAATAACGACAAACTCACCCGGCTGGACAAAGATGGGTCCAAACTCGGTCTGAATGTCCAAAGCTCCCTGCTGGGGAAGGATGCAGAAATCGCCGTCTGAGTTTACGAAGGCCTTCTTCTTCATGCTGGCATTGGCGGTATAGACATGCGTGGCAAGACCCTCCCTCAGTGTGGGATCGCCAGATCCAGCGACAGTCTTCAGGCCGTCAACGAAATCGACTTCTCCCGAAGTTGGGATATCGAACGGTCTCCATGCAAGCTGGGTTGGCGACACGTGGACTCTGGGGTTGATGGGCAGGAAGTTGGCCTCTGTGTCCTTGTTATCCGGCAGGTCCGTCTATCTAAAGGTTAGTATGACCAATTGAAACAACGTGGTTGTGCATACAAATCCTTGGTGTGCCACTGCTGGGCGAGCACGATAGAGCCATGCTTTCTTGTTGGAATGGCGAGGAGCCACGAAGGCAGATGCAGTGATCTGTTCCGCGTAGAGACCGAAACGGACATTTCGGGGGTTGTTCTGGCCCTGTGGAATGGTGCCAGGAACAGCCTCAGATACGAAACTGTTATTCCCCTTACATCAGCGTGTTGAAATGCTAGATGCAGACTTCGTTATCACATACTGGTTGCCAAATCCAGCTTGGTACTATGTCTTCGTTAGCGCAAGTTGATAGGGGAAGTACATTTCAGTAGCCAATGAGATAATTTACCTCGTAAGGATCATTCTTTCTCGTGTTAAAAGATGGGATTGCACCATCTTTCTGAGTCTCCGCCCAGTGAAATATCTTCTGATACTCCTGGGGGTCCGAGAGACCGCTTGTTGATGCTGGCATGATGGACAAACTTTCGATCTGACTTCAGCACGTAAGGAAGAAGGTACTTAATCAAGTTTCACCTAAGGATGAGTAGTATCAAAACCACAAAACGAACTGCCCTAAGTCCGTCAGGAGCGTCCGTTCATATACATGAAGCCCCGGCCTCTCATCCTCCGGTTTCCGTGGGGCTGATGACATCTGATGAGTACAGTAAGATCTTTGTCAGGACCGGGACCTTTCTCAAACAGTATAAGCTGCGACAATCTATGGGTCATGTCGGATCATGGACCTCGACTTCTACCGGTTGATGGTATGTCTCGTGCGCGTCCAGAGAGGAATTGCTCTCTATCTTGGCGACCGGGGAGGATTGAGTTTTGCCGTGGAGATCCCAGTGGATCACCGGGGAGTGAGGAGGATGTGGGGTATATCTATGCCATATGGTAAATCATCTTCAGCAAGACGAACAGCATCAGGAAATGGCTGCTAGATACGGAGTAATTTGAGCCTCCGGAGCGCTGCTTAACAGTGTCGAACACCGAAGTCGACTCCGTAGTTCCGGCCAATCCCCACAACGGGGTCATCTACAACGGGGCTGACCAAGCCTCTGTGGAGAGCTTCCTGCTATAGACGGGATTCATCACTCCCTCAACTGCCGAAGTTATCCATAATCTACTCCTCAAGAATCTTCTCGATGTTCTGAAACCGACCTCTGTTCGAAAGGTTTGTCATGCAGCTTCAAGTCTGGAAGCTTCATGTCCAGACCGATTGTTGGCGAAGAGGTGGTTCGTAACAGTCAAGATGCCCCAACCTTTACAGTGCTGATCAAGTGAATAATGGTCAGGGTTGAATATTCTCGGTCTCCTTGATGAATTATCGCAGTTTCAATGATTTTGGAGCGTCTTTTTTGTTCCGTACCCACTTCAGACTCCATAGTGTCTTTCCCTCTGTAGACTGTCGGAGATTTCTCGAGGCGGAAGAATGTAAGCACTGGAATGGTGTTGGTAACTAGATTGGTCCTAACGAGTTAATAATGGATTTTGTCTTCAATACTGACTGACAACGCGAGTAGAAGAACGGGGAACTAGCTAACTAACTAACCTATGAGTGTAGAGATAAAACGTCCTGTCCTTCCAGCGAACATATAATGTCAAAATATGTACGATGTATGTATGAGTGGAGTGGGAATGTCTGAATATATAGCTGACGGTCTTCGCTCGTAAGTTCCGCTTCATGCGATACGACTCAATAGAGCGACGAAAGGACCACTGCTCAGGGGCCCTGATTAGTCCCCGTTATGCGTACGGCCTCTCAATGTGTTGGACAGGGAATCTTTAGAGCGCCTGGACGCATACTTCAGCGTAATATCACCGGTAATCGATAAGTAGGAAGATAGAAAGGAACATGTTAAACCCGTGGTCAGTGATTGATTCACTCGATAGTTCGTACTTAAAATACAAGTCTCTATGTTCCATAGACGAAAGATGGAGCGTCATTCATCGATCTTTCACATTGGTATGCAATATATTACAACATGGAGCCTCCTCAAAACTGAGATATGCCCCTCATGTATCAAGTAACCTTTAATGGCCTTTTGACGAATTCATCAAGCTCTGACCATTGACTCTTCAATGCTTCAACTATCCAACATGTGTTCCATCCCATGATTTCCTTGACTCTCTTTAAGTAGTCAATGGCACCCTTGCGTTGTGCCTCGTGCGATAAGCAATATCCATCTAGATGAGAATTAGTATCACTAGCAGGGCGACAGTCGGAATTCATGGGTATTTATGCCTACAACTACAGATAAAGTGACTCGCAGTAAAGTGCGCATTTTCGGTAGTGTCGTTTGAAATGGCGATTCCAATTATATCAGCCAAGTAAGAGGCAGCAGCAACCTGATGCTAGTTAGCATATATCATGAATTAACTTAACGGGTAATTATTTCATGTCTACCTCGGCAATGCGCATCACCTTTGCAGCCTCGAATCCACCTGCCGATTGAGCGAGTGGTTTATGAATGGTTAATAGAAGCATTGCGCCGTAATAGTACTGCATGCCAACAGCTATTCCAAACAAGTCAGTACATGTCTTCTGATCATCAAAAGAACGGCCGTACCCGCAGCAGAAGATAACATCCAGAACTCTGGAAATAACTTCCCACTATCTGGGTCTGCTTCGCCATGGTTTAGTGGAGTAAATGATGCCGGCTTAGAATCATGCCAGCTCTCGATTTCCCTTTGTAGGAAGTACCAGTCCTCCGGACTGTTGGAATACTCTGCCCCATTATATATGTAACGTAAAATCTTCGCAAACAGAAACACAATAACATTAGTATAAGAGCCATCATCGCGGAGTCGAAATGCGTCAGAAAGCTCATAATTTTCGAGACGTAGTTCCAACGGTTCGTGTAGCACCAATGAGACATATATAGCCTGTCGAAGGAAGAGCCAGCTTGTAGCTTCGACCAATCCTCCAGAAGCAGAGAATTTGGCAACAGCATTGAGTAGACTGGTGGACCCTAGGAAATGTCGTCTTTCATCTGTCTGGTTCTCGAGTTCTTCGTAATGGCGTAAAAGCACAACTGTAACGAGGAGATTCCCGTCGTATGTCTCCTCCGGGCGACTGAGAGACGGAATCAAGAGCTCCAAGCACTGGCCATGATAGGTACTGCTTTCGAGTTCACCGGAGCCTCGCATGATCGAATCATGGCGAGATGCCACAGCTAAAAGAGCGAAAAGCAGCATTGGTTCGTGTAGCGCGCGTCGAGGCACCTCGTTCCCGAAATGACACTTCGCGTCTGATATGTCCAACTTGGAGGTTGTAAGTAAGGGCCATTCGCATATTTCAGCTACAGACATGGAACGGGGCTCTATGTAGGACTTACCCATGGTGACATCTTCTGAACAAATAGCCGAAGAAGAAATGCCTCGCGTGGAGATAGAAAAGAATGGGCAGAATCTCGAGGACGAAAACCCGGGGAAGGAAATACTTTATCAAGCGACGTCGGCGACCCCAAGTAATCCGTCCTTACAGGTGACGAGACTTTGTGTAAGGGGTTTGTATTTGTTGGTGATGGTTGCGCATTATCAATTGGATCTGCTTGGCCCGAGACAATTGTATGACTGTCTCGCGTTGCGTGTCCTCCTAACGTGAGTTGGCATTCTGCGTGCGACGGACTCCAACCAGAAAACGAACCACAGCCAGCAGAAGCTTGATTGTTTGCAGATTGGTCTTCGTTCCTGGAAGAATGATGATGGGTGAAGAAAGATGGCAAGGGTCCGCTGTGGCCCTCTTCATCTAGGCCGTGCTCGTTGGAGATATCGCTGTTTCCATCTACAAAGTGAACTATAGTAGACTTCGTTAGTTATCAGTTTCGATCCTTTTCTCAATACGGAAAGTATTGCAGCGAGAACTCAACTCTAGAAGGCAAAAGACAATCATGCCAGTGAATATTCATAACAAGAGAGGAAACCAGAATAGATGAATACATACGTGGCTTCGAAACTTCGACCCATGGCTGCCCTTTATCCCACTGGAGTATGAATCTCGATCGTGCGTCTCCTTCTTTTTGATATATATGACGGACAACCTTGAAGCGATAACGAGGCGCAAACTGACATCGACGACCGGTATCCGCACACTTATTGCACGTAGAAGCGCCCTCGAGAATAACACATTTGCTATGACGACGTCGGCAATTTCTGCATCCTACCTTTACCATAGTGAGGATTAGGATGATGATTACTATTCAACTCTGCGTGTTGCATAAAGAGTTCTGTTACTGATTTCCTACCAACGCGGAGCCCCCGCATTGAGGATGCGGGGGTCTATTGCCGGGGAGCGCCACAACTTCCCGACATGAGTAAGTGCGAAATGCAGATTTGACGATTGTCTGTCCATATATTATTATATTGATGGCCATGTGATACCCATTGGCGGTGCGACTCCAGACACGATGGCAGTGTTACGACTATGGAGACTGTATACCTACCCTTTATCTTTGTCCAAGGAGACCTTGGGACACTCAGTCTTCTTGGTGTCCATACTGGAGGTCTTTAATTATGCGAAGTACAAAAGACTAATGAGATTGACAACACGAAATCAGTATATCGATGGTTAGATGCACAAATACTTGGCGAAGGCTTTTGGGTTCTAGCCAAAAGCCTTGAGCCGTCATTTATGTTCACGGCGACTACGTATAATAGTGTCTATCATCTATGGCGCTGTACTCTGCACAAGACCCCAAGATACCCCAGATTCCCCGGCAAACGCTTATCTGAACAGCAGCCATTCTCAAGTACTCGTCCGGCCCTTGCCCACGGAATGTCCCCATGGGGAAGATGGCCGCTAAATGTATGAAAGACACCGCCCATTCACTGCCAAGACACGTATGGAGGAGGCGTTTATCTACTTCAGACACGAGCGCTGCTAAAGGGCAGTTTTCCCCGCTGGTCTGTGCAATAAGTACATTGGCAAAGAAGATATCGGAGACTGCATTTGACCATCAGAAGCCGAAGAGGGCTGGCTCCTTGGCCTCCGTCAACACACTCTGCTGTCATCGAAAATGTTCCTTCAAAAATCGATTACCCACCACACTATCCCCTGCAAAATGAAGACCAATTGACGTATTGGTAACATGGGTTAACCCAGATTCATCAATGCTCGATTCGATGGTGGATTCATGGGTGCTGTTCCGTGCAACGCTCTTTGCGGGGAGACTTACCCCATACGCGAGCTTTATTTGACCCCTGGCAGGAGGTAAGTAAGCAATCGGTCCGTCTCTAAAAACTGAAGTGCAGTGCTACTATCAGTTGTCTAGTACTCCCTCCAGCAAAGGCAAGTCTGTTTCGATTTGGTAATTTGGACATGCCCTCCATCAGGTGCCATTTCAAGCAGATTCGGGCATGGCGAAGTGGGAAAGTTCCAAGAGGCCCAGAAGTCAAATAGCATAAACAATATAATATCTCCCAAGTCAATAATTATTTTTAACCAGCCTGTGCACTTTCTGTCTACAGCAGTTATTTAAAGTCTCAGTCGTCAGCCATTTTAGGACCTCTGGTTAGCTTACTTATCCTACTTGTCTTTTACGCCTCGACTCGACCGTTCTTTGGCTTCTCTTTCATTTAATCTGCTGGAGACGAGATCAAGACAGAAATCAAACTTCATGTGGCTCCTAGCAGGTGCCCCGTATGCGGCGGCCGTACTGTTTTTTGCGGTGGTATACTTCTTTGTGTACCCCTTTATAGTATACATCCGGGACCCCAAGGGTATGTGGCTTGATTACTCTAAATATAAATAATCATATTGACAGAACAACAGGTCTTAGGAAATATCCCAACATGTCTCCGTTCTCAGGGATGTCCGCTGTGCCATTCATGCTCCTCGCAGCAACTGGCTCCCGGTCAAAGAAGCTTGCGGAAATGCACAAGAAGCACCCTGTTCTGCGAACAGGACCAAACTCTCTGTCCTATGGCGATGCCCGTGCAATTAGGGACATTTACGGCCATGGTACCAAGTGTATCAAGGACCCTTCCTACATCGTCGGAGCTGGTACCCACTTTCACCTGGCCGATGTCGTTGACAAGCTCGACCATGCACGCAAGCGCAAGGTTCTTTCGTCCGCCTATGCCCTGAAGAACCTCGAGACTTGGGAATACAAGGTCACGGATAAGGCTCAGAGACTGGTCAATCATTTGGACAAGGTCTGCACGGAAGCGCTCGCGAAAGGCATGAGCAGGCCTGATCCCAAGGACCTGACTGTTGACCTTCGGGCATGGACGAACTTCTTCACGCTTGATGCCATCGCAGATATCGGACTATCGGAGCACCTGGGATTCCTGGACCAAGGACACGACCGCTGCATCGCCCAGAAAAAAGATGGCACCACTTACGAAACCAACCTCCGTGAAGCGCTCTATCCTACCGCTCGTAAGCAGTCCCTGATCATTTGGGACTACGACTGGTATCCGACGGTCAACAAACTTGTCAATATCATTCCCTTCTTCAACCGAATGCAGAAGTCAGCCGATAACTGGGACAATATCGTCTGGCGACGAGCTACTCATCGCCTCCAGCGCTATCAGGCTGGTGAGAAGCTCGAAGACTTCTTCCAGGCACTTATGGAAGACAAGAACGGCAACCCCAATAACCTCGAATGGGGCGAGATTGTGGCTGAGATAAACATCATGATGAACGCCGGAAGCGTGACCACAGCCATCGCCATTGCCAACGCCGTCTACCAGTTAATCAAGAACCCACAGTATATGAAGAAGCTTCGTGAAGAACTCGATGCTGTTTTAGATCCCGACGAAGTGGTTGCACCGTATGACAAAGTTAAGCATCTGCCATACTTGCGCGCCTGTCTAGACGAGTCTTTGCGTCTGTTCCCACCCACTCCTCACGGATTGCCCCGTGCAACTCCTGACGAAGGCGCTGAGATCTTCGGCGAATGGGTTCCCGGAAACACCACCGTCAGCATGTCCGCATTGGTTGCGCATCGTGACGAGAAAGTATTTCCTGAGGCTGACAAATTCATCCCTGACCGATTCCTCGGGGAAGAAGGCAAATCTTTGCAACCATACTTTGTCGCGTTCTCTGCGGGAGCACGATCCTGTATCGGGCGCAACATTTCCTATCTTGAGCAGGCAAAGATGGTTGCTACTCTTGTTCATCGGTATGAATTTGCTCTGCCATATCCTGAATGGGAGTTGAAACGTCTCGAAACGATGAACTGGATTCTGGGTGAAATGCCTGTCAAGGTATGGAGACGGAATCTGGACCAACACGCTAAAGCCTAAGGTATGGTGTGGTAAAAAGCATTGGAAACTATCTTCATGACTTCAGCTAGATTGATTTAGCCCCCGCGCCCCTTTCCTCCGTTCTACTAGGTTTCGTGTTGTAGGCGCAGTCACAGGAGTATGGATGAATGGATTTTTTACCACTTCAAATCTCTTGCTTCTACTAACCATCAACCCACAAGGAAGGAGTCAAGTCTCTTAGAATATCTCCGCATGCTCACCTTAGGCTCCTACTGATTGACTCCTGGGCACTAAGAAATCAGTAGAGGAGACATAGACACTGGTTCCGTACAGTTTGTCTTAGATGAGATGTCGACTACGACTCTCATATTCTCAATGTATTCATCTCAGACATCATCAGCCAAGTCAAACTCGACGCACACCAAGACCATAAAATAGCTATTGCCAATACATACAACCATCAACGTCCACCAGCGAATCCTTTGCGTTCCTTTAGTCCAAGCGCACAGAGCACGGAGATACTTACCCCATGCAGAATCAATTCGTACCTCTAGCAGCCCAACCTGCAAGACGCTTATTTCCATTTTCGCCTCTTCCCCAGATCGAGCGCCAAAACTCAGAAGGCAGCACGCCATGTCTTGATGTAGCTATTCCGGGGCGGGGAGCTTACTGCGTATTTTGGCAGATCAAATGGAGGAATTTACCTTATTCCATTCTCCGATATGCTTCGCGTCCTATGGATCCTTCAGAATCCCTCATATTAAACATATCGTATTGGATCTCTCTGTCTCTGTGCCACGTCTCTCGTCGGAAAATAGCCATATCCAGAGAAGTAGATATTTCCCCGGCCAAGGAACTAAGTAAGAACGTACAGTTGACTGCGATCGAAACCCCCGCACTTTTAGCTTTTTGGACGTTCGCCAAGTCAAAGTTGGAAAGCGAACCCGATAGGTCTGCTGCAGGAAGTAATTCTCGCCGATGCTTTACGATTTGGAGATGATTGCCAAATCCACTTGACTTAGTCAAATATGCTATGCATGCATACAACTTAAGAGAACATTACAGCAGGGTGTGTTAACGCATTTGCGATGTCGCAAGGGCAGAAAGGTTTCAAATCGAATACTTTCTAGTTACCTGGTCCTGATCGGATGAGAATTCAATAGCCGATAGAGACTTGTGGCCCCTCTTGCTCCTATAAGGAATTTTGCCCGGTCGCCTTCTGTTGTCTGTAACAGGGTGAACGCAGTTCGAAGGTGGGGATACAGCGCGATACCAATAATTTTCCTGTTCTCCATACTATCATCAGGACAGTACTTCCTGGGTTAGATGCTTTGGTTATGGCATCGACTTCCTGGTTTGGTTGGACCTTACGTCAATCACCTTGCAATACCTCGTGCTCCGTGTTTGAGGGATATTTATGCGGGGAGAATTGTGGAGTTTTGGTAGATATAGATTGTAAACCATATCTTCTTGTGATATGCAGAGATTATGTGTAATCTATGCACTTGGAGAGATGTTATTTGTTTCATAGCCAACTGGAATATAAAGTCATCCTCTTTCCTATGCTTTGAGCACTGTTTGATAACGCTTGTCTTCTCGTTGCTCTCCTTCTATACCCTATCTTTTCCGTCTTCGCTTTTAAGCTGGCTTCTAACCAGCAAAGTCCCAAACATGTCTGGGCTCGCATTCACGCCTCTGGGAGTCAGGCGAGCTTTCGCCGATATAAAACCATCGTCAATTCTAGGGAACCTACAGCAGTTAGATACACAATCACTGGACGTCCTTAGAGAGCTTCTGAAGCAAGCAGTCCCCCATAATGCAGCGGATTTCGCTGCGCTTGTCGTGATCTCCATCACGCTTGCGACATGCCTCACGCGCGGTATCTTCTGGGATAGACCTGACCCTTACCATTACCTATGGTACGAGCGACCACAACTGAAAGATGGCAGCGGTGCAGTTGCTGCGGCTCAAAAAGCCACCAGGAATATTGCGAAGAAGATGGAAGAGACCGGCAAGGATGTGGTTGTCTTCTGGGGCTCGCAGTCTGGTACAGCGGAAGGCTTCGCGTATCGACTAGCCAGGGAGCTTCATATACGGTTTGGCAAGGAGACGATGGCTGCTGATCTTTCAGATTACAATCCTGATACTATCGCGCTGATTCCTCAGACAAAATTGGCTATTTTTATCCTCTCCACCTACGGTGAGGGAGACCCGAGTGACAATACTGCTGAGCTCTGGGACTGGTTGGGCCAGGGACGCGATGTGTCGTTGTCAAATCTGCAATATGTTGCCTTTGGCCTTGGGAATCGCAATTACAAGTATTTCAACCGTGTCGTCGACGTTGTCACAGAGGCCCTGGATCGATTCGGCGCCAAGTCCCTCATGCCAGCTGGAAAAGCAGACGATGCAGAGGGTACAACAGGAGAAGATTTCATGACTTGGAAGGACGACTTGTTTCATATGTTGAGGGAGAAGCTTGGATTCGAGGAATCTGAGGGCAAATATTCACCGATCCTGTCTATCGAGGAAGATTCATCGTTGGAATGGATCGACCTCCACCATGGTGAGCCAGACAATCGACGTGGAAGCTCGAAAGCGGCCGGTCAGAGTTCACCAGTTAAGGTCTTGCGCGTGTGTGAGACGAGAGAGCTGTTCAAGAACACACAGAGAAATTGTCTCCATATTGAACTCGACTTAACTGAGACACCTGAGCTCGTCTACAAGACTGGAGACCACCTGGCAATCTGGCCTAGTAACCCTGACACCGAGGTTGAACGACTCATTAACGTCCTTGGCCTTTCCAATCGCCGTTTCAATCCTATCATTATCAAATCCACGGACCCAGCCACAAAACTCACTATCCCATCTCCTACGACTATCGACGCTGCCTTGCGATACTACCTCGAAGTCTGCGCACCTGTCAACCGTGATACCATCTTGGGTATCGCACAATTCGCTCCCACGCCAGAGGCAAAGGCGCAACTGCTGAAATTGGGCCAAGACAAGGCCCTCTATTCCGAATTTATCTCAAAAGCATATCTCAATCTTGGCCGCCTTCTCGAGCTAACATGCCCATCGGCGACATGGTCTGTTCTGCCACTTTCCTATGTCTTCGAGACTCTCCCGTCCATGCAGCCGCGTTACTACTCGATCTCTTCCAGCAGTGTGGTCTCACCCCGCAAAGCATCAATCACAGTCGTCGTCTCCTCAGACCCGGTCCCCAACAACCCTGATGAACTCGTCCATGGTGTCACGTCCAACTATCTCCTGGCTCTTTCCCGCCACAGAGAATCGAAGTCGCATCCATACGGGCTCACCTATCAACTCCCTGGTCCAGCTAATGCCCTACAAGACAACAGAGTATTCGGTCACCTTCGCCGCAGCAAATTCAAGCTCCCCGCTACGGGAAAGACTCCGCTCATCATGGTCGGTGCAGGCACTGGAGTGGCGCCCTTCCGCGCATTCCTTGCCGAGCGCTGCCAGCTTCTATCGATTGGAAAGCCCGTTAGTGAAATGATACTCTTCTTCGGATGCCGTAACGCAGAAGAGGACTTTATCTATCGCGAAGAACTGGAAGAAATGAAACAAAAGCTTGGTGGTCGACTGTCGATCGTTACAGCTTTCTCCAGACTACGCGGTGAACCGCGACGGTACGTCCAGGATCGGATCGTCGAGTCTGATCAAGATGTTGTAAGGCTGCTAGACGAAGGAGCAAACTTCTATATCTGCGGTAAGGCCGCCATGGCTCGAGAAGTTGAGAAGGCTGTCACTCAGACTGTGAAACAAAGAAAGGGGTGGGGTGAAGAGCAGTGCCAGGAATGGATTAGAGCTGTGAAGAGGAGGAATAAATGGCAAGATGATGTTTGGGGGTAGATAGCCTGTTTCTTAAGACTTTCGTACTGATCTTATTATTTCCTTGGCAATCCCCAAGCCACGTCCAAGATAGCATTACTAGGAGCGCTACGGCTAGGAGGGGCCGTAGCAAATAATCATTGAGCGTAGTGACCAAGCTGGCTGCTCTGACTAAGCTGGCTGCTGGCGCTGGCGCGCTGGCAGACAGGTTGATTGCTTAATCAGGTAATTTATCAGGTTCCTTTAGTGTAATAACGACTGTGGATGATAATTATATTATAAAGAACTACCCAATGGGTTAGTAATTGCTAGATAGTATAAGAAGCCGAAGCCTATAGGCAGGATAGGCAGAAGGGGGATAGGTAGGAGGGATTTAGCTATTATAGTCGATATTTTAAACATACCAATAAGAAGCCAATATTTAGATAGAAGAAAATGCTTTTAAAGCGAGCTTTTATAACAGCTAAATAGGCGATAAAAAGCAGGGGGTGAGGACTGTAAAGGGTATAGATTAAGTAATGTAGACGCGAACCTATATAGGAGGTTAAAAAGAATAGTTTTAATTTCCCAAACGGGAAGGCGGTAATACTGAGCAGTTTAAAACATCTGACAAATCAATGATCACGTGCGGTTTACTCGAGATAGACCAATCAAATCAGGGGTCACGTGCGGTTTACTCAAAATCGACCAATCAGAGAGGTTAAAAAAAAGTGGAGAAAAAGTGGAGCACTTTTGCAGCCAGTATATTGAAATATTTCGCTAGCGCTCAATGATTATTGACTGTGTTGTTATTTCTCCGAAATGGGACTGTATAGGAGACATCTTCGCGCTTCGGCCTGCTGGATCGGCGTTCCAGGCACCGATTCGCCGACGAGAGCCCCGAGCGCGAACATCTGTAACGCTCATATCGGTGCTAAGACGCTGGATATGCCTATTATTATAGGTGGTTTCTGCCCCTTGCCTGTGCACAGAGTCCTTGCTAAGATGGATTGACTGCCGAATGCGATTTATTCATTGTATTTTCTCTTGGCGTCGCCCTCACGGCTTGTTCAACGCCGACGATCTACGTCCGAGAGTGTTTGCAGCACAGATACTTAACTATGGCCAAGATAAATACTTGGTCGCGTGGCTGCCGCCATTCTTGTCTGTGATTGACATCTATCCAGTACTTGATGGGAATCTGTCTTTGTTTTTACGTGAGACGTCGTTCTTTTTTTTGGTGGTCTGTTCCTTTTGTATGGTGAACTAGATACCTAGGTATCTATTGTCCAATAATACTTGTGCCTGCTTTGAGATAGACAGAAACTACCTAAATGAGTTCGAATCCAGTAAGTCATTCTCCCAGTTCCATATATAAAACATCGTCTTCTAATAGATTACAACTTACAGCAACAATCAAAATCATCAGGACCACCATGGGTACCCAATACGGCCTCACTAGGGGGTATCCCAACCGTATCTGTTGACGTACCCATCGACGCCGTCTTCCTCGCACTATTCATTGTCGCCGCCGCTTCTCACATGACATTATTCCGCCGTAACAAGGCTAGAGGGCACAAATTCATCCCATCCGGCGCAACATTCGGCTTCTGCATGGCTCGTATCGTGGCAAATGTCCTTCGAATCGTTTGGGCTTGTTATCAACATAACGTGCGCGTTGCTATCGCTTCTCAGATCTTCGTCGCTGCCGGTGTTGTTGTCCTGTTTATTCTGAATCTACTCTATTCGCAGCGTCTGCTTCGAGCAGCTCATCCTCATCTCGGATGGTCTCGTCCGGTATCATATCTGTTCAAGGCGCTCTATGCGCTCGTCATCATCAGTCTGGCAATGCTCATCACAGTTACCGTGCAGAGTTTCTACACCCTCAATACGAACACAAGACGCATCGATCGTGATGTCCAACTGTATGGATCGACGTACTTCATGACGGTGTCGTTCCTCCCGTTCGTTATCATCGCCTATATCCTTCTGGCTCCGCGTTCAGATACCCAGCGGATTGAGAAATTCGGCAAGGGGAGGTGGCGTACCAAGATCAGGCTTCTCTGCGCGACAACTTTCCTCCTTTGTCTAGGTGCTTCGTTCCGCTGTGGGACGAGTTACAAGAATCCAAGACCGGCGACGGATCCAGCGTGGTATCAGCACAAAGCGTGCTTCTATATCTTCAATTTCGGCGTTGAGATATGCACCGTGTACATCTACTTGTTCGGACGCTTTGATCAGCGGTTCTATGTGCCTGATGGAAGCTCGAAGGTCAGACATTATCGTGGCAATTCTGTTAGTGAGGCATCTGAGCCGAAGGGATACGAGCAGCAAGTTCGAAACGAAGACGGGGATGAGGAAAGTGGATTAGATACTTTGCCTATTGTTGATGAGGCAAGGAAGGTGGATTATGCAAATAACGAACAGACGGTGGTATGAGAAAAACAGCTTTCATGGATGTGAAACATTCAGCATTCAGCATTGTAAGACTAGGTACATTGTAGATTAGGTATATAGATAATAATAACGAATTAGACTTAATCTGGATACCTGACACTTCTCCGCTATATTATAAGCCTACAGATTACGGGCTAATTGTCTCCAGATAACTAAGTATTTAAAGAGGGGTAGATATTTAGTCCGAGAAGGCTGAAGGTATAAAACGGACGAGTGGATTTAGACATTATAATAAATGTAAACGATCATGTTTTGACGCGCGGGCCTTGGCAGAAACAGCGGCAAATACAGAGCCAATTGTTCAAAACGTGGAGAACGCATGTTCTTGGTCAGGATCCTCATATTGATTGATCCTTGGCTGGAAGCATCTCCAACGCGTTAGTTGCCCGTTCTCCCTATTTTAGCCTGAAGAATGGCACCGTCTCTGCTGTCATTTACCATGGCTTAGTAGCTCCATTATAAACGATACGATACTCTCTTTCTTAGCTTTCTTGTTATCATTTCATTATGCTACATATGCTTACTTATTTGTCATGACTTTCCTTGCCAGACCTTCAGCCTTGCGTTAGTTGTCACTACAGGACAGTACATGCAACCAATTCAACCAGATGAAGGGGTCTTCAAAAGGAGACCGCCATCGACATGAACCACTTGTCCGTTCACGTAGGTTCCTGCACGACTGGCCAAGTAGAGGACAGCGCTACCAATGTCGGTCTCTCGTCCAGTACGACCTGACAGAAGTTAGTAAGTATATCTCACCCGATCCGTAGACTTGGGACTCCCATAACAAATATTACGTACCTGCAGGGAAATGCTGCCCAGCACCGATGATGTGCGATTTCTGATTCTCATCCGATCCGCCAGTCGTCATTTCTGACGGGAACAGACCTGGGGCAATACAATTGGCCCGAATGCGCAGGGGCACGAATGTATGCGCCCATTCCTTGGTCAGATGCAAGAAAGCCGCTTTGCTGGACGAATAGGCGAATTGGCCTCTAGAGGGTGTCTTCGTCATTCCCGCCGTACTCGAGATATTAATGATGGAACTTGAATGTCCGGGAATGGCCTCGCGTCCCTTGTTGAGTAGGGGAAGCAGCGCAGCGGTTAGGAAGTGGTGAGCAGCGACATTGCCGGCATATGATTCACGCCAGGCTTCGGTGCCGTCGAGGACCATCCACTTGCCGACTGCATTTGCGTCGGAGAAGTCGACTTTGTCGGCCTGACTAGTGGCGCGGGATTCAGGAGAGACGCCGGCGTTGTTGATTAGGATGTTGATTCCTTTGTCTTCATTCTTTTCAAGTTCGGCTGCGATGGCTTTAACGCCATCCGTATGGGCGATGTCTCCTGGAAGACTACGGCATTGGAAAGTCAGAGATCCGCCCATATCCATAGCCTACTGGGCACATAATTGAATAACTTACGGGATAATCTGCCCATTTGAAGAATATTTCTTGGCGACAGTGTGAAGTGGCTCGTTTCTCCTTCCAACCACATACACACGAGCACCATTAGCAGCCAGGGCCTGTGCAGCCATGAGACCTATGCCACTTCCACCACCAGTCACCACGGCCACGAAGCCCTTGACGTCGAAGAGCGTCTGCGCCACCAACTCGTCGCTAGACATTGTGAATCTGTATATGCCCCGTTATCGATTCTTTGAGTAGTGTCCAGAAGGTTGTAAACTGCGCTCCTCTACGGGAGATTCGAGATAAACAATAGAAAATGCTAGTGAGCTCGGTGGTTTTGATAGGGAAGAGACGGTCCCTCACGGTTCCTCATAATGTTAGGTACTTATATGGAACTCAACTTCCGGCTGCTGCTCCATGATGTCCATCGAGATACTCGACTGACGATAGTATAACATCAAGTGACATCTTCCTGAGGTAATGAATAACACGGCGAATGAGAACCTTGTAGAAGGCGTGTTCGTATTGAGCTGTCGATGTAAGTGGTAGGTAACTTTGTCCTTTGTTCTCCGAGCCAACCAACGCAGGGCAGGATTAGGTGCTTTTTCTTCAGCTTGTTAAATTTCAGTTCCCGTCTGGCAAGACTTACCTATATTCCTCTGAATAAGGATCATATGAAACGCATATACCTACAGCGTGGAACATTACCTTTACTACCTAAACCAGTCTAGAGTCTAGATTTGAGACGTCTAACACCACTCTACCTCAACTTGCCCGCTATTCCTAATTCGCCTAATCGCCACAGAGCTATATTTACCCTGCAAACTGTCATTGAATAAAAACAGATCTACGTAGTACATATTTACGAAGTACAGCCGTCTTCCTTCGATTCGAAGAACACAATATCGCGCAGATTGCCGGACACGGCGTCACGACTACACAATACATCCGCCACAGCCGATGCCACATTGAAGAGCATTCTAGGGAAGAAGAAAGTAACCATTGCTTCTCGAGAGAGAACGTCCTACCTAGCCATATTACGGCTGGTGACAGTACATGTCGACTGCCATACTGTCATATTTTCTAGTTGCTGTTCTGAAGCAATCTGATAAAGAACTGTAGTAGGATGTTATGCAGCTGTAGCGAATCATATCAAAATGATTTGACCTGGTGGGTCCGTAGAAACCTTTGTTTTCATGGAATTTTCGCTCGGGTTCAAGAGCACTGTATCATGAAGAATACTGAATAACGACAAATAAAAGACACAACAGCTGAATCAACTAGCACTGACTGCTACTATCATCCCCGGTACCTTGTAGCACTATCCTAAATACCTATGCTGTCTCTCCGAGATGTCTCAGCGAAACTGAATCAGCTTATCGGACGAAATTGTTTCACGTGACCCGACTTCTGTGCACGCAATCTGATAAGCGGAGCTCGTCGAATCATAGCCGAGGAAACAGCACGAGACCGGACAACCGGCCAATCGGAGCAGGGGACTTTCCCGATCAAGTTCGGCCGAAGTTACGGGATCTGATAAATCCGCTCCGATGCCGGACCCACGTGTGGCAATCTCCGACGTCACTTGGTTACTAACCCGCGTTCTTCTTCCCAACTTATCTCCATTAATTTCGGCTCTCTCATTCTTTGAACTCTACCAACTACTATCCAACATACAACGATCATCAAACTCGATACAACAGAGCAACATAACACAACACATATATCAAAAATGTTTTCAGTGAGAACAGCTTTCCGCGCCGCGAACTCCCTGTCCGCCCGAACGGGCCTGCGCTCCGCCGCTCCCATCCGGTCGCCGGCATCTCTGGGTGCATCTGCGCCTGCCCGACGATCCTACCATGAGAAGGTCATCGACCACTACAGCAACCCTCGCAACGCGGGATCGTTGAACAGGAAAGATCCCAATGTGGGCAGTGGTCTGGTCGGTGCTCCGGCATGCGGTGATGTGATCAGATTGGATATCCAGGTCGATGAGAAGACGGGCAACATTACGGAGGCGCGATTCAAGACTTTCGGGTGTGGTTCGGCCATTGCCAGCTCAAGTTACCTGACGACGCTGTTGAAGGGAAAGTCTCGTAAGTTTGGCCCATATTCTTATCAAAATGCGAATGCAATACGAAGTATGAAAATGATACTAACATCAAAAATCTACAGTGGAAGAAGCCGCTAAGATCAAGAACACCGATATCTCCTCTGAGCTGTGCCTGCCCCCCGTCAAGCTGCATTGCTCTCTTCTCGCTGAGGATGCCATCAAGGCCGCTCTCAAGGACTACGAATCGAAGAGAGCCGGTGCTGCCACGACCAACCTCGCTGGTACGGCCAAGGCTTTCGACAAGGAATCCGTCGCTCAGGCCGCCGCCCAGGCGTAAATGGGAGGAATTCAATGAATTAGTTTCTTTCCAGTCTTAAGCAAAAGTCCCATTTGTTCTCGCTGCAGGCTGGGTATGCGGATTGTGTTTCGAAGTCGAGACTGCAAAGAGAATGTGCATTATGATGTGATACCTTGACCTGCATTCTGTTTCCGTTTTCATATGGGTGCTTTCTTTCCATGTGCATCAATCAGTTATTTCCTGATCCTAGGGGTTTCCTTTGTGTTTTACTGTCCTTCATTAGGGGGTGGCGGGAGTTCTAAATTGTCTTTTTCGAATATATTTATGTATGAAATATAACTTGAACAAAAATAATACATTTTGAAATGTCGAACTTCTCCACTTTTGAAAGAAATCATCAATGTCGTAAAGAATACCAGCTTCTAGAAATCTCGATCATCCCTGTCCTACCTACTTAACCGGATCTACCGGAGGAGAAGTAACCCCCCTCAAAGAAAACGCTTGCATGGCTATTCCTACCATAAATAATCACTTCATTCTTCATCCATGATAACTTAAGCGAATTACTTTAACGTATTAGACTCGATCCACGCCATGACCGTCCTACCTAATGTATCCGCAGACTCAGCCAGAACGACTTACTAACAGGATGCAACTTGACTAATGTAGAGGGCACTGCACATATATAAGTAGCTAGAATGTGGAAAAGACCTCTGTGGTTGAGATATTTGTCGAGTCGTGGATAATATATTTTTACTTTTCAGATTCAGTATGCCCCTGTAAGAGGAGGCTCATCTCCCCGCATCCCTTCAGGGGACAGGGACAGGGACAGGGGTTGTCACTCGTCACGCAAGGTGCATGTGATGTGGCCAGTGACAATCACTGTGGACCAGGATATTTACAGGTAGTGTGGCTTCCCTATGATAATTTATAGAATATAGCCTTGGGGTCTTGAATGAAATAGAGCTGGAGTGGCATAGTAGGTAGGTCAGAGACATGTTAGTTAGTGGTGGCATTCTCTAGCAGCCAGACAGACAATGGATGCTGCCAACTCTCGATCTCTAGTGGCCGGTCTAGAGCTAAATGGCACTCTGCTGCCGAATTCGAACATACTGAAAATATTATCTCTTCTTTTCGTTTTCATGATGGTATCAACAAAACGGCCAAACATAGGGACATGCACAAATTAGGTCAGGCCCTCGGACCTTCTCTCTACGCTCCTCCCTGCCAGCCTCCAACCTCCTTGGCTCACGCTGCTGATGACCAAGGATGCAGTTTCCCGGCTGGATGAACAAGTACAAAAAAGGTCGTGAAGAGGATGAAGGACAAAACGCTCTATTGTCTAGAGGAAATAATCCGGCGTACGCCTTGATACCATGGGTTCTCCTGCCCGAGGACACGGGTCGAATTGCAAGCTGCACTCATAGTCAGAACGCTCGTTCAAGAATAATAGGGGTGGGTAGGACATACAATGTATACTTGAGATGCTCATCAATCTCCATAATCGCGGCCTGATTACCGCAGCGGTAACAGTAATTGGGAGCTGAGCTCATTGTTAGCACACGTCAGTTTATACTGGGCTGCCACCGCTAGGAACATACCAGAAAAGATCGTAACGACGTTTCGGTCCTGGGACCAATTATACCCCTCCATCACGAGCTGGTGCGCTCGAGCAACCAGAGTCAAGCCATTGTTGTGATTAAATGCTTCGGAGATATCCTGTCCGAATGTGTATCCCGCTCCACGAGGGGAGATACCCCAGCCACATCGGTCATCTGGGTCACTCCACAACAGATCGCACATGGGGCCTTCATGGGGCACTTCCTGGATACGGTCCAGGGAACGAATATTATCAAGGGTATCGATGGAAGGACTGAGACCTCCGTGGAGGCAGAAAATCTGGTTCTCAATGAGAGCGGTGAGGGGTAGGTAGTCGAAAAGGTCGGTGAAGTATTTCCAGACATTGGCGTTGCCATATTTACGCAGGCACTCGTCGTAAAAGCCGTAGACTTGTGTGATCTGGCGAGATTCATGGTTGCCACGCAGGATCGTAATTCGCTGCGGGTAGCGGATTTTAAGGGCGACCAGAAGAGTCACCGTCTCGACGGAGTAGTAGCCACGGTCGACATAATCACCTGCAATGACGAGATAAGCGTGAGAAGGTGGCCCCAACGAAAGACTGCATCTGATGCCTACCCATAAAGAGGTAATTTGTGTCTGGATTCGGTCCGCCTATGCGGAAAAGTTCCATCAAGTCGTGAAACTGGCCGTGGATATCTCCGCAGACCGTGACGGGACATTTCTGCGGCGGTTGTCAATTTACCCCGTTCCCCCACGGTCGCATCTCAGTCAATAGGGGCCACATACCACTGGCTGGACATTTGACTCGTCCTGTAGGACTTCTCTTGCCTAGAAAGAGCTCTATCAGTCCTCTGCAATGCGTCCAGGTTGCTTTTCGGGGCGCTGCGACTTACCCGATCACACAATCTCTGCACATCATTCTCGGACAACTGCTTGCAGCTCATCAGGTTCTCAATCCACCCATCGAGAGTCGGGATCGACCCAGGATCCGTCACAGGGGAGAGCTGGTGTGGCTCGGGCGACCGAGCAGTGTCGATTTCCATGTTGTTGTCCATTGGTCTGTCCACGCAGAGAGAAGAAGCTCAGGACAACTGGAGCTGGGGAGGGGTGGGGATGACGGTCTCGTGCGAGTCAAGGGGAGGGATAGACGACACAGGGGAGTGATGGAAACAGGTGAAGGATATAGGAAGAGGATTAGATCGAGTGGTAACAAAGAACTCCAGACGCTATCACGCTGCCGTTCTGATCGTGGGGTTGAGTGTTTGTCCTGCGGAGGGCTCTGCCGTGCTGAAACGCAAGTCGGGATGGGCTTCTCTCACTGACCATCCCAAACAGCGTTCGCGCCACATTGAGCCTCAGCCACGCCCCAGGATCAGGACTGGGGGAAGCTCGAGACCTCGACAACCCCACCTAAATTTTTGATACAAGGTGATTTCCTGTTCGAGACAAGAAGATATACAGTGATGCATTATTAATAGTGATTCCTATCTGATGTGATCTCTTACAGTAGTAGTGTTCAACGTGATAGCATTACAATGTGCTTTTTCGTTACTTCGTGTGCCCTCAAGTAAGGCACGCTCGTTAAAAGGGCTCGTTACTATCCGCAAGCCTAAATGATGTCACCGCCAAAGCCCCCAAACCCCCCAAACCCTCCAGCACCTCTGCCGCGCCCACCACCAAAAGGACTGCCTCGACCAAATGGAGGGCCATCGCCTGGGCCGACTGGATCGTATCTAGAGCCTGGAGGCGCTTGAGGGTCGTAGCCTCCCCCTCGACGTCCGCCAAAAAGAGGATCGTCGAAGGTTGGATGCATTCCACCTCCACCACCCCCTCCAGGCCCGAAAGTCCCTCTTAACGGGTCATTGGGTCCCAGACCGGGAGGATAGAGATCTCTCTCGCCAATACTCAATGGGTTCCTTCCTCCGTAGCCACCTGGCCACCCCCGGGGAGGCCGGTTAATCTCATATTCGTCCTCAAAGCCCGGTGGTGGGAAATCCCCGGGAGGCATGGGCCGACGGGGAATGTCCGCCAACGGGTCATCGAAGGGATAAGGACGAGCTGGCTCTGGTAGTCGGTCATCACGCAATGGATCGCGTTCAGGCTGCTGTGGCCGTTCAGGCTGTCTTGTGCGGGATGGCTCCCCGGTGTCCTCATACCCTTCTTTCTGTAGCCCCGGTGCCAATCTCTGGATCACATTTACCTTAAACAGTCCGATCAGGTCATTCAGACGCGGATTCGAAATAAAGACTTGTCTCAGGGCAGTTGAGGCTTCAGACGTGGTAGATAGAGGGAGGGAAGATTCGGAGACGTAGTCTTTCGCCGCGATATCGAAGGATGTAGTTTTGTCATGGCCGAGAGCCAAGGCCAGGACCACAGCATTATTCCCTAATCGATTTACTTTGAGTAGAAACTCCATCGAGGACTGTGTGTGAGCATATCGAAAAGCATAGGTGGTGTTAGCGTTCCACTCCTTAGGGAGCACTGGGGAGTCTGTAGGATCTATCAAAACCAGAGCATTAGTTTCTTGATATCTCTCATGAGAAGGTGTCTTGAACAAACCTAGTTTATGGTCTTCTCCCAGTCCAATCAGACGGAAATCCACTGCGACCATGCAGGCGTGTCCGATCAAGGCAACGGCCTCATATGCATTCTTTAGCTGGGCTTGCTCCCCGTCCTGAGTGAGAGCCTTGGCTGCAATGTCCAACACGCGGTCGGGCGCCAGAGCCAGCGCCCTGTCTTGCGAACTGGACATGATGAAGCTGCAATTAGAGCCGTATAATCGTTTGGAAAGTTCCGTTCAAGTCACAGAGGATGTGACGGCGTTTATGAGAGCCCTGAAGTGAGTTGCCCCTTCAAGTTCGCGAGAACGCGACGTCAAAGCAGCTGATGCCTAGAGCGCAAACACTGCAAATCCACACCCCGCCTTCTCGCACCGCCCGCGCCTAGGCTGTGCCGGCCGGAATTATTGATAGGCAGCATATCAATAATCACCACTGATTGTCTTCTATCGGTGGCTTATACGATACTCATTGCAATGGGAATTCTTCATACACATCTTAACTAGCCAATGATGACTACATGCTGACTATTTACTGTGAGCTCTGCAACGTGGCCTACAACTACTCTATCGGGTATGAAGGTACCGGAACAGTCCAACAGGACTTCTATAATATATCCAGCTACCAAGGCTTACAACCCTTCTAGTTATTCAGAATAATGAGTACACTAAGTCGTTACGGCGTGCCTGGACTGAGCACAGTTCACGAGTGGGGGTAAATCCCAACGGTTACTCGTGGCAAGAGGCTTATGCTCCTACGGACCACGAAACACGGGTAAAGAGTTTAACTAACAGCTTAGGCGGTTAGGATCCTGAAATCAATTCTCAATGCAGGTATTATCTTTTACAAAGCGGGCAATCGAATATGAGAACCTACCTGGTAGTCAGTCTCTCCATTGGGATTGGAAATCTGATTGGATACGGGGATTCCGTTGCACTTATCAATTCACTTGACGCCAACCCCGGATGGACTTATGGTCTCGGTAGTCACTGATAAGCGCCAGCGGGGTTCATTATGGGGGGTGCTCTTCGTTGCCATTGCGGCAGAACCCCAGTGTTCTCCTTACAAGTTGCTAGTCACCAAGCACACTAGATCTGGGGCCGAGGCTCGCTGTCACGATCTATCAAACGATCGCGTGTCTCTTGGTCACCTAAACCACCTTTATACAGAGTACCTATGGCACAATTCGAGATGGCTGATGGAAGCCATCCAATCAAAGAAGAGGGCCCTAAGCGGAAGATTCATATAGAGACACGATTTGGACGAGCGAGACGGTCACGAAGTCGCAAGGATCGTCCTTGCGATGCTTGCCGTCATCGCAAATCGGCGTGTGTCATCACTGTGCGACCACCATGTATGCTCAGAAAAATATCATAAACCAATTGTCTACTCTGTATACTTACAGCACTTGCAGGTCGATATTGTGAGGGAAAGGGCCGAGATTGCACATTTGCGTCGACTCCTACGGAGAGGATTCGAAAGCCAACGACAACTACAAGACCTAGGGCTTCTACCAGTGACAGCACTGGATCTTCCGTTGTTGGGCCCTCCAAGCAGAGTAAGAATGGATCTCCAGAACAATTCTCTGCCAATATGCAGATTGACGCGTACAGGGGTGACGGGTTTGGCACGTATGGCACATTCATATATCCAGACGGTAATCATGCACCAGATCCAGCGGGAGGTTCAATCATGCTCCCAGCCCCTATGGTCTACAATCCCCATTCATTAAATCAGCTATCGCCGGTCAACGTCGGTCCACCTGATATGCGTTATAACCAAAGTCGCCTCTCCTGTCGACCGGAGCCGCAGAACTCTTCGGACCATAGCTGTACTCGCCCGGAGGGACCCGGGGAAGGGACTCTAGACGACGTCAAGGGACTAACAGCCCATTTTCTGGGCCCTTCCAGTGACCAGGATGCAAATTTACTTTCTTCTTTTCGCTCCAATATCTTGAACGAGACCAGCTATGTAGATGTCAATATACGTCAAGTGTTTCCTGGAAATGTCCCAGATAGGCGGCCTCCGATCCATTTCAATATTGTCCATGATTTGTTTCCAGATCGAGACAACAAGGTGAAACAGCTGGCATCGGAGCGGATCGAAACCCTCGTGGGATCATGCGGCGACGCATTAGTCCGCTTATATTTTCGCTTCGTACATCCAGCATTTCCAATTCTCTCAAAGGCACGTTTTCTGAAGTCATACTCCGAGGACAAGTTCAGTATCCCTGCCTCCTTACGAGGAGTGGTATACGGGCTAGCCTGTCCCTTCTGGGCGCAGGACAGTACTTTGCAGTCCCAACCCCTTGTTTCACAACATGAACTCTTCGATCAAGTCCATACTGCGCTCAACAGGGAACTCGATTCACCGAAGTTGAGTACACTACAAGCATGCCTGCTGGCCTTGCAGGAGACACCACCTTTGACGCAGACAACAGAGAGTCCTAGAAATTGGACCTTTGCTTGTCAAGCAACCTCATGTGCGCAGAACCTGGGTCTCCAGCAGGATCCATCGCTCTGGAATATACCGGCGTGGGAGAAAAGCCTACGGAAGAAGTTGTGGTGGGCGACCTTTGCAACTGACAAATGGTCATCCTTAAGTCACGGCAATCCTTCTCATATCCCTCAGAGTTCCTTCGATACCAGCGACATTACAATAGAGGATCTACTAGTCGAAGAAGACGTGGCAGATTTGGCGTGTGGCCGTATCATATCTGAGCCCGATCGACATCCTAATCGATCCAGGGCAGTCAACTTCCTCGAGACAGTCAGACTGTCCAAACTTCTAAGCACGCTTCTCGATTACGCATAGTAAGCACATGTGCAGCACCACTTTTCTCATGCTAACGCCTCCTAGCACTGTACGCGATCCCTCATTCTTGGCTCCAACAGCTACTGGACTGGTCGATCAGTCGCTGTATGTCCTGCGAGCTGAAATGGATGGCTGGTATACAATGCTGCCTCAATGTCTCGCGGTCAGCTACACAGCAGGAATAGGTGACACTCGCACAAATGGCATGTTCTCACTTTTGTTATCATGTAGACTGTCTCCACTAATAGATATTCTGCAGGACCTCTCCATTTAGCGTTTTTCTCAGTCAAGAGCCTCCTTCTACGCGCTCTTATGTCTCCTGCGACACCGTTGTCAAAGTCTAATCCGTTCTCTAATCTCCGCACGCACTTTGATTCAGCCTTAGAGGAATTTAGCCTCTTCGTGAAACTGGTATCTAGCATTAAGGCAGAGGACTTGTGTGCTTTCTGGGGCCGGCGTAGGTTAACAGCTTCCGTTCATACCTCATGCTAAATGACTAACTCCTACCAGATTCAAGAACTCATCTCGTGCACGCCGGTAACTTTCTGATATATCTATTTCTATGTGCCTCGACGGCCGGACAAGTTGAGAAGTCCTATGCGCTCTTAGAAGGCTACAGACACGCATTGCGATGTCTAGCTGAGGTGACTGACGAGGCCGGTACGGGACTTGTACGGCCTGCCCTTTTGCGAACCGAGTCGTTCTTCAAAGAGGCCATCAAGATCATGCGGAAGGGGGGAGTTAGGGACGAGGCTTAGCGCCGTACTTCTAATCGTCGTTCGTCACATCCTAATGTGGTTACAGATGAGTTCTCCTCGTTTTTACAACACTAATGCACAACATACCACAAGCGTTCATGGCTAATTGCTATCCATATCCTACTCTATTACGGTTGATGTTGAAATGAGTTCTTATGCCGAAACTGATTGATGTGAAAGTTTCTTTTCTCTCTGTCATTACCCCCTGTTTATAATTCAAGCCCGTTTTGAAGATAATCGTCGCTTCAATTACGAGATAGCTAATATATATAACATCACATCTTCACATATCATTCATATACATCTAGGCAACCGCAACAGCCTTGGTCGTCTTTGTCTCATACTGCATACTAGCCCGCATAATCCGATATTCATGCTGCACCACAGGCGGATACTTTGCGGGATTCTGAGCGTCCGAGCATGAGGGCAGGCACTGGATGACACAGTCGACATTCGGACTGATGAAATACGGAATCGAGTAACGAGCCCGAGTCATGCGCTCATCCCCTTCAAAGCGGTCTTGGAATGGAGGCAATCCCACCCGGTGAAGGTTCGATTTGAGGATATCTGAAATAGCTCTGTTAGCCACAGTCATCTTCTTCCTTGGTGCTGCAAATCCCTATACAGGTCAAATACATACCATTACTCCACCTCATCAAAATATCACCGATATTCATAATAATAGCATTCTTCAGCGGCGGCGCCTTCACGAACTCCCCGTGCCGATTCTGCACCTCCAACCCTCCACAGTCATCCTGGAATAACATAGTGACGGAACCCCAGTCCGTATGTGCTGGCATCCTTGCTGACTTCTGACTCTCCAGCACCGATGCCGGTACCGGTGGGTAGTGCAGTAGACGCAGCTGGTTGTTGTGACCATCGTGAAAGCGCAGGAGATAGTCTTCCTCAGGAAGACCCAAGCCGAGAGACAAAGCGCGGAGGATATCTTGTGCTGTGCGCCAGCATTCCCAGTAGAATGAGGTAGTGAATTCGCGGAATCCGGGAAGGACGTCTTCCGGCAGCCAGACATTGGGCTGGTCGTTGTTGGATTCGCTGCCAATCTCATAACTTTCCTATCGCGTCTGTTAGTATTCAACCCATAACATACCCCTATTGATCAAGACCACACTAAACAAGAAGACCCAACTCTCAAAAATAAAATAAAAAAACAACTACTAACCTTACAATCCACCACCTCCCTCGTCTTCTTCTTCAACGTCTCACTATCCTCCTCATCGCCAAGGACCTGATTCACCTTCTCCAGCCCCGGCCACGAATACCCCCGATGCACCTTCGGTCCATCCGGATGGGGCGCAAGCATCTTCTCTTCCGTCTTCAAGTCAAACAGTTTCTTCGACCATCCGAACGCTTCTTCCAATCGCTCAGGCGACACTTGATGGTTGATGATATAAACGAAGCCAACATTACGACATGCGTCGGTGAGTTGTTTCGCGACGGCGAGACGTTCAGCTGGTGTGCTGGTTGGTTGGAAGGAGGAGAAGTCGATTATGGGAAGGGGGAGGGTTGATTCTTCTGGGGGGTTGGACATTTTGGCCAGTTGTTGAGTATGTACTTGCTTGACTAGGTATACAGTAAAAACTCGAGATTGATTTTTTTTTTCCTCTCCCTATCGGTCTCAGGGCTTGGATAAATAAATAATCATTCAATTCATTAAGTATCAGGAATCGCTAGCAGGATAGCGCAGCCTCATATATATATCCCAAGAAACATCTTTGCCTATCGACTCAACCCCGCCCGATAAGCAATAACTACACCGATCAGTCCCATTATCTACCTCTGAGACTAGTTAAACAACCACGCTCGCGACGAGACCCATATCCTTGCTAAATGAATCCAGCGAATACAAATACAAGAATCCATCGTCTCCGCTCCACCCCTCATGGGGAATGGAAGAGGAGTTGGCCGATATTTTTACAACTTTACTTGAATTGGAAAGTTTCCAGAGAGGGGTCCGGAGACCATCGGCCAACTTTAAAACGGTCTAGATGTTTCAACACTGATCGGTTAACTATATTAGTAGTAGTGGATTGACTATTCGTAACTTGGATCGAGTTGAATCGAGTTGTCCTTTTTTTCGTGGTCTGATGACGGAACAGCTAGATAGGTGGATTATCATCTTCTCTGTCCACGATGTTATCTATTTCATCAACGACAATATTTCTATCCGATCGGATCACGACGAATCGCTTGTGACGGAGTCCGGTTTATTGCAACATAACCGACTACTAGATATCAGACTCCACCAATCAAGATGCGGAAAAGCCGGTTGCGCAGTTGCGCAGTTGCGCGGTTGAGGGTGGATCGGTTATTCATATTTATTATCTTTCGAGTAAGATGAAGAGCATGCTGGAATAAATATAGAAGTTTCAGTAGGGAAACAGTGAGGTATGGTATAGCAGGACATAATTCCGGTTCATTGGAAGGTAGTTAGTTCTCTTATCATGTTTTCCTGCCAGGGTCTATTAGCCTTTAATATATATTGGCTGATAAAGTTATGTGGACAGTCTAAGTAGTTCTATGCCAAGTTGGAATTCACTATGATTATGGGTCGTGTTCAGGTGAAATTAGAGTATTCTTTCTGGGCGAAAAAATTGATATTCGGTTCAACTATGGTATCTCGTATAATACAATCCATGAGTCTAACATATGTAACTGAAGCCCTTTCCCATAATTTATTCCTGGAATGCTATCTACAAAGGCCCTCTTCGCATAAAAGTGCCGTATCGTCATATCGTGTGCGGAACTCAAGTCTTTCATAATCCATTATTCTCCTGCTCCTGCATCTCTTTCTGCGCCTCCTCGACGAGCCATACACACACGTCCTGCACGTCACTCCCCACCCGCCAAGTGCCTAGAACGACACCTTCACGATCCAAGATGGATTTGGCTCGCTCCCACCGGCGTCTCCACAGCTCCTCGCGTTTGTTTGGCAACGGCGCTGGCGGGACATATGCATCGGGGTTCTCGTAATCGCTAGTGCTATTTGTGTTTGTCCTGCCGAAGTCCGGTGTAGAAGCAGAGGCCTTCACGAGGCTCGCAGGACTAGACGACCAGGGCAGACGCTCGGAAGCATACTGGGCAGCTGCGGAGAACGCACTTGGGAGCCTCTCGGGCGGGGGTGATTTGGTAGGAGTAGTAGTAGAGGTAACGGCTGTACTTCTGCGTGGCGGAGGGACTGGTGGCGGCTGTTTTGACCGTGCTGGTTGGGCAGAAGTGGTCTCAACAGACGTTGCAGGTCGACGCAAGTTTGTCGACGGAAGGTTGTTGTAAACGCTGCTAACAGCATTTCGAACACTACTGGCGTAACTGCCTGACTGGCTTTGGTCACTCTGGTTTGTGTTTCGACTAGGCACTGGCGGCTTGCCCTGCTGTCCAGGCCTGACGGGCAGTTGTGGCCGCTGCTCTGACTGAGTTCCGCGCGAAGCAGAAAGTTGGCGCGGTTTTTCAGGTGGCACTGGTACTGGCTTCCGGCATATGTCTTCCATCGGAGTAGGGCGAGCTTCCCGTTCAGGAGATAACGATGGCCCAAGATCAGTAGAAGCCTTGCGCAGTGTAGGCGGCTTTGATGGCTTCACAGGAGGCAGTTTGCTGCTTGTCGAGTTCACAGCATTAGAATTGCTTTTCGCAGGCTCCGGTTCATTCAAGTCAATCAAGTCAGCGTTCTTGGTGGTCCTCGCATCGGGCTCCGAAGGAACTCGACGAGGCGGTAATGCCGGCCGGTTCTCGGCTGCATCTGAGTGATCGATCAACTGGCCTGTACTGCGGTTCTGCTTGGCTACTGCCTCGATATGATCGGCAGACTTGTCGAAGAACCTTTTCTGTACAGGTGTCGTGACGTCTCGAATGAAGATCCCGAGTATTCTACCTGGATATGCCAAAACAATGTCCGTGTAGACCTCGAGATCAGCCTCGCCGCTGTCACCGACAAGAATGAACTTGCGCTCAGGAAAGTCGCCTAAGATCTTTTCTAACGATCCTCTCTTCCTCTCAGCTGTAGGCTCAAAGATACCTTGGAGCATCCCACTATATTGTTTCAGATGAAACGAGCCCGGTGGTAGACCTGCCAGTTTGAAGTAGGTCTCCAGAAGAGGGTAGAGCTGCCATGGCGAATTCGAAACGTAATGCATAGTCACGCCCATGCTCGCCAGTTTCGAGTACCATTCACGGACCCCTTCTACGGTGAGATCTTGTAACTCTCGCACGAACGTGTTCCTAAAGATCTCCCTAGCCCCGCTAGCAATGGCCGAGTGCTTGATAGTGTCGTCAATGTCACTGATCAAACTGACACCTTTTGGCTCCGTGATCTGCACTGGCTTTGAAGCAGATAGCTTATCGGAGGCAAGGACACGGATCTCAGTGGGCACAAATGGCAATGCTGCTTTCAAAGAAAAATGACCGGACTCGTTCGTCACGATGTTTCGCGACTGACTTTGCTCAGCGTTAAAAAAGAAAACAGTCACAGGAACCCCGACCACGGGAGTCGCCAGAAAGGGACGCATTCTTTCCATCAAATATTTATTGGCCTTAACCAACTCATCCTTTCCCATAGATGGGATGGTCACTGTCGACGAACTTCGACCGGACACTCGTCCTTGACGCTCATCGGATGCGGCGCCTCTCCATGCATCATCAGCATGGCCTTCTGCTTCATTGATTAGGCTTTGTGCTTGTCCATTCACAAGGTCTTCTTCTTGGTTGGTCGGCTGAGTAGCCTTGTCAGCCAACGGCGGCGGTTGGCTTGACTCGCGACTGTTTCCTGGGGTTGGCGCTGGAACACCACTCAATCTTCTCGCGAGCGCAATCAAGAGTCGGTGCTTCCGAGTCAATGGTCCTCGCTGCGGCATATATATCCAACCGCGTACATCAACATCCGCGATTGCATGCTGATCCTCGTACGTGTCCCACTGTTCCCTCCAATATTGCTCTTGCCCGCTTTGATCTAGGTCGGCATCGTCCCCAAAGGATGACTCCTGGGGCCCATTCCTTCGAACTTCGGGCTTCTTCCTCACATGCCTCCTCGCGTAGCTGGGGAATATGACCATTTCCTCATCGCCGGACCGCGCAACCTCAACGTCCGGGAAAGCACCAGGAACCCTATTCCCTTCATCGTAGTCATAGTCTTGAGTAGTTCCCCGCATCAGTTGCGCAGCATAGGACTGGCGCAACTCATTTGCTGCTTTGAGATACCCATAGACTTTTTTCCTGCGCGCCCCAGGCTCCCTCTCGCCTCCCCACGACCCTGCTGAATTGTACTGCGCCATCCGGCCACCATCCGCATATTTCGAGGGCAGTCTTGTGGCGTGTGATACACCGTCACGTTTTCCAGACGTCCCTGCAAGACCAGCAGTCGGAATCAGTCCCTTCGGTCTCCTCCTTCCGAAAAGGAACGAGACGAGCCCCCTACCACCAGCAGTTGTTCTCCTCCGGCGAGCCCTTTCCTGCCCAGCAACTATCGCTCTGTATACCCGTGACTGCGCACGATGGCGAAACGAAGGGATCAGCTCGTGTCGGATACCCCAGAGACGAGCTCGAGCGCGGCGCGGCGCCTGGGGGCCGAAGAGCGCACGTAAAAAGAACGAGAGGACACCTCCGAAGACCTTTCGTTTTCGATCTAGAAAGCGATATGGAGCGGAAAGGGGTCGATATTGCGGATGATGGCGTGGGAGGGGGGAAGACGCCGGAGCCCGAAAGCGGCTGGGGAAGCGCGGTGAAGGAGCCAGATTCTCGTCGTAGCGGTCTCGTTTCCGTCAGAGAGAGTCTCGAGCTTCAGAGTCGTCCGAAACTCCTTTTCCACTGCTTGAGGAGTGTTATGCAGCAGAGGTGTGCGCTGAGGTCTGTGTTGACAGTATTGGCCGAGACCCGGAAGTCGCTTCGGAACGTGACACAACAGGACGCCAGTGCTTAATGTGAGGAGTAGCACTGGTAATGAACGTTAATTAATATGACAGTGAGCGTCAAAGAAGTGGGATAAAGGTTTTGTAGCAAATTGACCAGAATCTCGAGACAAAGCGACACGAGGCTGGGAAATCCCAAGAGTTATGACGACTTGCTGTGGGTCACGCTTTGGCCGGAGAATCCGCTCACTACAAGATGAAATGAACACATATATCCAGAAAGAAAAGAGTCTGGCTATGCTGTAGTACTGGTTCCACTTAATATACAATATATGTTCTGTCTCGCTATCAACTTCTGCAGGGCTACTTTTTTTAATACAAGATCTTCCACACTGTTGGAGTGGGCTCCCGGTCTAGAACAGCGCTGACAGGTGCTAGTGTACAGTATGATACAGGGCAACCAGTGCGGTCATGGAGACATATACATCCCTCTCAGATGGTGAAGAAACTAAGTGATGGTAACACGGTACAAATAAATGGGAAGGAATGCGACAAGACTCGATCAAACACTGAAAGAGCGAGATGGTCCGTCCAGCAACTTTTGGCTCCTGGACGAAGAAGTAGCTGGAGAGATTTCAACTGCAGTAGACGGCAGTTGGGGTCCAAGAATGGAATCAAGAACAAAGACTGCGATAATTACCCCTGGAGCCGCCCCAGCTATCGAAGAACCCAGCTGGTGAACGCCAGTCCTTTGACATCCTGAGCGGAGAGGAATGCTAACCCTGGCCTGGGTCTATTCCACAGCCCGTGGGGAAATTTATATTTAGGCGTGGCTGCTTGAAAGATCATATGCTCGAAGGTATAGCGAGGTTCCCCCCAGGAAATGAGGAATCGGATCGTTTCTTCATCGAGGCACAGAGGTAGACAAGAATCTACCCTCCCAGTGAACATGGCATCATCAATGAATATCCATCGTTCTTACCTTAGCAGCAATGTGCGGCTTGATATGAATAGAGAATCAACTTAAGTTGTTGATGCGCCGCATTACCCTGTGTCATCTTCGGCATAATTGACCTTCTTTGCGCGTCGACTTCGACGTGCCGGCGTGGTCTGTGCTGGAGATGGTGCAGCTTCAGAGGCGTCCGACAAGCCGATATCCTCCTCATCCGAAGCTGATGATACAGATGCTGGGCTTATAGCCTTCCTCTTCCTGGTAACCGCCTTTTTGGCACTCTGCGTGCTAGCGCTCTTCTTTCCACCTTTGGCCTTAGGGGTCTCCGTGACATCGTCTTCACCATCTCCATTGGATGGTGCGTTGCTGGCTTTAGCCTTCCGGCCCTTGGAGGGACTCGCAACTGATTTGAGTCGTACGACCTTCTTCGGGCGCAGCCATTCCTCCATTCCAGGAGGCCAGTAGACCCGCCGTTCAGGACCACCCATTCCGACTTCATCTTCCGGAACAACCGGCGGTGGCGGCACAAGTTGTTCGAGATCAACAAAGCCGTTGTTCTTCTTCGGAGACTTCCTTGGCGTTTTGACAGGCTTGTTTTCGTCGTTTCGCACGTGGGGTATCATGTCATTGAAAAGATCATATCCTGGTAGCTTGAATGTCCTCATAAGCTCGAATACAGCTTGTTCTTTGTCCTTGGCTTCGATCATCAAATCCATGGTCGGGTCGCAAGGAGGAAGCGTCGCTACGCGCGGGTTATGCTTCCGCCGCTGTCGGTTGGTGATAGCAGACGGCGTGGGTTCCGAATAGTGCATTTTCTGTGTGATTCCCTTTCGCGTCCATGTGGCCTTGATCCGATCGTATAGTGACATAATGTCCAGAGTACCTTCGCGGACCTTATCAGAGTCGAAGATAATGTTATGATGGTGAAAATCGAGGACGAGCGGTATGTTCAGTTCTTCGCAGATGGGCAACAGATCATGGACCGACCAGCTGACGTCGTCGTTCTCGAGTACGAGCCTGTTCTTTATATCCTGCGACAATTCCTTATAATTCTTGCGAAACCGATCTAATGTAGCGGCCTTGTCGCCAAACACCCCGCCCATATGGAGAATCATGACTGCATCACGGTCCTGCTGCGGTGGAAGCTTCAGCAGCTGCAGCATCTCCGAGTGATATTCAAGATCCCGGACGGAACTCTCGATCACTTGCTTACGTGGTGATCCTAGCTGGGTAAACTGCGACAGTGTCAGGAATATACTATACGTGTACATCGGGACGTCAGTCATACCTGGCCCGGATGCGTAGTAAGACGGTGTCCCAGTTCCGCCGCGACTCGACCAGCTTCAGCAAGGACTTCGGAGGCAAATGGGGCAAGCCGATAACCGTAGACCTCATGGCTTGCAAATGGGAACATCTCGCTGCTCAGACGCATAAATTTAATTCCGTATTTATCGTTCCATCTCAGCATCTTGACAATGTCTCTTGCGTTCGCAAGCCCTAGTGCCTGCACATAGGCCATTCCTCGTGCCTCATCCGCCGGTTGGTCCCGGTCCGGGCGGTTCTTGGTAGGATGAGCAGGCTGAGTAGGGTCCTTGAGAGGATGACGGTTTTCCAGGATTGATGCTATACGACATGTCCGCGAACTGAATACGGGAGGATTGGAGTACCGCAAATAGGTGTTTAAGCAAGCCTTTACGCATAAGTCTCGTCCAGAAAAGACACAGCTATATGGTAGATCTTACATATCCTAAACGGCCCTTCCAAGGTAGTGGTAGATAGCCACTGTTGACCGGTGGCGGTCTCGACAGTGCCTCCTTGAACTCTTCCGGATCGACAGGTACATCCTCGTCTGATTCGGGGTCCATCGATAGTTCCTTCTGATGGCGTTGAGTTTCTGTTCCAACGTTCGACGGTGAATCCGGCGCATTGCCGTCGCGCTGATTCACTTGCGCCAGAAAATCTGGTGCTGATAGATCGTTCTCCTCGACCGTAGGGACAGATAGTTCGACAACAGCGCCATTCTCGCGGTTGCCGGTGGCAGGCCGTTTGGTGCGAGCCATGGATTCTTCAATTTCTTCAGGCGACCCTCCAGGCGACGACAGTGAGATTGTCGAGTCTTCGGGAGCGAGGGGAATTCCTGACGAGGAATGCGCAACCACAGCAGCCGATCTAGAACTTGCTGTGTGGAGGGCAGCGAAGTTCACGTAAACTGGGCCATGGCCAAGACCATGAGCAGTAGATCTGCGGTAGTTTGCCACAGCAGTGACCGGCTGGTCAGCGCAAACTATCCACCTACTACCAAGGCAGAGACACCGGCCGGATTCCACGAGCCCGTGGGAACGATAGGCATGTCGCGATCGAAGCGCTCGAGCTGACGACGACGTGCCCTGCTGCCGCGAATATCGAAGTAGCAGCATCCAGTAGTGGAAAAGAATCGATCGACCAGAATGGTCTATATGCGAAACGTCGCAGCAGCAATGGGAGCGCGAAAGGCCATCGTCAATGAAATGAAGGAGGAAGAATACGCGCCCTGGTTGGGATCTTTTCTTACGCCACCTCTTGGCTCGCCGATCTGGGGCTGCTGCTTAATAAATCCATAACCAACGACGTTTGTGCTATGCGCGTGCCCTCTGGCGCGGTCTGTTTCACGCGTCTCAACTTCAAGTCTTCAAATGAGTCAAAGGCGTCCGGCGCGAACAGATTCCAGTGGATGGACTCGATGGAGCGTTTTGGTGTTTTAGTGCCGATCCTGCTGCGGGGCATTCGATGTAGATCGTGTTGGTTGATGCTGCTCAGAAGCCAATAACGCCATGTACCTGCAGCAACATCAGAACTTCAGGGATACCTGCTAGCCACAGACACGATTCAGGAACGTCCAATTTGTTTTGCGATTCGTTACTGGTGTGGACAAGCTTTCCGTGCAGGCTCTCCGGAGTATGTATGGTCTTCGGTGATCATCAGCCATATGGGCGGCATTCCTCGCGCTCCAGCGGTATAGATGGCCTCCACACCCATGCCATCCCAGGTCCATTCCTCCTTATGGCGCTGGAGATGGGGGATTCCGGGATGCGCGCAGATGCGTGGTCCGCAGAGACTCTTTCAGGGGATTAGATGAAGATAAATTGATGCTGTCCCATCACCAGTCATACTTCATCACCGCCATCGCCCTCACTCATCCTTGGATTAACTCTTCGAGAAGGAGCCCCATTTATAGACACAATCACTTTGTCTATTATACAGCTTTGTACGAGTTTACGCCTTTTACGATCTTGACGGCTAGTTACAGGTATGTCGTTATTCTTTGTCCTTCAGCACCAACCCAGCTGTCGGGAGTACCCGTATTGTATACAATGACATTGTCCAAAATCAAAACATTGCATGGATTAACTATACATAATTCAATACCCAGTTATAGTATGCGAGCTAACACGTCATCTAGATTACGGTCTGTGATTTACTTAATATCGAGTTCGTCAAAAAAGTATCAATTCAACAAACGCTATATACAACCGCACATTGCCCTGGAAGGCAGTGTCACGACAATCTACTATATTCCTCGACCAACTGTGCCATCATGATCACGAAGAACATCTTCCTCGTCGGTGCCCTGCTGGCCTCTTCCGTCTGCGGGCACATGCAGATGAGCAAACCCTATCCCATTCGCAGTCCACTAAACCCGAACGGAGGCCAAAACAAGGATTATTCCTACACGAATCCTCTGTCATCCTCCGGCTCTGACTATCCTTGCAAAGGGTATGCCAATGATCCTTTCCAGTCAGTCGCCAATTACACAGCTGGATCTCAGTATGACTTGGAGCTCACTGGTAGCGCTACCCACGGTGGTGGCTCTTGCCAGCTGTCGCTGTCCTACGACAAGGGCAAATCGTTCAAGGTGATCAAATCCATGGAGGGAGGATGCCCTATCACCAAGAAATACGACTTCAAGATCCCCTCCGATGCCCCCAGCGGAGAGGCTCTGTTGGCTTGGACGTGGTTCAACAAAATCGGTAACCGTGAGATGTACATGAACTGCGCACAGGTTACTATCCAGGGTTCGTCCTCCTCAAAACGCTCGCATGCCCGCGATCTCCGCGCCAAGAAGCTCGCTGCTCGCACTTCTTTTGACAGTCTGCCCCCGATCTTTTTGGCCAACATCAACGCTGAGGGCCAGTGCACTACCACTGCGAGTGAGGAGGTCAACTTCCCGCTACCTGGAGACGATGTCCAGGGCACTGTGTCTGGAAAGGGTTACACCTGCAAGGGAACTGCTCCATTCCTTGGAAGCTCGTCCAGCTCGTCCAGTTCTAGCTCCAGCTCATCGGACAGCTCTTCCACCACTTCGAGTTCTTCGAGCCCCAGCAGCTCTGCCTCTCCGTCGTCGTCCTCCAGTTCTTCTGGTTCTTCAAGCTCGTCTCCTGCCTCGGCGAAGGTCGTTCCCACGCCCGTCCCGACTCCCTCATCTTCTGCGGTTTCCCAAGCTCCGGCTAGTGGCTCATGCACCTCTGGAGGCATTGTGTGCTCTGGTGATGGAAAATCCTTCTTCATGTGCGACCACAACGGCCTCAAATCGATGGGTAGCGTGGCTGCGGGCACGAAATGCAAGAACGGTGCCATTATGGCCGTCTAAACTTCCACTGCGACCCGGCCCATATTATCGCTCAACACTGCCTAATCGCAGGCATGTTTCTCGCCTCAGATCTATCCTGACGCACGTCTTCCCCTCAGGCCTTGCTGGTCCATGGTCTTTCTCTACTTATAACGCAGCTGCCTGGAGCAAGCTACCATTATATGATGTCACGCACCGTTCTCGCTTCCCTTTTTTTTGCAAATTCCCCCCTTTTCATGGAATAGCCTGTTGTTTTCACACATGCACAGTTGTGAAAGTTCCTTTTGGTTCTGAGTGACGTTTAAATGAGTCCCAAACACTTTTCTTGTACGTTCTATGTGACGATGTCGGCGAGCAGTCTGTTTATTCCATTTTCTCCTGCGAATTTTTTAGTAGCTTAGCTTAGATAGTAGGTAGTTTAGAACATGTCCAAAAATTAATGACAACTTATTTTCTCTCAAGATATCTTCGCATTTATCTCCCATACTAAATATCTTTGAGCATATTCTTACAGATTCCGTCCGGAGAAGTGTGATTCCATACTGTCACTGGGGTAATTCCCATCGGCACTTTATCAGACACTTCACTATAACGCAGTCTTGTCTTATGTGTGATCCATTCTATTAATCTCTCATAATACATCAGAATGCCTACGCATACATATACGCACAGATACATGCATGTCCACACAACATCGCCGACGAAGATGCGCACGAGCAAAACAAAAGGTCCGCTTTGCAATGGTCCAAGGAATGGAGCTTCCACGGCGCAGTTGTAGACTAGTTACGCTGGCCTCAAGTTCTGTATCATCATCCTGCGTCTAAACTCGTCCCTCAAAGTATCAATACTGAAAGGAACTGCCGCATTGCCACGAACACGCTTCACAGTGGGAGTGGAAACACTCAGAACGCAAGGGCGTTTCTTACTGCTAATCGGCAGCTTCTCGTCGCTAGATTCAGCAGAGTCCTCGAGTTCCTTAGGAAAACTATTACGATCAACGGTATTAGGCACGTTGTTATCTATACAATCAATATAATCTGGGGGAAGGAACAATGCAGCAACTTACGCAAAGAACATTATTGGCTCTGTTTGCTAAAATGGATATAATTGGCATAAAGCTATACCGGGTACAGATAGCCTTAGGTAACTATAGATATCTCTTAGTAATCAACTTTCTTCTTCTGGACAACATCTGGTAGCATGTTTAAAAATCCAGATTAAGCAATAACGAGGGGATTACGCAGGCCTAGAAGGCTACGGCCTGAATGGGCCAATGCTATTATGCCGTAATATATTGCGATAATCGCTGCATTGCTGCATGCAGAGAAGCCCAAAACGCAATACAGCTGCAATTTCCGGTGGTACATCTTCCTATACCGCTGTGGATGGAGCATTCGTTATATCGTCAAGTTGTCGTACAGCGCAAAGTCGCAATTCGACATCTGTTCACTATACAATCAGCACAATCTGGGGAGGGGAAGGAGCAATATAACAACTCACCTAACGAACACTGTCCCTGCTTGGAGAAATGGACATAATTAGCGCAGACACTGTTTGCAACCCCAGGTACTGATATATAACGACGGTATAGCCTGAGGGCCATCTTTAAGCCATGACGCTTTATTTTATTTTTGCTGTGACACGCATCGATTGCTTTTAGGTTATTGCACTGATCATAAGCTGTGATTGTTAGCAATGGTTACAATATTATGACATATACTCACGAGGTTCGTTGATATCGCCCTTTATGTATATAAGAACACTGTTTCGGTATGTTTCTCTTAGGGTACTGCTGTACTGTGGCATGGAGATTTTGCTGTATTAGTATTATTTTGAATGTTGGACACTGCGCAGCGGCAGTAAGCTCCTCTTAATATAAGTGAGCATGATGTTAGCAGGGGGTATCAGACTCGGGTCTGACACAACAATATCGCTGTAACAGACCATTGTGAAGTTGTGAAAATGCTCGCTTGTGATTGCAATTGTTATAAGGAAATAAAGAGAAATAATAGAAACAATAGATTTACTGCCTATAAAAAGAAGTAATAGGCACGTGAAAGGAATCATGTGGTGAAGCTCACAGCCTTATATAACTTCACGCCTTGAGCTAGCGCGCTAGGAGGAGTATAAGCACGTCGGGGTTGAAGACCTGGGGCCTCAGCAGATAACTAGTGCTTGGGTACAAGAAGCTGCTGGCTTGACGCCGCAGCAGGTGTAGAAAATATTCGCTAATAAAATTAGTTAAATGCTATTATATATAATTGAGAAAACATACCTCGAATTGAGTCCGCTGAACGTTTCCCTGAATGGAAGACTTGCTGTATATAGATTGCAAGAGCGGCCAGGGTAAAAGACTGTGCGTTTGTGGCTGCATCTTCTGGGGAGACTCGGCCCAATGTAAACACCACGCCTCTAGGTTTTCACTAACAGTATCGGTTCTGGCATGCTTTATCCATTTGACGAGCCCTGTCCGCTGGTCCCACGCAACCACAGATCTTTATCAGCATATAACCGGGGCCTCGTGTCTGACCAGCCTGCCTCGAGCACAATGAGTGGGATTTGCCTGCCAATAGGCATAATTTCCAGATCGGGCTCCTTGGTAGAGCCAGCATAAACGCCAGTAGAGTTAGTAAGTCCTGATATGAAATGTTAGCTAAGAGTATACTACAGATAATCCATGACATAACTCACTGTCTCCCACAGCAGTGACAAGTGTTGCACTTTCTTTGGCCGTAAGAAGTACCTGGACATAAGCCGCGTAGAGGCATAAATTGATCCATACCTGTGGGGTATTATGTATAGAGATTGGCATTCATTAGGACAAATGATAAGTGGCGCGAGGGAGAATAATAACCATATCTTAGAGATCGTTTCTCGAACAGGCGGTCGATTTCATTGGAAACTTCAGACGTAGTGTCTGCGGTGATGTCTTCAAATTGCACTATTATCTAGTAACAGAATCAGGCGATTCAAAATTGTATGTGTCTCAGTGGGATATCTTTCGCGCATTATAAACTAATAGTGAAGTTGTATTAAGCTGCACGAAGATAATATAGGAGTCTCCAGGATTGCAGAAGTAGTGTAATACTTTTATGCGGTATATGGTCTTCGAGGCAGCGTATGCAAAAGGTTAATGACCGAACACTGAATATAATCAGTGGCATCGTTGGTTAAGAGAAATGACTAATTCAATGTCGAATAAGTATAATAGATCTTGATGAAACTGGGGATTATAACTGATAGTCTTGATGCAGTTCAATAATAGGAAAAATCCAAATAAGTGTGGTTTCATGGGTAGGCAGCACAATACCACTAAGGATGACTTAATCAACGACAGCAGCTCTTGTAGTTATTTCAAGTCAGATCCATAGGGACTCTGAATCTAGACTTGATAGGATTGAATATGATAGGGGAAAAAAGGTACTGGTGGCATATAACGAAGAACTTTAAGCTGGAGAGGGGAAAGGGGAAGGATTTCGAGAAAGTTTTGGGGTAGTTTATGTTCTGCCGGCAAATCTATCCCTCCAGTTCCTCTTTTAGCAATGGACTTGTGCCACATGTTGTATTGGATCTGTTCTAAAGGGGTGAACGAGACGGTCAGACGGATACTATGGGCCGGTGGAATTGTGTCACCGATCACCTGCCCGACATGAAAAGGGATGCGAGATGTCAGAACAGTTGTGGGCGCCCGGCAAAAACACCTAGGCTATATGTACAGGCAGGAAAGGAAAGAAACCACTTTCAGACGTCTATAATGAAGATATAGTCTCTAGCAACTAGCTCAGCCTATTTATCTCTGTGGGTGGGGGTAGAAAATGTGGGAGAAACCCGACAAGAGGGAGGCCTGCATGTAGGCAGGCTCCGACATATACTACTAAATTAATGGGGCAAGCCCCTGGTCTACTAGTCAGATATAAGAGGTGGAAGAAGCTCGAATGCCTATTCACTAGGAGCGGTAGCTGAGTACTTTTGCTAGGTAAGGTAGAACCCGGCCGTTGAGACCATTAACTAACGCAGGAACTACCCCTCCATCCGACCTAGCATCTCAAACCTCCATAGTCACCAAATATGGGTATCGTATTAGCTCAGGGCATATGGTGCTAGAATAGGTAATCAGAATAGAGGGCGGCTAAAGATCAAGTAAACTTTTCAAGTTGTAACTAGTTTATTCAACGGTTCCACAATCGAAGTTTCGCTCGATAGATTGCTCCATTCCGGTGTCATTCGCATCTACTGCATTGTGACGCATCCAAGCACCAGGATATAACATGAAAAGATCTCGAATACTTGATTCGAGCCATATTGTTAATTTCAAGATCAGCTATCTAAGACCCTGGCCGGGTTAGAGGGAACTCAATGCGGGAGGTGTTGGAGATCGCGCTCCATAGGCGCAAAGAAGTCTCAAGAAAAGATAATCCAGCATCCCATCTTTTCACAGCATGGATTGAGTAGCGTCTCTTTGGCTTCTTCCGTATTTCTGATGACTCCTGGAGAACTCCCCGCATGCTACTGCAGCTGCACTGCTAAGATCTAGCGCGAGTGAGAAAGATGCTATCAGCCCGGCAAGGCGATGCTTGCTGCCAGGACCAGTGCAGCGAAGGAGCTCCAGAGCTTCTTTCTGTGTTGGATACGTTGTACCACCACCGATAGTGCCAACAGGGAGGGACGGGAACAGACATGTGAGCTTCAACTCCTTCGTATCTGAATCGTACTCCACAGTCAGATGGTTCCCGGCAGCTTCTGCGACACTTGCAGCATCTTGACCGCAGGCAATGAACATAGCAGCAATGACATTGCTCATGTTCACGCAATATCCCACTTGACCGTTCCTATGCGCCCCCTCCTTGCCATTGAGGAGCACGCGGTACAAGTGGTCAGAACCGCATCCAAGGACTTTTCGGCACGCTGAATCCGAGATAGTTCCCCATGCTAGGACCTTGACACCGCGAGTTCGCATCATGTTTCCCGATGAGAGGTTCTTATCACTTCCTGTTTGGCCGACGATTGTGATATTTTGGAGATTCAGTGCCTTCGCGAGAGACGAAGCCCAGAACTTATCGCAAGCTGCCTGGGTAGCAACGGTGGCCATATTTTGGCCCGCCGCGTCGCCGCAATAATACTCAAAAATAACATGAACAGTGGAACCCACAATATTGGGCACTGCACGTTGAAATTTCAAGTACTTGCTTGTCGACTCAGCGTCTCGTTTGAACTGGGACTGCAGGTCGGGGATCAATTCAGCGAAACGAACCGCATCCGCGGTATTCGTGAACCAGAACACGGGGTCGCGAGACATAGCCTCATGAAGAACTTTGAACTGAACTCCTCCACAGAGGTTAAAAGTCTTACATCCGCGGGCACAACTAGCTACCAGTGTCCCTTCGGAGGTAGCCAAAGGGGCATAGAATAGCCCATCCGTATCGGCGCTTCCTCTGACGCGGAGGGGACCGGCAATGCCAACGGGGACGCGAGTAAACCCAACACAGTTCTCAATCCTGATATTTCGAATCTCGTCATCATCAGCCCTGATGTGCTTTAGCTGTGACAGAACCTCAGCCGGGATCTTCATTGTTGGTGGGAAGTTCTTGTGAGCTGATGACGGATTTCACGAATATAGTAGAAAAACGAATATAATAAGTGCTTCATATAGGGCTATCAATACAGGATATTCTGACCTTTATATGGTTTATCTAATATGATGTATCTCATTCAGTCTGCTTCACATGTGTCCGTCTGCTCTGCTTCGGGCTTCGACGGATCACATCACGTCCACAGGTCAAAGCCCGAATGAATTTTACAGCTATTGGTTTTGGATTGGTCCAAGAGAACATCACCAGTTACAACTTTCCGAACTAATCCGGTATGAGAGTTTCAAGGGAGTGAAGATCGAAGTTTCCTGGAGCCCTCATAATCCTATGATAATGCACCGGCAGAGTGTAAGCCCCATCCTTAACCATGTTACGCCAGTTCGCCGAACTGCTCCACACATGTAGCCCGACAAGAGTAGCTAAATATTTAACCTTATCTGTTCAAGTGGGTGACTGCATTTGACTCAGGAATATCAGAACTTTCCGGCTAACAACCCCTGCCGGCACGCCTTAAACAGGCCCCCGGCCATATGGGAATCGAAGGCAACAGGACTGCCAATACACTCTCCAATAAAAGCGTCTTCTGCACCTCTCGATAAAAGGGCCGGAGTCCCTCCGGATAGTTCGTGGGATATAGACTGGCTATAAAGCAATGCTCGTGTGGAATGAGGGGCAAGTCTCCACTAAACTCTGCAAATGGTATAAATGCTGGGACTAATATTGCACTTACAAATTCAAGCTTCTTCCGGAGCTTGGTCTACACAACCCTGTCCTTTACCGATAGCTTACCCTTAGATTCTCCTGTAGGAATTCGAACTAGTATTGTTGCAATGTCCACGATAAAAGTCACTAATTTTATTTGCTCATGCAAATGCCGTAAAAGCCTAGAACGGCTTATTCTCTGCTCCAAAGCATAATATAGCCTTAGCCAATGGTTCTATCATCCTTTATTCCTCTTTTTCAAGCAGGAGGTGCTTACTTACTTTTAATCCCTCGGTCCTAGGGAGTTCACAGGGTTCTTTAGCATTATAGAGTTCTACTCAAAACCTGCACCCGCTAAACCCAGGCAGGATGTCTAATATACTAGGGCCTGCCCGGAATAAGGTTTGGGTTGTAGATAAAGATTGTATGTGGATCACGTATCGTCTGGAATCGTCTTCTCTTTGACAGACAGCACCACTGTACGTGTCATATAAACGGTGTAAGGAGAAGAGCCTTGTCTTCCGATTGCGCAGTCACATTTGTGTTCTAATCCAGAATGGCTCCGTCTAAATTCAGCTACAACGATCGTGGATGATCTAGCAACCTCAATAGAGAACGGCAAATCTATATCCACCAGTACCGGCTTATTGGGTTCTGCCGTGGTTTCGTAAGGCCTTGATGAGATAGGATGGTGCAATTGTAAGCAGACCTACATGAGCAATATGACTACTGGTCATAGAGCTCAGGTATTTAATGACGAGGTACGCACTAGTGGACAAATAAATCCGCCCTTGTGTATATCAAGATAACTAGATTGTCTTTTTACGTCCTCGACGTGAGTTCGTTGAAACAACGTTTATTATTATAACATTCAGCCATGGCAACACTCACAGCAACTGTAGCGTCTCATGACCTTTCGCCAACTATATCGCTGACCGAAGAATCGAGTTCCAACAGTGCAGACGCCCAATTGAGTGACCTTTACGGAGACAAATTCGAATTCCCCGACTTCACCATCAAGCAGATTCGTGATGCGATCCCTCGTCACTGTTTTGAACGTCCTGCCTTTACTTCGTTATATTACATGGCCCGCGATTGTATCGCGTTAGCTGTGGTCTTTGCTGTTTTCTATCGTTATAATACCCCTGATTTCGTGCCGTCTGCAACCGTGCGGTGCCTTTCGTGGATATTATACTCTACTATACAGGGCCTTTTGGGGACTGGGCTGTGGGTTATAGGCCATGAGTGCGGACATCAAGCTTTCTCTCGGTTCAAGGTTTTGAATGACTTCGTTGGCTTCGTCTGCCATTCATTCGTGCTTGTGCCATACTTCTCGTTCAAACTTTCCCACAGGCAACACCACAAAGTCACAGGAAATATCTCAAGAGATGTGGGGTTCGTCCCGATGACGAAAGAACAGTTCGCTTCTCATCTTCGCGTGACAGTGGACGAACTCAATGACCTGACGGAAGAGATCCCTTTCGTCACGGCTATCAACCTTCTTGGACAGCAGCTCTTTGGATGGCCGCTATATCTTCTCTGCAATGTGAGCTCTCACAATCACCATGAAAGCAAAAAGTCAGGCCGCGGAAAAGGAAAGCGCAATGGTCTCTTCGGTGGAGTCAACCATTTTAGCCCTTCCAGTCCCCTATTCGAAGCCAAAGACGCAAACGTGATCCTATTGAGCGATCTTGGCCTCTTCTTGATGGCAAGTTTTCTTGGTTATATCGGCTCCAGATTCGGCTGGTGGAATCTGTTCGTCTGGTATGGGTTACCATATATATGGGTGAATCACTGGATTGGTAAGTTATCGTGCAGCTGAATGATGATCACCACCATTAACGATACGTTTTCAGCTGCTATTACGTTTCTTCAGCACACAGACGCTTTTGTCCCTCACTACGAACCTGAGGTGTGGAGCTTCTGCCGTGGAGCATGTTCTACTGTTGATCGTGACATGGGCTTCATTGGGCGTCATATTTTTCACAGGGGCACTGATACCCATGTGCTCCACCACTTCGTCAGCACCATCCCGTTCTATCACGCTGAAGAGGCAACGGAGGCGATTAGAAAGGTGATGGGCAGACACTACCGTAGATCTGATAATACTGGTTTGATAGGTTTCCTGAAAGATCTGTGGAAGAGCTATCGCCTTTGTCAATGGGTCGAGCCTGTCGATGGTGCTGAGGGGGAAAATAAGGGGGTTCTCTTCTACCGCAGTCACAATTCCCCACCAGTTCCTCAACCGGAGTGACGTTTTGATATTCCTGCCAGACGGGACAAGAATGATCATTATGGATTCCTGTCTCTGGCAATCATTTCTATCTGCTGGAATGTTCTAACTTGTAATAATGTTCGGGGACCTCCCTAAGTACCCTTAGGAATCCTGGAGAGCACGCTCCGGATATGGCATAGGTCAACCCACCGCGGGGTTTTTAGATAGCTAGGTAAAACAGCTACATAGGTGCTAAACTTGTCATTCATTCAGCATTGCAGCTTCGAGATAATGTGCTATCCCGTCACATGTGAATCGATATGCTTTTTGATAATATCACCGTCTGTCCTATAAGAAGGTAGTATCTGACGTCTCTCCGAACCATACTAAACAATGCTGCAGCTGGTGTACGTAGGTAAGATTTCCCCATGCACATCAGCTGGGAGTGTATAACTATCTGCGAGAAATGCCGGTGCGCCAATGCTAAGCTTATGGAAAGGGTCCATGTGGCGGCCAATACCCATGAAGAAGCTATTCTCTAGGTAAGTAGTTCGCTGCTCCGTATTCTCAGTAGCGTCGATCGCTGGAAATTAGGCTTTTGATATTTGAAATATAACTAAGGCGGGCAGTGAGTTAGCGAATAATGTCCTATTTCATACCATCATGATGTTTCCATTGCTCACAAAAGTACTAATATAGAACAGAGAAGATCTAAAAGATCCGCCAATCGGAGCGTTATCATCATCCTTGTTCGCAGGAATTATCCCGAAATGGCAAGCTATCCGCCGTTACATTGATCTAAAGATTTTAGTAGCAATATAACTTATGATATGTGAGGTCTGTGAACCTCGACCGCGTGCTTAATGGCGTAAACTCTTCTCTTCCTGCTAGATTTCCGCAGATCCCGTTCATGACGGTCGATGCTAGTCGAGAACTTTATCAAGACGAGCGATGTATACTCTTGATGGCGGGCTGAGCCTTGGCTATGCCTTTGACAAACGGCCGAATAGAATAACCGGTCTGCTCTATTTCAGTCAGCGACGTAATCATACTCTACTCTATACATACGTGTGTGGGTGTGAGTGGGCCATTTGGTATGAATATAGCTGACGCTTGGTTCTTTTTTGCTCACTTCGAGCCCTCCTTCGGCCCATCTATAACCACCGCATTCGGTCGTAATTGATAGTACATTGTGACATATCAGATACAGAGCGATGATGAGGAACACCGTGGAATAGAGGTTACTTTCTGCTGTGAAGTCATCAGTCGGGAACCCAGCCGTGAGCAGTCGTAGTATACTACATGGTTATCGCCGTACGGTACTCCCTCTTGTCAGACACACCGTCTTGGAACTCTCAATTCCCTTCCGGCTGCAAATTCCCACCTGCACTCGAAGCAGCCAAAACATGGATTTCTTTGAAAGTTGCGGCTTTGGTGGGCTGCTCATACCACTCTTCGACACGCAGATAAGTCTCCTCTGCTCACTTTCATTTTCCATCATATCCTCCGGACCAATAGTTATAGAAATGCTCTTCGGGTCTCAGCCCGACGGAGACATTTCTCTCTTTCATTCAGAAACCAGTACCCTTCTTCTTAGTAAGTCGTCAAAAAACAGACAGGACGAGATCTCGCTAGTGAAACTATGTCGAGATTCCATTCCCTCGAAATGCTCCCCTAATAAACTTCTCTTCAACGGCCATCTGCAAACAATCTGGACGGTTCTGAAATCCAGCCATGTTCCCGTATACTACAAGCGGAAAATATTCGAGTCGAACAACAGTCTCTATCCAGGTCAATTTGCAGTGGACTTCGTGGTTCCTCCCTACGATTCATCATCAGATGATCCTGAAGTCATCGACGCTGCGAGGAAATACACCCTCCCTGATGGATTACCATCTCTGACGGGGCTTTTTACGCATAACGAGGCTCAAGGATTATCATCACAGGACTCCAAGCCGATGCTGGTCGTTCTGCATGGTCTTTGTGGAGGCTCTCATGAGGAATATCTCAGACATGTATTGGCTGCATTGACAGCCGATGGTAGCTGGGAAGCATGTGTACTCAATGCTCGAGGCTGCTCTCAAACAAAGATTACTACCGGTGTACTCTACCATGCTGCGGCAACGTGGGATTTACGACAGACCGTCGAATGGCTACGTGAAACGTTTCCAAATCGTCCTCTATTTGGTATCGGATTTTCACTCGGTGCAAACATCCTTGCTACGGTATGTCCTCTCGACAATGAACCAACTACGTACGTACGCTAACTCCCTCCCCTCTCCCCTGTAAAGTACTTAGGACAAGAACAAGAGGCCTCTCAACTTAAGGCAGCGGTATTCTGCGCAAATCCATGGAATATCGAAATCTGTTCTGTCAATCTACAAAATTCAAGAATCGGTCTTGGAATATACAGTAAAGCAATAGGTACAAGTACAAGACGGCTTTTTGAACAGTACGTACTTATATTTCGACCCTCTTTCCAGTCTCATCATGAACTAAACAAAAACTGTCTTGTTAGACATTACTCAATCCTTTCCAAGAATCCACACATAGATATTGATGCAGCACGAACGATCGTCTACCAGCATGACTTTGACCGGTGCGTCGTGCATCCCCCCCTAAACCCCTCAAACTGACGTTGAAAGATGTACACTGCTTACTGAACGGGTTTTAGAATCATACAATGCCCAACCTGGGGCTATCCAACAGAAAGAGCTTATTATCGAGACGCATCTTGCGTTGATGCTATGCTAGCTATCAAAATCCCCTTCTTTGCATTAAACGCAGAGGATGATCCAGTTAAGTCTAACTTAGTCCATCACCCCCAAAATTCACAACCATCGGTAGGTAACTACTTATCGCACAAGACTAACAGACAGACATCAAATAGATCGCTACTCGTCACGCAATCCCATATCAGGAATTCAGAAAAACGCCCTACGGAGTCCTGGTCACTACACCGTGGGGTGGACATCTTGGTTGGTTTGAACGTAATGGCGAGAGATGGTTCGTTAAACCTGTAAGTTACCTAGTTACCTACCTAAAGTATCTAAGGTTTTTGGAAAAATCATTCTCGCATAAGCGTTCGTCTGCCGATTGATGACTAGCTGACAGATAAATCGATGACTAGGTGTGTAATTTTCTTAATAAGATGGCGAGTGAAATCGATCTTGAGTCGCCGTTGGTTATACGAAAGTCCGGGCGGGAATCTGGCAAATCGCTTGCTTTGGTTGGGAAGAAGAAGAAGAAGAACTTGCACGTGGGACCCAAGCAGGGGGTTTTTGATCCTATGAGGCGAAAATTACTGCCGCCAGGTTCTGAACTTAAGGATGCAAGTTAGTATACTATGTAGATATAGATTGGAGTTTACTTTATATATAGAGAGAGAGTTTCGGTAGCAATCCTTGCCAGAGAATATTTCAGTTCCTCCTATGTAAGTATTCGGTCTGACTATCTAGATCTAGATCTCCGCATACTTACGGGCCGGCCCGCTGCAATTTGATAGCGAACTAACTTTAACTTGAGAGAACCTACCTAGGTAGATAGAACTTCTTTTCGGAGTGCGTGTCATACGAAAATCCAATTCAGATACACAGTAAGACACACCTCCTCGTCCCTGAATAGTTACTGTATAGTTACCCCTCGAATCCAATGAACTCTGCATGATCCAGCAAATCATGTCACGGCGAGAACATATCTAGTTATAAAGAACACTAGAGTCTAGTAGAGTCTAGTATAGGCGTGAGCTCATTAATAAAACATTCAATGTTTTTCTAGAACCCTACATCATAGGCTAAGCCACGGTGCGTATTTTCCGCGAAACACACTCCGTGACGAGTAGTCTCAGCCACAGCCACAATACCCTTTAGATCTGTCCGGGTCAGTCACCCTGCAAGGGATGAGATCCGATCGAGATCCCATCCCGGAACTATCACGCACGTGGTGAAGTTGTGTAACATTATTGCGGCTGGAATTTTCCTTGTTTTAGTAAAATGATATGACTTATTTACACTGCCAACGTGTCAAGTGGTGAGGGTTTTCGTGGTCGCAACGTCATTGTGACATCGATACCACGAGACTATCGAGGACATCAAAAGAATGATGGACGAATTAGATGATATTCGGGGAATTAGGTTCCCAGGGCGGATGTGGGGATAACGCTCATATTATATGTGCCATGGTCAAAGGTTAAGGTTCAGGGACAATTTCGGGTGCTTTATAGATTATCCAAATTATATATAGTATAATACTAATATTTCGTTTATTTGGTTTGTTGTACACGAGCGACTAAGTAGGTAATAAGTGAGGTATCTATAAACGACCGGACTCTGGGTCTACCACTCCCAGTCGATCTTGCAACTCACACGAGTGCAAATATCATTTCGCGACTGGACGTGCCGTCATTCTCCATCGAGGCGATAAGGCCTCCAGGGAAGAGGCTGCGTCCAGCCAATCATTATCAATTGTAGTATGTCGTTGAAGCGAAAAAGCAAACACCAGTCATGCAGGTTTGGTATCGTAGAAATGATTAATGGTATCGTTTCGGCCATAAACCGCGGGCCCACCAACATAGGGCTTCATCACATCTACCTCCACATTAAAATCTCCGTTTCACAACGCATGTCGATGCGTTCAGTAGCGGCCGTTGCCGTAGGCCGAGGTTCCGTAGCCGAACTTGCCACCGTTCTCAACTTCACCAGGAGTGGGGTGTCCAGGGAGAACATCGGCACCATCAGCGACAGCGGGGGCGGCCTTGTTGCGGCGCCAGAAGGGACGACGAGTACCAGCAGTGTAGCCGTTAGCCGGGGAGGGACCGAAGCGCTTCTCACGCTTGTGGTGGCGAGCCAGACCGATCTGGAAAAGGATGCCAATCGTGAAGAGGAAGCTATTTGTCCCAAGTTAACAGCAGCTCACAGACGGGAAGCAGAAGGGAAGCCAACTTACATTCCAATGATGGAGACGGCGAAAACAGCCTTCTCGAGACGGCATGCCGTGGACAGCTTGGGGAAGTAGGTCGTCTCCTTTCCAGTACCAATACCGAAGCCGCCCGCTCCGTAGCCTTCAGCCTTGGCGTTGGCCTGGCCAGTTCCCAACGGGGTGTGAACTGTTCCAGTGCATTTCTGGGTACCGTCGCGGGTGAGGACGGCGATGGCGATCATCACTCCGACAAAGGCAACATCCAGAACCACTGCCACACCAGCAAAGAAGGCAATTCCACCCAGGCAGCAGGTGAAGATAGAGCCCAGCAGCGCGTATAAGCAGGCTGCTCCCGACATACCTTCAACGGCTCTCATCCAGGTAGCGATGGTCATTTTATGGTCGGCCAGGACCGCCAAGAAGTAGGAGTAGATTCCCAGAATGACAGCCGCGGCACATAGTTGCAGGACCCGAATGAACAGGTTCAGAAAGCGTAGAATCACGCCGCCAGCACCCATTTTGGCGGTTGTTGATGTTGTGATACTGCCACGTAGAACGACCAGGGATGACAGCACCGGTCGAAGAGGTCGAGATTCGAGATAAATTCAGGTACAAGCCCTATCAGGGGGATAAGGCCGGAAGTCGCGGATGTTGAGTAGTGGTAGAGATTGCGGTGAACCGGCAACAACAACGGTTTTAAAAAGAAAATCAGGCACCCGGCAAAGGGAGAACCTGGAGTTTATACGGGTTGACGCTGGACCTGGAAAAAAGACTGCCTGGGCGGTGGACCGAGTGGGGAACAGTGGGGATGGCCGCCATGTTGATCGGCGGAGGTGGAGCAGTGTTTCTCTGTCTTGATTGGCTACTGAGCAGACAATGGGCACCTGATGGGGGGCGATTAACGGGTCTATATTCTGCTTATGTCCCATTCAGGACTAGCCCTGCAACCGAAGAGATGACCCTGCACATGATTGCGGGTCTCCGTGACGTCAAAGCGGCCGATAGAAGGTTTCCAGTAGCCAGAAAATCACCAAAACAGCAGGTCCTGTGGGCGCATCCCGCGCAAATCCTCAATTCTATTGGTGATACGCAGTCCATCGCTGCCCAAAAGGGAATTGTTCCTTGTTAGTCATCCCAACCGGGCAAAAGTGAGTGGCTCCGTCGACTGCCGAACCACGGAACATTCTCGGTACTGCCACACTCGTGCCGCCAAAGCCACAACACAAACACGACTCAGCCACCTTCCCAGCCTCTGCCATGAAAAGAAAAGAACTTCCTTGACGCCAGAGGAGACAGGATACTACGATATGATAAGGTGCTCTTGTTAGCAGAAGAACTCTATTCATATCCTCAAGGTTCGACTGCTTTGTGAAGCCATGACATCTTTGAGTAGCCTAAATAAATCAGGTTCGGTGACACAGACTCCCGCGCAAAGATTCAACAGTATATTCTCATCGTCCAACGCCTTAGATGATGACCTCATCGTTTCACAGACTGGAAGTCCTGGTTACGGTCGAGAAAGCCATTGCTGATAATATACATATCTCAAGTGCCACAGAGCGCTAAATCCATGTATAAGCCCTGAATCATACTTACAGAACTCATCGACGGTTGACTAGCAAAGGCACGTACCTCGCCATAATGTGATGATGTTATATATAACTTCAACAAAATGCATATTCGAGATTCGTATTAGTAAGTCATTATGTCCGAAGTTGTATGGTTATATAGATGATACTATTTTGCATCCATACTCGAATAGAAAATCCATCTAATGGGCTCTCTCCTTCCTAGAGAAGACTCGTCAGATATATACATTGATATAACCATCGTCGTCTTCGAGAGTCGGTCAACTAGCTGTCAAGGAGCGTCATCAGCAAGTAGCTGTTTGTATATTGTGTCGTCGCTTTTAATTTTTCTAACTTGAGGTGATTAGCTGCATGTTGAAAGTTTCCATGTCTGAGGCTACCGCAGAATACGTGTCCAGGAGTCCTGGGTGGCAATTAAGCATTGCGGGGAAAGAGGGTCCTCTGTGGGTCATGCAGCCGCGCAACACGAGCAGAATCAACTTTCTTAGGATTGTAGAGCTGGCGGAAAGAAACTACTCGAGTCTATTCGACTGTTGTTGGGTATAAAATGGATTCAGGCTTGCCGTACGTCGGGTCTGGAGGTGAGATAATATCAGTTGGTCTTAGGGTAATACAGAAAATGGTGAGCTCTAACATTACAGAATCAGGAGACACATGGAAAAGAATTGCTAAGTAGTCTGTATTATTATGCTCGCTTAGCTGCCTTTGCCTTTACGCTCAAGGGATATCACAAACCAGAGCCAGAGGCAATAAACTGTTCACAATAGTAAAGCCAGTGGCCAAGTATAAAAACGAGCAGCCCTGTTATTGCGGTAGCCAGCATATTGTTCGATTGCAAGGGAACCAATATCTGCACACGCAGTCTGCACCTTCGGCCTGCCACTGGTATCGTAATGCTTTCCATTGTCCGCAGTTATAGAATTGCAACAAGGTTAAACCTTCCAAGACCCCGGCCGAGTGACCCTATAAGGAGAGAATCTTCAACCTTGGACGTCTACCAAGATCTTGCAATGACCATCTCGATCTTTGATCAGTGCTTGGAATGCCTTCTCGTCGACTTCGTCTAGCTTGACCTTCCCTGTGATCATCTTTTCTGGTTTCAATTGCCCTGTGTGAGAGTTCCTGGTCAATCACTGATCTAGTTGAATACAGAGCTCTTCTGAAGGCTCACTCACCATGACACAAGGCTTGGATGACGTTTGTGAAGGCGCTCTCATCATATAGAGCAGCTCCAGTATATTTAATCTCTTTATACATCAGGTCATTCACATTGATATGGGGCCGTTTCTCCCACACGGCGACATTGACAATAGTTCCGTGAGTGCGGCATGCAAGGATGGCCGAGTTCAGTGCGCCTTCCACACCAGCGGCATCGAAGACAACATCTGCTCCAATGCCGTCTGTCAACTCTCTCACTTTCTGCGGGATATCGACCTCCTTCGGGTCAAGAACATGCGTTGCACCAAACTCCCGCGAGAAGACCTTGCGGTTCTCCGTCACCTCGGCCACGATGATGTGTTTGGCGCCTTGCAGCTTGAGAACTTGCACAATGCCTATACCGATAGGGCCACCTCCGATGATAAACACGGAGTCGCCCATCTTGAACGGCGACAGATTGACTGCGTGCCATGCCACTGCCAGCGGCTCGATCAAGGCGGCAGTTTCCAGAGAGATGTCGTCGGGTAATGCATAGAAATGACCTCCCGGAGCGACTATGTGCTCCGACATGCCACCGCCAAAACCTAGGAACTTCTCAGCGGATTGTCCCTCGTACGGATTATCAACGCATCCTAAACTCACCACTCAGCCCGATAAACCCAATGTTCTCACAGCAGTACTGATATCCTTGTTTGCAGGATGCGCATGTCCCGTCGAAGATGGTAGGTCTCACAACTGCTTTCTGCCCGGGGGAGACATGCGTCACGCCTTCGCCTACTTCCTCGACAATGCCACCAAATTCATGGCCGATTGAGACCGGCAGACTCGTACCAGTGATGCCGTGCGGCTTGCCGGGGATTAATACGGGACCCCCGCTGTATTCGTGGAGATCTGTCGCCGTATAAGCAATTGTTTGGCCTGTCGACTAAGTAAGTGGTATGAACTCACCGCTACCGCAGACTCCAACAAAAGCTGGTCTCAACTGTTTGGGCACGAACTCAGTCAGCACGGCACGACCAGGATTAGTACACTGCCGGATATACCTTCACTTGGCCTTTTCCACACGTAGGCTCCTCAATTGTATCCACGCGGACGTCACCACGGCCATGGAAACGGACGGATCTCATTGTCGGTGATGACTTGAGTTTCGTAAGGAACGACTCCCCCTTGGTCATCGGTAGCCGAACGCTGGTCTGCTCCGCAGTAACGGATCCTGAAGGGGTCATGTTGGAAAAAGCTCTAGCATTGGATTTTGCTTGCTAAGACGAATAGACAATATATCCATTGCTACACATATGGGAATCCGAAACTTAGCATCCATCGCTTTTATATGCTTCAGATAACAGCTGCCGTGGCGACCCATGGAGTGCCATGGCCAAAATGATGGTGAAAAGCGAGCAAGTAGAATGTTACTTTGTTAGCCAGGCAAGACAGCTTGCCCCGGCCACGCAAGCCCGGTCATCGCTTCTCGAACGAATAGAACGTACGGCATCTTGTCACGAGAACAGCTTCAGGGTGTTTCACTGACGCTAGCCTGATGCCATAAGGGAGTTTCCAGCCTTGGATCTAACCCATGCTAGTCCCTGCAACGTTATCGGAAAAGATAGCCCTTGTTCGCAGACTCAACTTTCCCCACAAAACGCGATGTAGATCATGGCGTCACTGGTGTCATCAACCTCGACATCAGTGGACGTTGAGGCCTTGTACAACCAGTGGAAAAGAAGAAACGAGCTCAGTCAGACTGGAGAAATCTACCGGCGTGAGAGTATGCTCGTCGAGCACTGGGCGTTGGAAGCATGGGGTAGATCCGCAAGTGCCCCGGAATAACCAAAGCCAGTAATAATACTCTGTCAGGATCCGAGCACGCGGCGAACATGATAGCATAGCCATCGTGCGTATTGTCGGATTCTGTGTACAGAGTACCATTTACTGCCAAGCCGGAAATACGATGCTTATCTGATTTCTGCCTCTCGGGTGGCAGCCTCGCGCTGTTGATCGACAAAAGCACGCAGGATCGATTCCAGGCCTTCGTTACGGCGCGTAAGCAGCATCACATCCGCAACATTGATGGTCGAGCGGCCGGCATGTCTAGAATAGGAAATCCGATCGTCAGTCTCCCGACCCGCCAATGATATATCAAATTGCGGCTAAAAAGACAGCACAAAGAAGCTGGCGTTACTCACTTTGCGAAGGATTCCAAATCTTGGCTCACCGTCTCTGTAGAATCATCGCGTTCAGTCTGACTGTCTCATGAACGCTCTCTGATGCAATCTCTTCTCCCCAAATAGGAGCGAGATTAATGAAATAAGAATCAGCGTGCACGTACCTATCTGTGCCCAGACCATTTCAGTCAAAGCTCCGATGAACTGTGGCGTTGCATTAACTCCCAGCTTGATGGTCTCCTCGTCCACGATCTTGCCGATAGAGAGCCAGAGAGCGGACTTGAGACGCTGGTACATGTCAGCAGGCGGGCGGCAGGAGGAAAGAAAAAGAAACCCGTAGCATACCTCCTCGAGACCGACATCTTCATTCTGTTCTGAGGCCATTGTATCCTCTCTCAACTGGATTACAACTGTTATTTCTGCTCTGAATTGTAGAGATAGAGAGGGAACTTCCAACACTCGCAATAATCGATATGAAGACGCGCCCGCGTTGTTCTTCCCTCTGATTGGCTATCAACGCGTTCCTTGGATAAACAATATTCCGGATAATCACCACGCTAAACCTCAAATGGACATGACAATTGAGAATTACCGTAGTTTAATTGCTGGCTTTATCTACGAGGACTTGTCAACAGCGGGTCTTTCGTACAATCGTTTCGAAAAGAGACTTCAATTCTTTAATCCCAGCCTCTGTGTTTTGCAAGAATAGCATTGCTCTCATTCTCCTGTCTTCCTACATCCTTCCAGATTCACCATCGGAGCTTCCGCGGAGAACCGCCAGAAAGAGAGAAAAAAAAGCACACAACTGTCAAAACATATCCAACTACATCTCGAACCTCCTAGTTCGCAGCTACGGCAATCCAGAGAATCCTGAAGCGGGAGAGGAAAAAACAAGGATAGAGACGATAATTAATCACAATCCACAAAATGGCGGACACCTACACACCCCCCACGGCCTCTGAGCTCCTGACCGACTTCTTCAACCAGCTCCTCGGCGGCGTGGAGAACTACTTCGCCAATTTCTACAAGAACTTTACTTCCATTTCAGCCAAGCGCTGGATCCGCATGGGTGTCATCGTCGGCGCGTACCTCCTCGTCGTCCGCCCTTTGGTCGACATGTTCTTCCGCTGGTCATTCGACAAGAAGCAAGCCAAGGAAAAGAAGAAGAGGGAGGAGGACCAGGCTGCATTTGGCGCGGACGGGAAGACAGCGAAGATGTCACCGAACTCATTGCGGGGACCGGGAAAGGTGCTGGGAGAAGTCGAGACGGATGATGAGGATACGGTCAAGGGACAGGGCAAGGATACGGGAAAGGCTACGGGTGTGCCTGAGTTGGGCAAGGGCGCCAGGAAGCGACAGAAGAAGCAGATGAAGGAGGCAGAGAAGAGTGCAGGTGCAACGATGGAGGGAATGACTGAGGAGGAGCTGTTGGAATTGTTGGACTGGAGTGAGTCCGATGAGGAGAAATGAATCAAAGTATAATCGCTATGAGGACTGGGGTGGCTTTGGTTGATTATTTTTGCTCCTTTTCTTTTCTAAGACTCTGGAAGGGACTTTTTTTCGCTTATGTTTTAATTATATGCGGATACCGGTCCGACAGACCAGTCGGTGTATTATGATAGAAGTGTTGGTGTCTCAGGGGATATGTTTTAGGTTGTTTTATGATACCTAACTAGTAATAGAACGTGCCGCAGTAGTTGCTTGTGACTGCGGGCGTCAATTTATCTGTATACTATATAATTTACCGCAAAATTATAGAAAAGCTGTAGCTTCCTGCACTGGCGGATCCCGAGAGATCTGGTACACAAATCCACTATGGCGGCATTATGCCTCATGTCTTTAATATTCCGATAATCTTTATAAATTCTAGGGCCCTTTGTATAACGGCGTTTTCCGACATCCATCGTCAATACGTAACATAGACTCCGTAGCAGAGGCTCGCTAGAAAGACTGCTCTAATGCAACCTCCTCAGAGCCTCTATTGTCGCCTTCACGCCTTCTACGTCGACCTCACCACCGAGGAAGCCCACTATCTCCTCCTGGATCTGGGGTTCGCAGCTCAGGAATCGCTCGATTAGCTCACCATCCACGAACCGGAACGGCTCTTCCGCTTCGCGCACGGCACTCCGGAAAGCGCGGAACTTGTTGAACGGCATGTTCCCAAGAGAGTCGACATACGCGGCAATATAGCCCTGCAGACGCATAAGGAAATCTTGGTGATCGGGATTGATCAACGCAAAGAGGTAGATCGAGCCTTCGACCTGTTGGGTGATTCTACGTTAGTTATCCAATAATATCTTTAGAGGCGACAGTGAGAATCTTACCGTGGCTAAGAAAGCCTTCGGCGTCACCGTCACACTTGCCAAGTGCGGGATGTTCACCGGTCGGATTCGGTTGACCATCTCTCCCAAGGATACTTCACTGGTTACCTCCAGTCGTCTCTTATCATCCTCCGTGACGCCGTTGACATTCCGGCGAAGGACGATGAGATTACCCTCTGCGTCGCTCTCCAGGAAGGTGTTCTCTTCGACATTAGCAACAGCAGTGGCCCAGACGGTCTGGAAGTGACGCGCCACTTCATTCAACGAGTCTGGGAGGCCGTTGTCTCCCTCTTTATACTCTACGATGGAGACACTCTTCATCAAATCTGACACGGCAATCAAATTTCCGGTTACCGAGATGTCAATAGGAGCGGTTGAAGTGCGATAGGTAGCTGCCTTTTCCAGCTTCACCGCGCCGAAGCTGCCGGTAACAACGTTATAAACGACAACCTAGAACCGATTAGAATGATCCAGCGCCTGTGTGTGGGGATACTCACCGTCTTGACAAGAGCAGCCACAATCTTTTCTCCGAGCATGGCTAGAGCTCTGCAGGCTCCCTTAACCGGAAGCTCGGCGACCTGCGTCAACATTCGGTTCTTGTCCACTTCGAAGACCAATATCCGTCCCCGAATAGAGTCCTCTTGCTCTTCATCCAAATATGCGGTACCAACAATAAATCGGTCCTGGAACGTATCTTTGCCTGCTGCGTCCTTTCCAGCTGGGAATTCTGCGCGAATCACGCTTTCCACAAGTTCGTCCTTCTTCAAGTCTACTGCATCAAGCGTTCGGAACATAATCTCATCTGCAAGCACGAACTGGCTTTCGACGATTTCCACTCCATCTTTCAAAGTCCGTTTGATCGTACCAATTCCGAAAGCTTTCTCTGAAGGAGAGTACGCCACTCTGCGGACAGTGGCATTCACGGGCAATGTCTGTATCTGGGTTGTCCTTTCTTTGTCAACTAGGGCGATCCTTAGATCACGGGGCGTAGCGACAGCTATGGACTCTGGATACGCCTCGGAGTTAAAGTGACAAATTCTCGAGGCGCCCTCAGAGTTCACCGCAGAGTATATAATCCTGCCCTCAGATCCATAGATCAAGCTTGGATGCTCGCACGTAGCGAATACGTTGTACAAACCGTCACCGCGTGGGAGCTTCTTGAATGTAGGCTGCTCTGAACCGAGGATCAACGTGTTTCTTCCCGTAAGCGAGTAATCTGTCGTATTAAATGAGAAAGTGATGACGCTGCCATCTGCCATAGAGATGAAAAGCGTAGGCGGGCTGTCTGCAAGAACATCGGCCACAAGGACAGACCGCGGGAAAGCCTCGCCAGTCGGTCCCAGGGATTGAGTCTGCAATTCTTCGAGATCCCTAAGAGCCAGTACCGAAACACTCGCACTTTGAGGGAAGCCCACAATGCATACTTCCGCAGGGGAGGAAGGTACAGTAACACCCGATATCTGGCTATCCGCCCCAAAGTCTTTCTGGATGATGACCTTGATATCATCCTTGATATGAAGAACAGACAGCACCTGGCCTCCAGTTACGAGGACCAAGTGCTCGTCATTCACAGATGCGGCCGTGATTGCCTGTTGGCTTGGTGGAGACCACTGAGAGATAACCATGCCACCATCGGCATCTGCTATTAGTACGTTATGTTCTGTCACCTGCACAATCCGGTCCTTTGGTAGATTAGCTGCGAGCAAGGTATTCTCCGACAGACTCAGCCCTAGGAATTGTTCCAGCTCTTCAACCTCTCCATCTGGGCTGAACTTGAAGACTCTCGTTTCGTCGACAAAGGTCACCAGGAGGGTATCCGAAAAGGGCTCCGGGCTCGAGGTTCGCAGAGCCCAGAGATCGGTGACATGTTCCATTTCACCAAGCAGGCCGAGTTCCTCCATACCGACGCCACTCCTAACGCTACGGAGTGTGCCGTCATCAAACGCGCCAGAACCAGTGATAATCCGTGCTTGACCTGAGGAGAACTCCTGCATCTGAGTTTCTCCCGAGCGATTTCCAAGGTCCATAAGAGTGAAATCCAAAATGGGTGCAATGTTTGAGAACGTCTGGATGACTTCAAACGAACCATCGCCGATCCTGATGACCTGGGAGTCACCATGATGGGATCCAACGAAGGTCACTCCCGCACCAAGATACACCAGCACGGATGCACGAGACGTCTTTCCCAGATAGTCCAGCTTCCAACTCTCGACTTCATTATCAGGGTCCAAAACTAACATCAGGAAATAGAGTCTGCCATAGTCGTCTGCCAACAGCCATCTCTGGCCATCGACCTGTTCCCATGCCACGAATATGGTGGCTTCTTCCAGGGGCCGAGAAATTGTCTCATTACTCGCATCGTCGATGTACTTAATCGATGTCTCCCCGAGAATCAACAGACCGCCTGAGAACGTTAGCTTCCTGATCGTGTAATTATAGCTTCTTGTCAGCATACCTAGGGGAGCCGGAACTGGAATCAGATGAGAAGCTCCGAGGTCGAGCTCCTGTGCAAAGACCTCGACCTCTTCAAAGGTCGCGTCTGCACCAGTACTCGAGGTCGCCGCGTTGAAATGGAGTTCCCGGACCTTCAACTTCACTCTTCGCTGATTATCTTCGTGTAGCAGAGCCAACCGCGGCAGGCCCTTTGATTCCACATGCAAGAAAGCAGACGAGCGCACGAATAGCTCATCGATTCTTGCCGTTGTCGGCTCAGCCAAGTCTCCCACCCGCGGTGCATCCGCACTATTCGTCCAAGCAGGCCTCCCTCTCTTCTTCCCGGGCACCTGTACAATAGGAATAACTGTGATCACTCCTTCGTATATCTCTAGCGTCATAAACCTTCCACTCGGGTCGATCAAGCATCGGTTTCCAGTCTGCGAATCTCGAGACGACTTGTCCGCTAAGTCGACATAGCTCTTCTCCGTCTGAACCTTTCCTGAAGCATTGTCCCAAGATAGTGTAAAGTATGTATACTGATCAGTACCGACGAAGAGGTGGTCCGTTGGAGAATCTGCCGGTGCAGGTAACCGAGCGAGCATCGTCACCTTTGCATAGAGAGCGCGCGATGTCGCCAGAGTGAGGCCATCAGGAGTGAGTGTGTAGAATTCGAGACGGTTCGCTTTTCTATGTCAGAAGTCAGATGTCGCTCAGCTCACAAGTAGACAAAACCGCATGGGTTGAAACGCGGGCCAGCAAGACGTACGCAACTACCAGACAGTCCTCCTCAGGGTTAAGGAATTGCAGCTTCACCGCATGGCGAATGCTGCTTGCCCGGTGAACGGGCACCACATACGCCATCGCAGCACACTCTCTGTCCCTCAATTCCTAGCAATGCGAGATGTTGGTCCAAGCTCTAGTTATCGACAAGCCACACTGCGGGGAGATCACGATCAATGGGGATAAGAACTTCAACGGTAGTAACCTCGAAAAGAAAGCTCGAGGCACTCCGTGCTAACCATTTCAGAGTGCCGTCGACAGAGTAGAAGCGTGCTGTATTGTCAGCGGAGTGCGGAGGAAGATAGATGTTTCGGCAGCCGATGGTTCTGCAAAGCGCCAATGACGACGTCCCCGCGACCGCTTACCAACGCCGATAGAAGAAAACCGAACTGAGCGCCGACTGGGACAGAATGCATTCACAACAACAGATGACTGCATCCAATATGCTTTTTGCGCGGATAAGCCTTGAAACAAAGGCGCATCGACAGGAGTCTCTACTCATGAATTCTGATTCGTTGATGTCTGTTGAATCGTACACAGGCATTCCTGATGATGATTATCTTGCATGTATGACAGGCTATCTACATCCGGGCCCTGAAGGGCTCAGGCTTGATCTGCATAATTCTTCCAAAGTATAGTTCCAATTCTGCAATGGCAGCTGGTGCCAAGCTAACCATGGTCCCAATCCACCCATCAGGTCTCAAAACAATAATTGCTCCCGAACCAAGATCAACTCTGTACCGCGCATGGGCTGTATGCTGGCTATCAAAGAAGACTTTCCCCAGAGGCTCCGTTCCCAGCATTTCATAGGGAGATGGCCCTTTTCCTGCAATTATTGTCCTCCATGACACTGGTAATCTTGGATCTGAAAGATAATGTGACTTTCTAACGGCATCAAAAACTGTGCAAGCAGTTGGGGATGTGTAGACTGTGTCCGCCACAAATACGACAACATGGAAAAGGGCAGTATTTGGTGTCTCCCGGTGTAAGCGTGTTGCTTCAAATGTTCCTGGCTTTTGCAGTTCCACATCCGGTCCAGGCTCACCAGGAGCAGGTACTCTGTTGTCCCGTAAAGCTTGCTTGAGAGAGCCCTGCACATTGAGGAGATCATCAGACTCATAACAGATCGAAAGGCCGCTGGTGAATGCGGCAGCTTCGGCCATCACTTGACCCAGTATAACATTCGGGTCGGCATTAGGGTCCCCTGTCCATCCAATGGGCAGTTGCATCGTCATTAACCTTGAAATATCTTTGTCATAGTTGATCAGTTTCTGCACGTTTGGTCGTCGTTCGCTCTGGTATGTCTTCAACACTTCGGGCCTGAGTTTGCCCTGAAGGACGAGTGAGAGCTTCCATCCTAGATTCACCGCATCATGGATTCCAGTATTCATGCCTTGGGCTGCGCCCGAGCTATGCGTATGACAGGCGTCACCGGCCAGAAACACGCAGTCCTTGACACAGAATTTCTGCGCGACACGTTGGCCTACAGAATAGATCGTATACCAATGGACTTCCTTGAAGGACAATGAGAACGGTTTAACCGATGCAATGGCTTCTTTAACGGCAGCTCCTTCGTCAAAGTTGGGGTATGCTTTTTGCCGTTCAGCAGTAAGGGCAAACCCGATTCGAGTAGCTCCACGGTCCAGTGCAGCCCATAGAACGTTGCCGTGCGTGGGCGACTCGATGGCGCAGTAAGTCCTGGGTTTGGGAAGATTTGTTTCAATAATACCATCAATTCTCACCCACTTGTCCTCTGTCGTACTTCCTTCGAAAGGAATCTGAAGAGCCCGTCTCACGAAAGACCGTCCGCCATCCGCGCCCACAAGATATCTGCATTTAACAGCAGACTGCGCGCCGGTCAACTCGTCCTGGATCGTTGCGGTGACTCTATAACCTCCCACCTGGACTGTGTCGTCTACAGTAACGTCGATTAGCTTCATTGGGGCTTCCAAGTTAACACCGTGCTTTTCCAGCGCTTGTCTAAAGACCTCCTCCTGATACTTCTGGCGCAATACCAGGGCGAAATCCCACACAGTGTCTCTCATATTTTCCATAAACGCCCAGCCTCTGCCCTGGACCTCATTCCCATTTCGGTCATAAGATACAGTATCTCGACAAGCGAAGCACTGCTGCGAGAGCGCCTCGGCAAGACCCAATTGATCGAGCATCTCAGACGTTCGGGGGAATAAAGTGATCGCGCGGCCGTATTGATCCTGCGACGATTTCGGATGTTGCTCAATTATTCTGATCCGCTTGTCATGTGGGAGACTCAACGCAAGCTGATATGCCGTGACGAGGCCTGGGTTTTGTAAGAAATGCTGGTCTTCAAAGTTCTACTCGCCGAATTCGTACCTACTGGGCCTCCTCCTACGATGAGAACATCGAGGTGTTCTGTCTTGTCGGTATTTGCCATGGCCTCGAGAGTTCAGGGCTTTGGCTAAGTGCTGATATGGATCTTTGGGTGGGACTCGTTCTCAGGGTTTCAACATGGAGGTAGATGGAAGCCAGTAGGCCCTGGCACAGTATAGGATTGAAATATGCCTCTCCGACTGCGAATAACTATATCATCTATAGTTCTGAAGTCTTCCCTGAACAATGCCATCATCGGCCTATGCGACAGAGCCGACAGATAAGATAGTCGGTATGATAAGCATGAGCGGGAGATAAGATGCAGGGATGAAGTATGGGATAGAAGTAGAGTAGAATTAAGAGCTTATGGCCGCTTATCCCCCGATATCTTCCGCACGGGCTGGGAGCGTCTTGCAAGTAGGTTTCGATACACGACGACCAGGAAAATAGTTCTACATGTGCTGATGCTGGTTTTCAGGAAGGAAAGTGCCGGTCCAAAGTGAGAGCTCTAGGGACGTGGAAATAATGAAGGCTCGCATTTCATAGATACGCTTCGTCAAAGCAAGAGGCTAGCTGATAAAGTTCCTTAGGTTCCTTCATCTCAACAATTGGCCGGCTGGCCCAATGGCAAGGCGCTTGACTACGAATCAAGAGATTGCAGGTTCGATCCCTGCGTCGGTCAATTCACATTTCTTTTTGCATTTTTGGATAATTTTCCGCGCTGCCCCATGGTCGCTGGAACTTTTCTTTTTTGCAGTCTCTAGATACTGGCTGTTCTTTTTTTTGGCACTTCTTAAGGCCTGCATCTAGCTATCACTTGTCGCCGTGTCTATCGTAGCGATAGAAGTAGTAGCGATAGACTTTAGCGAGCCGTGTAGACATTCCCTATGCAAAAGAATGCGCTGAATATACGAGTAATAGAAAATTCTGTACTGTCAGAAATGGTGAGAGGACGCTATTTGAGCTCTATGTATTTTCTACCAGTGTCTCCTGAGACTTCTTTAAATCGCCAACGTCGCATATAACGATCACGATAGAGTATTCCTGGCTCAAATCTCCCGTTTGTATTTTTTCTCACTGCGCGATAGTAACTGTAACATATCCTGTGTGCTCCCAGCAGCTTCCTTGTGGTAGAAAGGGTGGTATGTTTCTCGCGACAGTAGTAGTTACCGGGTGTATGTATGTCTTTTCCGGGGGAAAACAGAAAACTCTTCAGGCGCATCGTGGAGGTGTCTGTGATTTTAAAGAAAAATATCAGAAGTTTCATTTTATACTTTTCTGGCTTCTATTGCTGCTAACCGTCCTTGAGCGGCCTTTCACTCAGGCCTGCCTATGCGCTTGGCTAGCCACTCCTTCATTGTATCCGGATGTATAGATGCAAGCTATATTTGACAGGCCTCCTATGCAAGTAGACCTCGGGCTACATTATCTACAAGATATAGAGCAATTCGGAATTACAACTATACTGCGCTTTTCACATATGTGATATACTTAGCGGGAAATCCACTCGTCTCTTGTTGTAGTGTTGTTCTATCGGGCGGATCTTACCAGCACAGAGCAAGAGCGCAAGTTAGAGTGCGTAGTACACAAATTTGCAAATCTTCTGGTGTGGCAATCTCGATTACTCTATCGCATACGCTGGATTCTTCTGTGTGCCAATCTCCCAACTATCGTTGCTTAATAGCAAGTAGAGGCAGTGCGGTTAGTAAATATATATTTGCGATGCCCTACTCTATATTTCCGCACAATGTATAGCAACCTACCCCGCTTAATTGTCGGACAATGAAAAATATAAAGTCCAGTTGATCTTTGACATCTCACATATTACAATAGTATGTCTTAAAAACCGGCCAAAGCTCTCCGCTATCATAGAAGCGCTATGGATAAATCGAACCAAAATATGGTTAGGGAAAGTCGTTAGGTTCTTCAAACACACTTTGGAAACCCAATTCAACAATCAGCGCCGGGCTAGCTCAATCGGTAGAGCGTGCGGCTCTTACCAATCATACTGGAAACCGCAAGGCTGCGGGTTCGACCCCCGCGTTCGGCTCAATTCCGAACATTCGCTGTCTTTTTTTTACATTTTTTTTTATCTTTCCCCTTCCGTGATATCATCTACTCATACGAATTTGCCCTTATATTCTCTTTCGACTTCACTTTAACTCCGCCATAGTATTTACAGGCTGGACTCTCACCCACAACCAGCGTCGATACCGATAACTATTCAACCTTTGGCAAAGAGATGTTGCCGGGTATAAATAGCAGTCTGGCCTCTTCTGCCGATATATTTGAAAATAGTAATCCAAGGCACTGAAACAGAAACTGGCCACAGATGCCGATGTAGCCTGCATTATATACCACCTAATAATTATATACATATATCTGCCAACCTGCACAGCGATGAGCAAGAGGACGTCTGTGTTCATCTCAATCCCCGAAAGCCACGCCTCTGAAAAGAACCATTAGCTGTAATTCCGAGTATCATGACCCTTCTGACTACATAACTCCGAGACAGGGTTATGAGCCAACTCTGCGGGAGCGACGCTATCCGTGAAGTGGCCACCAAAACCGGATAGACCCTGAACTTCCATCTCTGATCTCTGCGACACTGCTTTTAGTCGACTGCGACGCTCCCAGAACGCCCACGCGATCGACGCAATGGCAATAACGCCGAGGGGGACGCCCACACCGACCCCGATGACCGTACCGCGTGATGAGTAGTTGGACGTGCTGCAGTGGCTCGAATTGGAACTGGGATTGGAAATGGAATTGTTGGAAGCAGGAGACGCCGTGGATGAAGAAGAAACAGCAAGGGCTGCTACTCCCGGCATGGCTGTCCCTGCTGGTACTGAGGCGGTTCCATGTCCGCAGGTAACTGCGCCATTATCATAACTTGCGGTACCGCAGCAGTACGTTGTGGAATTTCCGTCATATGAAGCGGCGACGATAGGGAATCCTGAGCTCGGGTTTATTTCCCCTTTTTTTTCATGTTAGGATGTAAACCTTTTCTCTTATTCTTATACTTTTCCTTCCCTCCTTTCGTGGAAGATTCAAAGGACAAGTCAAGGAGTGAGTGATTAGGTACTCACAGCAGTATTGATAACAACCCTCTGCATTCCAAGAGCTATCAGTACAGCTTGCGCGGGAGAGTGCGAATCCTCCATTTTCTTGCAAGTAGCATAAACCATTTGACATGCAGACGTCGTTTTTGTTACAACACCACGTGGTAGCGTTGGATGTGCAAGGGACATCGTACAATGCCTGTGATCCATCGGGGTTATAACAGGTTCTGTTGTCGTCGGCAGCTTGGACTGGTGAGATGCAGAGCAGACTCGTTATGATCAAGGATGATGACCATATCATTGTAATAATGTGCGTATGTGGTGCGGAACGTATATGTTCGAAGAATCGTCGCGACGAGGGTTCCGAGAGATAGAATTTGATCAAGGAGATTATGGAAAATATGAGGTTATGAAGCAGACTATTGTTCACTCCGCTTGGAATGGTAAATAAATAAAGAAAAAAGAATTCTACCGCGAATTCAGGAGTAGACTTAAGAGTAATCAGGAATTGTTATGACCCATTCACTCGACGTAGTCTAGTAATACGTATATCGAAGCGACAATAATACTCTATGGTGATTGGCCCCAGATGTCCACCTTTAATTCTGAACCGTTTAAAATATGTACCCGAGTGTTGGTATAGCTGGAGGCTAATACTGGGTCTCCCGCTGTAATACGGGTTTATAAGGAGTTTCAGATCTAGTGGTGCAAATCATATCCTAGGTAGGTAGTAGGTTGTAGGATAGAAGCGGTTAGATAAAATATGGGGGCCATTTTGTGACTGGAGTGGGAATAACTACAACAGATGATTTTATCAACTATCTCTCTTGTGGGGTCTTAGTTCCCCACCAAAAGCTGGACGTTATGAAGATCAGCAGTCTTTATTTTTCGTTGCCTTTCTCCGTCGAGATGTTTGGATATGGTCTTTCCGTAGAGACAAAATTTACAAACCCAACAGCAGCCAAAACCGTCGTAGACAACGACAAACAAATATACTTGAATCACGTCACATGTTGAAATAGTGGCCACTATATCTTCCGTCCTGTGATCATGAGGTAATAATATTTCCTGCGGCTCGCTCCTCCTCCACTTGAGAGTCATACATCTGGATTAGGGCCTCTTTATCCCTGATTCGAGATTGTTCGAGGAACGCCCGGAATGATGGATATACGAAACATAGGTCACCCGAACAACGTAGTCGGAGCTTGACCTTGAACGGCTTTGCAGAGTGACCGAGCTTCATGGTTACACCAAAAGAGTTATGAGTTCCATCGTTTTCAATAATGTCCATGGTCATGGAGAAATACAAACTAGGTTTGAATTGAAGCATTAACCTTAGCACTCGACGGGATAAGCAGATGCTATTCGCTGGCCGACGCAATCTGTGTTGAAGATAGATCGATGCGAGGAAATTGTGCCATAGGCTCATTTGTTCAAGGCCGTGGCTGCCGTCGCGGTCAAGTGCTTCGAAATAGAAGTGCTGAATAGATGGTCCTGCATCATTGGGGGATAGAGCGCCGCGCGCCAGTAGCGCTTCTAGAACAGACATCCCTTTAACTCTTGTAGAAGATTTGCCACTGAAGTCGCAGAACAGATCACAATATGCTAAGATGATGGCCCTTGCAGGTGTGGCGGTTGCGTCCTGGTCCTGGGAGATCTTCCATACCGGATATTCATGATATCCTAGGTAGGTCAAGATGTAGATGGGTGCAAGCAATAGCACACGGATCATCGTCTTGGAAGGGTCCTCGCCTCGACACAAGGGGGTGGTACAACATATTTCACTCCGCATCTCTGAATGTCTGTACATGTACATTGTGAGAGGGTCTCCACTGTCAATCAAATTCCACGGTAAAGGACCGTAGATATCATGGAGGAGGGACAGAAATGAATAGGGGGCCTGATCGAGCTCATGCTCCGCTCTCATACGAAGGAGCCCGGTAGAAAGCGAATACCCACGTTCCCACCACCCATGTTCCACCGTCCAGTTCATGGGCGCTTCCCCGAGCCGCAAGTCAGCAAGCAATATCTGGGAAAATGCATCCGGCGCATTGAAAGAACGTAGGTATTGCGCCATGCAGGTCTCTTTGTTCGGATCTTGTAGGAACTCGTCCACAGACCGGTGGCAAAAGTCGACTCTGTTTCTGGCATCCGGCTCCAAAAGTCCCTTAAATCCGTTCAATCGCCTCACCCCGTGCTCTTCCCTCTCCTCTTGTGTAATGTACTGGACGTTCTCTTGAGGGTAGTCCTCAGCCATGGCAAATTCGGGATTTCGTTCATAATCTTCGAGAAGAGAATAGCGCAGCAATGTCAACGATATGTCGTAGGTCTTCGCGAGACGAAGAATAGCGCAGGTGTGGTAGAATTTGCGTCGCACCGTCTTGCTGAGAGAGTTAAGAATATACTCATAGAGCCCGCTCAGCTCATCAGGAAGCGAATTAAGTTCATCCTCCAACTCAGCAATGCTGGCACCGTCCTCCCATTGCTCGCGAATGGACCTAATCACCAGCGCCACCCATAAGAAAATACCCTGCGCTTTTTCTACGACTCCACTGACGAGCCTTTCTCTGGCCTCCACATCGGCAAGATGAGCCAGTCTATCTTCGCTGAAAGCTCTCATATCCTGCCATGTCAACTGATGGAGCCGTAGCCTCCTCTCGGAGGCAAAAGTATTCATGAAGATACTGTGCTCACGGCTGGAAACACAAAGCTTGACGTACCCGGATGAGACTTCGGACCACTCGCACAGTTGTTTAACAAGATCCCTGTGGTCATACTGAGTTGTCTCCTCGAACTCGTCGAGACCATCGATAAGAAAGCAAAATGAACGCTGTTTGTTCACCGGCCCCAGCTCAATGAGCCGGTTGAATGCTTCGAAGATCTCAGAGTCGGATATTTCGTTCGCTGACTGCACCTGCCATGGCGTTGCAGCCGCCTTAGTCCAGGCCTTATATAGCATGTGCTGTATTAGCTCAGGACAAGCTTGCAAGACACCATGAAGAAGGGCGCGACAAAGACCGGCGAGAGATTTCTGGAGGACTGTTCCTGGCTTCCAGAAGAAAAAATGTGCGAAGACAAGAGTCCGGTCGCCTAGTGGGACAGTGAACAGAGGCAACATACACTTGGGACCACGGCAACGTACCTGCCCACTTTTGTAACTCTGTTCTCATATTAGGGTGAGAGGACAAGAACTTCATGAGCGTTGACTTCCCAGACCCCAGCTTGCCTGATATGTGAAAGATACCTTCTCCTGACGATAGCCATGTATTGAGCCTCTCTCTTGCAAGGCGTTTATCCGCATCAAGGGAAACATTGTCATGGTCATCGAATAACCATTGGAATGTCTTCGAATGCGCTTCAGGCACCGTTTCATACCTTCCTTGTATCCCATCGAGTTCCAGACTAGCCAAAACGCGCTCTTGGGTTATTCTTGTCAAGACATCCTGTGGGACGCGAAGAAGTGCACTGAGCTGAGCCTGGGCCGCTGCGCCGAACGAGTTGACAGACAGTCCCTGCATCCCCGTAACATCATCTTGGAGTTTCTTAAGACGAGCAATCTCCTCTTCAGAGGAATCCACCAAGCTTGCAAGCCTCTCTCTGATATCTTGGCTACGACAGTTAGCTCCAATCAGAATAATCGCAATCTGCCACAGCTTACCTCGCCAAATAAGAAAGCTGTAACTCAAGCTGGCTGCGGCAGATTTGCAACCTTTGTTCGAGGTCTTGCTTGTCTTTTTGGTACCACTTATTCCTCACAGAAGACTTCACGCTGTGGAACTTCGATTTAGGATCTTTGGCTTTTAGTTTGTCGAGCAGCGAGATAAGATCGCGAGATATCTTCTGACATTCCGTCGCCAGGTCAAATATACATTTGTCTGCTCCGGTTAAATGTGCGTTGTTGGAGACAAGCAGTCTAGAGGCTAAGCTTTCAGTCTCTCGCGCGATGACCCCACGCTGCCTGTTCTCCTCCAAGCATCCTGCGGAAGAAGCATAGACGTCTTTGGCGCCGTTGAGAATCTCTAAACTGAAATCGACAAATGTAAAGATGTTGCCCACGAGCCCGATGACCGTCACTGGATCCATCTTGTCGACGCAAAATGGCAAGGCGGTGGTATATTGACTGGTGGCTACATCTCGATGATGCGATCAGCGAGGGATTAAATATAAGCGATAGATTAGTTCGACACGCGGCGAGGCTATGCCAGCCCGTCCACTCTCAGTGTCAGACCCAACTCACAGGAATAGTCTCAATTTTGCCAGATCAGATCCACTTGCGTCATATCCCAAATCAACCGGGAAGAGACCCAACGTCGCTCGAGGCCCATCCAGAATAATGAAACACCCATATTTACTGCTGCGGTCCGTCTCGAGTCGTGGACGTTGTATCATCTGAAGCGAGTAAATGCGGTATCGCACCAGACCATATCCACTTCGAGACGTTTGAGATGCCACCTCTGGACGGTTGAGATCGAGTCGACGAAGAAAAACGGTCCAGATATATGGGTGTCGGACACTTCTGGACGCGCTGAGAGAGGCAGGAGCGGATATTCCTAGTTCGTGCTAGGCGATATGTCGTGTGGGATATCTGAAGAAGACGGGCTGATCATCGTGGAACGAGCCTGCTGGAATCGGAAAAGGACTTTGCGTAGTTTAGTTGTGCGTCGAGGGGGATTAGACATATCGACTGGATCTAGTGATCTATAGGATATTGCTATATGCTAAGCTATAGAATTATTATTATAACAGAAGTATAACCATAATAAGCAATTTAAGCAAGTAACAGAAGTAGAGAAGATAAAAAATAAAAGGCGCTATTCTTAGCGCTGAAGATAGAAAACCTTATTTATTTATGAATAACAATTGAAAGATTATGATAATATTAAATACGCATTTAGAAGACTTAATTTAAAAGTACCCCTCGATCGCGAGATGTTATAAAAGTGACTGGCTACAGGTAGTAAGCATAGAGTATAGCCTGCATAATACATTACGTATGTACACGGGCCTGGTATCTCTCCAGCCCTGAGAAAATAGATAGATACCCCTGAAACAGAATTTATCCTCCACCTCATATTACATATTCGGAGCCGGAACTGCAGTATAAACTAGATTTCAGGAAACTATTGTATGAAAATATACCAGAATCACTGATCCATGAACAGGAACAGAAAAAGCAAAGACAGCAACAAAGGCATGAGTCAAAGCTGCCCCCAGGAAAAGGACCAGAGCAGGCAAAGAAGCAGGATTACAAATAGAAAACCCGTAAATAAGTAGCTTGAGGGTCTATGCATATGCATCGCTTGTATTACCTGTCGAGCTATTATCGACGTAGTAGCTTCGCTGCATACTCAGCCCTAGAACCGAGGGTTACTAGTACGTGCTGGATATGGTTCTAGCTGTGGCTGTTGTATTTTAGTTAACTTGGAAATCACTGATAAGTAGATATGTGTTGGTGGGCGCCGTGGTTTTACTTCGGTTTGTATGTATTTGTAGGCTTTGGCTACAGGTAGTAAGTAAGCATGAAGTATGGCATAGGTAGTATTACATAGGGCGGAAGCTACGCGACAGCACAATTGCAGTATATCTATATCAGGAAAAGTCATAATTCATTCAGGTATCTGTACATCCTGGTATCCAAACCCATGCGCCTAGCCTAGAACCCTAAGCTGTCCAGGGACAACATGCAAATGCACACGCTAAAAAAAGCACACATACACACACACACACACACGGGTACCTATCGGGACTTGTCCAACAGATGCTGGTATACGACTGAGAAATCCTTGCCGCGATACTTGTCCTCTGTGGCATCGTACACACCGCGTGCCGTGTTGGCCAGATCGAGGGGCGTGCCGGACTCAGCGGCGGCTGCGATGGCCAGCCGCAGGTCCTTCTTCATCAGACTGACGCCAAACCCGCCGGTGTAGCCGCGCGAGGCCGGGGCTGTCTCGACGACACCAGGGACGGGGTTGTTGACCTCGCTGGGCCAGCAGCGGCCGGTGGATGAGTTGATCATGTCAGCAAGGACTTTGGGGTCGAGACCCCATCTGATTCCCAGATTCATCGCCTCAGCCGTTGCGATATTGTTGATGGCTAGGATGTAGTTGTTGGCCAGCTTACCGGTCACGCCTGCGCCCTGCTCACCGAGGTGCCAGGCCTTCTTGCCCATCAGCAGGAGGATCGGCTTGACCCGCTCGACCAGCTGTCCGGTCTTGGTGGTCGCCCCGAACATGAACGATAGAGTGCCGGCGCGCGCCCCGACAACACCACCGGACATGGGGGCATCGACGAAGCGGCCGGCCTGGGTCGAGTGGACGGCAGTGGCGATCTCCTTGGAAGAGGCGGGATCGATGGTCGAGCAGTCAATGAAGAGACGTTCCTGGGCGACGGGGGGCAGTTCACCGTGCTTCAGGATGCAGTGGAAGACGTCCTTGACATGGCTCGGTTCGGGAAGGCTGGTGATGATGACTTCCTATAGACACAGGAAAAATGGTTATCAGATTAGATGAGTATACTAGCGCACGGGAAGGAGTGACAACATACCGACTTCTCAGCAACCTCACGCGCATTACCAGCCACCTCAACACTCAGCCTCTCTTTACTGGAAGCACCAACCTCATCGACAAACTTCTTCATAACATCACTATCGATATCGCGAATGACAAGAGTATCACCGGCAGGGATCTTCGAGCGCAGATTCTTCGCCATTGCATAGCCTGCCCTTGTTAGGTTCTTCCTTTCTTTTCCCTTCTTTTCACAGAGTACCACTCACCCATCTGGCCCAAACCAATGAACCCCCAGGTGGCATCGCGTGGTCGTGAAACTGAAAATGCACGCCGCGAGGCGGGAATGGTACGAACAGAGCATCTCAGTCTCCGGAGAGGAGCAGATGTCAGGGACGCAGCACACATGGTGGGTGCCAGATTGAAGGAATAGTAGAGAATAGCAACGATGTGATTCCGGGCTGAGTAGCGGTCCTGGACGAAGGGGAGGAGAAGAAGTGCATGAAGAGGAGAGGAGGATCTAATAAGGTCTGTAGTTGTAGTATATACTGTCTTCTCTTCTGTCTCTCTCTGTCTCTCTGTCTTTCTATACCGATGGAATTCCCGAGGTTCGACCACCGGGCGGGGAGAGGAGAGGATATGGGTACATCATAGATACTTCCCATCACAGCGAAGATAGCATACAAACAGATGTACCTAACAAGTACCCAGAAGTAGTGACGGCAATGCGGGGATGATCCCTGCTTATCAGGCCCGTCTGGGGAAGTGGGGATGCGGTTTTCACCAATGAAACACGGCCAGCCAGACCCACTACGGAGGACAGAAATCCTGGAGATGCTGATTGGCCAAAATCAACGGACTGCTGCTGTCCGTCGGAAGGAGCCGGAGGATTTTATTTATGATTTATTTATGATTTATTTATGATTATTTGAGGATTAATTGACTATATTTAATTTATTATTCAATACTACAGGAGTCGTGATATCGAGTAGAGTATGGAGAGAGTGATGGAGTAGGGTAATTATGCTGGTATATCTTCTCCACCGATCGGATCGACGGGAACGGTGGCACTAGTACACCCGCCAGGCACATTCCGGGGAAATGTTGAGGAGGAACGCAGTACGGAGTAGTTACTTATTCCGAACGTAATTTATGGTAGTTCATATTGGAGGAAGAACAATCAGTGTGAACTTTGAAGCATTAGGTTATACTCCGAGTATAACCAAGTAGGGATTGGATTGCATTGGATTGGTGATGGTGGAATGCTTGATTGCCGACAATAACCGTCGGCCCGATCGGCTAGATACAGGGCAAGAAACACCAACATGCAGATAGATGATCGCCAGGAACAACATAACAACTGCACCGCAAGACGCCATGCTCTCTCTTCTGAAGGACGCCAATAATAAGTAGCAGATGATTCCCCCGAGCACTCCATTCAAAAACATCACAACCATACAGCCATACAGCCGGACCCATAACAAAAGAAACTTCCAGGTTCCGAAGCCATTCTCAAAAAAGAGCATTGATCCATCAGCCAAAATGAAGATAGAAAAATTGACAAACAAAAATGCAAGACAGAACCCCTCAATACTGTCCCGGCGACGTCGGACTGCTGGTCGGCCCCGACAGATACTCCTGCGGCACCTTGGGCACCCGCGGTGAGTTGGCCGTCTGCGCCAGAGCCCGATGCTGTGCCCGCAGCAGATCGCGATGCCGCTCCTTGTCCTTGTTGGCCGTGCCGCCCGTCAGTCGTCGCATCCCACTCCGGATCATCGACTCCAGCGAGAAAGGCCCGTCCGACACGTTGCGCGTGGGAGGCGCCGCTGCCACCGACACCGAGGGCGTCCCCAGCCCGAACCGGTCGTCCATATCCGACAGCGACTCCGCCTCGTCGTCCGAGAAGAAGGCCACCTCGTTGAACCCGCTGGGAGGCGTCGTCATCTGCGATGTCGGCGAGAAGAGATTGTTGGCGGGCGAGGTCACCGACCGCATGTGCATCGACGGCCGGATGTTGTTCAGCGATTGCTGCAGCAGCAGTTGTTGTTGTTGTTGCTGCTGCTGCAGCGGCTGGCCGGGGGTCGCGCTCAGCAGTGAGCCGTCCATCCGCGACGTCGATGGGCGGGATTCCGCCAGCCCGTTGTGGAAGGACGAGGTCGACGCTGTCCGCGCCAGCGACTTGCGCAGGATGGGCGCCGTTTGCTGATCGTACAGATTCGCGCTCGTGTCGGGAAATCCACCCGAAAAGCCGCGCAGCGTCGCGTCCGACATGGACGAATGGCTCAGCTCGGTCTCCTCGAAGAAGTCGTCCAGGCTGTCCAGCTTCTGCACGATGTCGCCCATGTTGCCGTCCGTCTGCGTGTCGATCGACTTCATCGTGTCCGCCCGCATCGGGAAGAAGGCGTCGCCGTAGTCGTCGGCGTGGAAGGCCACCTCTGGCGCCTCCGTGACAGGCGTTTCGATGCGATCCGTCTCCGCGCACGTATAGAAGACGGCGTGCACGTTGTTTCGTGTGATGGCCGACTGCGCCGCCGGCATCGGGATCGACCAGCCCGTCGGCTCGGGGATGCCGTACAGACTCTGCACCCGCTCGTACTCTTTGCGGATCGCCCGCGAGGACGTCGACGACGCCATACTCATGCGCAGATGATGTCGCTCCATCGGGTTGCCGGACACGGTCATGATGTGGTCCATCACCTGCAGCGCTTCCCGGCACAGATCCGTCTGCAGCAGACGCAGCAGCGGCGAGATCAGATCGGGTCCGTGGCACGTCACCTCGTTGCGCCGCATATCGATCTCCGGGATCATCACGCACAGGATCTGCATCGTCTTGAGCCGGAACCACGTCGTGGCGTTCGTCAAAAGGCCCATGGTGAACACCAGACTCTGCACATCTTGCTCCGGGAAGAAGTAGGCCTTGATCTCCGTCACAATGTGGTCCAGGAAGTCGCGCGCGGATTTGTATTGTCCATTGGCAAAGCCCACCAACGAGGCCGCCAGCCGCGGGCAGTTCTGCCGTTCTGCTACCGTCGCCAACAGATTGGCGCGATCAAGGATCGCCGGGTCGCTCTTTTCAAGGTCGTAGTGGTATAGGAAGTGCGGCAGATTGGCCAAGGTCGTAAAGAGCAGGCGGTTACTGTCCCCAACCAATGCATTGTTCGGCAGTCTCATCAACCGCTGGAGCAGATCCAGCGTGATGAGGAACGACTCGGACGACTTCAGTCCTTTGTAGATCAGATCCTGGATCCCGTCAAATCCCCCCTCCCACTTGGGAGGCTGACTCTCGAGAAGCCTCGTGATCACGGCCGGGTCGCCCAGATCCACCTTGTTCAGGAACTTCTCCAGCATCCCCACACTCTCCATGAACTCTCGCTCGTGGATCGTATTGAGACAGGCACACGTAGTCCAGAAGAGCTGCGGATATCGCATCAGATCTGCCGGCGCAAGAGAATCGATAATGACCTTCAAAGTTGTCAAGATCTCCATCGAAAAGGTCTGGTAATCCGCTTCCTCGTCTGCAATCGTGTTAGACAACCGCGCCAGCATGTCGGCAAGCATTCTCGAGTCCAACGAAGTCGAGATGCATCGGAACACCTGGAAGGACCGGCATGCGAGGTGCCGCACCGGGCATGAGGTCGCCCAGTTCAGAGCCTCTTTGGCCCAGAGATCCCCAACCCCTTCGTAGGCGAAGCTGAAGAAGTTGATCACTTCACGCGTGACCCGAGTCATCGCAGAAGGCACTCGACTCACGTCATCACGGTCATGTTTCCCATTATTATCCTCGTATTCCCAGATAACCGCCGGGTCGCTCTTCCGGATCGACTCGACGAAATCCTCAATCGACTGTCGAGCGTCGGCGGGCGCATCGTCCTCGATTTTCGACGCGATCAGTTCGTGGATCAGATGGACAAGCATCTCTCGAGCTTGTTCCTGGACGGTCAGCGTGTAATGATCCCAGAGGATCAAGACAACGTGTAGAAGCTTGATGACGCTGTCCAGGCCAAGCGTAACTGGCGCCACCATCAAGTCCACAAGGAAAATAAGCGCAACTTGCCCAAGTGACAGACCCGCCTAGACAGAGTTAGTCGAACTATAGATAGATCATCATGATTGTTGAGACTTACCTGCTTGTTACCAACTGGCAGCACGCTGCTCAGATCGGCAACATAAGGAAGCCCCTTGGTCTCTGGCGGCGTCGAGATGACTTCTTTTCTTTCCTGCACCATGTTCTTGGGAATAACTTGTAACAGGAAGAACTCGATGACCTTGGATCCAGCCGGAGTGCCTGACAAGAACACCACGATCTGCTTGGCGTATTCGACAAAGTTCTGTTCTTTGCGCTCCAGACAGAGGCTGATAATAAAGTCAAGGACCAGCTGCACGTTTCCGCCATGCGGTCCAGTTGCAAGCGCCTGCCATAGTGCTTGAACCTCGTTGGGCAGGATCGTGCTGCATCGGATGGTGATCTCGAACAGATTGGCCAGAAGCATGTAGGACCGAGCCGTTGGAGCTCCACTGGGTTCGATCTGCAACTCCATCGTCTGAATCCAGGGCAGGATTGCCGCTACCATGTTGCGCTGGCTGTCGGGTTGGAGATTGCGGAAATGCAAGGAAAACTCGGAGAAGATCGTGAACGCCAGATCGGCGTGCTGCTTGGCCAGCCGTTTCGACGTCTCGAACTGTGCTAGCTTGTAGACGGCCGTGGTCTTATCGGAGATACTGATGTCAAAATCTTGTAACCGCGAGCTTTTCTGTTGGCGTTCCTCTAACGTGCGCAGGAGCCTGGCCGACTTCATTCGGATCTCGCGTTTCTGATTGCCCAGTGTGAAGAGCACAGCACCCAGGATCCGCCAGAACGCTAGCGGATAATCAGTGTGCTCGATCAACACCTCCGTGACAACTTCAAAGTAGCTCTCTAGGGCCTTGGGGCGTTCGCTGATATAGCACATCTCGACCGAGCGCTCTAACAGGTAAGGGTATTCCTTGTTATGGGTGATCAGGTTCTTCAGCGCTCGTCGGCCGATCGTATGCCACTTGTCGCTGACCGTGTTGAAAATGATATCGATCCATGATAGCATCCGGCCCACGTCAAACTGCAGGACAGAGCCGCTTTCCGTTGTGATGCTGATCGGCCCGGCACAAAGGGATGCCATAGCACTGAGCGCCGCTGCCCGCAGATTCTTCTTCTCGATCTCCATCGCGGCAGCCGTGTTTCGTATCTCCCCGGTCTCGTGTTGATGGGCTAGCGCGAACTTCCGCATATTCTCTTCCCGCTGGGAGATCTGGGCTTGGTTGGGGGAATAGCCACACCAGTCCTCCATCAGAGAAAATGCCGATTTTCTTGATTCGAAAGGCAGCCAGCGAGATGGATCCTTAGTTCGGTTGATGCCTTCGAAGAGTTCCTCCATCAAGCCGCAGTAGTGAAACCGGAGTTTCTGGAACTCCCAGTCATTCTGCACTTCAACGTCACTCAGGAAGATCCGTAGATCCTTGGTATAGGTGACTAGATTATTAACGATCCAGTCGTCATTGTATACCTCCGGCTCCTTCAGAAAATGCGACGTTAATTTGTAGACGTGTGTCACTTCAGTGCGCAGTCGGTCCGTCCTGCGATTGCGACGTGGGCTGCTTGGTGTCCGATGGTGAGCACCAATACGGACCTTGGCCTCTTCATTGCACGTGGTGACAGCATACTGCAATGATTCCAGCAAGGTGCGATAAAGATTCTTCTTAATAGAGCCAAGTGCGACTACTATCGCATTCCTAATTGAGTCCGGCTCAGCAGACAGCAAGGGGATGACAAAGGCAAAGAGAGCCCTCGCGGAGCTAATCTTGTCCTGTGCTTGCTGCCCTCCTTTGGAGGCTTTGCGGGCATGCTGATTAGCCAGCTGACTTTGAGATTGGGCACCAACAGTATTCACAGTTGTGCAAGCCATTACGAGATAGAGCTTCCACTGTTCGATCAGGATCTCAGCGGCCGCGTTATTCCGGCCGAGCGTACGCCCATTGCCAAGGTCCATCGGTGCATACTGAGGACCACGAGGACTCTCAGCCAGCGCAGCAATGCTCTTGTGCATCTGCACCAGTCGCGCACATACAATCTCACGGCTCAGAGTGACGGCAAACGGGCATGTATCGAAACTGATGCGGATAATGTTCGGAAACACTTTGGACCAGAGCGTCGAGTCATACGATACCTCACTGCTGCAGAGCTCGATCAACGTATTTTGCAACGTGCTTCTTCTCTTTCCCTTCTGCAGTCGACTCTTTTCAGCTATCGTAAGCTGCTCGTCGTTCAAATCGAGTATCTGCTGAGAGTCCGCCTCAAGAATCCGGATAACCCTGGTGTTTTCTTTTCCGAGGGCACTGTCAAATTCTGTGACAAGCCGCAGGACAGTGATTGCAAAAGCGCGGACTCTTCGAGACTGTGAGCATAAGAAGAAGAGACCATGGGACTCAATCTCCTCAACATGTGCAAGCACGCTGGAGAGGTCGAGTTTCAACGCTCGACTTCCAGATCCGTTTTTATCCGTGGGCTCTGCCGCCGCCGCTTCTTTTGACTTCTGCTTGATCTCCTCGATCCAGATCCGTAGTAGTTCGACATAAAGCCGCAGAGTAGACTCGATATGGCCCGGCCCAAGCATACCCTCATCGGACATGGTTGAGTACCGCGCATCAAAATTGAATATGAAGCGTGCGAAGCCGATGGTAACCTGCTGCGCATGGGATTGGCGTGCAATTGACTTCAAGGACTCTGCGGATGAAATGGCGATATTGGATTGGACATGGGCGGTTCCGGTGCAGAGGAGGTTGATGAGCGAATTGAACGGAATATGATCGGATAGGCAGCGAGGCAGAGCCTGCACTGCCACGTGCAGCAAGTCGTAGAAGCTCTGCTTCTGATCTGGGCCAGCGGAGTGATCATCTCTCCTTGTAAAACTAAAGGCCTCAGAAATAGGCGTTTTTGGTGTCGACCCGCTGAACTTCTCATCGAGCGCAGCCTGGCCACCAAACGTATTGTCGCAGAGCAGAGTGATCTTACCTAGGATCTCACAGAAGCGAACGTAGTGTTCTCTGGATTTATCACTCAACTTGCTTATATTGACCGGGCGGGACAACAGATCATCCTTGTTCTCGAGTGTGGTTGAGAGCCTTGGGTCCGTGAGGAACTGGGCCCGATGGATCTGCGACGATATCGGCACGTCGGTGAAAGTATTCGCCATGGAGCCCTGAGGGAAAGGAGGATAGAGCTGACTGCTGTTCTCGAGATCGCTCATTATGGCCAGGAACGAACGGATCCCGATAACCACCTTTTCGGGTTCCATTTGTTCGATTTTTAGTTCTTTTCCAGAAAGAATCAGGTCGGAGTTTATAAGAGGGAAAATAATATTTCGGAAGCACAGGTCAGGATGCTTGAAACCAATCATCCGGACTAGCTGTACAAGGGGCTCTGCCACCGATGGTTCCGTTGTCAAGTACGTGCGTCTCCCAGCCGGCAGTGCAACCTTGACTACTTCCTCGACCTTCTTCAAGGCAGTGGTAGGGTTATCGGGAGATCGAAACAGGTAGGTCCAGAGTAGGCGGCACATAGCCTGAAGTGCTGGACCTCTAGTCGGACGATCTTTCAATTTCGGAGGCAGGCTCATAATGATGGAGAGCCACTGGGAAGAGAAAGATGACGACACGCATAAGAGCAGGATGTGCAGAGGGAAACCGGACGACCAGTGGCGCGGTTTCGTGAGCAATTGCGCCAATCTAGGCTGAACCAATTCCAGGAATTCCTTCCATTTGGGGTGAGATAGGTCGCAAGCGGGGTTCTCTGCCACCGGGAGTAGTAGCTTCTCGAATATATAGCAGTATGCTTGCTTGATCCGTTGGCCATGAGCGTTCACGAAGAGCCGCGCCAGTGACCGCATAAAGTCGCAGGATCTACTCCATACATCGTCGGGGTATGTCTTGATGCGAACGTGCCGCATCCCAAGAACCAGCAGTTCCACCTTCGCATCAGCATCTTTCGATGGGCCGCGAAGAGGCTCGTCCTTCTGGTAGCGTTCGAGCTCGTTCAGGAACCTATTTGTCACGCTTGTAAAGTTCGTCTCGCTCATGATTCCGAGCAACTGTCCGTAGATCCTCCAATTGGCCATTCGTAGCGGTGAAGCAGCAATTTGATCTGGATCCACGGTCTTCAACTGGCCAAAGACAATGTCTTCCAAGCGCTCCGCCATCTCAATAGTTATCGCGGACAGAGTGCTCTGGTGAAATATTTCGATCAAGACTCTACACACCAGGTAGACCGACACGGTAGCTCGACGCTCCGCTAGGATTACATCTTCATGTCTGGAGAGAAGTGTGTGCGGCGGATGCGTAGAATCCCCGTTCGTCGGATGAGATTCGCCTGTTGGAGAAGGTTCTGTATTACGCCGCATTATCAACCCATGGTCTAAAGGCGGTGGTTTCTGAATGTTAAAAGATTGGCATTAGTAGCTGTCAGAATGTCTATGATTCAGCCGCAGTTAAACATACCTGAGTAGCCATCTGCTTGGCCATACTCGCGGCTTCGCCTTTCGCTTTCCGCCAGAACATGATCGTATCGATCAAAGGCTTCGGCTTCTGACGTGCGATATGACCAAGAGCCGATATGAGCTGATCGAAGGTGGGATCTGCTCCTGGCCCACAAACTTCCTCCACAGGAGCTTCTAGCTCCCCAAGCTTCATTATACATTGGTTGATCTTATTGTCGGCTTGGCCGACGAACTGGATGTGTATTAGCGAGATCCTCTTGGCCCTAATGGAAGAGGGGTATTTACTGAGTTGAAGAGATGGTGCAGGGCATATTCACCCACGGTCTTCGATTCCGGTGGATGGTGATGATGATGCTTCGAGGTGGTTCGGGCGTGCGATTGCTCCCGCCGTGGTCTCCCGTTTGTTGATACCATTTTTCGATGTGTAGGGTTCCTGGGCTGCGCGGCACTGGGCTCATCCGTATCATTATCCTCGATCGTACTCAAGCCCGGCGGCTGCACGTGGCTTGTTCCATTGCTCCCTGGACTAGTATAACTTGTCTGCTGATCAGGCTGCTCCAGACGGCCAGCTAGTGTCGACTCCGCCTCCGAACTGCCACTGCGGCCAAACGATGCGATTATCTCCGGACTCAAGGGGTTTGCGGTGGTGGAAGAGGCGGCGAAGCTCGGGTTCCGCGAGTGCTGGATGCCATGCACGATGGAGGTCTGACGGTGGTGGCCGTATGAGTTGGACGGTCTCCTCTCTATGTTTGGTTCGTATCCAGGACCGGGACGAGCAGAGCTAGGTTCAGGACTTTTCGATTGGGATTGGCCGCGATGGCGTTGCTGGGATTGTAGCGTCGAGAGACCCGAGACGGAGGTATCGCCCGGCCTCCCTCTGGCAGCGGATGTTTCTCGACTGTGGACAGTCGACGATGACTGTGGATTCCGGACGGGCACGCGCTCTAGTGGAGAGGGACCATTATGGTGCGACGCGACGTTGGACTCATCAGGGATGAGGGGCATCGTTGACTGAAGGGGCGCAGCCTGCCGCATAGCATGAGGTGCGGCTATATTAAAAAGAAGCGTTCCAAGTTAGATATACACATGTCTTCCGAGTTCTTACAACGTCGATACAGGCAGGTCCAGCCGCGATTCGACCATTCCAGGGGAGGGGATCGAAGGGCAGTAGTCGAATATCAAACGAGGGAAGCTCCGGATGTTTGAGGCGGGCAAAAAAAAAGGGCTTAACTCACCGTTGGGCTGCATCTTTGGCGATCGCCATTCACTAGCCACCAAGGGCTCAGCTAAAGTCAGGCAGAAGACAATGGAAGGACCAGAGTGACTCGGTCATTGTCGTCCATGACGGACTTCGGGAAAAAGGGATGCCTTGGAGAGCTGGTCCTTGCATGAACGTTGACGTTGAGCGAGCTGGTGTCGTGCTTCGCGATGGCGGCTTAGCACGGACGGCGGTCCGCTCTGCAGGTGCCAAACCTGGCCGACGAGCCCGATGTCCAGATGCCAACTCCAGACTTCTTCCATCCACCATGCTGAGCTCATGCTCTCTGATGGCCTCGGCGTCATCCCCTGACCCAATCACTGCTGGTCCCTGAGCCTGAACCCCTGAAATATCGGACCGACACCTCGTGGAGAACCACGTTGCGCCGTAGTTTCATCAAGCTAGGCCGCTAGGGAGCCCATCTCCTCAGTGCAAGCCACGCCTGTTGAGAATGCCAATACAGATCAGATCTCAGGTACTGCTACACTACGGAGGACACAAGACGTCTATGTTTCCCCCGTCATCTCCAGGACGTCACCTCATCTCGACTCTCCCACGTTCGACTGCGGGGGATCCACGATGGCCCGGTCCCTGTTTATATTATTCGAGTAATAAACCATGGTCATGATCTTCATACCCCAGGAGAGAGAGTCGAGCGAAGATAATAATAGTATAGTAATTTCTGGAAGCCTGGGCCCTTAAGGAACAGGGTTGACTGTGCGCTCTAGTATTGAGTCTACAATCGAAGGACTCTCGTGAAAACTGGAGGTGATTGATAGACTACCCCTGGGGTATAATGGCTATTTTAATCCTGCTCTCGAACACACCTCATAGACTCTTACTCATCTCTGCTCTATTGAGTCTCCGGTGAAGACCGCGAAATTCCGGTCATCATCGCTGACGATGCGGTAAGATCGATAGCTAGTTAGTTAACTAGTTAGAGCTTTCTAAGCTTTCTAAGCGATCATATCACACGAGTCGTAGATAAACTTTACGCCAAAGATGGGTGTTTTGATAAGATAAAATAATAATAGCCTTTCACTGTACCATGCACCGTGTTTACGGTGCATGACAACCTCTGCAAATCAGCATGAAGTTGGATACTGATTTCTTTTCTCTAGGTTTTGTTGTAAGAAGACAACGCGAGTACATAGTATATATATCGTCCGGTTGGCGTCTGTTTCATTACTGGCGCGGAATATGCCCGCAGCTCGAACATCCGATGAAGGCAAGAAAACCCTGAAAGAACAAGGAGCAAAAATTGAATTATTTGCCGGGGCATTCGGATAAGTATCTAGCACGAGGGAGAGCATCTGATTGTTCTGTGGTCTGTGGTATCCCTGGCTTCAGGGTGCGACCCCGCAGAGTGCTCTCGTGCCGAAAACACTCCCATTCTCTTTTCTCTTGTGGGCTTTTCCCTAGGTACCGTCTATCCTAGAGTTGGATGCCAGGAGAAGGCGGCATTCTTCGGCTAGGGCTTGCTGTCGGCAAAGCTATCGGAATGGCGCGTAGCAGTTGATACCGCCAGGCGAAGATGTCTATGGTAATTACCCCATCTTTGGCCGTGTGGGGTTTCCGTTTTGCCCTTTGGCAGTGAAGGTTCAGGATCTGAGGTCCGATTCCTTCTGTTCGGTTGACGGATCCCGGATCCTGGGGACGCAAATATATAAGTACGTAGTAAGTATTTAGCCTGCGAGATAGTTAGATAGATAGGCGATTATTCATACCACCCCTGTCGCCTCTTCCTCTTCTCTCTTCTCTCTTCTCTCTGTAATTCTCCTCCTCCCCTAACATCTCCGGTACGGACGGGATCCTCCCTTACCTTGACAGGAGCTGTTGTCCGCACTAAGGATTGCTTAGTAGGACTTCGACCCCCCTGGCACGGAGCATCTTTACTGTCATAGACATAATCTGACCGATACACACAAGAACAGCGTGTCCTCAACGCCGTTCCACTCCCCTATTACTTCTTTATTTGTTGTTCCGCCTGGGGGCCAAGAAGCATCGTCGACGAGGTTGTTCCGGTTCCCGGCGGCGCAGAAAGTGGTTCAGCTAGTTCAGCTGGGCAGCGTCCGTGCTCAGGTCAACGCCCCCAGTACTTCAGAATACGGGCTGCTCATCAGACCACCTAACCTTCAGCTGCTTTCTCCCGGATCTATCTTTCCGATAATCGGTGCACCGTCGCGCGTGCGAATTGGTGTCTGGTATCGTGAGAAAGAGTCCTTGACTCTCGAGAGGGTTCTTCTCTCCTCTCACTGCGTCCGGCGACTCTCATACCGTGTTTCTCTCTCAACGGCAAGATGGCGCAGATCGACACCCTCGACCTGCTCGTCCTGGTGGCCCTCTTGGTAGGTAGCGTGGCCTACTTCACCAAGGGAACCTACTGGGCAGTTGCAAAGGACCCGTATGCTTCTTCCTATGGCGCCGTCAATGGCGCCAAAGCTGGCAAGACCAGGGACATCATCGAGAAGATGGAGGAAACGGGCAAGAACTGCGTTATCTTCTATGGCTCCCAGACTGGTACCGCGGAGGATTACGCTTCTCGACTGGCAAAGGAAGGATCCCAGAGATTCGGCCTGAAGACTATGGTTGCGGATATCGAAGAATACGACTATGAGAACCTCGACAAGTGGCCCGAAGATAAGGTCGCCTTCTTCGTTCTCGCTACCTACGGCGAGGGCGAACCTACGGATAACGCGGTCGAATTCTACCAGTTCATCACCGGCGAGGATGTTTCGTTCGAGAGCGGCGACGAAAAGCCTCTGTCTTCTCTCAAGTATGTGGCTTTCGGTCTGGGAAACAACACCTACGAACACTACAATGCCATGGTCCGCCATGTTGATGCGGCCCTGACCAAACTGGGTGCTCAAAGGATCGGAGCTGCTGGCGAAGGTGACGATGGTGCTGGTACAATGGAAGAGGATTTCTTGGCCTGGAAGGAACCCATGTGGGAAGCTCTGTCCAAGGCGATGGGTCTGGAAGAGCGTGAGGCTGTCTATGAGCCGGTGTTCTCGGTCACTGAAGAAGAGCAACTGTCCCCCGAAGATGAGAATGTCTATCTGGGTGAGCCCACCCAGGCTCACCTGGAAGGTGGCGGTCGCGGTCCGTACTCCGCTCACAACCCGTACATTGCACCGATCGTGGAGTCTCGCGAACTGTTCACCGTTAAAGATCGTAACTGTCTGCACATGGAAGTCGACATCTCTGGAAGCAATCTGAACTACCAGACTGGTGACCACATCGCGGTCTGGCCCTCCAACGCTGGCATCGAGGTTGATCGTTTCCTGAAAGTCTTCGGTCTGGATGGTAAGCGCGACACTGTCATTTCCATCAAATGTCTCGATGTCACCGCCAAGGTTCCTTTCCCGACCCCAACCACGTACGATGCCGCTGTCCGATACTACATGGAGATTTGCGCACCGGTTTCTCGACAGTTTGTTTCCACTCTCGCTGGCTTCGCCCCCGACGAAGAGACCAAGGCAGAGCTTACCCGCCTGGGCAGTGACAAGGACTACTTCCACCAGAAGGTTGCTGGTCAGTGCTTCAACATCGCCCAGGCCATCCAGAGTGTTACGTCAAAGCCGTTGTCTGCTGTCCCATTCTCGCTCCTGGTTGAAGGAATCAACAAGATCCAGCCTAGATACTATTCGATCTCCTCCTCGTCCCTCGTCCAGCCGGACAAGGTCAGCATCTCTGCCGTCGTCGAGTCTGTCCGTATTCCTGGCGCTAGCCACATTGTCAAGGGTGTCACGACCAACTATCTTCTGGCGCTTAAGCAGAAGCAGCACGGTGACCCCAACCCCGACCCCCATGGCCTTACATACTCGATCACTGGGCCAAGAAACAAATACGACGGCATCCATGTCCCCGTGCACATCCGTCACTCCAACTTCAAGCTGCCCTCTGACCCGTCCAAGCCTATTATCATGATCGGCCCCGGAACTGGTGTTGCTCCGTTCCGTGGCTTCATCCAGGAGCGCGCTGCCCAGGCTGCCAATGGTGACAAGGTTGGCACCACTCTTCTGTTCTTCGGATGCCGCAACCGCGAGGAGGATTTCTTGTATAAGGATGAATGGGAAGTATGTAGCAGACTCTCCCTATATTTCCGTTTCTATATTTTTCTTTCCTATATTCAGACTCATGCTGACTCCCAGTTCTAGTCTTACGGAGAGAAGCTTGGTGACGCATTCAAGCTCATTACCGCCTTCTCCCGTGAAGGGCCACAAAAGGTGTATGTACAGCACAGGTTGCGTGAGAACGCGGATCTGGTGAACGAACTACTGGAAAAGAAGGCCAACATCTACGTCTGTGGTGATGCATCCAACATGGCTCGCGAGGTTAACACTGTCCTCGGCCAGATCATCGCTGAGAAGCGCGGTCTGTCGCCAGAGAAGGGTGAAGATATCGTGAAGCACATGCGGAGCAACGGCACCTACCAGGAAGACGTGTGGTCTTGAACCGGTTGTCCTCGTCTCCGTATTGAGGAGGTTTTATCTTCACTTCTCATGTGTAAATCTCCTTGGGGATCTATTTTGATTCATATATAATGTCTCTGCTGTATGACCGGAGTCGCTGGTGGACCGATTCGTCTTGCTGCCCTATGACAAAGCTAGGTGTTATTGTTGACTCGGGTCGCATGCATTTCTTTTTGAACATATATAATGGATGAAATAGACAATGTTTTTGATCGTCAATCGGTCAGGACACCGATGGGTTACTAGCCGTCCGGGTCAATTGGTCGCGAATACGGCGCTGGGAAATAGCCTACCTGCAAGAAATCCCACCGCATTGGGTGGGTATCTGAGTCTCATGATGAGTTTTCAATTTCTTTGAAGAAAATACAAGTTCCTTTTTTTCTCCACGGATTATATTTCTATATGTTTATCGACAGAATGCTGTACCTATTCGTCCTGTAGGTAATGATTCATGACACTTCAAGTTTAACCGTGCTCTGTTCCTCGAGTCCGACCTTGCTGCTATCCTCAGACCTCTCTATACAGAACTGATTATTTCCTAGTTCGGAAATATGTACTCCTTTAGCCATTCTGATCCGCTGGATACACGGTGACGTCTTTCCCCCACAGTACTACTACTGTCCCTAACTAGCCTGGCAAATAACTCCGGCTCTCTGCTTTTCCGAACCTATATTCCGGTGGCATTATTATTCCGAAGCTGCACGGAATACTCCGTACTCAGGGCGGTGAACTTTCTCAGACAAGGGGATGGCAGAAAGCACGAGAGTCCTGATTTAATCATGTCACATTTATTATTAGCGGCAACCCCCTTGAACACTAAACAAACAACACTTCATCTTGGGATTCACGGCATTTAATACCTCTCTTAAGAACCAAAATCACAGGCAACCCTACACTCCTCCCTTGCGTGCTCAGCCTCTTTGATGAAACATTGACAAATAAGATCTGTGGCGCAGAACGCTAAAGCACGGACGAGATCTCGCATCCGCGCGGGTAGTGGAGTTGGAGGAGACGGCTCGGAGATTTCCCCTTGCTAGAACCGTGCACTGTGTGGTGATAAGTGACCATGTTGGGTGTCGGGAACTTAGCTGTCGCTGTCGCTAAAATAATGTTGCTGTGTGAAGTATGCTGAACAGTTGTCCTAACAAGTGCATAACTGACAAGTTGTTAAGGTACCTAAGACAAAGAGAAATGATGGAAGATACCTCTCTTCTTGAATCTCCGGAAAATTGGCAATAACATGCTGCCGCTCTGTATCATTGTTGGCTGTGGTCTTCAGTTTTGGTGGTCTTCCACCGCTCTCTGGATCAAGCATCCTTGAACAGAAACATATGTCATGCGTAATCCCGCAGTGCTGTCCGCGATAATTCTGGCCTGAATCCATGAGGCTAGACAAGTGAAACTTCTGACACGAGCTATACATAGTTGCCGGTCAGCCTGGCCGGACTGCTCAGGAACCATGAAATTTCCGACGGAAGGGTTCTATGCAATTCGTTATTATTCTCCGATATTGGATTCCAAGGATGAAAACTTACTCGGCAGCAAATGGCAAGGATGCCATACAGACAGCTTTGTGGAGATCGAAATAGCTATCCAACGACCGTGCAATGTGGCTGGTTAAGCGGCAGGAATATCCGCGAGCTAATATGAGATCCACCTCCAAGCGCATCCTGGATCTGATATTTCGAGGCCAGCTGAAAGTCTTGGTCGCTTATTCGTCCATGATAAGTCGGCTCAATGTTGCCAAGAAGGATAGTTAGGAGTTCCCAACCCCAGCAGTGGCTGTCCTTTGCTTGCTCCGTTGCCCTGGATTGACTCGGACCAGTTTAGGATGACTGGGGGGCGGAAAGAAAGACCTTTTTCCCTTTCCTCATTTATGCCACAGGTCCCTACGATCGTGGGGAATGGAGAAAGGCGTAGGAAAGTCCGCTGTCATAGAGAACTCAGCCTAGTCTTCCGTGAGACGCAAATTCCGTGTGCTTTTCCTTCGATGCTGTGCCTGAGGTGTTCCTATGTGCCTTCTTGTTTCTCGTGAACAAACCCAATTGGGACCATGAGATGTGCTCCTTCCCTGGTAGGAGCTTCCTGCAGGCACAGCATCCCTCCTCCCACGCCCTCGTCCTCGTCTTGGTCTCCTCGTCTCCCGTCTCTTCATCATCCTCTTCATCCTCTTCATCCTCTTCATCCTCTTCATTCTCATCATCTCATCTCCAGTTCTCCATCTTCCTTGCCAGCTCTCAGCTGATTGCATCTCTCTGCCCTTATTTACCTTATCCGTGCTCATCTGCACTACCTCTACTGTAGCCTCACTTTACTCTCGTTCTTCTCTAGTCGATCCGGCGATCATTTACCTCACCTGGTTATTGAAGCTCAGGTGGACTGGCTTCGCCATCCATCTGACGTCTTTGCTATATCCATCCAGACATTCCGTAAGTTTTATCCATCGGAGCTCAAGAACCAATGTCCTTCGTTCTGCTTGGTTCTTTTGGCCCGACCCAATCTGCTGACGTTGGGTCCCAACAAGCAGGGAGGATCAAGACCGGTCTTCTTCCTGTTTTTTTAAAAGTTCGTTCAGAAGATTGAGTAGTCGAGGTAAGGATACCACTGTCTGCTTCAAATCTATTCCTCCTCCGTGATCAGAGACTCTCGGTACTTTGTTCCGTATTGTTTGTTTTGCTGCACCTGTAATATGATTTCATCTGTACTTCGTCTGCGGCAGAGAATGAACATACTGCTGTTATTGCCTTTGCCGATGATATACGGGGAAATGAGACTAACATCATACTCAATGGGTGCGTTCAAGATGTCTTCCGTTCACAACCAGGGCCAACAGCCACAGGTGGTTTCGAGTGATGGAAACCACAATCAGCAGTTCCAATCGACTTATCGCCAGGATGTTCAGCCTGCTATCACTTATGGTACCGGCCAAGGCTATGCTCAGGTGTCAATGAACAATGGCCGTGATACCAATATCCCAGGTTTGACTCACCTACTTGGAGGCTTGAACCTCCCGAATCAGCGCCCCGGCGCCAAGTATGGTGCTGTCAAGGGCAGCATGCCAGGACCTATGGGACCTAATATTGAAATCAATGGAGTCCAACGTCCTCCTTACAATGGACAACTCATGCTTGTTCCAGGTGGCCCTATGTACGGTGGCATGCCGCAGGGACCCCCCTACACTCAGGCCCAGTATCCTGGCCATGACCAGATGAGTCCAATGCACTATATGCCCACTGGAGTCTATCCAGGCTATGTGGCTGGTGCGCCCATGATCCCAGGCCCTATTCAGCAGTATGTCTCTATATTACCCCGTTGTGGAAGGTTGTGGAACTAACTATAACAGCAACGCCTGGACTCCCCCCGAGGAGAATGGTCCAGCTACTCCCATGGTCGATGCTAGTGGTCACATGGAGTATTATCCTATGGATCGTTCCACTTATATGGGATACGCTTATCATACACCTCCTCCCCAGGTGCCACAGCCGTATCTTCCTTACCAAATGATGAAGAGTCCCAGTGGCTACGTGCTTCAGGACCTTGACGCTCTGACTCAACAGGATCCGCCAATTCCGCGCGCGGTCCCTGCAATGTGGACTAATCCTTCCGACCTTACCCTTGCAAAGTGTCTAGAGAACCGCGAAGGTATCACTAATGTGTACATCCGTGGTTTCCTTCCGGAAACGACTGATGAGATTCTGCATGCTTATGCCTCTCGCTTCGGAAAAATCGATCGTTGCAAGGCCATAGTTGACCTGGAGACAGGTCTTTGCAAGGGGTCAGCCACACTCAGCCACACAATTGAATCGTATTAACTCGTGCTTACTTGGAGTAGGTTTGGCTTTGTCCAGTTTTTCAATTTCGACTCCTGCGAAAACTGTATTCGCGGCTTCTTCCATCTCGGATACCAAGCTAGCTTTGCTCAGGTATGAGCTGTCGTCTGATCTAATCTACAATGGTCTCTCATATTGTCCAGAAATCTCGCAACTCGCGCCTCAAGGATCTGGAGGACAAATCTTCCGCAAACATCTATTGTACCAATGTCCCCATAGACTGGACCGAGGCCGTAAGTGAAGCGATTCTGGCTGCCTGGTATTGCCATGATTGTTAATATCTATTTTTACAGGATCTTCGTCGTCATTTCCAGCCGTACCATGTTATCTCCGAGAAGATCAGTCGTGATGAGAAGACTGGTGTGAGTAAGGAAGTGGGATTCGCTCGGTAAGGAAACTCCATCCGTTAATGCGATGCACATCTGACGTGACTTATCTTCTGCCCAGATTCGAGTCCCGTGAGATCGCAGAGAAGGTCTTAGCTGAATTCCACAACGTGACTGGCAAGGACGGTGTAAAGCTGCTCCTTCGTTTCGCAGACACGAAAGCCCAAAAGCTTCTTAAGCAGCAGAGCAATGAGCGCCGTGCCTACCGTGCGGGTGAATATAACTACTCTGTCGAGGTAGTCCAGGGATCTACTCCATCCCCTTCCTTGAATCGTCTTCAGCAGACAACCTCTCACCTGAGCCCGAACTCTCAGGTTAGCTACCCGTCTCCGATCGGGGTCGGCCCTGTCTGGACACCTGCCACCTCCATCTCGCCGTCGTAAGTTGAATTAGAATGATCGCACCTGATTATATCACCTGGCTGACGCTTATAGTGGTCCGTTGATGAAGAATTCAATGAGCAACTATCGTATGAACTCTTGGCCATCTCGCACTCCTTTGGCCAATATGGAGAATACGCCCGTCTACCGTGGGCGCATCTCCTCTATGAACCGCAACCAGAACCCGGACAATGTTTCGGTTAGCTCCTCGAAGACTGCCCTCCCGATGTCTTCGCAGCCAATCATCAAGGCAGAGACCCCGAGTCCCAAGAAGGAGAACATGAAGGCCGGTTCTCTCTCACCTATTCCGTCCCACAAGGAAGTGATCCTGTCTACTCCGAAGTCTTGCATGTGAGACACAACCTGAGGCACAACCGACCTCAAGGTATCCTCAATTCGACTCTTTTTCATAATTCTGTTTTGCAGCAGGAAGCGATAATTCCGACGCAAACACACAACTATAAACTGTATGCACTTATGACCGACTACGATGTTATGTTGAGCAGCTTTTCAGACCAGATGAGCGTGTCGAAGATATGTCTTATTTGTTCTCATCAAGACATGTATTGCAACTGGGATGTACAATTATGCGGTTCTATTTGTCATCTGGTGATGGGTAACGGGCTGTTAAAGGTGTAGGCGCCTTGTTTGATGTTTGTGTCTCGGAGTTGTTATCACGGGGAGGCTCCCAAAAGTTGATTGTGTTTCGAGAGCTACGGCGTACTTCTCTGGGGAGAAGGATTATGGAGTTTTATTTCCAGTATTTGTTACAAGGGCCTGTCTCAATAATGAAATTGTAAACTAGCTTAACATAGCTGATAATGAGACCCGTCATCCCACATAGGTCTATTTGTAGAGGTATATGAATATATATCCCAAATCTTGAATTAGCAGAATCCAGAACGATATAATGCCGACATGTCTATATGCACCGAGAGAACCGACCGTCTCCTCCCACCTTGGTACCCGAGCGCCCAACTACTTAGCTAGCCAAGACAGTTACCGAGATTCAATCAATGTCGGCCTAGCCTTTCTTCCTGGTCATCCATCAATTCGTACGCCGGACGGTAGCGCTGGTCGTTAGCATCTTCTGCGGTCTTCAGCTTTGGATTTGGATGGGTGTTACTCGTGCCACCCAGGCTGGTGAAGCCTTGATCATATAGCGAGCAATAGTCGATGCCCAGGCGTCGGATAAAGGCCCAGATCTCGGCATAGTGCCAGTCAATCACAGGATGTATGCGCATAAAGTCCGGCCACCCATGGTCTGTCCGATCAAAATGCGTCAACTTTGCACCGTGGGGATCTGTCCGCCTCGTGCCGACGAAGATGGCCTTGACATTGGGATTGAGTGTCAGGTAGCTTGCGAATGCCGACCGCAAGGTGGTCTTGGGCGGCTCGGTCGTATAGCGCGTCAGACTGAGATGATACATTCGCGACGAGGACCGGACGAAATCCTCGACCAAGGGAAATGGATCCGGTGGCAGCGCATAGATGGCAGGAATGGTAGAAATGCCGCCGTCCGCGGGGCCAGGGAGCGGATGTAAGCCGGCGAGGAAGAGGATGAGCAGGACGAGACAGTCCTTGCCGCCATTATAGGAGAGGGAGAGTTCGCTGATCTTATACTGTGCTCGCGCGCGCTCGATGACCGATAACGAGATTCGAGTCTGCTCTTGGACGCGAGCGAGCAGCGAGTCTGGAGGATGGGATTCGGCGAGGAAGCTATGCACGCGACTGTGGAGATCGGCCGCGACGGCGCTGAGGGGAGGAGGAGGTGGTAATTGAGCGTCTTTCTCATGTGAGCATTCGGGCTCTGGGTCCGGAAGTTGTTCTAGACATGGTGGCACCGTAGTCGTTTCTGTGAGGGTTGAAGAGGCGTTGTGGTTGTGGTTATGATTCTGGTGGTGGTTCTGCACACCGTTGGCGAGCATTGTGACGTTGCGGGATAATCTAGCAGCGGCGACGATACCAGGACGAGTTTCTCATCACGAATAATAGATGATCTTCTTTTTTCTTCTTCTTCTTCTTTTCCTCTTTTGTCTTTTTTTCCTTCTTCATGCAAAAGAAAAGAAGTGTAGATCGTTTATTTCTTATTGCGGGGAAAGTCAAGAAGCTGAGAGAAGAGTAGGGAAAATGTCCCGAGGGGTTAAACGCATTCATTGCTTTAAGAGTCGAGACCCTCGGGGCGGCGCGGAGAAGGGCCAAATCGGTAGTTAATATGTATGTGTCTTTTTTCCTTAAGGGAAAGAAAAATAAAAAAATACGAGAAGAGATATACTATCTCACCAATCCCGTCTCTCCTCTTTTTCTAACTTCCCCGTTTAGTTTCCGTGGTCTCTCATTCTTGCCCCTCTTTAGTTTGAGGAGGCGTTGGAGTCATTCATTTTCTCGGGCCGGTTAACTAATTAAGACGATCAGCGAGCGAACCTTCTGGAGCCCCGCGATGGTTGTTGCGGCTGTTGTTTACCTTTTGAGGATATTATTATTATTATATGGAGATCAAGTACTTATGTACAAAGCTGGAGTTGGGTTCTGAGATTTAAGATCGGAGATTTGCTGGGTGAGTCTCCTGGACTATGTATGTATGTACATACCTGTACGTACAGTACATGAGAATAACCGGTTGAAGTGAATAATATCTAGTGGATAGCAGAGGGCGTGGGAAAAATATGGACTGCGATTTTGATTCCTCAGTAGGGTATTATTATAATCATACAACTAATTAATCTGCCTCTTTTCCTTGACGCCTAGTGAGACCCCGAGCAACGCTGGAAACGACTTCTGGCAGGCTTCATCCCAGCACTTTCATCTTTTTCTTCTTCTTGCCTCCCTCCCCCTTATCCTTCTTATGGCCTTTCTGCCAATCCCTCCAGCTGCCGATTCTCTCGTCGCGCGTGTTCTCCCATGCGTCCTGCGCCTCGCGCTTCCGTTTCCGCTCCGCCAGCTCCTCTTCCTCCTTGCGCTGCTGCCGTCCCTCTTCCTGCAGGCGCGCCTTCATCTGTCGTCGCCGTCGCGCTTCTTCTTCCAGCAGCACCTCGACTGTCTTCTTCCGCCATTCCTTCTTGAACTCCTCCGTCTTGAGCTCGGGCGAGTCGAGCGTGTACTTGTGCTCTCGAATCAGGAGCCGGCGAGCGTCCGCAATACATTCGTCGAGGTACTCGCGCGCCTTTTCGTCTAGTAATGTCGTCTGTGCCTTCTTGAGCCGGTCGAAAGCGTCCGGAGCGGCGGGATTCTTGGTCTTATCCGGGTGGATGAGAAGAGATTTCTTGCGATACTGGAGCTTGATGTCGGATTCAGGCACTCCGGGCTGGAGATCGAGGACGGCGTAGCTGTAGCAGGTTGGAAGGAAGATTAGTATTCATATACAATGTCTTCTCTAGCAATGGTGTATTCGATAATTAGCGAGGGGGTCTACTTACGCATCGAGTGAGAAGGCATTTCGAATCCTGTCGATCTCCGCATCCTGAGGTCGCGTGTCAGCAGTCTTGCCTCGCGGCTTGGAACATGATGCCATACCTTCTGGAACTCGGATGCTTCCCTCTCGAGAGCATCGAGCGCATCAATCTCGTCATCAGGCATCTCGAGATAGTCGTCCGCCGGTAACAGAGGATGTCCAAGCGCAGCAAGAGTAGCTTCTTCGTTCTCCAACCGGTGTGGGGAAGATTGACGCTCTTATTCGGTCTTGAGGTGGTTCAACTTAGTTATCTTATCGCGGAGATGACTAAGCACGACCGGCAAAGAAAAAAAGTCGCGGAGAAAGAGAGAAAATCACGCCGAAGCAGACTGGAAAGTTGGACGAAACCACAAACAACCGTCAAGAGGAGCAGAAGACAATATGGCTCCTGCGCGCGGTGGCCATCATGGCAAAACGAACAAGCCTGTCCGCACGACAGCAAGGACCCTGAAGCGCAAGCGTGGTGAGGAGGAACTCGAGTCGCTCAACCAGCGCGTGGAGGAGCTGGATCCCAAGAACAGACTCGAGTCGTTTTCCGAACTGCCTCTCTCTGAACCCACGGCTGCTGGACTGGAGGCCTCTCACTACAAGGCCCTGACGGATATTCAGTCTCGTGCGATTCCATATGCGCTCAAGGGCCGCGATATTCTGGGAGCTGCAAAGACCGGTAGTGGTAAGACGCTTGCGTTCATCGTCCCGATGCTCGAGAACCTATATCGCAAAAGATGGACCGAATATGATGGACTTGGCGCTCTGATCCTCTCCCCGACCCGTGAATTGGCTATCCAGATCTTCGAAGTCCTCCGGAAAGTCGGACGAAACCATACTTTGTCTGCAGGTCTGGTCATTGGTGGAAAGAGTCTGAAGGAAGAACAAGAAAGATTGGGAAGGATGAATATCCTGGTCTGCACGCCCGGACGAATGCTGCAGCATCTGGACCAGACGGCCTCGTTCGATACGTACAATCTCCAGATGCTGATCCTAGATGAAGCGGATCGGATTATGGACATGGGTTTCCAGCACACCGTTGACGCTATTATCGATCACCTGCCCAAGGAACGACAGACGATGCTTTTCAGCGCTACGCAGACGAACAAAGTCTCGGATCTCGCACGGCTGAGTCTGCAGGACCCCGAGTACGTTGCGGTCCATGAGACTGCTTCTAGTGCAACACCGTCGACTCTGCAGCAACACTACGTCGTCACGCCACTGCCTCAGAAGTTGGATACCCTGTGGAGTTTCATCCGCAGCAACTTGAAATCCAAGACGATTGTGTTCTTCTCGTCGGGAAAGCAAGTGCGGTTTGTCTACGAATCCTTTAGACACATGCAGCCGGGTATCCCATTGTTGCATTTGCACGGACGTCAAAAGCAAGGAGGAAGACTAGATATCACAGCCAGGTTTTCAGCGTCGAAGTCCTCCGTTCTATTTGCTACGGATGTCGCAGCACGAGGATTGGACTTTCCTGCGGTGGACTGGGTTATTCAGGCTGATTGCCCTGAAGATGCGGATACTTACATTCATCGAGTTGGCCGTACGGCGCGCTACGAACGTAACGGACGTGCGGTTCTGTTCCTGGAGCCTAGCGAGGAAGAGGGGATGCTGAAGCGCCTGGAGCAGAAGAAGGTGCCTATCGAGCGCATCAATATCAAGGCGAAGAAGCAGCAGAGCATCAAGAACCAGTTGCAGAACATGTGTTTCAAGGACCCGGAGTTGAAGTACTTGGGTCAAAAGGCGTTCATCTCTTACGTCAAGTCGGTCCACATCCAGAAAGACAAGGAAGTCTTCAAGGTCAAGGAGCTGCCCTTGGAGGAATTCGCTGCTAGCTTGGGTCTACCCGGTGCTCCTCGAATCAAGTTCATCAAGGGAGAGGACACCAAGTCAGCCAAGAACAAGCCGCGAGCGCTGAGAGAATTGTCCAGCAGCGGCGAGTCAGATGAGGAGGGTGACAAGAAGAAGGAGAAGGAGAAGAAGGTCCGTACGAAGTACGATCGTATGTTCGAGCGACGCAACATGGACGTTCTGGCGGAACATCACACCAAGCTGATCAACGATGACGGAACGGCCGTTGATGGAGCAGCGGAGGATGAGGAGGATGATGAGGATTTCCTCTCTGTCAAGCGCCGCTTCGATGCCGGCGACAAGCAGCTCGACGATGCCGTCTCGAATCTCAACATCAAAGACAAGGACGTCAAGGTGGTTAATCTCAGCGGTAATGAGCCGCTCATCATCGACTCTAAGCGCCGTGAAAAGCTTCTAAAATCCAAGAAGAAACTGCTCAAGTACATGGGCAAGGGAACCAAGCTCATCTACGACGAAGACGGCAACCCTCACGAGGTCTACGAGCTAGAGGACGAGGAGAAGTTCAGGGCAGCAGGAGCACCAGAGGAACAACGTGCCAAGTTCCTCGAAACCGAAGCCGAGAGGACCCAGCGGGCAGATCTCGAGGACAAGGAGATCGCCAAACAGAAGCGCAGGGAGAAGAAGGAGAAACGCAAGGCGCGCGAGCGCGAATTGGCTATGGCGGAAGAAGAAACCGAACCGGTTGCCACGCTGGCCCCATTCGAAGGCGAGGATGGAGCAGAGGCAGACCACATGTCATCCGAAGAGGAAGAAGAACGACACCCTCCGGCCAAGAAGCAGAAGAAGTGGTTCCAAGATGCTTCCGAAGACGAAGACCAAGCACGCGGCTCCAAGGGAAAGAAAGGCAAAAACCAGCGTGCGGAGCCGATGGAAGTCGAGACATTGGAGGATCTCGAAGCTCTCGCTACCGGACTACTTGGTTAGAGATGACGGGATTAAAAACCATTGTCGGTCCGACATATCCCTCCTCCCTGCTAGCCTTTTCTTTTTTCTTTCTTTCTACTTGTATGGCGTACATTTGTTGTATTTACTCGCTGTCGATATATCCCTCTGTTGTGCATATTAGCGTTTGCGGACGGCATATTCATCTCATGGAGAGGAAGGGAAAAGTTATCAGTTATTTATAGGGGTTAATTGTCTATAAACCAGAACATTTGCATCAATTTGCCATGTCTTTCTAGTCTTCGATTGTATCCCCGAACTCACTACAGTTAGAGCGTATGTTCCTGAAGATGCAATCTTTGGTGACCTTTTTGCCATATTCAATATTCTGGGGCCCATCTTGGGCTATAGTCCCGTCGCACCTACCTACCAGTACGAAGTACTTAGCCCAAACACAAGCAAGCTGAATGGTCAGTCCATCTTCCAATAAGCAACTACAGTACAATAGCGCCGCATATAGCTAGAACAGCCAATAAGACAGGATGGCGCTGTTAGTTCAAAGAGAATCTATTTTAGGAAAATAACTGATTACCCCTCGCAATAACAATAATAATAGCTACTTATATAAGCTACAACCACCATATACATACTCTCGAGACCCTAAATTACTATACATACACTTCCTGCACCATCATCCAACATGCCTCCAACCACCGGCCTATACATTGCTTTCTACAACGACCCAGACAGCGTCTACAAACACTGGGCCCTATTCATCGACGGCCCCACTCACACCGATAAAACCATCCTCAACATCATGGGTTCGTCGACACGATACCGATTTGAAATGAGAACTTCAAACCCTCGCCAAGAGCAGAATCTCTTGGAACTATTCTATCTATGTGATATCGACACTTCCAGGATCAGCGCTATCAAACATATTGCTGAGAATGAGGTGGTGATTCACAATGAATATCCGGGATATAATTGTCAGGATTATGTGCTGGAGGTTTTGGAGGAGTTGGAGAGTAGAGGGATTGTTGATGGGGATGGGGATGGGGGTTATGGACAGAGGAAGGAGGAGCTTGTGAGGAGACAAGAGGGGTTGATGTAGATTCTTCTCCGCATTATTATTATTATTATCGATCTATTCTCCAGATCACTAGTACACTTCTGTTTCTGGTATTATTGGTGTGTTTTGTTTTAATATGTTTTCATGTTGCAGTTTCTATATCGGAATAGCCGGATTTTTGTTAGAACCCCTTCGCTTACTTAGCTTATCTATAAGGTAGGTAGGTACGTCCATAATGTCGATAGTGGCAATAATGTATGACAAGATCGCTCATTAACTAGATCAGTAGTGTCCATTCCATGGGCCAATGTGAAATCATTTGGGTAATTCTTCCTGCTTGCATTTCTCACAATTGGAAGTTGGATGCATACCGACTACTTGAACTGTCTCTGGAAATCGCGATATGATCTAGACCGTAAATCGGCATTGCGCCGGGGGAGATCTTTCGCATTTTCCTCAAGATCTAGTGCGTCGAGTACTTGTGAGATGGGGGAGGTCTTGAAGATGCTTTCTGACAGGCCTTGTTTGAGTCGTTTTCAATTGCCGAGATAGATCTTCTCCAGAGTGAATACTTGCTCTCTTATGATTGTTTCCGTTTGGGGGATTCCTTCTTTGTCCTGGCTACCGGGTGGTTCCATACCGTGAGCTTATTTTGGCTAAAGTATGGAAATCGAGAATCTCGTCATGTAGCTGAAGCGAGTTCAGATATGACCAATGAGCAAGATCAGATGGGATTCGAGAGGGTAGTATCAAGTGGAATGAAGGTTAAGTGGGATGAAAGTGAGTGGGATTAAATAAGATCAAAGTTCTTGTTGTGACCATCTACGGTATTAGTCAGATGTCTATGCAGACTTTAAAATCAAGAAGACTCAGCAATGATCTAGCAGTGGTATTAATTATCCGATAAGTAAAGCAAATCCACCGACTCCAAGTCAGTACTCCGTTCCAGTATTTATTTCCCAGCAAGTTCAGCCATAAGGGATTCCCCGCCTGGCTTGGTCTCGACGGCACGGAAGGCCGTACCTTCTTTGTCCAGACCCTTCTCAGCGCGAGCATATGCTTCTTCGCTCCGGTCAGTGAGGATATCCAGATCCTTCTGCGATAGAATAGCCTCGGGGTTGCTGCCCACGTCGAATCGCTCAAAGTCGTCTTCGCCAAGGGCCTTTCTCAGGTCCTCGATGTCGTTCTGGGCGGTGCTGTTACTAGGGTCGAGAAGACTCTTGAACTTGCCTTTTTGAATGACTAGACGTTCAAGACGACGTTTCGAGTCCGCCTTCTCCAGGAGGGTCTGCTCGACTGTACCCTTTGTTGCGAGACGATACACAATCACGGGCTTTGTCTGGCCGATGCGGTGGGCCCGGTCTTGCGCCTGAAGGTCCTGTTGAGGGTTCCAGTCCGAGTCGAAGAGAATGACGGTGTCTGCCGCGGTAAGATTGATGCCTTGACCACCAGCACGGGTGCTGAGCAAAAAGATCTTGTAGTTGCGGTCTGTATTGAAAGCTTTGATCTGGGCCTGACGGTCGGCTTGGCTGACTGCACCGTCGATACGACAGCATTTCCATGAGCGTAGCTGTGTGGCCCAGTCTTGAAGAAGATCGAGTTGAGTCTTAAATTGAGAGAAGATGAGAATCTTGTGGCCCTTGGACATGAGACAGGGGACAAGACGGTCCAGAAGGAGCATTTTGCCGGATGCAGTTACCAAGGTCTCGTCGACAGTGGACGAATCCTCGCCCCATGGCCAGTAGAAGTTGTGTGGAGAGTTGCATGCTAGCCGACTCTGCATAACAGGATTCTGGAGTTTCTTGTTTGCTATTTCCTTTTCTAAAATACACTGTTAGTCAGAGTCCTTCTTTAGGCAGAATAACGGAACGGAAACACGTACTAGCAAGCTTGATCGTCTTTGCTCTCTCAATCTCTTCCAATTCGGTCTCGCTGGGGGCCTGCTCTTCTTCTTCCTCAACTTCAATACCGTTCTCCATTTTTCGCAATCGGGAATTGAACTCTCGGTCTGTAATATCTTTGTAGTTCTTGCGAGCACGGGACCTTCGGGTCGAGCTTGCAGTACTGGCTGGAGTAGAAGACCGGCTGGATTTGAGACTTTTGCTAGGAGTTGTAGATTCACTCTCGTCACCCGCTTTTCTTTTTAGGCTTTCTGAGCGTGACACCCTTCCCTTTCCGATTCTGGCTTCGATTCTTTCTGCAGCTTTGTCCTCGAGGTACTGACGACCAGTACCATTGAGGATTTCACGGTAGAGCTCTTTCTGCTCCTGGGTTAGTGGTGCGTAAAGGATATATTCTCGCTTCTTGGGAAGGGACGTCTCGACATCTGTCTTGACTCGTCTCAAAAGGAAGGGCTTCAAGATAGCGTGCATCGTTGACACCAAATTGCGCTTGCGACGTTCGACAACGTCTTTTTGACCGCTCCTGTCGAGGACAGACGAGAAATCAAACCAACTCTCAAAACTGTTCAGATCATTGAAGATTTCAGGAAGGAGGAAATGCAACAATGACCACAATTCAGAGATATTATTTTGCAATGGAGTGCCTGTTATAAGAAGCCTGTTCGCAGAGTTGTAGGATAGCAACTCTTTGATCAGTCGACAATTCATGTTCTTCAATCGGTGCCCCTCATCCTAGAATGAAATTAGCTTCCTGTCTTGACAGTTGCAGTACCATGACTTACCACAATGATATATCGCCACTGATACTGCGCGAGGAATTTCCTATCGTTCATGCAAATCTCGTACGAGGTGCACACGACTGGGAAATCCATCTTCTTCTGATCCTGCATTCTCATATGTTTCTTCCGAATAGCAGCGCGTTCGTCCTTTGTACCGTGATATAAAACGGTCTTGATGCTCGGTGTCCATCTCTGGAATTCATCGACCCAGTTACTCACGGTACTCAGGGGTGCCGCTATTAGAAACGGTCCTGAAATGTTCTTTTCTTTGAAGAATGCTATCATAGAGATGGCCTGGACGGTCTTCCCAAGACCCATCTCATCTGCGAGAATGCCACATAGCCCGTTCATCCAAAGCGACTTCAACCATTCCAAGCCCTCTAGTTGGTACTTCCGCATCTTTCCACCAGTGACCAATTCTGGTTGCTGTGTAGCAACAAGCTCTTGCTCTCCGAGGGCCGTGGGCTTGGCCTCGTACTCGTCCGCCACTTGCTCCAACGCTTCCTGAACAGTTGGGTTATCTTCTGTTACGTTCACGTCTGCCTTTTGGAAGTAATCTGCGATAGTGTTTGCACCGCCGGCCTTTTTCGGTCGTCCTCTCTTCCCTTTGCTTCCTTTCCCAACGTCGGCTGGTTCTTCCTCTTGCTTCAATGTAGCTTGCTTCTCACTCCCGCGAGTACTTCGTCTTCTGGAATCCCCCGCAGGAGCTTTATTTTCCTTCTCCATTTCCGCCTTCTTCTTTTCCGCCTCTCTTCTGGCTTCCTCCTGTTGCCTCTTTTGCTGTTCCTTCATCTTTTCCGCCATGATCGCAACGAATACCTGCAAAGACAAACCGCTGTTAGCTCATATACCAACGGGATATCAAGAGAGTATCACGTACAGAACTCGTCTTGAGCAAATTCGTCAACGCTTTGGCTTTGTTATCCATTCCCTCTGTATCTTCCTCGTCGATGTCCATTTTATCACCTCCATTAGCACCCCCGTCCCCTTCTTGATGCGGTTCCAATTTTGGCTTCATGTCCGGGTCCGGCGTGATGGCTGCCCCTGGCGACGAAGCTTGCGTAGAATCCTGGCGCGAAATCGGTTCCCCCGACTCCGCTGGAGTGATAGGCGTCTCCGCATCCGACATCGTGGCTAGGTTCAGACGTATAGAAGTTGCAGATCGAAAAAATAAGATATTGCAACTATGATTCCGGTGCCATTGGTGTTTTCAGGCAACAGGAGTACTTAGTGGGAGGTGGTTGCCTGTCACGCAAGGGCACCGACGCGCAAACTCAGCACAATGTGAAAACACACACAAAGAAGCGGAAGGCTCCGGAAGAAACTGATGTGTTGTGTCTCCCTAATACTAAGGGTGACACTGGTTTCTAAAACTGAGACCTTCCTTGATGAATTGCTTATCCTGGTCTGCATCCGCGTGTTCTCATTTTCGGACGCGGATTTTCGCGTTTATGCACGGACCATCTTTATAGTGGTTTCTTAAGTCTGGACCCAAAAATGGCAACACTACTAACGACTACACAGAACCATGAGTAGACCTCTTGCTCCTAGGACCTATGGGACAATAGATATCACCAAGATCACCTTTTATAGTGTCCCTTCATGTTTTCTACCACACTGTCTTTGGTGGCAAACTCCATCATATGCGCATGTACACGTTTGATGCTTTCCACGCGGTACGCCTTCGCAGATTATCAGGATAAATTTGCAATGAGAGATTCTCAAGTGACTGTAGATGTGGATGTACAACTCAAAACAGATGTCGCATAAGAAGAACAGGAGGGGAGAAATTAAAAGAAATAATATGGCACTCATACATCGGAGAAGGGACGATCAACCAAACTCGTTGAAACTTCATCTCACGGTTTCAAGTTAAAGAGCAAAGACTATTAGGTTCGTTGACGAAGGACACGCTGATTTGGCGGTCCATTCAACCTCTCGCTTCGTCTCGTCGGTTCTCTTTTTGTGTCTTTCTTGGTAAAAGCCTGTTTTGTCGATGTCGCAGGAGCCGATTTCCTCCGGGGATTTTTGCTGGTTTTGGGCTGAGACGTGACTTCAGCGGGACGATCGGGAGGCGACCTAGATGATTCCAGAGTGTTACCGGTCTGCTCAGGCTCAATTGTGCAGCTATTAGGCATACTCTGCCTCTGCTGTCCTCTATGTCTGAGAATGAGCCTCAACGGTCGTGGCTGGACCCGACTCTCTACTGAATCACCAGCTGCAGGCATCCCCCGTTCGCCAGGACGCCCATTCTCTCGTAATTCATTCTCCTGCTGATGGGGAGAGTGTTGAGGTTCGTTGGGAAGGGTAGAATCGCTATGCAGTGGCACATTAGCGACGCTCTCCTTGATCTCAGGCGTCTCATCACGGGCATACTTCTGCATGTTCATTTGGTGGTGATCGACATCGTCTTTAGGAAGATCCTCTTTCGGTTGCGTTTTTTCTGTGGGGAGGGTTTTCTGCTCCTCGATCTCAGCGTCCTTGCACTCAAGCTTCTGGACAGAAGCGACTATAGCACCCTGTTCTTGCTGGCTGTCCATCTTTGGTGGGATATTCTGACCAGGAGGAGTGATAGGCGAATACTCTGGCCCATAGTCCGAGTTATTAGCCTCAGTAGGGTTCTCGAGAGGGAAACGGTGCTTCGAAATAGAAGATGCGATTGACCCACCAATACTTTCTTCGAACTGCACCTGCTTCACCTTTTCTGGAATCTTCATAGTGAAAGTTTTCGCTTTCGCGACCAATTCGGGCCGTGATTCGAAGAACGCTTCTCCAAGGGAAGGTGCCGGTGGGCGTTGCAAATGTCCCCGAATTGGAAAGTCTGCAGGAGCCTGGAGCGGACTGCTTCGCGATATGCTAACCTGATGATCGCTCTGCGCGGGAGTCTCTGTTTCCCTCCCACGTTCGCATGCCTCTGACCTTGCTGCCTCCAATCTCTGTCTAACCTCTCCAGATGAGGTAACCGTAACATCGGAGTTCTCTTCAATAGAGTTATACGACCAAGAGCCTCCCAGTGCTCTTAGGATGGGCTGCTCAGATAACTCAGAAGAAGCTCCTTGAGGGACACTCGTATTGTGATTCATCCTCGAAGGTTGCTCGCGCTCACCGCCAGGTCTGGGCTGTGTTATACACTGGCTCGAAGTGCTCCCAGTATCCACAAGCCCTTGGCCTGTCTGAGCTGCCAGCATATCGAGATGTCGAATTTTAGCAGCCCGCTCTACGCCTATTCTGAGTCTCAGTACTCCATGCCGCGGAGGAGGTTGTTGGGAAATAGCCGTTGCTTGCTTAGGAGGCGAGAGCATATCTCCTTTGCGAATCCGCAGTTCAGAAGGGTCGACAGTGCTCTCCATTGAAAATCCGTTTATGAAATCCACCTGGGTCTGAATGGCATCACCGTTCGTCCGCAGACTTGGGGAACACTCGACTTCGGGATCACTGCGGGGGCTTCGTGCAAATGGGAGCGGCGTGGCTGAAACTGTTTGCAAGTTCGATTCCATATCACATCTCCAATGCAATCTATCCGGCTCTGATTTATTAACAGAGCTCTGCAGCACTGCCATTTCATTTCCCCATCGGCCTGCGAATAGTGGATCTAATCCACGCTTATGGAGGAACCGTCGTGCAGTCAAGACTTCTCCAGCTTTACATAGTAAGTAGTCAGACTCAGTTCCTTCTTTGAGGTTTCTCCTATGCCGTATAGATGTCTTCCGGAAAACAAGCTGAAGAGGAGGGCTGTTTCGTCTCAAAGCAGTATTATCAATGCGCATCAGAGCCTCCAGCTGTTTCGCTCGCATTTCTCCCAGTTGAGCATTCTCTTCCTCGACTTGTCTGTTGCGATTGGCGATATGATTCCGAGTCTGTTCGTCCTGTTCAAACGTCAAGCCAAGCATCGAAATGATCTTAGGCCATGAGTGTTCCTCCAACATGTTCTCTATGATCTCCACTTGAAGCTTCGGGGAGAGATCTCCCCATTCAGGGTCAGTCAGCGGCTGCAGCTGCGAAAACATATGGTTAGTTTCTGTCTCCATTATTTATGAAAGAAAAATTAGGGAATCTGTAGGGACCTGCACATACGTCCAGTCTTCCTGTTTCGTTACCACCCCCGCTGTCTGCCATATCCTCGTCCATGTCATCTACAGCAGTTGATGTTGATGATTCATGGTCAGATTCGGCCATGATAGCCATGTTTCTGTTGTACACGGTGTTTTGAATCCCGTTGCTCGCAAGGTAGTTATCCATATCTTCGATTGGAATTCCTTCCAATTCATCATCCAGTTCTCTATCCGCATGACGATACGGTGTTCTCTGAGGCGAGCTCGATGCATCATCCATCTGAATATCACCATCACGGTCCTTATTCCTCTGATCATTCTCCCGAGACTGGCATTGTATCTCCCCTGGACGACGCGGAGTGCTCAGTGTTGGAAAGGCTGCGGGCGGTAGATTTGGGTTGAAATCGATGTAAGGTGGCCGCGCAGGCGTCGTGGCGCGTCGCAGTGAGCGTTGCGGAGTTGGCTGATAAAACAGCTCACTTTCGAGCCTCTGAGGAGGGCGAACACTATCCCTGAGTCTCATCGTGATACTCGACAGGACAGTCGGGTGGATAAGACGTTGACACTAGGTAAGATCCAGAGAGGATAGATGTGTCGTAGCAACCTGATTGCATGGGGGCGACTTCAAATACGGGCACGAGCAGTGAATTGTCTCCAGGGAGGTGAATATCTGAAATACAGGTTGCCAGGTAACAAGGGAAGTGAAGTGAAGTGAAAGTGGGGAGTTTCCTGAGGATGACTGGTGTTATTGTATCCAGACTGGGCTCCAGAAGACGCGTGAGGACAACAGATGTAGTTTACAAAGATCAAGAAGCATATGGAAACAAAGGATACCTTTGATCAGCTTTATGTGTTCTGGGATGATACTTTCTTTCCTGTGCTGACAATAAGAATATAGCCCAATGAGAGCACCATCCATCCGTTTCTGAAAACAGCGCTTTAGTACAGAAGAAGGGAAGCTGAAAGACCAGGGATTTCCCAAAAATATTAAGGCCAATTAATTTCAACGGGGGTATATCCAGCAACTTTTCACCCGTCTCATCCCCAGATACAATCTACAGAAGGTAAATCCCACTCAGAAACGCCTGTTACGCACTAACCCAGATCGATTCAGCGGTCTTGGAAAGGGGCCGAGGGATTCCTATCATAAAAACGATCCGTATCCATATCCATGTCTGTATCTCCCTGTCCTTGATCGTCTGTCTCGTTTTGTTGACTCAGGCTTCTCTTCTTGGAAGCTTGTACTTGAGGATTCATCCCGTTGGAGGATGACACCATACGCTTTGCCTTTGCAACATCCCGCTTCGCATCGAGGATCGATTCAAAAGACGCCAGGAGAATCCGCATAGGCTCTTCAATGCAGACACAGAATCGTCGATGTTGAACAGTGTAAAGGGCGTTGACCGTATCCAGGTTCAACATCACCATCAAATACGCTATCACAACACTAGCGGAACGCTCATTGCCAGACTCGCAGAAGACCAGAACCTTCCTGTGTGGAGAGAATGCAATGTGATCATTTATGCGACGGATGGCTCGAGGAAAAGCCGCAATGAGTTCTTGGTTGTCCATCACATCGATCGCATCTGCTTCGATTCCCAGTTCAGCGGCGACCTTCTCTCCAGAGACCAATCGCGCCTGTGCTGACTGTCTGCTGCGAATCGCTAATAGTAGCGTAATGCTTTCCGTTCTGAGAAAGTCACGGTCTTTCAGAGAGGATGATGGTCCCAAATATAGGAAAGGTAGAATCAGCTGTGCCACTCTGCGCATTTCGTAGCTCCATTCGATCGGTTTTGCTCTGTCAATGAAATCACTCATGCTCACGGAGTTGAAGAACTCTGCGCTTGCGAATTCGCCGATCTCAAAGTCATGCGACTCTGGAGCCATGGCGTCGAATCGAGCAGGGTCGTCCTCGTAGAATGGCATAGCCGGTGCCATCGCCACTTGAGGTTGGGAAGGCGCTCCAGACGTGTATTCATGAGTAGGAATATACAAAGATTGTTCATTCTGAGTCATGGGAACCTCATTGGTTTTGGAGAATGTCGCCTCCATGTTTGATGTGAATGTTGATTTGACTTCGGTACTCTCCGGCAGCTGTCTCGAGGTCGAGTTCAAATGTATCTCCAGAAAAGAAGGCAAGAATAAGGTGTCTGCGACTCCTATTTTAATATTTCACAGATGAGACATATGCCAGTCGAAGGATGGCACGAGAAAGGAAGATATCAGAACGAAAAGCAGATGAGTCTCCTTTTGACAGGACGGTGTTGCTATTGGCTAGCATGCCCCCCAACGTTCAACTCGATCAGCAATTGCGCAGATGTTCATATCCCTATTAACGATATCGTTACAAAGATGAAAGCAGTAAAGAGACTGTCCCCGATCTCCAGAAAGAGGTTGCTGCCTACAATCAGGGGCAGAAGCATCGAAGTGGGCAGCGACTCCCACGGCAGTACTTGTGGCTGTTGACCTTATGCCACCGACTAGACCGCTTCAGGCCCGGCTTTCCGCGATGGATGGATCTTCTGGCGGGATAACGTGACCTCACACAAAGCACAACGCAACCATATCTTCGTTCGATTTGCTCACCATGACCAAACGATTTAACTCGAAATTTACATTTCTTGTCTGCATGTCCATGAAATTATGTTTTTCTTGCCCATTATATTATCTATAGAGCTAGTGATCAAGATATATATTCGGCAGATACCATGAAAAAAGACGACTTACCACTTTTGGTTACATATACATTGTTCATCGAATTCTTTTCATCTCTATGGCCAAGTTCCGTGGCATACACTGTACCTGGTGTCCATAGCGAATCAGTTATTGAGGCTCTCTATGCCGCCCTTCTCGCATGCAGTGAGATACTCGTCGGTTATACCATTAGGTCGCCTCATGAAACAGACGTTGGTTTCTACATTGGCATCATGCATCAGGAGCAACTGTTTATGTTTCTTCGAGACATCATATAAGAGGGATATGACGAGTCATGCGTCCACGACCACTATAGTTACGATACACTGTTGCATCTGCAATATCCGCATACTCGCTATCAATGTCATAATTCATCCGTCAAATTTGTCCAGCTGGTGAATTTCTAAGAAATGGAGCTAGGGAGATACCTAGAAATTAGAAAGGAATAGGCGATAGCAGTCGTTGTAGTAAGACAACTGATGCTGGGTTCTGACAATCTGGCTTCTTCAACAACATGTGAAGACAGGCGTGGGCTGTGAATGCTGAATGTTCCCTACTACCTATGCTCTGGAAACCGACACTTAATGTCAAAGTACTAATCCAATCATATCTATTTCTATGTTTTTAAAAATGCTCCTTGATCTATATATGTACAGTACAAGACAACACTGTCAAATCTATCTTTTCACGTCCCCCTAGAGAGTCGTATGTACAACGGCATATTCCACAAGACCACGATCCTTTTCCAACCATCAGTCATTGATGTAGTAAATGACAACCAATTGCGTCTCTTTATTAGTTGCCAATCGGGCGCCAATAAAGAGTGACGTTAGCGCAGCCGTTGGAGCTGAAGTACTCCTCGCCGAGAACAAGCGTGCGCAGCGAAGAATCGCCAGTACCCGAGAGCGAGACGAAGCAAGCCTGGGGCAAGTTACGCTTCAGGCCACTGCCAAGCGTGTCGCTCAGGTTGATGACGCCAGTGGTAGCATTGACCTGGGCAGTAACCGTCGGTTCGCCTCCTTGGATAAGGAGGTCTTGAGGCGACATAAAGATAGCATCACCAGATGGTGTGCCCTCAGCGTTGGTGCTACCGGCGATATAACCGGTCTTGTAACCGGCGAGATAGCCATCTTCGATAATGCTGAAGTTGGTGGCCTTGCTCTTGTCAGATGTGAACTGGAAGGCGACCCCGTTACCGCCACCGTAGTTGGGGTCGACATAGCCCCAGTAGCCGTCGAGAGTCTTGTTGGAACTATCTTCAATCTGGATGTAGGCCGATGTGGCTGTCGTGTTGGTCCTCTGACTACAGTGTGAGATAAGCGCGGTTAGCAAACTCGATACTAACAAATGATGCAACCACTCATGGATTGACTAAATCTCCTCCGGGATAATAATTATAACATGTAAAGCTTATTTACCTGATAGACGCCTGAGACGACAATTGGACGCACAGGCCCAGCAGAGCCAGCGACAAGCTAGTTGAGATCTTCATGGTGATCTCCAGATTATCGGACTTGGGGCCGTTGGAATACCAAAAAGGATCTTCAGAGTATATTAAAAATAGCAGAAAAGGCAGTTTAGTTGAGATTCTCAGCACTAAATACTCAAAGCCTTCGCAAGACTGGAAAAGTTTACAGTAATCACAGAAGAGAGAGTTGAATGCTCCATCAATTTTCGGAATCGGAGCTCCGCGAGTAGAAAAGCCGAATGGAACAAATAGGGGCCAAAAAAGAGTTTTTAGCTGAAGTATGATATGATATTAGGCGGGATGAAAAGTTTTTCGTCGTGACCTGGCAAAAAGCATATGCTACAAATGCGAATCTTTTGGATACATACTTGATATTTTAGTTATTACTTTCGATCTTGATAGAAAGACAATGGGGAAGGTCCCAATCAAATTATACTGTGTGGCTGATTAAGGGAACCACTATCTATAGCTATCCTACCAGTAACCATAGTAACCATACTGTACGTTTATGAACGGCTGAATTGGTGGGCCAACCCAAATTGGGAGAGGTTCCAAGGAAACGTTGGTGAACTCGAAATCCACAGTTCAGCCTCAACCAGAAGAAAAAAGAGAAACCATCAACCTTAATCAAGCGCTCCTTGAGTAACGCCAGCTGCCCTGTCTATATAGTATGGTTATGCGGTGAACTAATGATAGTTGTTCTGATGCACCGATATACCTTGCTTGCTTCCGTCGTTCCACGAAGAGAGGAGAGCATAGCCGACCCCCTTAAGTTTTGCAGGCAAAACTAGGCAGAATGTGTCGGTGTATCATGCCTCGAGGTTCTTTTGCAATGCGCAACCAACCTACCAAGCTAAATTGGTAGGCAGTGCTGATATGAAGTTTCTAAAAACAGTTTCCAGAAAGCGTTGGTGAAATTGATGATGTTGCAGGGGCGATAATGGTTATTAATATCGAGCCAGGCAGCCATATTCTTGTCCGCCTCCGCCAAGACGGCCGTCCCTGCATCTCATGGCACTTTACCCGATCAGGAAGAGTGGCGGTTTGACATCTCATCATGTGATATCGCGTCTTCGCGTCAGTGATAAAGTTGTGATAGATACCTATTGAACCGCGTGTAGGGACTTTGGGGCGTATGAGAAAGGTCGCACTGATATTTCAGTTCTTTTGTAGAGATTGCTGCCGGCACACAAAGGCCGCATGCGTGGTGATCTGTCACGTCATCCACTTTGTATGTTCTTTGGGTAGGTGGTTAGGGGACGAATGTTGGATCGATCTCTCCCTTACATCTGGAGTTAAGCACGCGATCTGGCTTGATATCGCTAAGGAGGTTTAAGATATATCATTCCTTCCGAAGTGTTTCGGACTCGACTATCGCGTTTCCAGGGTATTTCGTTTGGTTCAGTTATTACTTTGCGCTGTGAGCAGATTCGATGATGGAGTTAGGTTGTAGCGGTCCATCTGCAGTACCTGGGGCGCAGACAATAATACTATTACGCTGGAGATAGCACTATCCACGGATGCCTAGATCTTTCACTGCCACACTGCAGATCCTGGCAGTAGTAGCGATATTTGGCACAAATGTGACGAGGATTAACAACCTCTGAATCTCCACGGCTAACCCTCGTTCTTAAAGTGATTCGCTATAGATTCGGACAAAACATGTGAAACATCACTCCGCTACCTAGACAACGTTACATTACAATAACGCTCCAGGTCTGCTGCGCTAGACTCTATCAGGACACTGAATCGTCGGTCCATTTACTCTCCTCCCAGTAGTTACTTCTACGCTTTCATAAGATACAAATATCCTTGGCGAAAATCTCCGTGTGTCTATTCCTACTCAGAATTACTATCACATCTATCAACACCCTCGTCAACATTGCAGTTGACACGATCATGGTATCTATGCCAGTCTATGAAGTCAAGTCCTGCGCTTGCAACTTTGAAGTCAGGGGAACGGAAACGACCCAACCAATACCTGCATTTCACCTCCACTTTGCTCCAGGTAACTAACTAACTAACTAATTATCCATGAGCCATACCATCCTGCAGGCACCACAGCACCACGGCCCCAACACGTCAGCATTAAAAATCCATCACTACCTAGTTAGGTAAATCACGCTCCATATCCAGTGATGAGTAGTACATGACTCAATCTGAGACGGCACCCTTGGTCCGTTTATTCCCTTGATAGGTCGATAGAGGAGTTACGTATACGAGCAGCCGAGGCGTCATTAGAGGATTATAGGCTAGGGAAGTCAGACAGGGCGTTGGGATGACAGTTACCTAGGTTGCCTCGGGCACGTGCTTCTATTTGTCGTGTGATTGTATGCCTGATGTTGACTACGACCAGGATGGGAGTGGTCAAGAGATAAGTGTATAGAGGAATGTAATTAATGAACAGCCTCGTTTTCTTCAAGGACTCTCGTTCGTGCAGCCTCTAGTTGCAAGTATTTCAATTTCGAAAGCTTGATTGTCTAAGAAATAAATTAAGGCCCCTGATTAAGCCCCGAGCGAATGGTGAGTTCTAAGTAATAGTGATGATGATGATAATAATAATCAAGGGAACAGCAATAGTCTGTGAGTTCAGGTCGGTTTTTTTGAATCCTGGCTGGCGTTTGACCTCTTCGCCAGAGTTGGAAGGGAAAAGTGGAAACCTGGAGGATAGGATAGGATAGGATAGGATAGGAAAAAAGATAGATAGATTTGGCACACAACCAGGGTATATTTCAAAGAAACGCCACACAATTAACCTCCCTTTGGAACCGCGCCCGTGTGATAATAATGATAGAAAAAGTTGGAAAAAGAACAGCCTTAATATCGCACTCGTCGCAAAAGCCACAATTACCCTTTCCCCGAAAAACCCGTACGCAACGTATTTCGTCTCGATATTTCCGCTCAGCATTTGAACTTGGTACCGGCCGGGCTTCCGATATGCAAATTGGATATCCATATGCAAGGCAAGCAAACGCCGATCGTATGCACAAATGAAAAGGAAAAGCAGAGAATATATGTCCAATCAGTCATTTGTTTCTTTCCCTCGGTGGGTTATCATCTCCTCAGCCTTGCGTAGTCGCAGCCGGTGGCATAGCCTGCTGTAGCCCGGCCACGATCCTTTCGAGTTCCTCCAGCCGGCGATCCTTCTCCTGGACCTCCTGACGGAGTCGCTTCAGTTCATTCCTGAGGTCGACGCTATTTCCATCTTCCTCTTGGAAAAGAACAGCGTTATCTTCCATAGAATCACGCCTGCGTTTCAGAACTGGCGCAATCGGTAGTACTGAAGCTCGCATGCTCTCTACATCCGGCGTCTGCACAGGCAACTCGGTAGCTGGACCACTATCCGTATGCATGTGGCGACGTCGCAAGTGCTCTTTCAGGTTCTCCTGTCTCGTAAACCCATTTCCTGTGCTGCGGTTGCAGTCCGCATAGGGACACATGAGGGGCTTCTTCGCATTAGCATTCTTCTTATGGACTTCGCGCTGGTGCCTGAGGAGGCCACCAGAATACGTGAACCCCTGGATCTTGTCGCATCCAGGCTCCATACACTTATACGGCCGATCATGCTTGTCCATGTGTTTACTGTGTGAAAAGTCAGTATTACGCTCTATTTTCCAAAAAAGGGGATACCGTGCAACTTACTTCCATTCACAAGGACGACGGAAAGTTGGTGGACTGTGTTGGCAGTCAGGATGATCACAGTAGATCTGACCTGCTGTATTCTTAGGCGGATCTCGAGCCCTTCTGACGGAGAGGCGTGGACGAGTGCCGTCAATCAAACCCGGCGATGGCTGTTCATTCATCTTGGGTGGAGGAGAAATGGTATCTTGAGCGGAAGCCAGAATAGACGCGACACCTCCGGGACCTTCACTTCTTGGACTCGGATAATCTGACCCGTCGCCCATATCGCGATCTGGACCCCGCAAAAGACTGGGAGAGCGTGGGCCAAAGTCGACAAAATCGGTGTTAATGATGGATATATGCAGAACCACTTTTCTCAAAAAGGTGCATCAGCTATGTGTTGGAAATTGTTTGTGTTGAGAAGTCGAGGACTGTCAGATTGGAGCTGCAGATATATCGAGGTTGCAAGGCACCCGTCGACGAGAAAGCTGGAGTTGTACGCAAAAGGTCGCCACCTGGATTTCCACTCGTACCGCAGCGATAGATAAAGCCTATAATATTATAGTTAGACTCTGGATCTTTTGGCACAGGATAGGTGATTCCCACGTGGAATGGCTTGTGATGGACAAGCACTACCCGGGCTAAGGGAATGGGGGCCTGTACCGGAGAGGTTGCTGACTAGACTAGAAAGCCTCAAGCAAATGAGTCATAAATAGAGATATCGCGTCGTAATTTCAGATCGTCCAGGGCAGGTCAACTATTGGAGACGTTGTACGGACTGTTTTCGGTGGCGTGCCTCGCAGCCTGAAATTTTTCCAGGCATAAAAGAGGATCCGAGGGGAAGTCACGGGATCTGGCTGCTGCGCCTCTCGGACTGCGCGGATTCTTCTTGGTTTGGTTTGCAAGGAACTTTGTTGGCCTGAGTTACCGCCAGCGGCACCAGCACAGCTTTTTAACTCCCGACCACGAGGGGCTGGCTGTTGTTGTTGTTGCTGCTGCTGCTGCTGTTGACGAGATCGAAGCTCTCAACTCTCAGACTATAATAGTACTTTCCCACTGGAGTTCCCCTGGTAGCTGCATCCCGGCCAGGTCACCGTTTTTTGCTCTGCAGTCCTGCTGAAGAGCTTACTATCTGTTCGACCAGCGCGCCTTGGGAAGTCTCAGCGTCCTAATCCATCCAGCTCATACCTAAACCCAAGGAATCGGCCCCGCGGCGATCGAATGGCCCAAGGCCACGTCGTGATCAGGGTGGCTGGCAAAATATCCGTGGAGCCGTTTTGGCGCAGCGACTTTGTCGCCCAATCTCCATTGCTTGCTGTCTGAATTTCCACTCTGACGTTCGACAGCAGCCACGATCTGCTGCTTCCCCGTCGGTCGGTAAAGCACCGCCAGCATTGGCAACCGACATCTGAGGCGAAATAGAAGCTGAGCTGGTGACGAACGATCTGTCTCAAATCGTTCCTCCAGGGGTGTGGCGCGCTCGCTCAGCACCGGGACTGATCCACGCCTTGCAGCTGAGCTGGGACAGACCAGACCAAGCCATATATATCTACAAATATAGGAGGCTTCACATCAATGCGCTTTGAAACAGGAGTGGCTGTTCGACGCGTCTGTCAGTGAAGAATGTCTGTCTCAAGATCCGCTCCTCAGTGACATGTGCGGTGAGAGAAGTACTCCGCTTTCGAACCTTATTGCTAGTAAATCTGTTTTTCTCTTCCTCGATTCAGTAGACGTACCTCTGAGTTCACTCTACATTAGGGCAGAATGGCGGGAGCTCCGCTATAGACCATGTCTCTTTTGCTCCTTTGCCCCCGCGGCATCGGTCAATGCGCCTTTTCTCGAGCTCAGAATCAGATCATCTCGCCTTGATTTCCTTCATAGCTGCATCTATTAATAAGTAGCGCTGGGGTGATGCATGTGTCTATCCTAGTGTGTCTATCCTAGTTCAATGTCCAGTCCAGGGCCTCCAGGCATTGTTTCGCCCACATCTTAGTTATCTGTCAGTTCTGGATATGCCCCAACGTTGACACTTGATGCTGCAGGGACACCAATGGCCACAGGTGCAGAGCTCAGAACTCCGCTTCAGATGTATAAGAGCTGGAGTTCTCTGACATGTCCCCAGTTAACCCCGACGAGATCTGCTAAGTATCATGTCCCCGTAGTGGCTCTCATACTGCTTCAGGCAACTCTTCGCTCTACTAGTGCAGACCATCTCCTAGGTTCGCAGGTTGTATACGTGGGATCCTGGCATCCCTGCCTGGCCTGGTAGCAATCCCGGAGAGCGGACAAGCAAGGCCAGCAGGAGAAACAGCTCACTGGAAACAAGCAGTGCGCCAAATGGCAATTGGTCCAGCGTTCAACTAGCATGCTTCTTATGCAAATTCCGGAAATGCGAGTGGCTGACAGAGGTCGTCGATCAGTCTTGTCGGTTTCTGCTATATCGCCAGTGGCCGAGAATGAATTCACACAAATCCACATTTATCATGTGCACTGCTATGATCAACGAGCTTAAGAATGAGTTCTAGAAGCAACATTAGGGTGATCTTTCAACAATAATAAGAGGTCTTGCTATGCCATGCCACTATGGAAATCGAGTCCCTTGCCGATTGCCTCCAGCATGCTGGCACGGTCCACGGCACGTGCCCGGACCAGAAGCATCGTGCACATCGATACCCATGGCTCATGCGACAAGTACTGTGATCTTTGGCTCATGCTTGACGACTACGATCGTTGTGTTTGCAAATCGACGCGTTTTGATCTGGTCGGGTCCACTTTTCATCAGAGTCTTTTGCATCTTCCTTCCGGTTGAACCAAGTCAATCAATAATACTACTTATAGATGTCGTATCGGCCGTGCTCCTGCTGAATCGAATACGCTGCGTAAGGCGTCCCAATTATCTAGCTAAGGAAAGGCCCATTAGTTCATACATGCCGTTCTCAACAATCTGTAGCCGTCATAGCAAGGATATGTCCATTCCTAATTTCCTACAAGCAGCTGTTACCGTGCGCTAGCGTTCCTGGACAGGCCTCGAACTTAGAGAACAAGGGCTGCTATAGATCTGTTTGTCCTGCAGCCGATCTCTCGTATAAAGCGCTTAAGCAGCACGTCGAGAGGTTCGTTAACTAGTTACTCTAACTACCTATAGTTAACTAACATATCGCAAGCTGACAAACATTCCGCAGTCTTCCGCATGTCAGTGCTGATTGGATTGCTCGCTCATACTCCATCCAATTAGCATTGACGGTCCCTGAGAATTCAGAATTCGCTGAAGATCAGCAAGCTAGATATGATTTGTTTCCTGAGCTACTCCATTCCAGATTGTCCTGAACATACGAGCTTCAAGAGCCCAAAAATGTAGCGCGCGGACATCTCTCTTGGTCCTTCTTTGCAGGTTCCTTCGCTACGAAATTATTTCTTTCTTTAAAACCCATTTCCACTCCTTCGAATCATTCAGCGACGATCCCTCGGAGACACTTGCCCTGAGATTTGGAACGTTTCTTTTGAATCGAAAATGCAGTTGACCAAGGTAAGTCCCCAATTGCACTTTGGAGAGGTGTAAAGGCAGTGAATATTCTATCGCAGAATGGAGGTCTAAATCATCATCCAACATCAACATCAAGACACAATTCATCCACTACTTCTGTTTTCCTGCTGCAAGATCCAAAGACTAACTCAACTTCTCCCCGCTTTCGCAACCCACAGCTCTTCCTCACCGCTGCTGCCACGCTGGCCATCGGCCCTGCCACAGTCTACGGCTACGCGCTTGCCGGCGCTTCCGTTCGTTACTACGACTACTGCAGACAAGACAACGCCCCTGCGGATTCCCCCTACGACTCGGATCCGATCATTCTCCACGAGAACAAGTGCGAGGAGGTGGAGATGCTCCCGCCGCACTTTGGCTTCTACGCAGTGAACGGAATCCCGCTCAACAATGACGCTCGCTGGCACTGCGACGGTATCCAGGTCTTCACGAACCGTCATTGCGGTGGCGAGCCAGATTTCGAGCTCCCTTTCAATAACCCGCATGATGCGACTCTCGGAACTTGCCATCCGAAGATCTTTGGATTCGTCTCGCTACGATTGGACTGCAACCCTCACTAGATCTCCCAGACTGGAGTCGCCTATTGGGGGATTTGATCTGACGCGCTCTACGAGAGTGATTTTACATTTCGGTTCTTCATCATGGCCTTCTATGTTCACGCGGAAACGTACTCTTTAATGATCTCGATCAGTCACGGTTTATGAAGAAAGAGGCGGACATTAGGCATAGCCGTTCATGACTACTGCTGTCCATAATTACCTATGTACTAGTATTAATATAATGCATCCAACGAATTAATTCAAAATCTCACGTCCTTGCCGCTGTAGCACGAGACACATAATCAAATCCCGCCCCTCCTGATCTTCATACCGCAATCTCCTAGTGAGGGACCAACAACTCATGAATGCTGATCCATCTATGTTTTACACGCGTTTGGAATTGAAATGCCAGACACGCGAAGCGGGCAATATTAGCGAACGGATACGTATCAAGTATCGATGTGTTAATAGGTCTGTGACTGATTTTCTTCTCTATCCGAATCGAGAGATCTATCCACCTCGAAGCAACCTATAGCGATACTTATCGATAAGCCTCTCTGGGAAATAAAATTCTAGTATTATTTACAAAAGAAATCATACAGAGAACGTCACATAACTATCTTCGCTCTGTCATATACTTATTATTCTTGGTATTTTCCCGATCTACTACTATTACGTACCTAACATTTCGCGAGAAGAGATAGACTGCGTAGTAGTTACTTTACCTTCGAATATCGACCCTCAATCGTGAATGTAGAAAAGAAAACCGCACGTTCTATTCTACTCTATTCCTCGGCCTTTCAATCCCTTACCATACAAGTTATCTTGGTAGATATTGTAAGCAAAAACTCAAAAAAAAAAAAAAAAAAAAAAAAAAAAAAAAAAAAAGGAAATAATACCATACAAATCCCCAATCGCAAGAACACACACATCTCGAATTCCTCAACGAGGTTGAGACATCATCTCATGAAACATTGTACATACATCGCACAAACCTCTCTGACCAATCATCGCGCGTCCTGACACGCGTCGGGAATGTGGCCGGGCGGGAGGCGGGGGTTTCTCCCTTCCGCTCGCTTCCCGCCCCGCCCTGTAAGTAAGTACGTAGCGGATCTTGGCGCGTTGGGGGTGTTTTCCTGCCACCGCGAGAATCGCGGGGCTGGAGGACAGATAGGAAAGTAGATGAGTATAAGTATGAGGTCGTAAGCGTTTGTGATGGGGATTTTTACATTGCATTGTTAATTAAGCAAGCAAGTTAGCAAAGCAAGCATATCAGGTCGTTGGCTTGAGGGTTGTACAGACAGAAGTCACGAACGCCAACTCGATCTCACTGTCTCGTGTCTACGATATATTGCTTCTTCTTCCCATATCTCAGAGAGATAAGAAGATTGAAAAAGGAAAAAAGATACACACGCGTCAGAGGAATCAAGAGTCATCAGTTACGCGATATAACCTTATATCCATCATATTTCATCCATAGAGGAGGAATATCGGCAGTTCATCTAAACAAATCACACACCCGCCAAAATGCACTTCTCAAACGTGAGTCGAATCCAGTCTCTCTCTAGCCCATCAGGAATAATAAACCCTCCCTTCCCGCCCAAAAAAATATATACTAACTCCCTCCACATCCAGCTCGCAACCCTCACCACCATCCTCTTCACCACACAACACGCATTCGCCCTCAACGGCGCCCGCATCTGGACACATTTCTACCCCCAATGCTCCGTCGACGGCATAACCCCCGGCTACTCAACTCTCACCAGTCCCCGAACCGACATCCGCTCTGGCGTCTGCCACGAAGTCACCACCCCTCTCTCCGACGACAGCAAAGTCGCCTCCATCTCCATTGACGCGGAGACTCTCATCTCTGAATCAGGCACGCATTGTAACGTGACTGTGCACGAGGTGCCTGGATGCGTGGACGAGCCGCTGATCACTGCCTCTATCAGGGATGGGAAAGCGCATAGTGGATGCGTGGAGAGGAATTTCGTTACTTATTCCGCTGTTTGGGTGCGGTTGGATTGTGGAGCGGCGAAGGAGATGTTGCCGAGGGTTAAGTCGGGGAATAATGAGGAGTTTGAGGTGGCGAGGTTTCCGACGAGGAGGGATAGTGTTGTTAGGAGGAGGATGTCGTATTATGCTTGAGTTGTTTCTTTCTTTCTTTCTTTCCTTTCTTTTCATCCTTTTGGGAGAATAAAGGAGAATAGGGAGATGAAGGAAACGAAAGGAAAGGAAAGGAAAACGAGTACATACCATTTGAGAGTTTGGGGTGGTTTTTTTACTCTTGATCTGAGGGCGTTATGCGGTTATGATTGATTATTGGGGATGTTGGAAATTGGATTTACTGCACGATGTGCCGCTGTGCGGCCATTGGAGTAACGGGGCAAGTATCTGTGAGAAGAGTGTTTAAAGAAAGGCTGGGCCTCTTGTTATCAATCAGGAATTGTTAGAGAAGCACAATACATGGAAAGCATTTGATATGATGAAATGGAATATTGGATAGATATCACATAATATCCTCCACCGAAATAAGGCAGCAAATCTAATATACATACAATGCAGATATTTTGTGTCATTTCCCGAGCCAATACATTTCCTTGCCTAAAAACAGTAGCGTGAAGATTGAGAAAAGAGTACACTCCCGATGATGCTCGTGACGCCGATGCTTGGAGACGCATTTCAAAAACCAAAACTATCTAGCAAGGAATTGGCATCAGGTTCCTGGAAAGTCGTTGGCGGAGGCTTCTGCGATGTCGATGGGGGTTGGATCTCTTGGATGCCAGGTCTCATCGGCATATCCGCAATGACGAGACTGCTCCGCCGCTTGAGAAGTTTGCGATAGTCCACTTGCTTCTCCGTCGGCTCCGCTGGGAGGCCCTTAGGCGGCTTATGTTCTTCTCGGAGGAACTCCCAGTGGCGCACGAGGTCCAGAGCTAGCAAGTCGCAACCCATCCGATCGTAGAGGCGTGCGTTGCGGAGAACAAAATTCCACTCCGCGAGAGGAGGGACCTCAGTGGCGCCCTTCAGTGTCTGTAGCGTCTTCTCGCGTAGTTGCTTGTATAGGACGACCAATGCTGGGTCGTTGGAAAGGTACGATTTCGCTTGTAGTGTGATCAACCCCGGGCTTCCCGGAGACGCAGGTGTAGGCGGAATCAAAGATTCAATCGGTGACTAGAAGAACCATTAGACATGTATTTGAACCAATACGATCTATAGACTTACCACAAGGGCACGGACGGCCATGTCTCTTCGATTGAGCATCCAGAAGGCCCACGATGCCATCCATCTGTTACCCTCAGTAGCGGCATCGACAAGGACTCTCTCTTCCAATAGCTCCTTCAGAACAGGCCCATTATCGCCCTCGTAAGCTCGCGTTATCGTGATGGCAAGCTGAAGGTCTCCAAGCTGATTCATGCACACCTGTGCGGCATCACGGAGATGATCCGCGAGGAGGAAAAACGCTGCCGCATACTCTACAAGGATATAATCAGCCACCGTCTAATTCAAACAAATTGATTCCATGAATACGTACCAAATCTCCGTTTTCCGAGCAGAGCATAAGCGTTCTTCAGCGCCGCAGTCTTCCACCTCGCTTCCTGGAAATTGTTGGCAAGGAGACGCTGCGTAGCACCTTGCTCACGGTGCCAGTTGGCAATGCGCCAGAGTCCTTGCAGAACATTCTTCTTTTTCAACGCTAGGTAGTACAGCGCACAATCAACTGGATTCTTCTCTTCTGATTTTGTATACTCGTTTCTGGCGACGATTTCTAGCTGCGCTCTCTGGGGGACAATCAGAGGATGTCAGAACAGAAATTGAATGGACCTTACCAAAGCTGTCACGTCCGATAACCACATAAACAAACCAGCTTCTCTTGCATTTTTCCACAGCATCTTGCCATTGAACTGCCTCCCCACAAGGTCCGTCAAGATATCTTGACTTCCACTGTGGAAAGCCCAGACGATTTCTCGCCAAGACACCCTATGATTGTTTGCGACTCCTTGGCTTCTTCGCAGCATGTGTTGGCGGAAGAAAAGCAAGTAGCGCGCAGCATTATCATCCATGGACCGCCGATGTTTCTCGACAGTAGAAATGCACTCGATTGTGTCCGCCAGGCGAAATTGCTCTTGGCTGGAGAGCTGAGGCAGAGCAACCCGTGTCAAGTTTTCATTGAGAATCGCGGCAACATTTTCGTCTACAACGTAAGATTCCTCGTCAGCAGAGTATTCGAGAATAGAGGATCGCATCTCTTTCCGTGCTGCCTTCTGTGAGACCTGTAGTTCATGTGAGTCATCAAAGCAATAGCAAATTGAAGCAGACACTTACATCGGCTTCGTCGTAGAAATCTTCCAAAGGCATCTCAAGGAACGTATCTACATCATCCCCCTCGGTGTAAAACTTCAGCTTTTTATGGAGGTTTATGCAGATAGCATGCACCAGCTGTATTTTGCCCCAGAGTATACATTGCGCAAGGAACTGGGGATGGTACACGGGAAGTGGCCCGTTTAGTCGACTGACCATCTCAAAGAGATCGACGGTTGATGTGCCATGGGAAGGTATTCGCAAGTCGCTCACAAGGCGGTTGTTGCTGACATCGATCTTTTCATCATAGACGAACAGTTGATTGCCAGCGCCGATGATGAGATGACCGCTACTTAGCCAGCATGAGTCACCAATTGGGTGCGGAGTTAGATCACGAATTCGTATCTCCCTGATTTGCGTCCAAGATGGACCGGAATCGAGATAGTCATAGCGCAGCTGAGATAGTAAAATGACCTTGTGAGGGAACCCTACCGCCAGTATCGACTGCATATCCGGCGTTGATGTCCAATCAAGGTCGCGAATCACGTCTTGCTGCGAGAAATATTCCTCGAATTCCAACTGCGCACCGCTGGTATCCCAGATAGTCAGACGTGTTCGATCCTTATCAACAAGAGCAGCCTTCCGGATCGAGCTCCCGCTGGCAAGGGAAGGCTCTGAGATGCCCGTCTCGACGGTCGACGTTAGCAGCCAATCCAACTTGGAATTTTCTGCGTCAACTTTAGCCGCCCATGTCCGCACAGTGCCCCCATGCGTATATGAAAGCGCGATGTCAGCCGCAAAGACATCCAAAAATCCTGATACCTTTGCCTGGGGACCCGCAGGATCGACAGGCAGGATGTACGATACGTCTTCTTCTTCCACGCCCAAACTGAAGGTACAGAACTGCCGCAGATAGGCATGAGTTCCATTCTGACCGTTAGCTAGATTCTTTCCACCAGGCAGTCGCAGCTCCCAAGCAATACCTTTCATATCTGCTCCGATCGCAGCGACATAAGCCACTCCTGAGTCCGGCTCAGTGGTGGGGACTGTCAAGACGCATAGCGGCTTGCTAGATAAATTGTAATCGCAGACAGCCAGCCGTTCACCATGGAAGGAGCGCAGATCCCAAAGGGAGATGCTGTTGTGGTGGAGATTGATGAGGAATTTTCCATCTCCGATCACACAGGTGCGATGGATATGTTCATCGGACTGGATCGAGCTCTGGCGAGACAAGACAGGGCTACCACGTCTTTGCTTCCAGATCATTGCATTGTTGTCGTCTGTCCGTGATACTACAACATGTCCGCTTGCATTGCGAACGATTTTCTTGACAGGAGCCGTATGTCCTGACCAAGTCGCCCTCAATGATAATCGGTCCTTGCGTTGCGTCGGATCAAACAGCACATCAATGTGTGAGTTGAACCACTCAATCCGGCCATCAAAGTGGTGCGCCAATATGGTGATCGAGTCATCCTTCTCTCCAGAAAATGCATGAAAGCGCGCATAGTCTTCCTCCGGCGACAAGCCTGACATAAAAGAAAAGTTCACACCCTCGATATGCAAGATGTTGAAGACGCTGGCCGGCGCCTTCGATTTGCTAGCGACATTTTCCAAAGCCCAGGCAGACATGTGGCCTTTATCATCGATAACCACGCAGATTTCAGGGCTCTTATTGGCTACCTCGATGAGATGTTCCAACGCAGGACTCGGCTTCTCACTCGTACTCCGTTGCACCGCTCGTTCCGTAGCGGAAGTAAAGTCTCTACTATCGATGATGAAACCGTACCGTCGCGATCCTTTCATCGAAAGAGAAGCCTTCCTAGGCTGAATAGAAGAATTCATATCGATTTCCGTCCAGAGCTGCAAGGCCGAAAGCGAATGTGGTTCCGCAGAAACCCACACTCGGATCTTATTATCGGCGCAGAGCGTGTATAGAACATTTTCCATCGACTGTTCTTTATGGCACGGCTTCCGCCAATGTATTCCCGTAACCGCTGCCGGGTGAGGCAGGTAGAATATCTCGAATCGCGCATCATCTGCACCCCAAGACAACCGCCGCCATATCTTGACCAGACGATCATACGCTCCTGCCGAGGCGATCAATTCCGTATCAGGCGAGAACTCTGCGAATTTAACCGGGTTGGCAAGCTTCTTTCTCCATATCAGACGCGGGCTATCGTCGTTCAAGAACCAGAGAGATAGAGCGGAGTTGCCCGCCAGGAGCTCGTTCGAAGAACCCCACGACAGCGTACGAATCGGTTCGGTATCATCTTCGGACCGGAACGTGTATTCGAGAGACCACTGTAATCATCCATACACAGTCAGTATAAATAATCCCATCATACTCCTCCTCCGGGCCAAATAGCAGAACTCCTAACCTTCAAGGTCTCATCTTTCACATTCCCATACGGACGATAGACGAATATATCCTGCCCTCCGCATACGACAATACTAGCAGTCGAGTCATCGATTGCTACCGCCTCGAGGGATTCCGTATCATCCACATAGATAGTCTGTAGGAGCTTCTGCGCTCCGCTGAGAATGACGAGGGCATGGCCGGAGACATATGCCTAGTTAAGGGGACGCGCAACTTGTCAGCGAATTGGAAACCCATGCAATGCAACATGCAATCGGAAAGGGAAAAAAAAGAGATAAGACGGAGAATTTATGATCATACCACTATCCGAAGTCCCTCCCAGACCGCGGTGCTGAGAGTCTGGAGCTTCGCTGGCGGCCTCCCCGGTAATACCGTTCGCATAGGAACGGTTGAAACCACTGCTGCGCGCCCGGAACGGCGCTTTACACCATTGCCAGAATTCGGGATCAGGAGGGTCGCGGCGGTCGTGTTAGCAGAAATGTTAGTTAAAATAAGCGATTCTGTCTGGTCCCAGGTGAGGTGAAGGCCGCGTTGACATTTGTATGTTCGGAGCTGCAAGCAAGCAGAGAGAGCTTGCTTGGGCGCGATCCGAACACGACGACGTCAAGACGGCAGACCGTGTGATCACCGAAGATCGGCCACGGGACCAACCAAGAGACTCTATCAGTGCGGAGAGCGATTATACAGGCTACAATCAGACAATATATACTGCGGGGCATGTAATTTATTTATGGCAGATGTTTGAAAATGCTGAAAATTGCACTAGGTATAAAATCAACATCGCTTTTCACGCTTATACCAGGGGGACAAACGCCGCGCTCATGCTACAGGAAAGAATGGCTTGACTGTCCATGCATTCCATAATCCCAACACAGCCGTCGTAATAAAGATATCATCAAGGAGACCACCGGCGATCCGACATGGTATATGCAAGAAATATGAGCCGACTGCGCCAAGAACAGAAAGGTCGATGTATACGCCAACCCCGCAAGGCGAGAGGGTATCAAAAAACACCAACAACCAAAACAGATCATTTCTCCACCACCAAAGGCGCATTTGTTCAGAAAAGGAAAGAAAGAAAGATAGGAAAGTAGAGGTATCCAAAAGATCACAGTTCAACTCCTCTTATTGGCCGATCTTCTGCCATCCGTAGGCGACTCTGGTTCTACATCGACAAAACGAACACTGGTTCCCAGTGAACTCCTCCTGTTGGTGCTGGTGCCTCCGCGTCGACCAGACCCCACCTTCGCATCTTCCAGTTCAGCTCTCAGACGAGCGGCAAAAGGCGTGCGTAACGGGGTAGCGGGTGTTGTCGATAGTTGCGCAAGGGCCCGTGCTCGGGCAGCCCGTTTCGATGGTGAACCCAGATATCCAGGAGTAGCGAAGCTGAAGGGACTGATTGGTGGTGGTTTCTCAGCAGTTGCTAGCAACTCGCTGAAGTTGAAAGCAGTCTCCATTTCAGGCCAGCGATCAAAGGGAGACGGGCTGTTGTCCTTCGTCTCAGTGACCGTTGACGTTGACCCGTTGGTCTCCGTCGCTGTAGGCCCAGAGAGATGGCTCCTGGCTTGCTGGGTAATTCGCGCCTTGTCGACCCAATGCCAGAAAATATTTCTGAAGTGCTTTCTGAGATTCCGCTCCCTCATAGCGTCCGCCGTCTCTATGTGGCTCCGGAGCTGGAAGATGCGAAGACTGAGTTTGCGAAGCTGCTGGGATGCCAACCCTAAGGTGCGTACATGCTCCAAACGCATAGCTCTCTCCTCAATAGTACGGTTCTTGTTGAAAATCTCCACCCATCGCGCCAACTTGTGATAGGCAATCTGTCGGTTGTAGTAGATGTCAGCATCGCGATGATCTTGCATGTTCTTCGCGGCCTTGTCATGCCAGCGCTCCAACAGCTCTATTGCAATCCTCTGTGTCTTGTCCATAGCGACGCCTGCAGCTTGCTGCTCCAGATCCATGGCGTGCTGGGTTTTCGATCTCCAAGCTGTCAGGGCATTTGACGCCAGATTGATCTTGATCTTTCTCCTGATCTTGGCATATGCATCCCGACGACGCTTCTTGGCCGACTCCAAGGTGGCAGTCTTCCACCGTTTGACTGTTTTCGTCGCTAAGAAATAATACCGGGCGTCTCGAGCCCATCCCTCCATCTTCACTATCTGCTCATGTTTACACTTCCACAAAGCAAGGGATTCTTGCTCGAGTCGTGGAGCATAGAATTCAAATGCGATGAGCTCGCGCTGGCGCTGGCGGACCAACTGGTCGTACCAGCAGGTCAACTTTGTCCGAAGCAACTTCTGCGTTCGTCGACCTCGGAACTCCTGCTCTCGCTGGAGTAATCGAGATGACATGCCACGTGCATTCGTGACGAACGAAGCAAACGCTTCCTGCGTGATCCGCTGCTCGTGAATCCTCTGCATAAGACGAAATCGCTCTGCCAAGACCCATTTATACATCGTCTCCACCTTGAGACGTTCTTCGATGCGTGCATTGAGCGCTTGACAGCGCAGCAGATCGTTCCACGTAACCCAAGCGTTGCGCAGCAGTCTTGTCCGGTCCAGTTCTTTTGCTTGCTCGAGCATACCAAGACGATGCGTCCACTGGTCAAATGCAGTCTCCAGGAGCCGTTTGTCGACCATGCCTGTGACTCGATTGGCAGCGGGCGCCAAACGAGCCTGTACATGCCATTCATCGAAATTCTCTTGCAGCACTTTGTGTCTTTGCCTTGCGTCCGCTTCCTGTTGAGCAGAAAGGGTCCGCTTGGATTTCTCAGACCAGGCCTGTAGCGCTGATCCAAGAAGGTAGCGTTTATTCCTTTCGTCGATCTCCTGTTCGTGGTCCCTCTGGGTTCTCAGTGATCGGATCCAATATATGAGAGATCGTCTCTTCAGACAAAAATCATGCCACTGAGGCGCACGCCTGTCGCAAAAGTTCCAGAACCATTTCCAGTAGATCCTTTTCTTGAGATTTTTATTGTACAACGCAGCTGCAGTGGCCTCGTTGGCCCGGACGTCCTGCAGTTTGCGTCTCCACAAGGTCAGTGGTCTTTTTAAGCCGAAACGTTGAGCCTTCAGCTCGTTGACCGCAGTGATTTCGCGCCACGCGTTGAAGTATTTTACACGTAGGATGTGTTTTCTTGCAGCCGATGTTTTTGCGACTTCATCAGAGGTGACCTGCGCCCAATGTGTGAACGCCTTGGTCATGAGATATAGATCTCTGGCTCTCCCAGCTCGCTCCTCCAGGTGTCTGAAAAAGCGTTCTGTTTGAGCTTCATGGTTTCGTTCCCTCAGAACACCAAGCCACGAATCGAAGGCCTGGCGGAGAAGGGTAAGGCGGTCCCTGTTGATAGCCACGGCTTCCATATTGCGATGGCTCTGCTGCAACTGAATCGCCTTCTTCAGCCACTGTGTGAGGATCCGGCGGGCGTTAGCTCGCCGGCGGTACATGTCGAAAGTAGACGCATCGCGCAACAGCTGGGAAAGAGTTGGTCTGTAAACCATCTCTGGCGGGAAGTCTTCTTTTTCGATGGACGCATGTTCATCATCGACATCATCGACAAGCGTATCGATATCTTCTCCTTCGTTTGAAGTTCCTGAACCGCTCGAGACACGGGAGCGTCGAGATCGTGAATGTCTGCTGCCATTTATGTCATTCACGACGGCATTTAATTGCTCGCGCTCGCGCTCTCGATTAACAGACGGCGTCTTTCCATGCTTACGCTTATCGCCGTTCTTCGAATCCAGTCTGCTCATCAGCCTACGCCCGGCCTCCAAGAAATGTGCCAGGAGCTGGGTTCTGTCTGGAGAATTTCCTCTCTTGCCATTGCTCTTTGCTCGTTTAGGCGTTTTTTTTCGTTTCCAGGAACTCTGGTTTCCCGACCTGCAGTCGTGACATCGAAGACCGCGAGCTAGGACGCCAGGCAATACTCCTCTCTGTCGGATTATCCCCGACATCATACATGGAATTGAACGAGGCTCGTCTCCGACGGCCTCTGTTGTGCGTCGTATCCCGATCAACGGTCCCGCTCTCTCCACCATCGATGGCACTACCAACATGGTTCGCGTGGTAGCTGCGGGTTTCATTGTCATTGTCACTGTCACCCAGTTCCAAGACGATTCCCATCTGTGCGAGCAATTCCTCGAACTTCTCAAAGAGTGAGTCCCCGCGCAGGCCTTTGTTGCCCATCTTAAACAAGAAGCGCAAGCAGACTTGGCCCTCATCCGCCTCGACGCCATGGTCGGCAATGACTTCGTCGTAGGCTGAGAAGACAGCACGAAATGGCAGGCGTTCGACATCGGGCTTCTGTTCCGCGCGGGTAATGATCTGGTAGAGGAGACCGACATCTACATCAAACATGCAACACGACAGCGGTCAGACAATTTCCATCAACGACAGATAACAGGAAACGATCGATTCATCGTATCATACCTTGGTCGGATAGAGGGGGGTTCTCGTCAAGTAAGGCTCCGGGCCGAGGAGACGGGGGAGGCATCGAAAGTTTCGCGACCTACGGCGCGTTCTTCGCTGATGGGACATAGATGCGGAGACGGAGAAGGACCATTGCGAGCAATCGAGGGCCGTGCGGATGAGCCAGTCGCAACGGTCATGCTCCTTGCCAGCACACACGGAGGATAGCCAGGATCGCCAGGAGGAAGAGGGTCGCCTACTGCTGCGATGCCATTGCTCCGCTGGCTTTGTTCGCGCCAAAACCCAGGAGGAATGCGCATTCGCTGGACATCCTTCGGGCCAATCAGACGGGCTATGACCGTGGTGTCGTTCACGTGATGTGAATGACTTACATAATCATCCCGGATCATGTGCAACCACCGGCTGAAGGCGAGATGGACTCGCTGCGACGTCTCTTGCCAATGCAAAAACCGTTGCCACGATGTCAGGCAGAGTACGGCCGATCGAGAAGTTTGCCAAAGCAACAGCCCAATGCTCCGTGGAGGTCGGTAGCAGCTGGCGTCGATTTTGAGTGAAGCAGAAACGATGACTAACATGCTCCCCAGGCTGCGGCATATGGAAAATGCGTTGTCGCTGACTACCAATCAGTCCACAAGGACATGTGCGTGAAAGAGTTTATGAGGCTCAAAGACTGTTATCTGGTATAGCATTGCCGACTGAAAACAAAAATCATTGAAGGAATTTACTAATCCCAGATATAGGCTGCGGCAAAGAAGCTATAAAACTGTCTTCAGAGCTTCCAGTCTTACTCTTACAAGACATTTTCAGGCTGCCCTCACAATGCATTATCCGTGCATGTAGCTCTTGGCTCTCGTGTCCAGAAATATGGCGGATAGTTATTCTTGAGATAAGGAGACGAGCCGGACTGGATGACACTGAAAGTGAGGTCTACATCTGAATGCCTCAAATTAGAGAGAGATTAGAAAAGTATAACAATAACCAGATTTTTTATATTGTTTGTATGACAAACCGAAATATAATCCTTGTTACTATAACGCATGGTTCTCAATCAATGCATGTCTCATCACGGAAGTCCCCATGCGTAATAGTATTGACGAAAATACGTTGCATTCAATATATCATATCTAACGACTTTATCTAAACTCGAGGTCTATGGTCAAAGAACTCTAAAGTTTGACCAGTCTCAAGAGGAAAGTTGCATTCTGCAACTCTTGTTCCTCCTGGAGAATCAGTCCCTCCGTGCTGTCTCCCTCGGAGCGCTCGACCGGCCTGCGCAAGACCTTTTCGATGGCCTTCGCCTGGCCTTCAATGGCATCGCTAAGACCGATGTTATCGGGGTCGGCAATCAGACTGTATTCCATCTTGATGTCATCGGTTGGGACCAACCCAGCCTTCTTGCGGAGGCGCTGGACTCGTGCAACGACCTCTCTCGCAAGACCCTCATGGGCCAGTTCCGGATACAAGTTCGCATCCAGGATGGTGAGCACGTCATTATCAGAGTTCGTCTCCATGTTCTTCGAGCCGTCGTCTTCTTTCAATCCGCGCTTGACCACCAAGTCCCCTTCGACGAGTTCGATGCCGTCCACAAGAATCTTCTTGTCTGCAACAAACTTCTTCACGTCGTCGCTGGTAACGGATGGCAGTGCCTTCTTGACCTTCTGCGCGTCCTTCTTCAGCTTCTTACCCAGAGTGGGCCAGTCTGCTGTAACACTGTACTGGACATTGTACTTGGCCTCATCCGACGAAAGGACTAGGTCCCGCACATTCAGCTCTTCAAGGATATAGCTCTCCAGAGACTTGACATCATCCAGATATTGCTGGTCTTGATGGATGACGACGAGTGTCTTTAGAGGTGTCTTTAGGCCGAGAGTTCGGCGTTCACGGGAGATACGACCGAGTTCAATAACCTTCTGCATGCGCGCCACTCGTCGTTCAACGATCTCATCGAAGAGTTCAGCCCTCACTTCAGGGAAGGGGAGGAAGTGAACGCTTCGGTCATCTTCTCCCCTGAGGGATTGCGGAATGTGTGGAAGAAGTCGGAGGTAAATAGTATCGGTCAGGAAGGGAGTGAAGGGCGCAAGACCCCGGACTAGAGTGTAAAGGACCTCGAAGAGGGTGTTCAGAGCGTGCTTGGTGTCATCAACACCGTACTCGCCCTTCAGACGCCGTCTGTTGAATCGGATGTACCAGTTTGTTGTATTGTCGATCAACTCGAGCAACCGGGGAACGACAGTATACAGGCGGTATGCGGCCATTTCCTCGTTCACAAACTTCAGCAGACTCTGACAGCTTGCCAAGATCCAACGGTCCATGACATTGGTGTTAGTCGCCTCTGCCTTCGGGTCGAACACGAAGTCGACGGCTTCCACCTTCTTGAACAAAGCTGCTTGTCCCTCAAAGAACTTGTAGCTGTTCCACAGCGGCAGGAGAACCTTGGCCACAATTTCCTTGACACCGGACTCCTTAAACCTCAGCGGCTCTGCTCGGACAACTGGGGAGTTGATGAGATAGAGTCGCAGAGCATCAGATCCATATTGCTGCATGATCAAGGACGGGTCTGGGTAGTTCTTCAATCTCTTTGACATTTTCTTGCCATCTTCAGCAAGAACAATACCGTTCACGACGCAGTTCTTGAACGGCAACTTGCCGAAGAGATGGGTTCCCAACACAGTCAGTGTGTAGAACCAACCTCGAGTCTGGTCCAAACCTTCCGCAATGAAGTCTCCAGGGAAGCTCTTCTCGAATTGCTCTTTGTTCTCAAATGGATAATGCTGAGACGCATAAGGCATGCTACCAGACTCGAACCAACAGTCGAAAACTTCGCTCACGCGACGAAGCTCACCCTTGCCTTGCTTGCTAGGGATAGTGATGTGGTCCACCTTATCACGGTGCAGGTCAGTGAGCTCTCCAGTATATCCGCTGAGCTCCTTAAGTTCCTCAGCACTACCCACGGCGACAACCTCCTTGAAATCTTCGCTGACCCATAGAGGAAGTGGAGTACCCCAGAATCTGTTTCGAGAGATGTTCCAGTCTCGGGCATTCTGAATCCAGCTGGCGAATCGTCTCTCCTTCACAAACGAAGGCACCCAGTGGGACTCTTCGATACCCTTGAGCATGTCGGGAATGATCGGTCCAATCTTAACGAACCAAGCGGGCACAGCTCGGTAGATCAATGGTGTATCCGACCGCCAGCAGAAAGGGTAACTATGGGTAATCTGGCCGTCAACAATCAGACGACCGGTGCCCTTCAGGTGCTTGATGATGGCTCTATCCGCCGCCTTGACATGGACTCCAGCGAAGTCGCGCACTTCCGAGGTGAAGCATCCCTTTTCATCCACGGGGTTCGGGGGTAGGCGCGTTTCGCTGATGACACCGTTTTCCATGGCAACCCTGTAATCGTCCTCACCGAAAGCGGGAGACTGATGGACGATACCAACACCATCATCGGCCGTCACGTAAGAAGCGAGAAGCACGCGGAAGCCGTAGTCCTTGAATTCGTCGTAGAAATAATCGAACAGAGGCTGATATCTCCATCCTGCCATGTCGGAACCCTTAATGCGGTCCACGATCTTGAACTTCGCCTTCTTGGGGTCCTTGTACAACGTCCTCAACAAAGATTCCAAGAGAATGTAGTTCTTGCCCGAGGCCTCGTCAAAGATCTTGACATACTCGAAGTCCGGATGAGCCGCGAGACCAGTGTGAGAAGGCAACGTCCACGGCGTAGTAGTCCATGCTAGGAGGCAAGTCTGCGGATCATCGAGGAGTGGGAAGGTAACGACAACCGCAGGATCCTGGACATCCTTGTAGTTCTGTTGCGCCTCGAAGTTACTTAGCGGCGTGTTCAGCGCGGTGGAGTATGGCATAACTCGGTAGCCACGGTAGACAAGGCCCTTGTCGAACAACTGCTTAAACACCCACCACACCGATTCCATGAAAGATGTGTTCATGGTCTGTTATCACGACTTGATCAGTAAGGAGACAGGCGGGAATCTGGTGGGGAGGGAGTAGCTTGCCTTGTAATCATTGTCGAAATCAATCCAGCGGCCCAATCGTTCAATGGTCTCCCTCCATTCTGAAGCGAATCGCATAACAATCGCTCTGCACTCTTCGTTATACTTTTCAATTCCCAGCTTCTCAACAGCCTCTAGACCAGACATGCCCAGCTTCTTGTCGATCTCATATTCGATAGGAACACCGTGGGTATCCCAACCAAATCGACGCTCCACATAATGGCCCTTCATAGACCAATATCTCGGGATAATATCCTTAATGGTAGATGCGAGAAGATGGCCATAATGAGGCAGACCCGTGGCAAATGGAGGGCCGTCATAAAAGGTGTAGGGTTTCCGGCCCCGGGACAGCTCAACCTGCCTCTCGAAGGCACGGATCTCCCTCCATCTCTGGAGGGTCTTGTCCTCCTCCGCGGGGAAGTCGATGGACATGGTGGACGATCTCCTGAAGTAAGTTGGTGACTGTTGCGTCCGTCAGCAGAGGGTTGTCCGCGGGGTAGAATATATCCAGGTGCGGCGTTCGTGAGTCACCCCGCGATTTTTTGATTTTGATCTGAATCCGGTAAGTGCGGCAGAACGTCCCCGCCCTAGACTACAATATGTTCTTCCGACATCGCAGCCCCGAATCCACGTTCCACCGAGCTGCAGTCCTAAAATGTCTCTAGACTTGAAGATCTAATTCTCGTCAATTCGCGAGGATATGCATATCATCATGTATTCCATCCGATCTATAACCTACGGGTATCTCAATCCGCAATGACGTGATTTTACGTCCCGCCTTGCATCTACGTAGTCGAGACAATGTAATATCAGTCCACGCCCTCACTCGTCTTCGTCGCCATCCCCTTCTTGATCTTCGTCCTCGTCCTCGTCTTCATCTTCAGAGACCTCCTCTCCAAGCTCTTTAAGCCGTTTCTGCAAGATGATCAGTAATCATGCGTAATATTAGAGTAAGCTGGAGTTGCCCACCTTGTCCTGTTCTCTTTTGGCCTCCAGGTCCCCAAACACTATTAGAAGATCTTCAAGCTCTGCTTGTGCTGATTCTCGAGCCTTCTCCTTTTCTTCTGCTTCGGCTTTCGCCTTTTCCAATGCTGCTTGGACTTCTTTCAGTTGCTCCTGTGCCTTCAATATACGTTTCTCCGCGTCATCGGCTCCTTTCCCGGCGCTCTTCTTCTGTTCCTCTGCCTTCCGGGCACGTTCTTCTGCCTTCTGAGCTTTATCCTTTGCGGTTCTAGCCTCTTTCTCTGCATCCTGTGCACGTTTTTCTGCCTTGCGGGCTCTTTCATCCGCATTTCTAGCTTGCTCTTCGGCCTGCTGTGCGCGGTGTTCGGCCTTATCTGCTCTTTGCTCGGCGCTCTCAACCTGTTTCTCAAGTTCTGAGCTCTTAGAAGAATGCTCCTCATGAGCCGTCTTGAGTTCTTGGCGATGATCTTCTCTCGCCTTATCCAGATCTGCTTCTAACGTTTGGATTGTCTTCTTCAGAGAATCAATTTCAGCTGCGCTGCGCTGCGTGACATCGGCAAGCTTAGATTCTAGGCTGCTGATCGTCTTCTTCAGACTAGCAGTCTCTGCCTCGTACTGTGTTCTGAGATCAGCGCTCTTTCTTTCGTATTCGACAGAAGTCCTCTTCAGTTGCTCATCGACAGTCCGCAATTGTTCACCGTGCTGCTTAATCAGCTCGTTCCTGGCCTGCTTGTGCTGCTCATCGAGTCTCGACAGTTCCTGCTCGTGGTTCCTCTGTAATGTCTCGTTGATCTGTTTTATCCTAGTCAACTCCAGAGCAGTTGAGTCCTTCGTTCTGCGATGGTCGAGATGCTCTTGTTCTAGTTTACGCTGAAGCTCAAGCAGGTCGGACTCCAATTTCTGTACGGCTCGCGTGCGGTCTTCCACTTGAGCGCGGAGGTCATCAACAAGCTCCCGAGATATCCCTTTCTGGATTCCATTGGCAATTATGGGTATTTCGAAGCCGGGATCTCTATCAATAGCACGTAATAGACGGCTAAAGTTATCCTTCAGGAACTCAATGAATGTTCTGTCGAAGAAAATCTCGGGCAGGCCATCGTGTGCTCCTTGTGACGTCTGCGGCAACACCTCAAAGTCGCGGACCAAGGGCAATTCTCTGAGCTTAGTTATCTTGTCGATATACTGCTCTCGTCCAAGCCGGGTAAGAAGCAAGTCGTGCAAAGTTGTCCTAGGGATTGGGGAGTCCTTCGTTGAGAACTCATAAACGATTCCCAGAAGGATGGAGCAAAGGCCGGGAACGAGAGAGCTCGAAATACCACGTTGCTTGATATCCTGTATAAGACTTTGGATACTGCTTCCCTCCCCAAGGAAGTCATTGACAGCATCCGGATCCTCGAAGAGCCATCCACAGAGCAGCATCAAGTACCCTACTGTTATCCTCTCGTCGTCGCCACGCTGCATGCCCGTGATCAAGTTTCCCAAAATTGTCTGGACACAGGTGACGACTTCCTCGCCACTCTCTGCGTCTCCTTCGGTCACCTTCATAGCAATTGCCTTTGCTTCGGGGTCTTCAAAGAGCAGGTGAAACATTAATACAGAAGCCAACCAAGTTTGATATGGGTCAGCGTTCCCTCGTGACTCAGGAGCCTCGACCAGCACAGATAGGATGTTGGGGATCAGGTCATTCCCACTGACATGCCCGTCAATCGCTCTACGTAGCACATGGTGTCGAATTCCGCTATGCTTCTCAAAGAAAGCTTTCATGCATTCCCCGGCGGCAAGACGGGCATCCAACACATTGACTGGCGCGGGCTCAAGGGTCAGTTTGAGTAGAGCTTCGATCACGTTTATCCTCGGTAGCTCATGGACTTTTGAATCGCCGTTGGCCTGGGGTGGAACCCGTGGCTGAGAACCCCAGGTGACCTCAACGTCCGCGAACTTCTCTTGCAGACTTGGATTCCCACGAATGAGATCAGCCGATGTTACTAGGGCCTAGTAAAGGTTATTGTTGTCAGTCAAGTTGTATGAATGCAGGTTGGGTAGGAACAGCATACTTTAGCTGTGATCCTGACATCGAATTCCTGACTGAACGCCGTCCGCAAGGCTTGTTCCATGAGGCCGCTCTGCCAAAACGCCACCTGACTAGCAGGGGTGCTAACACCTCCCTTCACCAGGAACAGCTGCACTATGGCCAGGAGACCCCAAATGTTTTTATCTCGATGCGCGAGTATCCAAGGAGGTACATCCTCATCCCCCTGTGGTTCAATCGCATCAGCAAGGAGTTTTGTCAGTCTCTTCACGCATCCTGTCTCGCGGAAGTATGACTGGTTCGAAACGTTGAATCTCAAGAGATTCGCGAGCAAGGAGAGGCAATCTTCGACAACTTCTGAGCCGTGGGTGAGACCGCCTTCCGCTTCAATGAGGGAGAAAGTCAGCTCGAAAGCATTCTCAAAGGCAACCACCTTCTGGAGCTCTGGGGACGAGGGCGTGAGTGCTATTAGGAGTACGAGAGCCTCTAAGAAAATGCATGTGTTATCAGCACAATGTCCAGTCGGTTTATAGACCAGGGCAGTGGCGTACCATTGCGGACAGGCTCTCGAGCATCACTTAGCATACTAACCAATCTGGATATCCCCAGCGGCGCCGTAAAGATACATTCTTGTGTCCTCTCCGGCCGTGCCCCACAGATTTGTGATATCAACTGCAAGGAGTACAGACGCGAATAGAAATCCCGGTTATCGAGCAAGTCGAGAAGAGCGGTGATATTGTCTTGGCGCTTTGTATGCTGTTAACCAAAGAACTCGTAGTCGGGTCCAGGGTAGCGCACCTGAGTGAATTCATCTGCAAGCCATAGTGCAATCTCGTCTGATGCCTCGGGCTGCCACAGGTCAGCATCAACTGTAGCTCAACGCACAAGGAGCTGTGCGTAGAGAGCACCATCGAGACAACCCACACTATTCTCATCCGGAGAAAATAGCATCAACAGAGTCTCTAGGACCACCTTGACCGTATCCACATCCTCCCCATCATTGCGAAGGCTACTGATCAAGGCACGGAGAGCACCAGAGGCCACCGAGGCCGGGTAGATCTTTGCAAAACTCCGTAGCCCTAAGATCGCGACTCTTCTGTCTTCCACTAACGTTGCACTCTGCAGCCTATTGCTCAGGGTGCTGATCGTGTCCGTGGCCGTCTGTTTGGCAGGCGCTTGCGATTCGAGAATTCGGAACATCGTAGCTGGTTCTTAGCTCGTACTTTCATGGTCACCGCCGACCTTGCGTGCGGGAATTGGCAGGCATTGAAGCTCTGACGAATTTGAAGGAATGCAGTGAACACCGTCCGTCTTCCCCTGCACAGAAGCCAGCGGTCCCTGATCGATTGAAACAGAGGTCGAGAGAATATCACGCTGTAGTCTACTAGCTCTTATTGTTGTCGAGGACACATAGCTTAGCGCCCAGACTGGCCAGAAAGGCCCCACACGTGCCCTGCGCCCCGGAAGAAGTGTCGCGCCGGTAGCGCCATCCATCGCAGACCCTTCAGCTTACTGCGCACTGCGAGATACAAGCAAACCACTGAATTCTTGACGGGTAGCAGTGTGTCTGCTTCCAAATTTGTGAGGTTGGAAGGCTGTTGGAAGCTTTTTTTTTGCTTTTCTTCGCTTCCAAAAGGACACCTGAGCCGTCTTGCGGAGACGGTCGATGGGCTGCGCAGAGCACGAGATATTTCAGATTGCTCGAAGTTGAGGCTGTGATCGCAGCGCATCGATATCGCCATCATGGGTGTTCCAGCACTGTTCAGATGGCTGTCCCAGAAGTATCCGAAGATTATCTCCCCGGTGATCGAAGAGCTTCCTTATGAAGTGGGTGGAGAGGTCATTCCGGTCGACACGACCGGACCCAATCCCAACGGGGAGGAAATGGATAATCTGTACTTGGATATGAACGGTATCGTTCATCCCTGTACGCATCCAGAGGGCAAGCCCCCGCCAGCGAACGAGCAGGAGATGATGCTGGAGATCTTCAAGTACACCGACAGAGTGGTCAACATGGTCCGACCGCGCAAGCTGCTCATGATCGCAATTGGTATGTTGACCTGCAGACTCGAAAAACTCGCTGTCTCCCTTCGGGTGGCTACATTATATTACGTGTGATGTCGTATAGTCGCCAAGGGGGGTTAGCTCTTTCTGTTCTATCGATTTTTTTTACATTTACCAGTAGCACTATAACTAACATTCTTTCTCAATTTAGATGGTGTCGCGCCCCGAGCAAAAATGAACCAGCAACGAGCGCGTCGATTCCGCTCCGCTCAGGAGGCTCGGGAAGCCGATGAGAAGAAGGAGGAATTCCGGAAGCTGCAGGCGAAGCAGAACGGTAACAAACTGGAGGTGGAGCTGCAAGAGGAGGTCATCCAGAAGACATGGGACAGCAACGTCATCACTCCTGGAACACCGTTCATGGACATTTTGTCTGCGTCGCTGCGGTATTGGATCGCCTACAAGCTGAACACTGATCCGGCGTGGGAGAAGCTGAAGATCATCATCTCCGACGCGACTGTGCCTGGTGAAGGAGAGCATAAGATCATGGAGTTCATTCGGTCCCAGAGGTCATCGCCAGAACATGATCCCAACACCCGTCATGTTATGTACGGGCTGGATGCCGATTTGATTATGCTGGGTCTGGCAACCCATGAGCCTTATTTCAGAGTCCTTCGAGAAGACGTTTTCTTCCAGGAGTCTAGGGCTAGAACTTGCCATCTATGTGGTCAAGCCGGCCACAAGGCGAATGAATGCAGGGGTCAGGCTAAAGAGAAGAACGGCGAGTTTGACGAAAAGGGCAAGGGTACCGCTCTCAAACCGTTCATCTGGCTGCATGTTTCTATCCTTCGGGAGTATCTGGCCGCCGAGATGTACGTACCGCAACAGCCATTTCCCTTTGATCTGGAGCGGGCGCTGGATGACTGGGTCTTCATGTGTTTCTTTGTCGGTAACGACTTCTTGCCACATCTTCCTTCTCTTGACATTCGAGAGAACGGAATTGACACTTTGATCGCAATCTGGCGTGATAATATCCCGGTTATGGGTGGATACCTCACGAAGGATGGGCAAGTTGACCTGAAGAAGGCCCAGCTTATCCTGCAGGGGCTCGCGAAGCAGGAAGACGCTATTTTCCGCCGTCGACGACAGACGGAAGAGAGGAGACATCGGAACCAGCAAAGGCGTAAAGAGGAGGAGAGAATGCGGGATGATGAACGCGCGCGCAAGCGAAGGAGGAGCTCGCCCACCTATGACTCTCCTACTGGCAAGTCTCGCAAGAACGGGCCAGACGCTGGGCCTCCAGCTGATCTGCCTCTGATCACTCCCGGAAGAGGACATCTATCGAAAGAGAATCGGGAGCTCACTCACAGCATGGTAGTGAATCGGGGAGCTATCTACAAGGCAAATGTGGCCAACAAGAGCGCCGCAGCGGTACTGAAGAGTCAGCTTTTGAAGGGCCCTACCGCAGATGCTAGCGAGGGTGACGCAACACCAGCAGACAACGAGGATCCGTCGAATGTCGAGGAAGAGCAGACATCCCCATCAGTGCTGGGTAAGCGCAAGGCTGATATGGCGGAGGACGAAAATGTCGAGCCTGGAACTCCGGGAAGAGACACGCCTATTGTGGACAACACACCGAAGGATGAGGATGAGCTCCCTCCTGACACAGTGCGCCTGTGGGAGGAAGGTTACGCCGACCGATATTACGAACAGAAATTCGGTGTCGACCCCAAAGACATTGAGTTCCGTCACAAGGTCGCGCGAGCCTACGTGGAGGGACTTTGCTGGGTGCTGTTGTATTATTTCCAGGGCTGTCCTTCCTGGACTTGGTACTATCCTTATCACTACGCGCCTTTTGCGGCTGACTTTGTCGACATCGATGACGTGGAGATCAACTTCGACAAAGGAAGTCCATTCAGACCGTTTGAGCAGCTGATGGGCGTGTTGCCGGCATCTTCCAACCATGCTCTACCCGAAGTGTTCCATGATCTCATGAGCGACCCCAACAGCGAGATCATTGACTTCTACCCGGAAGACTTTCCAGTAGATCTCAATGGCAAGAAGTTCGCCTGGCAAGGAGTTGTGCTTCTCCCGTTCATTGACGAGAAGCGCCTCCTGGCCGCCATGCAGAAGAAGTATCCTCTTCTGACCGAGGACGAAAGGGCGCGAAATACGATGGGCCGTGATGTCCTCTTGTTATCCGACCGCCATCCACTGTACAAGGAGTTGGTCTCTAATCTGTACTCCAAGAAACAGAGTGAGGCCAAGTTCAAACTCAACATGCGTGTGAGTGATGGCCTTGCGGGTAGGGTTGAGCGGAGTGAGGCCTACATCCCACATAGCTCGTTGGTCTCGCCGCTAGAAGACAATGGTCTGCCGAGTCTGGATGAGGACCACTCTATGACGTACGTATCTCTCTTTCTAGCCCGGGGAAACATCTGTACTGACTGAAGCAGGGTGAATTACGAGATCCCGAAGTCGTCTCACGTCCACAAATCTATGCTTCTCCGAGGCGTCAAATTGCCGCCACCGACCCTCGATAAGGCGGAGATTGAGATTGTCCGGTCGAAGGCGGCACATTCCGGCCGACAATATGGCGGTGCTCCGCTCCGCAATGGAAATGGAGGTGGTCGTGGTGGCCGTATCAACTACGCCAACGACAGACCAAACCCTTTCGCTGCTCATATCAATCCTGGCTTTGTCCCGCCGCCGAACATGGGCGCTCCGATGCCACCTTCGGGCTGGGTTCCCCCTGCCCCTGGAACTATGGGATACTCCCAGGGGCCACCCCCACCTCCTCGAGGCGGCTACAACGACCCGTACCGCCAGTCATACCCCGGGGGGCCCCAGCAGTCTGGTAATCAACATGGCGGTTACTATGGCCAGGGGAACTACCATAACCAGTCCTCATATGGTCAGCAGGGATACAATCAGTCTCACCACGGACAAGGCGGCGGTTACCAGGGCCAGCATTATGGCTCTGGTCGCAACGATCGACGGGATGGCGGTTACGGTGGCGGATATCGCGATCAGCGCCAAGGCCGTGACAGCTATGGTTCCAGGCGCAATGATGGATATGGACGATACTAGGCGTTCTGAATTGGCTTGCTTTTGAGAAATCTTGTACAGTAGCAGTAGGGTACGAGCATACGCTGGACTAACTATCTACGGAGTTATGGAAGAACTCAGATCAAACGAAGTTTCCGAGTTGTGTTCTGAAATTTCATCGTCTGTCATAAAGTAGTCTAACAAAGGGATTGACTTCCTGTTGATAATCAAGGAGCTACTTATGTGATGCTCCTCGTACGTAGATCAGTACACGATAAATTGCCTGCCTACCACAGAAGTGCCGAATAAGATGCAATTAATACCAGATCACCAAGGACGACAGGAAATTCCCTGCTCGGAATCAGCGACTCATCCACCTAAGAGCAGAGTCCGTCAGACATCAACAAGGCTAGACTCCTAGTCATTCCAGCACTGGGACCACGTGTGCACTGCCCTGTTCTATCGATGTATGTACAGTAAGTACAGTAATCCTTAAGGCACCAGTATTCTTCCCTTGGCATAAATCGCATAAATGAATATCTAGCCTGCTAGATAGTGCAACACCGCGGCACCGCCACACTTCTAGAGTATCTAGTCTATTCTAGTTCACTCTAAATAGCAACACCCACACTACTTCCCCAACTCACAATAGAGTATGGTATTTTAATAATGGAACCACCTATTCTTTTCAGCTGTCGTTGTCGCTCGAATTTACTTAAGAGTAGTATCCTGATTGGTTTTTTTTTTTACGATGAGTCCCAGCCACGATTTTCGATGACTCTTTTTAGATACTGTAAGATAACTAACTGGTAGACTATAACTAATACACTTATTAGGTACTTGGATTGTGGCAATTCGAGTAGAGTAAAGTAGGGTATCTCCTGTCTTCGTCTCTTCTACAGAAAATCTGATATACTCTAAAACTGAAGCCTAGCCTACATCTATCATCCATGTCATCTGGAGTGGGGTAACTAAGACTAAGCCTATTTGGTAACTAAGCGATTGTTCAGATGGTCCGTGCACGCGAAGCTGACCCAAATAATAATAATAATACTCGGTACCACACACTGAGAAATTTCCACTTTTAAAACTAACTAATACACGACACTAGAATTATTATTATTCCCCACCAGCACCCCGACCATGTCGCTAAAGAAGTCGGTAAGTACTAGTACTAGCTCCTAGTTAATCAGTTCTTGTGGATATATGACATTATTCCAGTATATTATTATTCCATTAGGGGTTTAGGAAATTGGAACTGATTGCTAATTGATTTCTAATTGATTAGAAGTATTATCAGAACTATCTTGACGCGGTCGCAAAAGGGCGGCTTACGCTGCCAGATATTGACGTAGGTGAAATAATAATGAGAACTGATTAGTTATTATTATTATTATAGTGGTTGCATATTGATTTTTTTTTAAACTGGTTACCTACCTACTTAGCCTACTGAGCCTCTCATTCTCAAAGTTGGAGAAGTCTATTGTCGGTATCCGGATTGTCCAGAAAGACAGGTAAGTTTTACTTACTTACTTAAAACTTATCTAAACCCATTTTACTTCGAATTAGTTCTTTCTTAACTTCCAGGTTCAGAAACGCTATTCAGCCACAAACAATCTCAGACACCACTACAAAGTCCACTTCGCTGACAACGAAGTAAGAACAAGTTCATCCGTTCCCCAACAGATTGAGAGAGAACCTGTTGCTAACCAGTGCTATACTTAACTAGAGTCTGATCACGGCCGGTAAGAGCGGCACGCCCTCTATGGAAGTAATTATGGATGCTATCAGTAAGTAGTGGTTTTTTTCTTACTGATTCTCAATTGGTAGCTATCTAACTGGTTGGCAACCCGGTTAGGCTGGTATAAGTCTATCACCACGACACATGATGAGTAGTAGTAACTAGTGGGGTGCATCGAGGTGTTTTCTTCGGAGAGCAGTGGATAATCAGTTAGATTAACACGAGAGCTGCGAGAAAGATTATGAAAGATATCGGGCGTATTCTACCTTGCGCGATATGCAACTAGGCTAATAAGGCTAAATGTGATTCTTAACTTTGTCGACGAAGAATAGAACATTAAGTATCTCCTTAATCTAGAGTGATCCTACTCTCGTCTAGTAGAAATAATGCATCCTCTATATTGGCTACCTAATAAACTAACCTGTCGATAGGATCGACCAAAACGACTACAAAAAGCTTCATAGGAGGAAGAAGAAGAAGAGCGGATATCTTATCCACAAACAGGAACATTCCTCTTGCAGATTAATATTAGAACAAGGATAGCGGCGGACAGGCACCTTTTGGTATTTACTTACTCTCAACAGTTCTACTGGAATCTTTTTACACTCTTCTATAATCACATTCAACTAACTACTCTTTGGAAAAGAGGCACATCGATAATCCTATATTCTTTACAATTATGCAATCTTACTGGTGTAGGAACGCAATATCCTATAGGAAGAAGTTCAAACACTCGACAATAATAGCTTTTTATGTTTTTTCTTTTTTTGCCCCCTTCCTTCCTTCCTCGTCTCCGGCTCTAGGTACTATACTATACTATACTATATTAAGTATATGCTTAGGCGAGCCCAGTAGACTCGATGCTACTTCGAGTATATATATACTAACTGTTAGGTAGAGTTATTATATTACTCAGAATATCTAATCTAGCAATAGTTAACTAAAAGGAAAGTTTGAATATAGCTATACTATGCTATGCTTGCTATGCTATGTTGTATCGCCACTTTCCTTTTTCTTACATATGCTTACGCTATGATTCTCCTCCTACTAAGTAACTAAGTATACGCCCGTTAGTTCGTTTTTCTAGAAGAAGAAGGGGGGTATAGTTAGTAATTAATAATAATCAATTAATAACTAACTGCTGTAGTTAAATGGGAGTAGTTAACGTTAAAGAATATATAATTACTAATCACCTCACCTGATAATGTGGTCGAGCGCGGGGTTATGTGGTGTCAGGTGATTGTTTAGGTATCTAGTTAAAACTACTACCTACCTAGAGATCTTCAGCCAGAAGGGATAGTGATTTTCGCGCAAGTTGATGGTATGTCTTACTCTTAGTCTAGGATGATCATTTCCAAGGAGATCTACCAACTCTACGAGTTTCGATGACGAGTTTCGATGTGAATGAGAAGTTGTAATGAGATCATGTATACTATAATACTAATACTAATGATGATAATAATAGTACAGTCTTGCTCTGAAAGGAGACACCGCTTTTCCCCTATTCTATAAATGCCCCAAAAACCAAGAAAACCCCTGATCGTATCATACATACATATGCCATACTATACAAGAGGAAACGGAGCGAGCAGTGTGAAACGGCCACAGCTGTACGTGAGCCTCGATTATGTATGGTAGCACACCGGGCCCGACTCCATATTTGCACCACCCAAAAATGCAAGTCGACAGAAGATCTGAGACATCGTAACGTAAACATCGTAGAACATATAATACAGCGTCGTCGTGGCAGAAACAAAGCAATTTCTTTTTTTTTTCTGATCTTCGATCCAACCATCCGTGCCCACATGAGACCCTCGAGCCGAAACGAAACCCCTGTACAAAACAGACTAGGAGAAAAGAGAGATGGCTTGAACGCGCGACAGTAGCGTCATGACAAACGGTCTAGGAAAGAAACCCAACCAAACTAAGCCAATAAACAGTATGAGACGTGACGGAACCAGCGTAACGACATGATGATAATAGAAATGATGATGATGATGATGATGATGATGATGACGAGGAGCGTGACGTCATGACGCGGAATCAGGCTCCCAGGCCGCAAGTCCCGATGCGGCAAGTCCGGCTGCCGATCCGGGAGACCAAGCGAGTCCTTTCCGAATCGGGCGCGGGGTATGACGTCGGTGCCGGCCGTCATGGAGACATCATGAGCATGAGCTTTTTGCGTGGATTCTGAAATCCACCGCTTCACCCGGATGCGACGCCGCGCGATAGGCCGATGCTGCACCGGCGATGCGACAGATGGTTGGGTTGGGTTATGAGCCATTGCACTCGTGGGTCATCCCTCAGTCTCTGCCCTTGCGCTTCTGCTTCCCCGGCCAATCGACCTCCGGGTGCACGACACGCATATGCCGCGTTAGTGCGTCGTTGCGCGAGAACGTCTTCTCCTCGGTGCAGAGGTGGCAGCGGACCTTCTGCTTCCGAGCGTTGTGGATCGTGTCCTCGTGTCGTGTCAGGTCGTAAGGCCGCGAGAAGATCGAGTTGCAGGGCTTGCCCGTAGAAGGGTTGATCCGCTCGCACTTGTGAGGGCCCGCCTGGGAGTTGCGCATCGCGAGGCTGCCCGTCTGCGGATCGCGCGCGAGGTGGCCCCCGGGCGTGGTCTGGCGATGAGCTTCCCGCTTGTGCTTCTGCAGCTTGGCCGGTGTCTCGAAGCGCATCGTGCAGCCGTGGTAGGTGCATGTGTAAGTACCAGCATCGGAGGCCGTATTGTCAGGTCTCCGGCTCAACGGCTGCGCCTGCGGCTGCTGCTGCTGCTGCTGCTGCTGCCGCCTCTGTGGCGCAGACAGGTCGACATGAGACTCGCTGCCCGTAGACTCCATCGTAGGGAGCGAAGCTGGGAACTCCGGCGTGTGATGGATCAGGCTGTTGTTCTGCGGCTGGCTGCGAGGATGCTGCTGCTGATGCTGCTGCTGCTGCATGGGCTGCATGAACTGGTACGGCTGTCCCAGACCGGCGGCTTGGGTCGCGTACTGGCTCGGGAAGGCCTCCATGGCCGAGTAGTTCTGTGTAGGCTGGAAGGCAGAAGAGCTCTGGCGGCGCAGGCTCATCGCATCCGCAAGGTTGAAGTCGCCGCCGTTCTGGTTCGACGGGAACAGCGACGGCAAGCCATTGTCCTCGGGGGTCTCGTGGTACTCCAGGAGCGCATCCTTGGGGGAGATCGTCTTGGGCTCGCCGGGGTTCATGCTGTTCTGTTGCGACATCGTCATGCCCGAGGTGATGTTGTTCTGCGGCATGGGCGCCGCACCGAAGTCAGCCGCCAGCGGCGAGCCCTGTCGGAAGGGCGACGAGCGCTCCCGGTTCATGGCGTTGGCCGGTGACTGAGAGCGCGCAGAGATGTGTCCCTGATGCGCCGCCTGGAGACGGTCCGCGAACAGGTTGCGGTAAGGCGAGTACAGGTGCTGGTTCGTAGGCTGCTTGCGGAGCTGGGGCGCCGGGATGATCTGCGGGTTATACAGCTCGTCCTGATAGATATCGGAGATGGTACGGTCCAGCTTGGGGACACCCATCTGGGCGTTATTGGAATTCTGGCCGTCAAATTCTGAAGACGCATCGAGTTGTAAGTATTCATCCATCCACCGGTCAACGTCAGGAAATCGGTCCTCACCATGGGCTATCGCCTTCGATCCATCGTCGACCTCATCGTACGTAGTCTGCGGAGTCGCAGGAGAGTTGTGGCTCACGCTGGAGACCGAAGGCGCAAGGGAGTACTGGAAGGAAGATTCCTCCTCCCCAGAGCCCTGGTACCGTTGCTGCTGTTGTTGCTGCTGCTGCTGTTGCTGATTTTGTCGCTGCTGCTCCATGATCGCCCGTCGCATCGCCATCTCTGCTTCAGCGTTGTCACCATTCTGGAAGGGTGCCGCCAGGAAAGAATTCTGCACGGGCGTCTGCACTGGCGTGGGTAGTGGCTTCGACAAGGAAGTCTCGTAGCCGTTCAGCGATGTCGACGGCGAGAACGAGGCCTGCGAGTTGTAGCCGTTCGGAGCGGCCGCAGCGAGTGGCGAATTTGATGCGCCGCCGGACGAGCCCGAGGAGGCTCTCTTGTGCTGGCTCTGGAATCCTGATCCCCGCAAAACACCACCGTTCTGGAACCCAGCCGGGCTGAGATGGGTGTTGGGGCCTGCCTGTTGCGCCAGCATTGGCGAACCGGTATATTGCGACTGGAACTGTCGCGACGAGGGGGACGGATGGATCCTGATGGAAGGATTGAAGGACGAGGAGGCGCTCATCGAAGGAGCGTCCGAGAAACCGCAGTCGTAGGCGGTTGAGAAATCAGAGGATATGGCCGTCGCAGGCGACTGATTTGATGCGAACGACGGGGAGGAGAAGGTGGGCGACGCAGAGATGGAGGAACAAGGGGAGGCGTTATGGTGGTGAAGGTGAAGGTCTAGGTCGACGGTCTGCTGGAAAGGCGACTGCAAGGTCGAGGAGGAAGTAGAAGACTGCTGCTGCTGATAGAGCGGCAGCTGGCGACTGGTAAACCACTCCGGTGGGAGCTGGTTATCTTGCGACGGCGACGACGACGACGGCTGGTGTTGCAGTAGCAGGAACGGATTGTTGATGTTGTTGTAGTTGTAGTTCTCTCGAGACGGTTCAGTGATGAGATCCTTACGTACTGAAGGATGTAGGAGCATAGTTGGTATGGAATATGGATTGGTCTGAGTGGGTACGGGGAGAAAGTTCCCAAGAGTTGCCACCGGGGGATAAGCTGGTGGTTAAATAATCGACGCCGACGGAGAGGTTCCCAGATGCAGGTCTCCCTTGGAGTCGACCACGGATCGTCCGGACACCACTGGCTCGTAAGCAGTCCCGACGGGGCGAGATCCGATCTGCCCGTTGCGTTGGAATTCTTCGTGATCGATTAGGTTGTTCGTCTTGACAGCTGCTTAATGACTGGTGGCCATCGAACAGTCTGGAAGCGTCGGGCGGACGATGGATTGCAGCAGGGGCCCGATTAAGTAGGTGTCTGCTGAGTCACTAACAAGTCGAACCTTTCTTTTGCTTCGTTGAGATCCGTTGCAGATTCAAGGTTTTCCCAGATATTGTGGCTGAATCGGGCAGTGTCAGTAGATGGGAGTTGTAGTATAGTATAGTGTAGTAGTAGTAGTAGTATGGTATAGTATAGTAAGCGTCGGGTAATGCAGGTGTGGCAGTGAGCACGAGACGCTAAAAGAAGAGGGAGGCGAAAACCAGGAAGTTCGTAATATAATATAATATATATAATAAATATATAGTGAGTAATGGATGACTCAAAAACGTAAGTTAGTTAGTCCGTATCGACTGATTGATTGATCATCTTCTGCCCTCTCTTGCTCTCGAGGGAAGAGCCGGGCCTTTGTATGAGATGGGCTATGATGACGTCTCTGGTCTGAGAGGCATTCGACCTTTCGTTCTCGCGCATGACGCTAACTGGAGCGGGACCTCTTTCTCGTACCAGTACGGTAAACCCCGATACCTGATAGATACCTGGAAGCCGCCCGTCTCCGTACGGTCACGATACCCGGTAGATAGACTAGACTAGACTAGACTAGACTGGAGATCTGCGCGCTATTCCTGGAATCCCTCCGTCGTCCGTCGTCGATCTTTTTTCCTGCCCAATGCGCGCCTCGCTGTGGCTAGTGTCCCGTGGCCGTGCTAGACCGTTCTGTGAAAAGTGAAAATCATAGGGGAAAATGTGAAATATCTGAATTAGTAGTGAATTAATAATATTACCCATATTATTATTAACTTAGTTAACTACTATATTATCCGACCCGGCCAGCTGGCTGCTTGCGGCACCAGCCACATCCCTTACATGCCGACTTCCTTAGGTATCTACCGTCTAAGCGAACGACCGGGGCTTAGTGCTAACTTAGGTACTCCGTAGTCTCGTCTGTTCTGCTGTCCTAAGCGCGGCCTAATGTTTCCCCATCGGCTGGCCCGATGTCTCTCTCTCGCGCGGCTCCCCGTGCACCTTTCCCATGCATCTAGATCAGTCAACCATCGGTGAGAAAACGGAAAATGTCTAAAAAATGGAAAAAATTTTTACACTTTCTCTCTAATCCCTTTCCAGCGCGTAGATGACTCTTTTGTCTCAACTAGTCATCATCTGTAATGATAGTGTCAGAATAGTAATAATATCGACTACGACGACTCCAGGCCGCCCTTTCGTTTGGTTTGCATTGCTCAGGCAAAAAGTCTTACAGTAACTAGTACTAAGTTATGCAAGGAACAGCCACACTTTATGCGCCCAATCACGGCAGCCCCGACTCCAACCAAGGCAGCCAATCACATTCAATATTCTCTGCCCCGAGCCACACTTTCCGAGGCTGAGGAATCTCCGTTTAAGTTACCGGATGGATTGTATGTGTATCTCCATCGTACTCTGTAATTAACTACCTATCCGTGGCCGATGCCCTATCGATAATGTATGTAGTCTACCCCGTACTTGCCATAGACTACTTACTTACTCCAGAACGGGCTGAGTAGTGAGTCGAATCTGTCCCGCACACCGTTCACAGATTAGCTTTGCTCTGCAGCATTCTTCCCCAGCTTGGTCCACAATCCGCAGCACCGGCCACGTCGACGACCGATGCCCCGACTAGGAAGGATATCGATTCGTGATGCACTCGTGGTCGGAGGAGCCGATGGCAAAACGTGAGTAACTAACTAACTAACTAACTAACTAACTAACCGTTTGATGCTGCTTGCATCGGCATCATGATGTCTCAAAGTGAGGCAGACACGTGAGTCAACAGGCCGGAGCCTGCCGATCGAGCTCATTGTTACTGCTGGAATCGGATACCAAGAAAAATACCTAGGTAGTCTATTCTAGTTATTCTGATCAGCTGACTCATAGGGTGATTGGCGGGACAGATTGCCTGTGGCATTTTTTTTTTTTTTTTTCTGCACGCGAACAACAGGGATCATGGAAAGGTCCAACGGCTTCTTCCGTGCCTCATCCGACCTCGAGCCGATCTCCCGAGTCTATATGCCGACTATGAGCCGCGCATACCAGTACTTACTCTAGATACTCTAAAAAAAATTCAATAACGACAAATACGAGCTAAACGCGACCTGCAATTCTGCTGACTATGGTAGACGACTAACTATTCCGAGGAGATATCACACAAGAGTAAAGAAATAAAATACGAGTTTTTCGGGCCGTGCCCCCCCCCCGGGGTTTCGGACGGGACACACACTGCACAGACAGTATGGTATATGCTATGTACTATTATTATTATTATCATTGACGGGGTGGAATTCCTGGAGATACCGCGCCATATCGGCCCCAGGTCCGCTTGGTTGGGTTTGTTGCGATAATACCGCTCCCATCCATGGGTCGGGAGGATCTGACCCCAATGAAAAGTCAACAATAATGCCATCCCTCTACTGTCTGCGCATGGGGACAGCTTCGATGTTAGTACGTACGGAGTAGTCTGAGGCTCATTCGACAGGGAATCAATGTGCGTAGTTGAGTCTCCTAACTAGTAGTATCTAGCCTTGTCGGTCGCAGCGGCCCAACACGCCAAAAACTGATGTGAGATTGGATCAGATACTTTACTACTCCTCGTCGAAAACTCTACTCCGTTTAATTCTGAATTTTGTCAAGATTCAAGACAAACCCCCCCATGTCTCAGTCAGTAGTCGGCGACCATACCGTCCATCTCACATTCACCCGCGCATCATTTTGATCACCAGTCTAGACGCTATGATTGTTGCGCAGTGCAAGACTTCGATCGCGCTATTGTAAAGATAGTTCACAAAACAGATTCTATTTCGAGAGAAGCGATAACTAGTTAATCTGATCGACCCCAACCCCAACACGGCCCGTCCTCGGGATTCACATAAGGCTGGGGGTCCAGACTCCCTGACAGATTTCACACCTCGGCCGATCGAGGGGCCCGTGCTAGTCGAGGTTCGCTCGGGCCGGGTCTAGAGCCTTGGGGATCGTGGCTAGATCGCTCCGGAGCCCTGGCGATCTGCTGAGAACCGGCAATCGATAACGGGAGTCAGAAATAAAAAAAATAGGACAGGGAGTGGTCTTTTCGTTTTTTTTTTTCTGACTCTGAGTACGGAGTACATAGCAGCACTGGCCTGGCCCGCAGTATGGGCCACTTTTTGTTGAGCAAAAGAGGAAGAGTCTGGGGTATTCGGTCTGGGCTTTGACACCTTTTTGCCTCCCCCATATTTTCACACTTAGTAGTACATAGTACTGTAGTACTACTGAATACAGACCAACTATCTATCTATCTACCTACCATAGAATGTTTCTGCCTCGGAGAGTCGGTCAATCTGCTTCAGTCTGCTTCACATGTCTGCCTGTTGACAACAAGCGCTGAACATCATCCCCAACACTGCTGAATGGTGGGTATAGCTGACGACATAGTCGACTCAACAGCGCGAAGTTCGTCGAGTGAAAATTTTTTTTTCTCTTTCATTCAGCTATGCTAGTTGACTATCTGAGAGGGATTTCTAGAACAATAGGGGGATGGGATGGGATGGGGCGTAACGTGTCAGCACCTTAATTGGCCGGTCGGGTAGTTTAGGTACTTGGCGAGATCGCATTGCAGCTGTCAGATCTACCTTCCTCCTCCACACTCCGTATCACTGTTGGGTCGTGAAAAGAAAATTTTTCTTTTGCTCATGCAGGGGTCTGCAACGAGGTGTCGAACACCTGTACGAATAGAAACCAATGCATGACCCATGCTTGGGGAACGGGCAGATCGGATAACACCCCAGAGTCCCGAGTCGGAGAGTCACAGACTGTAGACATAACACAGCCACAGCCACAACCGGACCCGACTGGACGTGCAGGATCCACTTTACCATGATGGTAATTTATCTCTCGTATTTGGTATGGTCACAACCCGTCGGCGCAGCCGGTAACAGTTGTAACACCCCCGAATAATTCATTCCCAACTCTATTTTATCGCTGATACGTGGCTTGCATATCATTCTAACCAGACTAGGAAACGGCATCAAGGGAAAAATTCTTCCATCCGCGATCTTCCATTGTTCTGGAAGGATTCTATTTCCAGTCTTTCCATGTGCTGTCAGCATACCGCCCACGGAGGAGATAACCAATCACGGCTCAAAGATAAGCGAAACGGACTTCGCTCGGCGGGGGTGTGTGTGTCGATCGAAGTATTCTGGAAGGGCCTGCCTTCCGACGGTTTGATGCTGCTGCTGCTGCGCCTTCTATCTACCCCCGGTCGCGACTCTAGACTAGTTAGTAGTCTACGTCGGACGACCATCTTCCTGTATCTACCTAAATTCTAGAGTAGGTATTATTGTATTGATTAACTATACTATGCGACAACGCTAATAGAATGGAAGGAAGGGGATGAGAAAAATTTTTTCACACCACCATTATCCATGCATCATGCACTCTTGTTCGTTATTTCGTGGTCATTAGTTAGTTTTATCATCACCGCTAGTTGATGCATGAGGGGAGTAGAATTTTCATGAAATATCCTATCCCTGTCGCTACTTAGCTGAAAGACTCGATATATCGGTCAAGCTAACTAACTAACTAGTAGTATGTAATGTAGTACTATATAGTTACATACAGTACATAACTACCTACCTGGTGTAGTAGTAACTACCTACTGTACATACTACTACGATGTATAGCAACACCAGTAATGAACAACAAAAAAATAAAAAAACCAACTATGAAGAACTTATTCAGAATACCTACCTCATGACATTCTCAAACTCACGCCCCGATCCGCGGAGAATATTATTCATTATTAGAGAAATCGAAGAATCGTCTAACTACCCCATAAGTCTTGCCCCGTGACGGAACCTATAGTTTGGTAACTTTGGTTCGGTTACCCCGATCCTCTTCTCTCCATATGGTAGTATAGCCTACTCCAGATTCCATACCTGTGGAGTCTGGATCGATTAACTTACTCAGACTCTACCCGTCCTGGGGACGCTAGAAGCAGAATTACTCTGGTCTACGGGATACGGGATATGATCCGATATCATGGATACATACTTTAATCGTGGATACTTTTAATCCATCGGAACGAAAGGTGCATAGTTAAGTGATTAATTCCAAATTCAAATTCACGAAATTCACCCAAACGAAGAAAAAACGTATATTTCCTCCCTAACGAAATTAAAGGTGTTTGATTTGGTTCGATCTGGACTTGTCCGTCGTTTCCGTGGACTGTATTCTACCCAGATTGAGTATAGGATAGGATCGGGGATAAACGTCGATATATTCTAGCGATAATCGGACTTTGAAATCGGAATCGGAATCGGCTGCAGAAGTAGACGCAGTAAGAATTTAGTTAGGATCTGATCTGGGGGGGGTTTTTTTTTTTTTTTTTTTTAGAGAATCGCCTCCGTTTTGATCTACGGTGAAGGGGAAAAAACAGATGGTCCAATAATTGTCTTGCAACGCCTTGCCTCCTCAAAGCGGCCCGTGTGTTCTCTACTTTCTCTTCGATCCGGATGCAAGATATAGCTGTGTACTTAGTATAGTGCTATCTGATATGTAAATTTCATCCAGAGCTGAAAGCTGAAAGCTGGAAACTGTCTCAGCGTAGATTAATCTCAGCCTCTAGGCAGGAATTAGCATTAAGCTCAACCAGCCTAATCTAATCTAAACCGAAGAAAAAAGAAAGCGATCCACTAACTATCATACAGTACAAGCTCATCTCGTCACTGCTTTTCAGTCGTTAATAATTACCTTCTATCTGAAAACAAAAAAAAATACTAGACAAAAGGCTCATTCTTCATTTTAGCCTATTCTTATCTCAAATCACAGCCGCAACCGAATCGTAACCTAAGCTAACTAACTAACTACTAAGGGTTATCAGTTGCGCGATAGGAAGACAGAGCAAAAGGTAGGTATGTTATGTGGTTATTGACATCAAGTACTCTTCTTGGCGTTGTCACTTTCCGCTTCTCAACCAATCAGCGTCCGAGGATGGGATTGTAGATCCAGCGGAGCGAGCGTCATAGCTTGAAGTTTGAAACGAATGATGAAACCAGCACTGTCTAATAACTTACCAGACTCTACCAGTCGATGCTAGTAACTTTATCTAGAGAGAGAGAGAGAGAGTCATGAAGCGGAGATTCAAATGGAAAAGAGTGAGACGTAAATCAATTACTACCTAGTAAGTAATTAATTACTCGAGGATGTTGAGTTGTGTTGAGAGTTGAAAGATTCAAGTTCGGATCCGTCGACTGACGTATGTTGAGTTCGATGAGCTTGAGTTCACCTAAAGCCAGAGAAGAACTGGTTCGAAACAGGACTATCTAGTGCGATGGCCCTGTTTTCTCTTTCATGCTGGCTGGATTTGAAAGGTTTTTCCCGCCTTGAACTTCAGAGCTTTCCCTTGCTGCTGGACCCGGTTTTATTGGCTTGTATAACTAGTAGATCATAATGAGGTTTTGGAAGTTGGGGACGATATGATACTGGATGGATATGATACCATCACGTAGTGTAAGTATCATCATACACTGCGGCACGCTGGAGATGAAACATTACATACTATTAACCTATACTAGCCAGCAGGGATGGAGCTCGAAGGGTGTGGAATGCGTACGAGTAATGCAATACGAACAGCGCACATCATGGTGATAGCGGATGAGAATCAGCCAAGAATGATCTTTGCTGGACATTGCCAAGGTGATTACACTATTCGCGACAAACCTAGCAAGTTTCGTTTCGAGATCGTCTGGTGCCATTGGTAGGCGAATAACCCCATCGCCTGGTTCAAGTCGAAGTCTATGATAGTTACTGGAGTAGTTAGCTGGCCAGCTGACTACCTAGCTAGTTAGTAGGGATACGACCACTATCTAACTAGATACTGTAGAGCCCCAACAACGATCATGCAATGTATCGTAATTAATCGAATCGCATTACTGGACTACTTGGTACTGACTGGTCTCAGATGTATCGAGCCTCACCTTACAACGATACGCACGAGAAGCTGCGTAGCTGCTAACATTAGTTACTAGGTAGTAGTTCTATAGAAAGCATAGAACATTTGACCAACTCACTAGCCACAATTCACTAAGATGCGTCGGTATATTGACGGACTGGAGTTTGAACTGAACTTCAGCCTTGAGCGCAAACGCAAGGCTGTCTAGTCTATTCAAACTCTGCACGGCGCATGCAGGTCCCGCCACCATGCAAGCTGAAAGACGCCCAGCTTGGACTGTCTCTGTCTCTCAACGTGGACTATCCGATCTAGGGGTGGTGAATTTCAGAAATTTACTTTTAATTTCATGAAACGTTGAATTTCGCCCTTTTTTTCTCTTCCGAAATTCAATACGCACAGACCAAGTAGTAGATTGCGCTATACCTAAAGAGGATAAATAAGCGGTAGCCTAGATTTGACCAATACATTGTGCTAATTTTGGATGTCTTGAGATATTAAGTGGGTCGGAACTACCGCACTAATTTATTAGCGTATTTCAAAATTTCAAAAAATCCCTTTTCTTTCATTTCAAGACTTTTAATTTCATGAAATTCATGAAATTTTGAATTTCAAATACCACCCCTAAGATTCCGATCAGACGGTGTCCAGCGGCCTCGGCCGATCGCAGCATTGCGCGTCCTAGTCTACTGCAGACTACGATACTAGACCGGGGTAATTATGTATGTATGGATGTATGTACATTGCAGCTGAAGAACGGGTGGTCCCTGGTCTTAGTCCAGCTTCCTTGTTGTAGTCTAAGAAAAGAAAAGAAAAGCTAGCTAACCAGTCTGATGCATGCGAGTACACACATACATAGTTCAGTTTTGCCTTCCATTCGGTGAAGACGGAGTTGAGAGAGATTACGGTACTAAGTACCGACCGGTCGGCAAAACGACCCATTGGCGAATCGCGCTGGGTGCTTTTTTGTCGAAAACATACTTACTATTTCTGTCATTATTCCTCTCGATGAAAAAGGATACGAAGAGTGAAGAAAAAACATAGACGGTGTAATCTATGGAAATATCGGAATCAGTGTAAGACTGTTAACTATCTAGAGTGTTCGAGGAGAGCTCACTAAGTATTCCCTGTCTGCTGCCTAGTTACTGTATTGGGAGGATGTCTCCTCGTGACTTCAGAGGACAGTAAAGATCACGCCATGACTGAGTTGATGTATCACTTTAGAAAAAAAAAGAAGAAGAGAAAAAAAAACTTGAAGTTGAATTTGAAGTCAAAGAAGCAACGGGACGAATCCGTCCCGACGTGGGCAGTTCTCGCGCGTTGGGAACTGCCGAGAAATTATTCAGGATGAGAACAACCCAACAACATCAGCGATTTCCCTTTATGGATGATCATGGGAGAGGATAGTAAATGGCGATGAGGATGGGAAGTCGTGATCGAATCTTGATTTTTGATTTTTGTTTTTTTTTTTTCACACCGGCTTATTTTTGGCTATTTCAGATAGGTTACGTGCGTGCAATGTTATCACGCGACCGTGAGGTGAGACCACCTGGGTGGAGTGGTACGAAGGATACAAGATCTATCTATCCAGAGACAATTTTACTTACTTACTTACTTACTATACACATCTGATCCTCTTGGTCCTCGAGGGTGATTTACAGCGACCAGTTCGAGAGAACGGAGAACAATCACTGTGGCCGAACAGAAAGCCGAATTTCCCGATCCGGAAGATATGCAGCCTCCTTGAGAGAAAAACTAGTCCACAACTTTTGGTGAAAAGATGCGAAGTTTCTCGTCTATCAGAAAAATACGGCGATTCCCCCAAACTTACAACTCCCGTTTGCATCACGCAATTGACTGGAGGTGACCGAAGTAATTTCCCTTCTCCGGTCGGAGTACACGAAATGTATCCGTTACATACGTGGGCATACAGACTCGAGTATTGAAGCTTGTACCCCATACTTACGGAATACAGAGCCAGACAGAGCCTATGATATCTCCTGAAAACGGATGCATGCAGTGCAAGCTCTGGCTATTCGAGACGAAGGATCGCTACGTTCCCAGTTGATTTACCGCTGGTTTTGCTCCGTGGCTGGACGGCGGTTAAGAAAGAGACAGCTTTTATGGTATGAGTTTCAAGAATAATAGTGTAACTCTGTAACTCTATAAGACGGTGAACTAGGAGATCCGAGAGTAGTATCTGCTTGGTATATACAAAATTCAAATAATGTAGAGATAGTAAAAGCGAATCTAACTTTTCTGTCTTTTTCTACCGTTACACGTCGATGTCTAGACTATCCGCTCCGAGTAAATATCCAAGACAAAGAAATGAGATCAGTTCTCCGTTGACTTTGTGCCCATCACGGCAGCCTGCAGAAGAGATGGTTAGCTTCGTATTTCGTCTAGGCGGGATTGCAACATACCCTTGCGTCCTCGTACAACGGTGAGATACCCGTCCAGTATTCGAACTGCTTCACGTCAGTAACCTGTATCGCACGTGTACATCTCGACCGTCATATCAACTCACCTGATAGACACCCTGTCCGACAAGCGCCTCCAACCCCGGCACTGCAGTCCAACCTGCATCAGATGCCAGCTGCATCAGTGCCGTCACGGCAGGCTTGTAGGCCATTTCCAGCAACACGCGAGGCACCTTGTCGGTCCTGTTACCCCCAACGTTTCCATCAATCTCTTGAGCCCGTTCGAACATGCGGCAGAGAACTTCCCGCATGCCAGGATCGATGGGCTTATCACCAGGTACCGTGCCAATGGCAACGTGCGGGATGCTCTCTATGTCGGCAATGTCTTCCACGATGCGGATATTGTATCCGCTAGGGTACGGAGCTACCATACCCTGTAGCTTCTCGCGGTTCCGACCCAGGACGTAGATGGGAGAGTAGCCCATGCTGTACACAGCGTAGATCGCGGCGCGAGCAGTTCCTCCACCTCCGATGACCAAGGCACTCGACTTGCCGGCGGAACCATATGCGCCCGCGTTGCGAATACAGCGCACCATCCCCTGCCAATCAGTGTTGTGGCCGACCAAGCGCGAGGGCTGGTTCTCCCCGTCGCTGACGGGGACGATGGTGTTCACAGCGCCGATCAACCGGGCTTCCTGCGCAATTTCGTCCAAAAGAGGCATGATATCCAGCTTCAGCGGAATAGTAACTGAGGCACCACCAAAATCTGGAGACCGGATAAATTCTTTGGCATCCTGCGCATTGTCCGTCTCAAGCAGCTCATAACGGTGTGGGAGACCCATCTCAGCAAAGAGGGTGTTGTGCAGAGCCGGAGAACGTGATGCGGAGATCGGCTTTCCAAGGAGAGCAAATTTCTTAGGCTTGACACTACCGATCAGGGAAAGACCCCTGCGGATCTCAGTCGCAGATAGCTGACCCGGTGCAGCCTTGAAAGGAAGACTGGGGTGCGACACTGGCGTCATGAAGCCGTTCAGGATACGGCTAAGGCGGCCGTCATCGCCCATGTTGATCGCGATAACGGGGACATCATGAGACTCCTCAGCCCACTCCTTGAACCTGATCAGAGCGGAATTGTCATGGAACGTCTTCGCAACGCCGACCAGCTTGATGATGTCTCCGTACTGAAGAGCTTTGTTGTAGAACTGAATCCAGGATCCGTTTTCCCATGACAGCTTTCCAACTGGGTCATGGTGCGATGCGATAATCTTCGAGTAGCCCTTCATCTCCGTGACTGTCTGCAGCAGGTCGTCAGGGAATGTAATCTCTAGGTCAACGAACTCGGCCCCTGATCTCATGGCCAGCCGGTATAGTTCGATCGCAGCATCATAAGCATCATCTGGGAAGCGACCGCCTTGTGCCTTGGTTCGGATCGTGAACACCAACGGCAGAGCGACGCGGCTTCGGAGGAAAGACATCTGCTCTGCGACATAGTCAACAGAAGGGATATCACTGTCCGAGTTTGGATCCTTGAGCAGATCCACCCGTAGCTCTATAGCATCTGACCCGACTACAACTTTCTCGAGGATATCGGCATGAGGACGTAGATCGGGCAACGTCAGCGAGACAAAGAACGAGTGTTCCTTCTTCTTGAGGATGTTAAGAGTATCGATCTGTCCTGTAACAACTCGTAAAAACCGGTTGAAGTCCTCCGATGCGAGGGTCAGGCTTCTCCCAGTCACAGGCTGGCTGTAGTACTGGATGTTACTGCATTCCTGGAACCACGGCTTGCGGCGGAGCCACACGCCCATCATGTCCTCAACGTAAGCTGGGCGCGTCTTGTCGACCTGCAGGAAGTTCATGACTTGCGTGATGTCGCGCATGATAAGCAGAACGTTCCCCTTGTTCTTGTGGTAGTCGACGAGCAGTTTCCTAGCCTCGGGGATCTCGACGACACCGCCGCCGCATGCAAAGACATATCCAGTAGGCTTCTCCGTCATCACACGCTTGAGAAGAGCATATTCAGCGTCGCGGAATCCTTCCCAGCCTCTCTCCTTAATAATCTCAGGGATAGTCATGCCCTCAATACGCTCCAGTTCAGTGTCGAGATCCACGAACTCTCGCTTCATTGAACGCGCGACCCAGTGTCCACTTGTTGTCTTTCCAGCACCGCGCATGCCGATAATGAAGATAGATGCGGAGGCTTTCTCGACACGTGCAACTGCAGAGTGCTCATCCTTAAGCTCCTTGCCTTCAAGCTTCACCTTGAAAAGCTGCTTCATGGTGTCCCACCAGCCAGGCCACGTCTTACCGACGCACTCCTTCTCAAGGATAAGAGTCGGCTGAGGGGCTGCAAGTGCAAGAACGCTGAAACTGAAAGCAACGCGGTGGTCATCGTAGCAGTAAATGCCTTCCGTGGGCTGTCGCAACGTAGACCGATCAATTCCATCAATCTCGATTCCATCATCGAACTCGCGGCAGGTGACACCAAATTTGGCGAGCTCATCGTTCATGGCCTTGATTCTGTTGCATTCCTTGACTCGCTGGTTTGCAATACCATAGATACGGGTGGTGTGGTTCGATCCCTGGCCTCTTGCGACCGCTGCAAGGACCGACGCAGTGAGGAAAGCATCCGTCATCGGCTCCATATCCACGTTTGGCAGCGGCCTGAGAATACCATCGGCAGGACCAGTCACAGTAGTCGACGTATCCGTCTGCTCGACCGTGCAACCCATTGGTCTGAGGACGTCAACTGCGAAGCGAGCGTCTCCCTGAAGAGACTTCGATCCAATGTTGGGAACCGTACATTTCGTACCAGTGATGGCCGCGATAGCCAGAGGGTACGTCGCAGAGCTAGCGTCGCTCTCGATCACATACTCGGACGGATTGACGTATCTGCCCTGGGGGATATGATAGGTATGCTCCTCCGTGGTAGATTTCTGTACATCGATACCGAAAGACCTCATCATGGCGGTTGTCATATCAATGTAGGGCTGCGAGATGGGCTTTCCGCCCACGAGGCGCAGTGTGACGGGCTCCTTAGCATATGGTGCGCACATCAGCAGCGAGGAGACATATTGAGAGGACACCTTCGCGGCCAGCTCGATCTCTCCTCCGGCGAAGCCACCAGAGGCGGCAATCTTCAGGGGCAAGCTTCCTTGCTTCTCGAGATACTCCACCGAGGCACCGTTAGCCGTCAAAGCCTTGACCAGATCTCCAATAGGTCGCTGCTTCATCCGGTTGTTTCCAGTCAGAACGTTAAAGTCGACTTCAGTCGTCGGGGTCGCAAGAGTAGCCACCGTCGTGAGGAACCGCGATGCTGTACCAGCATTGCCGAGATAGAGTTGCGTAGGGGTAGCCTCCAGCTTACCACCCTTGCCATTAACAACCAGGACTTCTCCCTCCTCTTCCCAGGAGAAGGTAGCGGCACCTAGTCGTTCAAGTGCGTTAAGCATGACCTCAGTGTCGTCGGAATGGAGCAGATTCTTGATGCGACACGTGCCAGAGCCCAGGGCCGCAAGAACAAGAGCTCTGTTTGAAATGCTCTTCGAACCCGGGGGTGTGCAGATAACGTCGAGTGACTGTGGCACACCCGGAGACACCTCGATGCTCGGGGCCATGACAGCTTTGATATCTTCGTTTGAGACCACGCTAGCCTTTGGTTCATAGGTGCGACCGATTGCGGAGAGAAGAACAACCTTCTTCTTTGGGCCATCGTTCTTCTTGTCCAACGCCATGTTGAACATTATCTGGTCGAGCGAGCAGTGTTTGCCGGCCGTCAGTTTCCTGATCCGCTCGTCCTTGAGCGTAGTAGGCAGCCCATAGGCTGAAAGACATTTGACGACACGGGATACCGCAACCCCCTTGAGGATGCCCAGGTGTCGCGCAAGCTCTGCTTCCTTGACTGAGCCAATGGCCACACATTCTCCGTGCAGAACTTGTGGAGTAACGATAGCCTCAATGGCGTGTCCGATTGAATGGCCCCAGTTGAGCAGGTTCCGCAGACCACCTTCACGCTCATCCTCGGAGACCACGTACGCCTTGAAACGTGCAGAAGCCAAGATTCTTGCCTTCAAGATGTCTTGGATACCTTCAAAGCGCTCTGGGCCTCGCTTCTTACTGCGGACCGCTGCCAAGATAGCATCTGCATTCTCCTCCAGAGCGGTAAACTCCTCTTCGCTCGAGATCGCGGCAGTCTGCACAAGCGTAAGTATTCCGAAAACGCCACAGGTCCTATAGCCATACTTACTTTGATCACTTCCGCCATCCCGTTGATGAACTCACGCTCCGAGAGCGTACTCAAAAACTCGAGATCGATATAGATCCGCGTAGGCTGCCAGATCGCACCAATGAGATTCTTTCCCAACGGGGTGTCGATCGCGGTCTTGCCTCCGATCGAAGAGTCCACCATAGCCAGAAGAGTCGTGGGAACCTGGACGAAGCGGACTCCACGCATGTAGGTCGCTGCCACATAACCAGTAAGGTCACCGATCACACCTCCTCCCAACGCAATGATCACTGTGTCCCTGCCGCATGGTGGGCTCTGACTCAGCATCCAGTCCTCGATATCTGCTTTCGTATGGCGCGACTTCGAACTTTCACCGGGGGGTATCTCATTGATCAAAAGCCGGGGTGCAGGTGCGGCACCCGCAGTTGCCTTCTCGAAGGCATCCTTGAAGCTCTGGGTGTAGATCGAGCCGATATTCGTGTCGGTAATAAGGACGTAGGTGGTAGCCGGGCAAGCGGTCAGCAGGTCTTGAGCGACATGGTTTCTCCAGATTCCAAAGTCTGCCACGATGCTCTCGCGACCGAGAATATTGATCTTAGTAGGTCCTGCCATGGTGAGGGCCGGCGGCTAGGACGAGGATATGAGTGCGGGGTTGACAGTCAAAGACAAGTTGTAGCTTTTCGTAAAAAGGGTTGTTCCTGTCAATTCATCCTGTGACTTTCTGGATATAAAGAAGAACTAGGGCCTAATATCCAGGACCTAGAAAGCTATCCTCGATCACAGGCGCTTCTGTGCGGTCCGGAAAGAGAATATAGCTAGAAGATGCTCAGCAATGCGCTCAAAAGATGTCAGCAGCGGATATGAAGTCAGGCCAGACTTTCTCAGCTTACCTGGAGGTCGCCGAAACTTCCAGCTCAGAGTGAGAAGTGCAATTGAGAAAAAGAGCCCCGGGTGAAGGCCTGAATGGTGATGCGCACTCTCGATGACTCGAAATCGCGGGCGAAATTTCGCCTGGTCCGATCTCGCGACCAAAGTTCCATTTTGCCCTTCCTCACCGCCCCGTGTTCGGCGGGGGAAATGATCTTACTCTCGAGAGAACTCCGATTACAAACCGCTTGAAATGAGTTGCTCTACATTCAACGGCTAATCGCCATTCTCTCAATAGCTCGTCTTTAATTTTATATTCGGCTTATATTTGGATTACACTATTTCAATTCAACTATGCTCCTCATATGTAAACATGTTCAACATACAGCGAATAAGGGTATTTAGACATTAAGCGTAAAGGAGGATATCCCGCAGGTACCTAACTACGTCGCACATCCAGTGATTTATTACACCTAAGTGCTTCGTTCAGCTCCATGCTATGGTCATAGACTCCACATCAAAGATCTCAAGCCCTGATAGCATGCCACGACCGGATTTCTCCGCACGTAGGTCTTGGTATCCTCGAAAGTTGCGGTCCCTATCAGCCTTGGATTCCTTGGGCGAGTTTAACTCTGGATTGTTGACAGTCGCGTCATATATAGGCACTTCTATCCTTTATCTGATAGACGTTGTGAAGCGCTTAAGAGCTGTGCTCCACAGGCACACAGCACATCAACGCGGTGTGGCCCGTAGCAGACAATTGCCTATGCTGTGTCTCGTCGAGTGCAGATCACGAGAGCAATTGTCCGCTATGCGTCAATAGTAACATATTGGCATGGAGGTCAATATAGATCGCGGAAAGGCTCGAGGAAATGGTGATGGAATGATTAGATGGTTCTGCGGTTAGTTTGCATGTGACCGGATTCAGCACGGTATAAGCTCTTCATCGCAGCTGCTAACTATGTATTCTTTCAACTAAGACGTGCAGGTGAGGTGTCCAGTTCTGCGACCTGTTTATGAGTGACTGGGATAAGAGCAAGTTCATGAGCATTCCTCTCCGACGATAACTCGGACAAGCATTGGTTAGAGGCCAATTCTGCCCTCTGGTTTGGGTTGCGAGAAATAGCACTGCATCCATTGTCGTCCTTGGGGTCGGTTGTGCCATAGCCGCCTTGCTGGCCGTGGGTTGCTCGTCTACGACGGAGAGCGAGGAACAATGCTAGGCCAGCGATTAACGCTGCACCTGCAATAGAGCCCACGACTGCTCCGGCAATGGCACCTCCACTTATGCCACTTTTTCTCTCATCCGAGCCACTACCATCCGTAACACTGGGGCCTGAGTATTGGAACAGTTTGGCAAGGGCAGATGAGCTGAATCCGCTCGCAGGTGCAGTCACATTCGCGCTACCGTTTCCACTACCGTGGAGAGGAAGTGTCAGCATCATGCGGTCTCATCAAGAATCGATTGGCCGTTTCTTACCTGCCACCGATTACCTGATAGAGAAGAGAGGGTACTTGATACTTCGGTGCAAAAGCATTATAGACGCTGCCCCACGTTAAGGCCGTAAGGTCATATATTGCAACGCCCTTCGTTTCCCAGTCGCAGCCACGTAAAAGGTCGCTATCATTGGCACCACCGATGGTGATCATTTGCCTTGCTCCCACCATGTTGCAGGTATGTCCGTAGCGAGGGGAATTCCCTTGGAAGATTTTCGTCCAGGTGAAGGAAGGAAGAGACAAGATATAGATTTGATCGAACGTCTGGTCGCCATTCCGCCCACCGTAAAGATAGATATTGTGGCTGGACTTATCTGGAGCTTCCATCGCAACCAAGCAGAATTCGATTCGTGGATCCGGTATATCCCCTGACGTTTCCTGCGGATACCAGGTACCGTTTTGACGCGTGTCATCGATAGATGCGACATCGATTAGATCGACGGTCCCCATCGACAGCTATGCCACAGATATCAGTCAGCCCCTAGTTGATAGTTTACGGCGCGATCAGCACATACGTAGGTCGCTGTAGATGAATTGCTGCTCTCAGCAACACTCCGCGTCATGCCTCCAATTGCTACTATGATCCCCTTTGGACCAGCGCCAGGTACGTAGGCTAGACCGCCCCCTATTCTTGGAGTGCGATCGAGAGACGCAGTGGAAACGTTCATGGCCGTCTGCGTGTCTGTGTCGGTGACGATGAAACCATTAAGGTAGCGTTCGAAGCCTGGTCTCAATGCCAAGTTGTTGTCGCTACCTGTGTCAATTTCACCATCAAGCCAAAAAGCCAAGCCGAGTTCTGGAGCTTCAGCATACGCTCCTGATGCTGGTCTCTCTGGAGCATTCAATGTCACATCGTACTGATCCCACGTCTTGGCCACAGTGTCATAGGACCACAGCGAATACTGGTTAGATGTCGGATATTGCCATCCGGGAAAGGTTGTATTTGCGAAATCGACTGTTCCTCCATATAGATAGATGTTGTTGTCATTGTCACTTCCGCGATACAGCGCAGCATGGCCAACTACCGGTGGAAAAGTACCGGTCTGAGGATTCGCCGTTTTGTCGACCTTAACTATCGATATGTTTGACTTCCAGTCCCATGAAGTCGACATATCAATCTCCAGAAGGTAAGTATCTATCATTCCTTAAACATTGTCCCGTTGGTCGCTCAAGGCAAAGAGATCACGAACTGTATCCTATTGTCTGGACACCCTCCGGTGCCCCTTGGTCGTTGCTCGCGACAAAGACCTCTGTTCCACCGTCGATATATATCGTGCCATTTTTTAAAGTCGCTGTCTCCGTTAGCGGATACCAAAATGTTATCAATAAGCAGAACACATACATTGGTGGTACAACCGTTTACAAAAGTTTGTAACGGGGTCTATTCCTGGGATATCCTCAGCTGAAGCTGCTGAAATAAAAGCGAGGACTGCTGCTAACAGAAACCACATTTCCGCTTCACCCAGGCGACTACGGCCGTAGCAACGGAAAGGGAACAATGACATAAAGTCGAGAGACGTAGAAGATTTGCGACAAGAAAGTTGATAACAGCTGGGCCTCGACCAGACCAAGATCGATTATTATTATTCTTCCCCACTCCGTTGCTAGCGAAGTCCTGCCCAGCAAGTATCCTCATCTCGTGTCAGGCCATGATCCAGTTCAGCCATTGGCTCAGGCCTTGAAGTGGTGAGCCCGCCGTATGCCATAGACTGATGGTGCAGAAATCATGGAGGGCGTAATTGACCATAAGCACTTGTTGGGTAGCTACTCAAGTGTGCTGTCAACATTTGGAAAGGACCAACTGCTTATTTGCGCCAATCTTCCTGCGTTGGGCAAGATAGCCCCAGTAGGAAAAGGCCGGGGGCAAACCGGTCAGTGTACTAGCGCCCGCGCAGTGTTGGCTATTCAATAGAGCCCAGGGGGACTGCACTCACACTATGGTACAATATCATCGAAGAACAGTAAAACAGCTGAAGTTGGTGCTGACAGGAGGGGGTAGATTTGTTCCAGCTTGCTGACAAACGAACACATTCAGCTCTCGTTGCCCAGCACTATCAACGAATAGGATCATGCGGACCGGCCAACTCTTTAAGGAAATAGACCAGCGCAACATGGACGAAGATTCCAAGACCCTCCTGGATGGGTTCCAGAGCAACGCCTTCAAGCCTTCAAGTTAGCGTCGGTCTCTTACTACCATTTCTTGATAGCGTGTATGCAGGTAAGCATCATTCCAATCCATGTCGGCAACAGTGTTTTATCGAAGCGACGCTGGCTCGATTAGGCTGTATCTTGGGAGTGTTCAGAAACGGTTTGACTGTAGAAAACTTACAGTGTCTTTTCCAAAATCTAGTCTCAAGACATTCTAAGTAGCTGAAATAAGATTAGATTTCTTGCCGCCTCACATTTAGCAACAAAATGTCGATTTCTGATTAGTTGCCTAGGCGTAAGAACAGCTAGTAAAATCCACAATTTCCTCGGCCTCTGGAGGTGTCTGGGTAAAGGAGTATCATGTTTTAGTTAGACTAAAGACACAGGAAATAGAAATACATCAGGGGAAATTCTAGAGTATCTGTCGTGTTGTCCTCATCCTGACATCAGGCAGAAACTGCGGGGATTGAACTATTGCTGTGAATATTCGAATCAGTGATTCATGTCAAATATTGAATGGCACGGAAGCAAGGTCCTGACCTGAATAACTTGAATTGCTTGCTTCTAGGTCTGGGGGGGGATTTGATCCTATATGTATCTTTAGCATCCAAAGAATCTATGCTAGATCCTAGTGATCTAGTAGGTTCCATCCTATATTTAGGACCTGCTGCAAACGGATGATTGGCAGATCACCTGGCGTTTGCTTTGTGCGCCGACGAATTATCTGAATGTCTTTATCTCTGAAGAAATCAATAGATTTCTATACATTCCAGTCGGTCATATCAGTCCAGCTGCAGCCAAAATGTCTTCCTTTATGCATCCTAAGGCCAATGGGGCTCCATGTAGCAGCAGCTTCCTGGATTTGGAATGTGCGAGCAAAATATATCCTTATCAGGGAATAGAACGATTCGGGTGAATTTGGGATAAAGAATCGCGTATGATATATGAGATGGAACACAAGACAGCGAGTGGGTCTTATTTTCTGATCTGAACGAGGATATGTTTAACCGTGATTTTCTTAAATCGGCCGACAAGATTATTCTGAGGAGCTAGAACTCCTACGATATAATCAGACATCTTTTGCTTGGAAAAATACCTATCTTGCCTGAGCATAAAGCTGCTAAAGTCGCGGTCGAGGATGTGATATCCAGCAAGCTCTGATCGATAGGAATTTATAAGGCACTGCATATCAATGCAAGCGCAACCCGCTACAGAGACGACGGTGCAAAACAACCTGACTGTCAGTACTCCCCAATAAGACCACCTCAGGGTCGAGCAAAGCGCTGGCTGACTGTCGCCTTGGGGATAGCGGTGTCAGAAAGATCATCAAAATTGATGTCCGGTGTGAGATGGTGGCTCCGTCAGCTTAACGGGGCTACAGAAGCCGTGTTGATTCTAAGAGTCGACCATAATATCCTTAAAATCACTTTGGAAAAATGGGTCAGAGATGGAAATGGGCGTCCTCACAGAGAAACTTCAATAACTGTCCAGAGAGGTGCCAACAATGCTATAAATATCGACAACGGGCCCCTTATGATTGGTTTCGAGCAAATCATTTTACGCTCCCCGACCACGCCAAAAGAGACAGACATGGTATCTAGCGATGAAGAGTTACGGGAGATTGCGACTTGTGTTTGGATTGAACAAGACTTTTGGGACTGTGAATAAGGCGCGTTGATACAGATTGCCATGGATTAGTGCTTGATAGCGGACCACGGCTACGGGCCTGTAAACATAATTATTAATGTAATTTATTACCACGCGCATATCTGCTAGTATGGCATCGAATCTTGTTCGGTAGACAGTTCAACTGATATCTGATATGTTAGAAAGAAGAGAATCAACAATATCTTCAATGTCTTAGATGGCCAATGTGAGAGAACCGGATATGGCTACGTGTTATCTTGAATCTCTATGTCGCTTGGGGGAAAATGCGGGAGAATGATACAGTTCGATGGAGATTGCTTTTCTATTCAAGTCTTGTATTGCCTGCAATTCGTAGACGAAGAAGTTCGTTTTCGATTTTCAACCATTTAATAGCAGTAATTCCACTTCGCTCTCAACTATATTATTCCCTTCAAAGAGATATATAGCACATACGACCATAGGGTGTGGAAAACAGGGCTTCCCGTCCGCTCAGCCGTACTTAAGCCACACGCCGGCAGGTTAGTAGTTGGGTGGGTGACCACCAGCGAATCCCTGCTGTCGTATGTTTTTTTTTTTTTTTTTTTTTTTTGTTTTGTTGATACAACACCCTCTATCTCTGTATTCAATCAATTGTAGAAATGCAATAATCCAATATTAATACGCTCGATCACATGATCATTTAGACCTAGAATATCCTTTTCGCACCAACGGCGTTTCTGCGCGGTGTCGGCATCCCGTCGCGAGAATCGCTCGGGAAGAAGGACCGCGTCTCGCTCTTGTCCACGACTGCCGTATACACGACGTAATTTGGGCCTTATGAGGAAATAAAAATTGGTACTTGGGTACTTCTATGTGTGTATTTTCTAGTTTGGGGTTTATTTTTGTCGTATATGGCTCGTTGGTGGTATAATCGCGCGTATTGTGTATTGCGGTTATACTCCGAAGTCTGATTATATATTTCTGTGTACAACATGTAGTATATACCTGAACGTAACCTATATTATCTTCTAGATGAACAACAAAACACAACCCAAAGCATGGAAAAGTCAGATTATCGAGCAAAAAACGACCACAGATTAAGATCTACGCATCTATATTCACATTAAAGTCCATTTGAAGTATATAAAGATCGTTGGTAGTTCTAAAACCCGTCCTCAGACCGACGCCAAGAGTAAACTGTTTTACGAGATTCGTGATCATCTACGTTTTCAAGCACTTACAACGGAGAAAACCACATAGATGGATTGCCTGCTACCCACATAATACCACAGTACTATTCTTTGAAGTCATCATCAAGCCAATGTGGTAAGATCAAGAGGGTAAGCCAGCAATACGAGAACCATCAAGACACCTCGACACCTGAAAACAGATAGTGGGACCCGACACACAGGAAAACACGAGAAGACGCGAACTACACCAAGACGCGTACACACACAATGCTAATAGAGCACCAGAGATACAAGTACTACGAGAGGACAGACTTTGAAGTTATTTTAACTGATCATATTCATAGTTGGACCGCTTCTCGACATCGGAGAGCGTGACGTGCATAACTCCGGCCCAGGTACCAGCTTCATGAACAATGGCCGCTTATGATACAGCAACTTTCAACCGCACGACCACCGGTCGGTCTAATAGTGGATGTGATGGTATAAAGAAAATGCGGCATAAAAACAGAAACCCAGAGACCCATGATTGCAATAAAACTATTCAGAGAACACCCCAACGTCCCAGTCATACCGTAAACCAATCCGAGAAAGCAAACCGCCGCGTCGCGCGGAGACAGACGCGTCGACCGCGCACGATGGCATTCCGAAAAAGAAAAATCGTTTAACCACCGAAACCGTACAGAGTACCTGTCACGCGTTAGATGAGATGTGACATCGATGGAACTTGAAGTCAGGTGCAACTTACGTCCTTGCCTCTTCAGGGCGTAGACGACATCGAGGGAAGTGACGGTCTTGCGCTTGGCGTGCTCAGTGTAGGTGACAGCGTCACGGATGACACCCTCAAGGAAGGTCTTCAGAACACCACGAGTCTCCTCGTAGATCATGGCAGAGATACGCTTGACACCACCACGGCGAGCGAGACGACGGATAGCGGGCTTGGTGATACCCTGGATGTTGTCACGAAGGATCTTGCGGTGACGCTTGGCGCCACCCTTTCCAAGACCCTTACCACCCTTGCCGCCTATAGAAGAGACGCGTCAGTGACTGTCGATGACAGATGAAGGCGTTGATAGAAGCAACTTACGGCCAGTCATGTTGATAGATGTGGATTAAGATTTTTTAAAGTTGTAGAGACGTGGAGATGGATGAAGTTGAAACTCGTGGATAGAGACTTAGCTGGATGGAGAGAAGAGTGACTGGTAGCTGGGGCGAGAGATATTTCTATATCTAAGGGCAGAGCGCGGGGAGTTGCTGGAATCACGCACTAGCAGGGAGATCGACCAATCAGCGCGCGCAGACCTAGCGGCGGGTGTGATCTGCCGGTGCCTTGGCCGCGAACCTCTGATTCCGCTGGCAGAGACTTGATCCTGCCGGGAGAGCCAATAACGACGGAGATCAAAGACGTTGAATTCTCAGCTGTGGCCTTTGAGACTATGTTCATCATTCTGGAGCCCTTGATCGAGCCACATTACAGCGTGGTGGTTGGGATCAAGAAGGGGTGATTGGCATTCTAGATCTGTGATCCTGGGCTCCCATTGGCTGGCGGGTGACATCTCGCTTAGCGCTCCGGGAGCAAGGGTAACGTGCCTGCAGTTCTTTGAGTCTCCCAGCGAAACTGCCACGCCGAAATCACGGCTTATGGTGCACTGCTTTCCGATCGGTTTTCTGATCAAAAAGAATCCGCGCTAAGACCACCCAAACTTGCTGGCAGCACCCAGATCACCCGCCCGCCCTCGTCTCCTACAAATACCCTCCCCCACCCACCTCCTCCATCCTTCTTACAACTCACTCAGTCATCCACTCAACGCCCATCAAATCCATCGGTTTTATCCGACTTCCATCAATAAAACACATCAAATCCATCAAATAAACATCTAAACAATGGCTAGAACCAAGCAGACTGCCCGTAAGTACAACTTGCACTGACTTCACCTCATCGTCGCTGTCGTTGAATGGCATCACTGACAACCCACTATAGGTAAGTCCACTGGTGGCAAGGCTCCCCGTAAGCAGCTTGCTTCCAAGGCCGCTCGTAAGGCCGCCCCCTCCACCGGAGGTGTCAAGAAGCCTCACCGCTACAAGCCTGGTAAGTCTCATCAAACAACATCATCGACCATGATCCACGATGGTTGCTAATACAAATCAATAGGTACCGTCGCTCTCCGTGAGATCCGTCGCTACCAGAAGTCCACTGAGCTGCTCATCCGCAAGCTCCCCTTCCAGCGTCTGGTCCGTGAGATTGCTCAGGACTTCAAGTCCGACCTCCGCTTCCAGTCCTCCGCCATCGGTGCTCTTCAGGAGTCCGTCGAGGCCTACCTCGTCTCCCTCTTCGAGGACACCAACCTGTGCGCCATCCACGCCAAGCGTGTGACCATCCAGTCCAAGGACATCCAGCTTGCCCGCCGTCTCCGTGGCGAGCGCTCTTAAATTCCTTCTTGAGTCGAAATTAATTCGGGTTTGACTCTTATGGGTTGGCGATACGGTTTTCTTTGCTTTTCTATCACGACTACTGGCGAGAAATGATGGGTTCTGCTTTTTATCAATGGGTCATCAGTACTGGGTTGTCTTATTTTCTCTCGAGCACTACATAGCAGATAGCTAGGATCGAAGAAACGGCTGGGTGGATTTGGTCATGGGCGTATCCCAAACATCATGTACATTAGTGGAAAGCTCTTCCAAAGAAATGGTGTCCTATCGAGCGCACCTCATGACATAGACGCCGAAATGCGAGTTTCTACGTCTTGAATAATTCAACCCAGTTCCATCTTCTTAATATTGGTCTTCGCACCTTGTAGTATATTGTGGTTTCTCGTAGGGAGTGACGCGTCGTCGCGACCGTTGAGTCGCGACTCGTTCCTCAGCTCCACGGTCGCACGATGCGAGGTGGGTATTGTTGAAGGCCCCCTCCGGCTGCCCCTTTCGGCGCCCTGCTCCCTAGCAATCACATGACCTAGCAAGCCCATATAGGCTTCGCCTAGCTCCTAGATCCAATTAAGCAAGCTTTCTCCCGCTTCCTTTAGGTTATATCACCCTTATCTTTACCCCTTAAGCTATAAGCTGGTTATCTATCGAATTGATATTTTAATTATCCTATTAAATTCTTTGGGTTCTAATTACTTATTTTAAGCTTTTATAGCTTTAAAATATGCCTAATTTTAATATTTTATTAACCTGTGAAAATTTTTCTTTAATAAATTCTTAAAAAGCCCTAATTGCTAAAAGTGCTAACTTAAGGGTAAGCATATTTAGTTATTTATTATAGTTTAATATAATATAATAATATTATTATTTTAAACACTATATTATATTTAAAGGAGCTTTACTAATTATCTAATTAAATCTAAATTATAGTCTAATATCTATTATATATGCGCAGGCAGCTGTATCTAAAGGATTCTTAGCTATTTTAATATTATAATAAGTAGCTAATCTTTTATTAAGTAAACTAATTCTTTCTATAAAGCCTATAGATCCTATTCCTAATAAGTAATTATAAGAAGAGACTAGGATAATATTTATATAGCTAGAGAAGACTTATATAGAGATCTTTTATAATACTTTAATAGAATTAGTTTATAAAACTACTCTTCTATTATATGTTCCCTTATAAGAGATATTATACTAACCTATAGAATAGGAACTAAATAATATTTGTCCTATTATATTAGATATATATTAGGGTTTATTCCTATAATTAAATACTTAAGGCTGTTAATAATTAATGTTATAGTTAGTACTAGTAATAAACTCTATTATTTTATTAAATTAGCCCCTGCTATAGTAGTAAGAGGAATATTATAATATTAAAATTAATCTATTATGCAAGTAAATTAATAATATATTTAAATAGTTAAAGGTATCTTAGCTATAGTTAAATAGTAGTAATTTTTAGAATTAAAGCTAATAATTTAAGCTTGCTATTAGCAATCTTAATATTAAAAATCTTAATATCTTTAATTAAAGCACTTTACCTAAAGGAGATAGTTAATAATAGAAGATTACTTAATTTATTATAAGGAATTAGATTATAGTATTGCTAGACCCTAAAATTTTTAAGATTATTTAATTTTTAGATTAGCCTATAATTACTAATATTTAGCTAGAGCTAAATAAGTAATTTAATATTATTAGATCTATATATTAGGTAAAGCTTTATTAAGAATTTATAGAGCTTATTAATCTCCTTATATTAACCTTACTTACCTCTACCTATATAAAGGCAGAGTATATCCTTATAAAGCTTTAAGGTCTTAATATTATATTAGAGAATCTTTTCTATAATTAATTCCTAAATTTTATTATTATATAAAAGCTTAGTTAGGTAAATAATTATTTTAAGCAGTTCTATACTACTAGCACTATTAAATATTTAAATATTAAAAATCTAAATATTAAAGAGATATTAAAGGATCTTATCTAATATAAAAAGGCTATTACTAATATTAAATCTATATAAAGACTAATAGTTTAAAATGCCCTAATAATATTAAGGCCTATAATAAAGTCTATAGATTTAAGACTTAGAGCTCTATAAAAGCTATATAATATCTATAATAGAATAGGCTATATTATAGAAAAGTATTAGATAATATATTTTAAACTATATCTACTATAGAATTAGGATAATATAACCTCTAAATCTATAATATTATTAAGTCCTAATCTCTTAGTTTAATCTATAGTTTATTAAGTTAATAGTATTTCTACTATACCAGGAGTAATATCTATATATTATATAAAGGGGAATTAGATATTAAATACTAGCTTAGATATCTACCTTACTATCTAAAGGGAAGTATTCTTAATATTTAAACCTATAAGGATTTCTATAGCTTACTTTAAGGATATTTATAAAGAATAATTATTATTTTAAGAAACTAGTACTATTCTAATATAATTTAATAATATTCTATTATTTATCTTAGATATTTATTATACTCTTAGAGCTAATAATAATATCTTATTATTTACTCTATTAAGGAGTTAGAGATTTAAGATCTTTATAAGTAAAGATAATAAATATTTTATTATAAAGATCTTAGAAAGTAGCTGTTTTTATAATACTATTATTCTTAAAGGATAAAGATATTTAATATATTCTATAATATCTTCTTTTAATAAATAAGTCTATATTGCTTTATTTATTACTGCTATAAATACTCTTAAATAAGATATTATTACTTAATTAATTAATCCTAAGCTGCTTAAAGCCTTATCTTCTTATTATATTGCCAGATCTCTAATAAAATAATATTAAATTCTTAGTTATACTAATTAAGGCAACTTACTCTGCTTAATATATAACCCTCTTTTTAGCATTACTATTATAGGAGCTAAAGATCTTTTATTCTATACTATCTGCTAATAGGCTAAAATTATTAGGTAGGTCTTATAAAGACCTATACTTAAAGCTATAATACCTGCTAAATATCTCTATATTAATATTATTAGTAGCAGATATATATTAGATTATAAAATAGATAAAGACCTTCCTAGCTATATTAAGATAAGATATATACTATTAATTATAGATAATACTACTTACTATAGGTAGGTATATCCTATAGCAGATAGAGCCTATATTCTATCTTTTATTAATAATTTAATATATTAATTAAATATAGAGGGTTTTTAAATTGCTTATGTCTAGTTAAATAATAAGCTCTATACTAAAGCTCTAGACACTTTCTTTAAGATACTAGGTATTACTTATAAACCTATAGCTACTTATATACTTTAGCAAGATAGTATAAGTAAACACTTTATAAGAACTATTATAGAATAAGCCTAAGCTATAATAATTAACTTAAGTTTAAAATACTCCTTTTAGCTATATACTATTTAATATAATATATATATTATAAATTAAATCTCTACTTTAATTCTATTATTCTATAACTATACTCTAGGAGCTATATCTTATAGTAGTAATATTAAACCTATTAAATAATATATTTTAGCTTAAGCTTAGAGGAACGCCCTTATTATAGCTTTATACCTGTACTAATTTAAAGCTCTAGTATATTATTTGCTAACTGGCCCTAAAGCTTTATTAAGTAAGCTCTTTCTAAAGGGTAAACTAGCCTTATTTTTTAGTATATTTAATAAAAGTAATATATTACTATTAGATATTATTACTAAAATAGTAATATAAACTCTATATTTTTATATAGATAATATTGCTACGCTAGTAAAGCTTAGCCTTAAGCTTTATAAGCTAGCGTTTATTATCTTAGCTATTATATTAAATCTAACTAATACTAAGGATTCTATAGTATATAATAAAGAAACTAACCTTATTAAAGATCCTAATATTATCTAGTGCTAATCTATTAATTTAATAAGGATTTATATAGTCTTATTCTAGGAAGAATTAAATATTCTTAGATTCTATAAAGCTATTATAATATATATTAAAGCTCCTTAATAGTAGGAAGCTATAAAGAAAGAAATTAACCTGCTAATATAGTAAAAGTACTAGTATTTAATCTATTAAAATAAGCTTCTCTTTAGGACTTATCCTATACTTAGTAGATAAGTATATAAGAAGAAAGAGGGTCCTAATAGTTTAATTATTTATAAAGCTTACTAGATTATCTATAATAATATACTTAATAAGATTATATTTAATATAATAACCTATGCTCTAGTAATCTCTGCTATAATTATTAATATATTAATAGTATCTGCTACTTATTATAGCTAGGCTATTCTTTAGGCTAATATTATATAAGCCTTTCTAAATAAGAAATTAAAATATAATATTTATATATTTTAGCCTACTAGCTTTTATAAAGATAAAGATAGTATTTTAGTTTATAAATTAGACTAAGCTTTTTATAGATTAACCCCCTCTATAAAGATATAATATAATATCTTAGTAGAGTACTTATTTAATACTGGGTTTAAGCTATCTCTATATAACCCCTGCCTTTAGATTTTAACTATTATAGAAAATATCTATATTATTACTTATATTAATAACTTCTCTATATATACTTTTAAGTAATTTATTGCTTAGGCAATTTATAATAATATCTCTAAGTAATTTAAAATAAAGAACTTAGGGCCTATTAAGTATTATTTAAGAATAGAAGTCTCTTATAATAAGAAGAATATATAGCTTATCTAGATAGAGTATATATATAAATTTATTTAATTTTTTAGATAAAAAGATTTTAGCTATATTAAATCCTTTATAGATTTTAAGCTTTAAATTAATAATAAGCTTAATTTTATAGTTAATACTAAAAAATATTAATAGAATATTAGTTACTGCTAATAGTTAGCTATTAAGACTTATTTTAATTTATTTAAGATTATAAGCCTATTAGCTAAGAAGAATTCTTGCCTAATTTTAAAGAGCTATATAGCTTTAAAGTATATTATATATTATTTAGCTAAATACTCTAACTATAGCATTATATATTATAAAGGTAATAGAGATATTAGACTCCTATAAGCCTATTATAACTCTAATTATGCTAGGGATTATAATAAATATTATTCTATATTAGGATATATCTTTATACTTACTAGTAGACCTATTTTATAAAAGACTTATAAATAAATCTATATCTTAATTAGCTCTAATAAGGCAGAATATATAGCTATTTCTAAAGCTGCTAGAGAAATCTAGTAAATATATTATTTAATAATTAATATAGGTATTATAAAAGATATTAGTTTAATTACCTTAAATATTAATAATAATAGAGTCTAAGATCTAATCTATACTTCTACTAACATTAAATATTTTAAATATA